GAATGGATGGACCTCTGGCACTGACTGAAGGCAGTGGTGAGCGGTATACAGTGCAGAGTAGGTTAATTTTGGTGGTGAAGAAGAGTAAATTGATTGTATCGCAGTCACGTGGGATGCTCACTGAGGTCGTCCGTTCGAATCACTCTACGCTTGTTCCTTTAGTCACCTTCTGCGTACTCTCACTGAGGTCGCGCGTTCGAACCTCACCATGTCTTTTTGTTTTTTCACTTTTCTTCCACTCTCATGCCTGGTGTCCTATTGACCGGTTCCTCGTCGAGCTCTCGTGTAGAGACGGTTACCAGCTGGTCTTCACTCACGTGAGACGGCCCCTTTCACATGCAAACTCCCGTCAACAGATTCAGGGGTGCGGTACAAGAGCATCGTAGCTATGTTTTCACGGTGTGATTGTCAAAAGCTGCTGTACTTCTACCAGATATCACGGTGGTGTCCAAGGAGGGTAGAGAAGGTTACGGAGATGGTGTCATTAATCTATGTAGGGGTGCCCGATCGTTCAGTTGAGCTGTCAAACGAGATTCTCTCAGCATGCACGTTTGCTCTAGGATAACTTTCGTGACAGCAAACAGAGACTCAAGCAATCAGGGCTGGATAAACACGATCACCCCTTATCTTATTTCCTACGTCAACAAACAGTGCTATAGTATGCTATAAAAACGTACAGTAAGTTATTGGATCAGATGATGGCCACTGAAACGATGTCCTGATAACAACTTTCCTTGGACATCGCTTCGTATTTGAAGGATATTGTGTACTTTAAGAGTACACCATGATAGTGCTTATTATACATGGAGCTGAGACAAGGCTTGCTTTCTGGTACTGGTGACGACAAAAGTTTCGTATCAACAAGCTGAACCGCAAACAAGCTTACAAAAGAGCACTCTTAGGTGGGTACATAGTACATCAAAGGTTCGTTGACAGTCTACCTAGTCAAGAGTGACAACAAGCTTCTTAGCAGAAACACCTTTTCTCAGGATATCCAGCCCTTTTTGTAAAGATTCCAATCCTGTTCCAACAACTTCAGCCTGAGGTGCTGGTTTGTACTTCCCTCCTGCGATTGCTTCGGGCAAAAAGTCCCCAAAGACAACGTCGGCAACACCGGTATCCTTGATTGTGCCTGCGAAGACACGGCTGTATTGAAAGCCGGCGGGGATATCTGCGGGTAGAGTTATGGTGGTCGTGAAGAACTTGTTGCCCTCGACTTCGGAGAAGAGGTCTGCACATATAGACATGGAGCTCTGAGCATCTCCGGCAGTGTGCAGAACGCCAGCTATGGTCCTTCTCTTGAATGCGTTGGTAAGCTGCTCGAGTAGAGTTGCTGGGTCCAGGTTGTAGTCGATAACCTCGCTGGCACCCAGACCACGAACGAGCTCAAAGTTCTTGGGCGAGACTGTGGAGATGACTTCGTATCCTGCGGCCCGTGCAAGTTTAATGGCGTTGACGCCAACGCTGGAAGCGCCACTCCAGACTAGCAATGTCTGTCCAGTAGATTTGGNGGAGAGCGAAGGATACTGCAGAGCGAGGTGATCCTTCTGGAAGAGACCACAAGCGCTTGTAGCGATGCCCAGAGGCATCACAGCGGCGTCGGTATAGGAGAGACTTTCCGGGATTCTGGTGACCATGTTTGCGGCAACGACGCTGTACTGTTGGAAAGCTGAGCCGGAAGGAGTATTGGCAGTAATACCTCCAGCCACAGCTAATACCCTGTCGCCTGGCTTGAATCTAGAGGAGACTGCACTGCCGACTTCGACCACTTCACCAGCGACGTCTAAGCCCAGAATTGTCGGGTAGGTAAGGAAGGGGAACAGGGCAATGTCTTGTAACTTGAAGTCGATCGGGTTTAGAGCAATCGCATGGTGCTTGATAGTGAGGTAGTCGGCAGGAGGAGAAGTATAGGGTGCATCCTTGATCTCGAGAGGAACGCCGGGCTTGGGCTGCCATGCTGCAGTGTTGGAAGGCATGTCGACTGTGTATGAGCGTGTGTGTCGGAACCTGGCTTTTTACTGTTGTGACTATCTTGTAAAGGAGAACAATTCTATATACCTACGCACCGGTGGCATGTTCGTCCGTCGGAAGGATGTAAAATGTTGCTTGACCGAATCAGGAAACTGCTATCTCCGTCGGAGGTCTGTTAATGCCGAACGCGCGCTGTACAATAAGCCAAATGGAAGGTATCGAAGATAGATCGCATCGCTGGGCGCACTTGCTTTGGAGGCTTCTAGAGGATCAGAGTGTGTATCTTTGATGATTGCAAATGCGACCCGCTCGGATATTGGGTGACGCTCGGCCGAGCCATGTGTCGCAGCTTCCCTGAATCAACGCTGGAAAGAAAGACACTAAGGTAGATATCACTACTGTTATTATCGTACTTGTCGCATAATTCAGTCGATATGTCCAGTAACTCTCAGTGTCACTTTGCTCCAAGAACGTCAGCATGCCGACATAAGTACATACATCTGTCGCACTCAAAAGCAAGACTGCCCAGCTGACTAGTTCTCTGCAGCTGGTCAAGTAGTAGGAACTGCGCAAAAGCACCATGCCAGAATCCGTCGAGAAGGGCGAAATCACTAAAAGACAGAATATCTGGAAGTGCGCAGGCACTCAGGAAGAAAGGTAGCGCAAGCCGGACGCCGCCCGTCTGATCTCTCTTCACAAATGGCCGAGCTGAATCTGAGTATACACAATTCCATATGACGAGCCTCTGCGGTTCGATATGAAGAAACAGACTGTATGGGGGATGGAGTTGTGGATTTGAAGGGCGGAGTGCGGCAAGCAAATTAGACGCAACAAACACGAACAACACAAAGATTGTGGCGGAAGAGAAAGCGGGAGTAGAAAGAGTCTGTGTCGAAACGGAAGCGATGAGTAAACAAAAGTAAGAGAAACGATGGCATTGCCAAAGAAGGAAAAAGGAAGACGCTAGGATCGACAACATCAATTAAGAAAGGAACTGTATATATAGCTTGAGAAAATGTGCAAAAAAGGCTCCGAAGGGGCAGGGGCCCCTAGGGAGGAGTCTGGTGCAAGGGCAGGAATTGAACCCGATCGTTCCCAAGCTACCCTCCGCGAATGGGGAATTACAAACAAGGGCGTGTTACCACTACACCACCAAGCACAACTGACCCTTGAAAATCCCAGACTTATCTTTAATATATAGCTTCGGGACACGACAGCAAGCAAAATATTCAGCAGCAAACAGACACTTACACAAAACACATGCAGCAATATTGAATGCTGAAATAATCAAGAAGATATGTTGTGCCTCTCGAAGTAGTCGTCGGTGTTGCCCTTAGCTGTGTCGCGAAAGTCCTAGTCGCCGAAGCCGCGCTCTGTAAACCGCAGAGGTCGACGATACAACTTGGTGATACCTAGGAAGATATCCAGGCTATAGGAAGGTGTCTACTCGCAGATGTATCCCTGTGCAAGATGTTACAACGGTCAAATGCGCCCGAGGATGGCGGCTCTGTTAGAGGACTGTATAAAGGCGACGACCAGGCTGGGAATCGAACCGGGACCTCCGGATCAGGTTCAGTGTAAAGATGTAAAGAAAAGCGCGGTCCAGAATTCCAATACCCAGAACCCAACATGTTGCAAGACTATACACAACACTGGCAGTCATGAATGAAATAGATGTTCCAAAAAAAGAGCGGTGTTTGTAGCCTGCGAGTCCAGCAGAAAACCGATACACGGAGAAATCCTTATCAGAGCTTTAGTACATGAGTCTGGTCCAAGTATTACTACCCTTGGCGGCCAGACAATAGCGGGGTTGTCGCTGGAAGGTCCCAAAATTGGTCGTATATAAAGGTTGGCTGTACAACGCCAGTGATGGAACGAGGCAGTATGCGACAGGACTCTCGGACATCACTATCGTCGCTATCTGCGGTTGTCGTCTTTAGGGGAGCGTATCATGGCGGGTTGGCAAGCTGTCAGCTACATCATTCGTGTCGTTTCAAAGGCCGATCCGATCATCACCGAATTTCGCTCGTAACCTCGATGTTCCAGACATTCCAGATTTCGAAGAACAATACCCAAGGCATGAGTGGCACATTCTCATTGCTGGAGCGGCTGCATCATCATCGTGTGAACGAACTTCGCTGCTTGAGTGGCACCAACAGTCACGACACTGTGAGCACCAACATCGCGACAGCAGCATGCCTCCTTCTGCCGCAGCTTCTCGTGACCTGGAACCACAAGAGCATTGCCGATCGCTCTACGGTAGAGCGCTCCAGGTAGACTACGTCGTCGCTCGGATGTACTTTGGCACGACAGTAACGGACAAAATCCATTGGGACGTTGCGTGTTTGATCCTCTGCAATGTACCACTTGTTTGATCCAGGCGCTTCGAGTAAGTCAATGATCAAGTTCGATCCAGAGGTGTCGTCAAGAAGATGAAGGGCAAAATACAGCCTTGATCCCTTTCAGCAAGGTCTCGAGATGACTGTACAGGCTTTTTGACATATTTGTTCAACTCGTACTTGTCCTTAGAGAAGAGTCTTCGAGGTCCAGCTGTCCAGGAACAGGAGCCTAGTCCTCATGGCAGTGACTCTGCAGCTTTGTGCAGCACTAAGACTTCGCGATGGGCATGGTTTCTTCTGCTCAGGGCTGCATGACAAGACACACCTTCGTCAAATGCCTCTGCTGATCCAGACTTGCTTGTGCAGTTGCTGGTTTTCTGCTCTCGATTCGGACCCGAGAATGAAGTGGATGAGTCACATTGGCTGTACATACCTGCAGCCCGACATACTTGAGATTGATCGGAGCCTTCCATTGCTGTTCCCTCAGGGAAAGATCACTGCCCTATTCCAGGCAAACTCTGCGAAGGAGCAGCTGATGTTGCCCTTGTCCTGCATGAACGGCTGGTCAATGCGTAGTTTGATCCTTCCAAGTTCCCACGACTCATGCAAGTGAGAATACCTCATCACCAAGCGTCGCTCCTTCTTCCAAACATCAGGCCTTGTTTAACATTCTTCCATCTCGAGCAACAGTGCTTGTCAATCCGACCACAATGGCTCTACCGATCTGGAAACGCAAGCATGATCTGATCTACTTGATCTTCTTCCTCACACACATCCCAATCATGTTTTGTAAGATGAACTCCTTTGAGGACAGCATAGCAAACAGCAACTTATCTTTGTGCTATGCATATAAATTTTCGGGTAGCTAATGTAGACACTAGGTNGTTGACCTTACACCTCTGTACCCTGCAGCTCTAAAGCCTGCCTTTATGACAAACCTAAGAACATGGTACATCACCACGTACAGAGATCAGTTCTTCTCTTCTCCACCGTAAGCATACTCCATTGCTTGATTCGGACAATGAATTGATTCTGTATCAGCNGCCTGGTTCGATACCTACATCTGGCTTGAAGCTCTTTATCACGTCCCGTTGAGCTTCTGGGCTGTACCAGCTCTTCTCCGAGATGATCCCAGAGTACCACTACATCTTCTCGTCTTTGCCCTTGAGGCTGGACTCACTACTTTGACCTGCATTGCCGATTACCTCAGCTGGAGTGGTTACTCGAACAACGAGAAGATCGAACTTGGAAAGCTCTATGTGCCCTACCTGGCACTGGCTGTCTTCATGGGTCTTGACATGTTCTACCGTCTGAGCCAGATGATCTCTAAGTCAGACAAAGCAGCCAAGGGCAAGAAGGCTCAGTAGACAGGTCCTCAATTGACAGTACCATTACACCAACTATTTCTTGCTTTTTACTGGTATAGAGGAATGGCTTCAGCTTCACTGTGATCTCGTTGATCGCGCCCGAACGAGGACTAGCCCCTCGCCGACTAATCGAGGCTGCGAGCAAGTGCCTGATAGATGTTCTTCTCTTCTCCTCTTCCTCACCCTTTCTCTTTCTTTGACGACCATCAAAACAATGTTCTTCTCTTCCGCCCTCCGCCTCCTCGTTTGCTGCTTCGGCAGCAACAACAACACCAACAGGGGCCTGGCCACCCCCGCCACCATCGTAAGCTCTCGTTCTCTCGCGTTGACCTACTACATACAACTGACGCACATCACACCANNGAGCGGCCCGCGTAACTTTACGCACAAGAGGTCGGGCAACCCCGACATCCCGCTGCGTGCCTTTGTGAGCACGCCGCCGCCCTACGTCCAGCCCGAGCGCCCCTAAGAAGGCCGGGTCTGGGGTAAGTCACAAAGATCTCTGCTTCACGACCTTCGTCTGACTGACTTTCGTGCGTCTAGACAGGGTTAGTCGGTTGTGTCCCCCTCCTCTTCGTCCTCCGGGGCACCCGCCCCTTTGTGGGTGTGGTGACCTCTTGTGTTTTATATAGAGCACAATCAAATTCGCTCTGAAACCTCCTTGTTGTGTCGATGTGTGCCTGTGATTCTTGACACTGTTTGCTTCTCATGTGACGTCGTAGTGATTCGGTAGGCTTGTAGTAATACACCGTTTAATCAGAGGTAGAGAATCTCCATGGAGACAACTGACTTCTCAGCACTTTCTTCGGATGTTGTCATGGTCGCCAAATGTATCGTGCATTTCGATGGTGTACACCGTAGCGATACACAAGCTTGAGATATAGACATCAGGTCACATCAGGCACATGTACATCGGTATCCTTATCTCAGTCTCCCTCACCGCCACTCACCCTCCATATCAATTACAAAAACACACAAAGAAATCAAGACAACATTTAGTGTCTAAGGAAAGAGCATGTTTTGCAATCTTCTCAATGGAAGAGAATGAAATATTAATTTTCTTTGTTTGACCACTTAAACAAAAGACTATATGGTATTCAAAACGCCAACCATGATTTCTACTCTGCAGCAGGCGTGGGTGGGATTTCTCGGGCATCGACGAATTCAACGGCTGGGCTTGGTTCGTCGAAGTCTACTGCGCCGTCTGAAGTCGGTGGTTCGAGTGATGATTGGATGTCTGGTTTTGTGTCTTCGCTTGCAGGGACGGAGGGTGTGGGGTCTGCAGTGCCATTTCCGAGAGGTGCGGGTGTATCTTCGATGCTCTTGTCCGTGGTGTTCTCTGCTGATACATCCTTGGCTTCTGTACTGGTCTCAGTACCTTCAGCGGCAGCTTCGGGCTCGGCGGCAGCACTCTCAGCTGCGGCCGCCTTAGCAGCAGCATCAGCAGCCCTCTTCGCAGCTCTGTCCCTCTCCCTCTGCTGGAGCAGCTCGTAGTTCTCCTTCCTGCTTCTTTCATCTTTGAGTTTGCGCAAGCGCTCCGCCTCTTCCACGCCACCGCTCTTCTTGAGTTTCCCTTCCTCGACGAAACTGCTAAGTTCTTTTTGGAACTCGCCATCACGGCGTTCTTCTAATTCGCGTTGACGCGCTTTTTCGGCGCGCTCAATGGCTTCGAGACGGGACTCGTGGTTCGGCTGAAGGGCGCGTACCTCCCCCAACACGCCTGTGCGGGCTTTGGCAGGATCGCCGCCGCGGTCGAGAGCTACGGGGTTGAGCGTACGAGAAGAGGAGCGAGGTGTGTTTTGCAGATTCTGTTGTCTTGTGGCTTGCTCGACGAGTGCAAAGGTCTCGGCCGCCTTTTCAAGGTCATCTTCCAAGTCAATACAGAGTTCTTCTTGCATGGTGAGCAAATCTCTGTCTTCACAGACGACTTGCAATTCTTTCTCCCAGATCTTGGTCCAGATTGGCTTCTCACGCTTGAGGAACTCTTGCAGTTTCTTGAGGCCAGTTGTCGCGGTAGAAATATCTTTGCCGACGGCATCGAGTTGGCGAGGTAGAGGTCGGACTCCGCGTTGGACGACGTCTTTGCGAAGATCCTCTACGGTATCTTGCAGATCATCCACTTGGGTAACAAGCTTCTCACTGTCATCCGAAAGCGATTTCTTGCCCCCGTTGACATAGGTTCGACCAGAGCCGGCGGGCATAGAAGGAACACGCGCCTTGTTTGCTGCAGACTTGACAGTAGCAGCCTTGGTCCGGATAGAGGACATGGAAGAGTTGATATCGTCAACAAATGATGTATAGGTTTGACGGACAACGGCGAGCTCGCGACGGAGAGATTGGACTTCAGTAAGTTGGGCCGGTGTGCCTTTAGAAGATGCAGTCTGGAGGGGTGGAGGTGTCGCATTAGGTGTCTGAGCGCGAGGAGGTGCCGTCACCAGAGTGGCCATCTCCTTCGCGGCCTCTTGTTGTCGCTCAGAAACTCGATGAATAGCGGATTGCTGGTCATCGACAGCAGCTTTCAGGCCTTCGATCATGCTCTTGATACCTCCGATGCTGTCGTCAAAGTGCTTCTTGACTTCGTCGAGCTGTTCCACATTCAAGACAAGTACAGAACGATCCTTAATGTCAGCCAGATCTTCCAACTCGTGACGTACTCCTGAAACGGGATCTTGTATGTAAATCTCAGGGAGATCATTGCCGTTGTTGTGTGTATTCCAGGCGAACTTCTCAATGAAAGCGAGCTGAAGCCTCGCTATAGATAGGTCACCACCATCAGACAGAACGAACTTCTTGATTTTGCTCTTGTATTGAAGGAAAAGGGTCAATTCCTTGCCAGGCTGAGGCGAGGATTCGGGCACAAACTGTTGCTGAGAAGAAGCCTTCTCAGTACTTGGGGGAGGAGTGGTTTGCCGTTGTATCCTAGACTTGCGACGCTGCAACTCTCCACCCGCTGCTTCCTCAGGGGTCGGTTCGAGGATTGTCTCAGGGAGCGGCCCGCTGACGGTGGCGCCCATGTCTGCCTCTTCTGGCGATTGTTGCGTAGGGAATGGGTAAGCTCCCAGTTTATCTTCGGGTGTCTTGGGCATGGGACTAGCACTCTCCAGACCCGCGGTCGATGGTAGCTCTCCCACATCTGTGTTTATTGTCTCGGTAAGCCTTTGCTCTTCTGATCGTTCTCTTCTGCTGGGCGAGTTTTGAGCAGATTTTTGAGCCGATTTCTGCCTGTTGTGAAGAAAGCTTCGAGTGCGGACAGCTTTCATAGACTCGCGCGTGTCTTGGCCTCGATTAGGAATTGGGCTATTCTGGGCCGATGGTATCATAGGCACTCCGTTACTGGATCCCAGATGCTTCGAAATCTGGTAGGCAGAGAAACGTCTCGACGCTCTCCTCTCCAGCTCTCCACCGCGTTGCAAAGCAGCCAGGGCATCTTGTTGTTTCGGTGGCGGGGTGGGGGNAGGTAGATTGTGTTCGGTATAGGGAGGTCGTGGAGACTCTTGCTGGTAGGCTACCGGCGCAGGTTCGTTTCCGTACTGTGCTGGTGGCTGGGCGGGCATCGTGTCTTCTTGAGGATATGGAGCAATAACGGGTATGTTTTGCATAGCGTTACTCGACATGGATGAAGAGTCGGAGTTTGTGGTATCGCGGCTTTGGTCGCGGGTGTGTTGCGTCGAGACAGCAGGAGGGAAGGATTCCTTCCTAGGTGACGACCTGCCTCCCTGCATAGAGGCTGAGCGTGGAGGAAGGTCATGGGCAGGGAGTTCGTTGGCGACTCGTTGCGACTGGGTTCGGCTGGCGGACTGGCGAGCGAGGAGGTCGTCAGCAGCCGACTCTGCGGCGCTGGCCTGCCTCGAGCTCTGGCTGCCACTGCTGGTACGCTGGCGCAACCGCTGCTGCTTCTTCTTAAGGCCATGCAGGAGGTTGATGATGATATCGCGGATGCGTGGGAGGAAGCGGTCGAGGCTCTGTTGACTGGCTTCCTGGCTGAGGGTTTCCTCGAGGATGGCGCGCAGAAGGTCGGGCACGGGGCCAAGGTCCTGGGTGTCAACACCTATGCCGTTGAAAGCGCGACAGGCAATGTTGAACTCGTATCCCAGGCGCACGTAGACGTCCGAGACCTCGCTCTCGCTGGCAGCATTGCGGGACCATTGGGTCAAGGTTTCGAGGAGCTGCTTGGTCGCGACAAGCAGATGTGTGACGCTCTTCTCGATGGTCGACAGCTNGCCAGGCTGCGCCGACTGTCGGGTCGAAGAGCGAGCGGCCGAAGAGCGTGAGCCAGAGCTGCTCCTAACACTCGGGTCTTCGTTGGCCATGCCGTTTGACACTTAGTACCGCAGGTCGACGACGGGTGCTGTTTGGAAACGCAACGCGGCGCCTAAAGGGGCTGCTCAAAGAAGGGGGAGCGCTCGCGTGGGCGCCTTAGAACCAAGGACAGGCAAAACAGCAATGCGACAACGCCAGTAATCCCAACGCGAACGAAAAAGAGCACTCCTGGCAAATCACCCAGCACAGAACAGAGTACAAGACGGTTTGTCTGCTAGCATTTCTGCTTTCTACTTGGTAGAAGCTCCTGATGCTTCTGCTCGGTGCATGCTTTGGCTCTCCACCTTGAAGCTTCTTGGCCGTGTCGGAGCCTCGATCTGCACCTTGTGTTTCCAACCCCGTACGCGACTCTCTTGCGGATAATTACCAGGTCAGTCAATAGTTGCAGGCCAACGAGCGACCTTGTTCTCTTCTTGAACACGACGCATGCTTAGAGAGGACTGCGTATTGCTTGCTCAGCAGTCCAGACCAGCGCGTTGCTCGTCGATCAAGGCGCCTGGCTTCCTCAGCAGCTGCTCAAGTGTCTGGCCATCTTCACGTGCCAGCCCGAAGCCCAACATTCACATTCGGCGACACAAGCCGCCTTTGTTCCATTTGCTATTGCTGTCACATTGCCGCTGTTCGGTCTCTCTTGTCGCTGCCTCTGTTGTCGACACCTTTGCCTTCTGAAACCTGCGCAACCGGCAGGTCATCTAGGTGATACTCTCTCTTACCAAAAGTCTACGCGTATCGGTCAGCCCTACCCTCTTGTCGGATCGCCTTCCGAGCGGCCGCCAAGCTCCCCATCGCAGTTGAGTGAAACACGACATCTACCCAGCTGTAGTCTGTCCTCAATCAACTAATCAGTTGTCGGGCTGCTCGCCGACCTGTTACTTGACTTCTTTCGGCTGCTGCACTAGACCAGCACGCGACACTGCGAGTCCCGACTACGTTATCAGGCATTCGGTTGTTCTGGTTGCGCGTGCGAGCTCCAACATCTCCATCCCCAGTCTCCTGTCCGTCCCCTGACTGCACTCATCATGTCCGCCCAATCCGCAGCCATGAACGGTGCTCCCACATCTTCCGCTTCTCAGACAAATTCAAATCCTTCTAAGCCGCAGTTCAAGACGAATTCTATCGGAAAGACTCTGGACGGTGCCCGTAAGCAGGCCGCAAGCCCCGTGGACGCCTCGAGGTAGGTCGAGCATGTGACATTATACCAATCCTCTACAGCGTCTGACTCGTTTTTGATTAGAAGATCTCCCGCTCCCAAGGCCTGGTCTCAGGGCACCAACCCCATTACACAACGCTCCAATACTTCCTCGCCCGTTACCAATGGCCTAGCGAATGGCATCTCCAAAAACGCCCAGTCCAAACCCCAGCAAGAGAATGGCACTTCAAACAAGCATGCTACAGACAGATTTCTGTTCCTGATCGCAAACTTCGCTGTACGGATTACCCATCACTTTCTGTCAACTATGTCCGGCTAACCTTATAATATGATGCAGGGTATGGAAGCTGCCATCTTCCTCAAGACTGGAGAAAGGTTCAGCGGTGTCTTTTGTGGTGCTTCTACCGGATCTGCTGATCCTCGTTTCACTCTGAAGTTTACCAAGAAGACGAGCCAGCAGGTCAATGGCACGACTGACCAGTCTGACGCATACGTTGGTGACGGCGAAGACCACGTCATGGCCTTCAGCCTCCAAGATGTTGTGGACCTCTCGGTCAACAGCCTGTACTTGGCTGCTTCGGAAACAAGAGCTCAACAATCCAATGCGCCTGCCTTCCGTACCGATGTCGAGATCTCAGGCAACCTCAACATTCGCGAGCGCGAGCTTCAGCCGTGGCAGCCCAGTGCTGACACCGCTATCAACATGTCACTTGAAGATAACTCGCGTCCGGGAGAATGGGACCAGTTCGCTGCCAACGAAGCCCTCTACAATGTTAGAAGCGACTACGACGAGAACCTCTATACCACTGCCATCGACAGATCTGATCCGGATTACAAACGCAAGGCAGCTGAAGCTGAGAGAATCGCCCGCGAGATTGAACGTAGTGCTCCTGTCAACTCCCACGTCGCTGAGGAACGTCGCATGAACGCCGAGAAGGATGGTGGCTTGGACGAGGAAGAGAAATACAGTGGTGTTCGTCGCGAGACCAACATCACCTCGCTTCTGAAACAAGGTGCACCCAACGCCTACGTCCCTCCCTCACGAAGACCGATCACCAGTCAGCCCACTGTACCAGGTGCTCCCTTCGACCCAGCTATCGTCTCGGTCGCACGTCCCAGCCCATCTACAGCCACAAACTCTGACAGCCAGGCTGCTTTGTCTAANGCAACAAGAGCAGAAATCACAGGAGCCAAAAGATGCTCAAACTCCCGCAGCAGCCGTTCCCTCTTTGCCAACCGTGACAGCTCCTTCCGGGAAGCTTCAGCCGCCGCTGCTAAGCCTGCCACGACCACCGCTGCGTCTACCTCAAAGCCAATACCCTCGATCAACGCTGGCAAAGGTGCTACTGAAGGTGTTGAGCGTAAGGTGTTGGATTCGTTCAAGCAGTTCTCTAACACCGAGAAGCTCCGCGTTCAGCAGCACCAACGTGTTGTGCAAGAGCGTCAACGCGCCAGTGCTCGTCAAGAGAAATCTGTCAAGCTCAACGACCTTAAGAAGTTTGCCGAAAATTTCAAGCTTTACTCACGCGTCCCTGAAGATCTCGTGCCTATCCTTGCCAAGACAAAGGAGAAGCAGAACCTCATCGTCACAAAGGCAGAGCTGCAGGCGCGTGAGAAGGAGTCAAAGGTCACATCCGCTGAAGCCAGCCCTGCTCGCATCGCACCTCCCAAGCCTGAAGTCACTTCTGAAGTTAGCCAAGCACAGCCTGCAAGCCAACCTGCGAGACGTCCTGAAGCCACCAACGAACCTGGCTCTCCACTGAGTCAGAGACAGCGCATGACTCAGAACATGAGACAAACCCAAGCCATACCTCCACGCGGACCTGGCATGTCGCACGGCGCTCAACCCAGACCGAATCAGCAGTACAGAGCTCCCATGGCTAACATGCAGGTCCCCACTCCTATCCCTCCTCCAGAGATCCGTTCCCCTCCCACCGGACCTGCCTCTCGCGAGATTACGAGTCCTTCTACCGCCTCAGCCAGGCTCAACGTCAAGGCTATGGAGTTCAGACCTAATCCCTCAGCAAGTACTTTCACTCCTACATCACCCACCAAGGCAAGTCCTCAGCCTGCCAAGCGTTCCAGCATTTCTGCTGCATCGCCGGCCAAATTCTTCGCTCGCAAAAGCGAAAAGCCCTTGTCTGAACGTACTCCNCTCAAAGATGCCTTTAATCCCGTCAAATACATGCTCGAGACTACTGCGGCTGAGGGCAAGACCGAAACCTTTGCCTCGAATGGAGGAATTCCACAAGCTTTCCGCACTCCACCAACATGGGAGGTCGCTGATGCCAACAAAGAAAAGACGTACCGTGATATGTTTGCTCAGAGCCCAGTCGCTGCTATACCACCTATGCACACTCCTACCAACAGTGTCATGGCACACTCTCATCAACTTCCTCCTCATCTGCAAAACGGCCCTCCCGCCAACCAGACTCCTCGCTTCTACCCTCCTCAACCTCATCACCCTGGCCCACACTACGACGAACACCGCATGCAGTATGGTTCAAACACTCCTTCCGTACAACCATCTCCTCGCCTGCCTCATGCAATGGCCTATGGCGGCCCGCAGATGCACCCGCAAATGCAGCACTTCCCTGCAGGCATGCCTCCCTATGGCATGATGCGTCCTCAGCAGTACGGAAGCCAGCAGGGTCCTCCCATGGGTGGTCACATGATGGTACAGCAATCGTCTAATGGACCCTTCATGAACGGAGCCATGGCTCAGCAGGTACCAATGTATGCCTCTCCTGTTCCCGGTCACGTACAGNNCCCCACTTCCCCGGCCATCCCGCCGGTCAACCTGGTCCCGGTTTTGGACGCGGACATGCCATGAGCCACCAGGGCTCTCAGCAANGGACACCCTGGACAGATGTATATGCAAATGCCACCCACTGCGCCCATGATGATGCAGCAGCATCCTGGACAAAGTAAGTCGTCCTCATAAGGGTTCTCTCCTTGACTATGACCATCTAACATATTTACAGTGCAGCAAATGAGAAACTTCCCGCAGGGTCAATACCCAGGTGGCCCTCAGGGCCAACACGGCTACCCCATGCAGCACCGTGCCATGTCGAACCAGGGATACAACCACAACCAAATGACAACTCGTCAACACCATGCAGCTCCCCAACAAGGCCCTAGTCCCGGTGTGCCACCGATGCATGCCGCTGGTCCAGGAGACGAGGGCAAATGAGCTAGCACCACAGCTGCCATGTCACGATGGTACAGCCAGCTGTTTTGAGATAACGTGACGACGCCTCAGGAGAGATGAGATCTTGGTATCTACTGAATATTTCTCCTACAGCGCCAGGGACCCAGTTGACTGCTCAGGCAACGAGTCATATGAAGCGTCTGCATGATCCGGCCCTAGATGCAGGAGCATCTCGTCTGGCAAGATCGACCAAGACTGTATAGTTTACCAAGGCCACGGAAGGAGAAGTTGGCAGGGCGAAGAGAATTGTCAATACGGAAGTGAGCTTGTTGAGATTTGCTCCAGCTTCGGCATTGGCAGACAGGAAAATGGATGAGGAGATAATTGGGGTGGATAGGTCAGGTAGCTAGTGAAGAAGCAGTTTGAATGTAAATTGCAGAAGATCCGACCTCAAGTCCTACAATCATGGCTGCCGACGATGCTCTCGCTGGTGATTTGGGGATAACCCTGACATGGACTTGTCAGTTGGCCCGTGCGATGGGTTTGTTTACTACCCCACACTTTCAGGTCGAAGACTTTCTTGAGCACCAGTTTTGCGACAACAAGGACACAACGAGACAAACGACAAGCATGGCATACAGCGGTCGCATGAGCATGGCGCCGCGAGGCTCCCAACAGCCATCGAGCCAGCCTCGCGCTCGCAAAGAGGACAATGAAGACGCCTTTATGACACTGGTGAGTCCTTTCCTGTACTCGGCATGCCCGACAGTCACTAACATTTCTGTGTTTACANNGCCCGACCGCGAGATTGCAGGATGCATCAGCGACATTGGCATCCCCTTCAGCATCCAAGACCTGCAAAAGCCCAATCCACAACAAATCCAGAAAGTCTTCGAATGGCTGGCCGAGCTGTTGATGAACACGACGCGCGAAGTCGTCGCACCTGCCATGAAGGCCGCAGCAGAAGACTTGTGCGCCGACGACCCGGAGAGAATCTTCACGGCCGACACGCGCGACCTCATGGGCTTCTTTGTCACTTTGCGCCGCCTGCTGCTCGAGTGCGGCATCAAGGACTTTACCTTCCAGGACCTGTACAAACCGACACACCCGCGTCTGGTCAAGATCTTCTCCTATGTCATCAATTTTATCCGCTTCCGCGAGTCGCAGACGTCGGTTATCGATGAGTACTTTAACAGCACCGAGCGCACAAAGGCTCGTATCGAAGAGCTGTACAATGCAAATCAAGAGAAGGAAGAAATGCTGCAGGAGATGCAGCGCAACAGAAAGAATGTCGAACAAGCCATGCATGACAAGGAAAAGAAGAACAGCGAGCTCAAGGCCCGCCTACTCGAGCTCAAGAAAGGCCAGGAAAAGGTGGCTGAGAAGCTAGACCGCGTCAAATCAGAACAGAGCAGACTCAAGCAAGCCCTCGAGGACAAACAGACTCAAGCCATCAACGTTCGCAAAGAAGCCGACAAACTGCGTCCCTACACACAACAAAGCCCCGCAGCCCTCGAAACGGCCCTTCGCGACCTAAACGCAAACCTCACAGCCGACAAGTCCGAAATTGACCGTCTTGACCGCCGCACCCGCGCCCTTCAAACAAGCACCGACACCTTTACTCTCCTCCGCGATGACGTGAACGGCCTCAGCCGCTTACTAGAAGACCTCCAAACCGAACTGAAAAAGGAAGACGAAGAGGCCTCACGGGCAAACAAACACCGCGACGCCCTCTCGGAGCGCTCTAATAACGTGCGCGAGATTGAGCGTCAAGAACGCATGCTCAGCAAACAGCTCGCCAACATCCAAGAACGCACGAACAATCTACGACAGGGTGCAGGCGCAAAGGCTGAAGAAGCAAAGAGACGCATGGAGTCGTTGAAGCAGACACACTCCGAACTTGGTGAAGAGAGACGCAAGCGTGGTGAAGAAGTCGAGAGGAGACGCATCAGAATCGAGCAGACGGAGAAGAAGATGGCCGACTTGAAGGAGAACATTGACATGGAGGTTCAGAGTGCAAAGGAGGAGTATCTGAAGATGGAGTCGCACATCAAGCTCTACATTACCGAGATGGAGCAGAGCTTGGTTTGAGACTCGACTCTGTTGGCTTTCTTCTCTGTGTTTAGTTTCTCTCTTTATTCCCTTTGCGCTTCGTTTGATATACCCCTTTGGATAAGCGGCGTTTTGGTTTGGTTTGGAATTTGGGTATGAACATGACTTTATTGCATTATGATATCTGTTTTGATCTCTTCTTCTTGTTTATATGCATGTGACGTTTTTCATCGTAATATCTTCACGAGACACTTAAGGCCAGCGCTCCTCCTGCTTCCAGGAGCCGTCGGCCTGGTAGATGTAGACCTGTCTGCGTGCCTTTGTAGGGTCGCTGAGGTCAAGCTGCTCGACCTCCTCGGGCTTGACGACGACAACTCTGAAGTTCTTTCTTGCGACCGAGTCGTTCAGGTCCTCGACCTTCGTGCCAAGGGCCAGGTTTTTGTCATCGTAGGGCTCGGAGGTAGGGCGGCCAGGTGGGGGTGCCTTGAAAGAACCTTGATAGTAATGTTAGCATTGAAGTGGGCGTGTTGGTCATGTGGATCCAAACATACCTCTCAGACCAGGCGAGTTGTTGCCAAAGTGGGCAGTCAACTCTCTGTTCCAAGACCACTCTCCCTGCTTGCCCTCGTCAACGACTCTCATGCGGCTGCCCAGCTCGCTCTTGACAGTCCTCACACCACTGCTCTCCTTGCTCTGCTCGCCCTCACCCTCGATATCAGGGCCAACGACAAAAGCCTCTCCCTTCAATCTCCACTGCACCTGCGTCTCCTTGATCCAGTAGACGGCCTCGCAGGGACCGCCACCACCACTTCCCTGCATCTGCTCCTCCTTGTCTGCGTGTCCGCTGCCCGAGCTAAACAGCTCGGGGATCTTCATCATACGCACATCAGAGGTGAAAGTCGGCATCTCCGACTCAAAGACTCTGGGGTTCATGGGGGCTTCGTTGTGCTTGTTGTCGGGCAGCTCCGACCAGAAGCCGCGGAAGATGCAGTAGCGAGCGCGGGGCAGGTAAGGTGTAGGCGAGTCCTTGGGGGCTGGGTGCAGAGACGAAAAGACAAACTCGGGAGAATCCATCTTGTCGAGGTCCTTGAGGAAGGCCTGTTTCCAGGGGGCCGGTTGGGGGCTATTAGTCGAGGATGTTGTGGCCATTGTGCGGGTTGCTTGACGGCTGAGGAGGGATAGACGGGGATTATTCTTGAAGCTATCGTGACGGTGTTTGCCAGAGACGATGTTGGAAAGGGAATTGAATGGAGAAGAGAGGTAGAGATAGTAAGGTGATGATGGATAATATCTCATCGAGACGATGGCTTTGATGACGTCTACGAGATCTCGTCTCCACATTGCATCTCAGGAAGATCGTGCCTGCCTCATCTTTCTAACCACATCTTCGAACTTGAACATGTTTTCTCACTATCATGTCTTTTAAGAGATAGCAAAGATATCCCAGCTGTGATTGTGCGGCATGTTGCTCAAGTCAGAGGTGGTCATGGACGGAAACAAGACGGCAATAAGATGTCGTCGTGCTCAGAGCTCAAGCTCTCTCAGCCCGGGCCCTATTCATCTATCTTTTCCATCCTTTTCCCTCATCTTTCATCTTCACCGCTGTGACGAGCGATGCGCATGCTACTACTGTGCTACGATCGCATTTAGAGTGTTTGGGTGACCTTGACTGACCAAGTGGCACCATGATGGCATAGTGTTTCTATTCTGAGAACGAAGCTTCCTGGTCCGTCTTTTGATCGGCCAGAACTGCAACGTCTTGGGAGCAAAACGGTCACCTGCCTGTGGACTCTTCGATATGAAATTCGACGTCTGCCGAGACAACTGTGCTCTTGGGATGTGAAATATCACTACACATCTCAACCGTTCTTGACCGGATCTACAAGTCAAATACGAGATTTACTAAAAATAATCCAGAGGTAGGTGCTGAGCTTGGAGCATGTTCCGCGGTTGACGTGCGGAGGCAAAGAGATAGTGTTATATAGGTTAAGAGCGATGCACCATCAATGACTTCCTTCTCATCTACAAAACATCTTCCTCATCAAACATCTTTCAAGCAAACGACCAACTTCAAAGACCAAAACACATCCACTTTTACAAACCACACCAAATCTCTACAACATGAAGTTCACCATTACCAACACCGTCGCCTTCCTGGCCGCTGCCTCTTCTACCTTGGCAGCACCTCTTGAGGCTCGTCACGACGCAGGCAAGGCTTTCACCCTCGACATCTCTTTCAGCAACAGNCCCCTCAATGGCCCCATCCAAGCCTCTGGCGGCTCCTTCTGGATTGGCAAGAAGGCTTCAACTTCCTGCCCCACCTCGGTAAACCCCTGCCCCAGCGGCAACACCACATCCTTCACCTCCTCCGGAAACGGCTTGCTCTACCTCAATACTGAAGTCCCCGGCGGCCAGCAGGTCTACATCCGCCCTGACGGCCTCCTTACCTACACACAAGCCCACTCTGCCTCCACACCTGCCGGCTCCACATTCTCTGGCTTTGAGATCTCACCTCAGAACCAAGTCGGCAAGTTCTACGACTTCTGGCTGTGCAGTGAGGATTCGACCAACAAGGCTTACCGTATCTGGCTCGAGTACCGTGATGATCAGGGTGCGGTCAAGCAGAATGGCCTTGGTGGCAAGAACACTTGTACCATGGTCAACCTTTTGGCCAACGACGTCAAGAAGGAGGGTCCTGCTGCTTGGCAGTATAACTAGAATTGTGTTGGCATGACGCATTTTATGAACTGTTACTCTTTAGCGACGATAGCATTTACTATTGCATGATACAATCTATATCTCACATTCAATTATCGCTATCTTCCCACGTGTAAAAAGTCAGCAACATGCATCCTCGCCCAAGAGTGAAGAGCGACTTATGGTTGATCCAAAGACAAAAGAGCTCTCGGAGTAGAGATGTGGTTAGAGAGTCTTCGATATGTTGCATATCAATTCTGCACTATGATACGTCTGCAAGTCCCGAAGTCAAGAGAACACGTCATATCATGTTAGATCGCGCGTAGTCTATGTCGACGTGGAGGAACATTGAACATAACAACTCATTCATATCCATAATATCAAACATCCAGAACCCATAGAATCATAACAGAAGAGGGTGTATCAGGCCATTATCTCCTCTCCTCCCGAATCTCCTCGACTGTCTCAACACCAAACTTCTCTCCCTCGGCAACACCCACCATACCCTCTCCCATGGCCACATGATTCTGCCCACCAAACAGAGTATCGATCTCCTCAAGGGTGACGTTCTTAGTCTCTGGAATGCAGAACCAGACAAAGACGGCAAGCAGAAGATTAATACCTGCAAACATGTAGAAAGCATAGAATCCACAATTGTTGAGGAAAGTAGGGAAGAATTGCTGCACAATGAGGTTTGCAACATTTTGGGTTTGGGAAGCCATGCCGACGGCTTGAGCACGAACGTTCATGGAGAAAATCTCGGACGTCCAGATCCAGACGGTGGCGCCCCAGGAAGGCTTGTAGAAGAAGGCGAACAGGAAGAGTAGGAATACTACTGCTATACCCACGGGCTCGGATTTTGTGTTGCCGCCGGGTGTTTCGGTGACCACGGCTGCGACAATGACCATGCAGATTGCCATGCCTACTGCTCCGACAATAAGCAAGAACTTTCTGCCAAAGCGGTCGACGGTCCATGTTGCGTTCATGGTGAAGAAGATTGCGAAGGTGGCGTTGAGGGCGTTGATCAAGGCGATGGTCGAGTCGTTGGTAAACACCTTTTTGTAGATGATAGTGCTGTATGAGTTGAGCGTGCCTTGGCCAGTGATTTGCTGGCCGGCGTTGAGGACAAAAGCCAACAGCAGTCTCTTGCGCACAGAAGGGTCTTTCCAGAGTGCAGAGTACGAGCTAGAAATCGCTTCCTTCTCAAACTCCAGGGCTTCTCTGATCATGAGAATTTCACCATCGACTTCCTGCTCGGTATCGCGGACCTTGAGTAGTGACTTTCTGGCCTTTGTACCATCATCGCCGTGTTGGAGATACCATCTCGGGGTCTCCGGGATGAAAAATACTTGAGAGAGGATGAGGATAGGCACGAGCAGTTGGAAGATGGTGACCATTCTCCAGTCCCACTCGCCCAACTCAGCTCTGTGCTTGGAACATGCAAAGTTGACCCAGTAGGCAATGAATGAGCCCACAGAGTAGAACATTTGCCAGAAGGACATGATCTTTCCACGGATTTCGGGAGGCGCAAGTTCTCCGATGTAGATTGGTCCGGCAGTCAGAGCAAGACCTTGTCCCAGACCGACGACTACACGGCCGACGATGTAGCATGCAAGGTTGTGGCGAGGAGTAAAGGTCTGGATGAATGTTGCGATGATGACGAGGATAGCACCGGAAGCCATGCNCCCTGAGAAGTCATCAGTATGTGTTTAGTTAACCAAGAAGTGTGAGACTCACACGCGACGGCCGAAGTAGTCAGCAACAGGACCGCCCATGAACCAACCAGCGACGATGGCTCCAACGGTGTAAGCAGTGTTGATGGCACCAATAGTTTGAAGACTNNCTGCGATCTGTCAGAGTTGTCTATCACACGGTTATTGAGGCTAACATACAGGCTTGTCGAAGTAAGCAACCCAGTGCTTCGAGCCCTGCACAGCATTGAAGACGGAGGCATCGTAACCGTAGAGAACCATGCATGAGGCGGCCACGAGAGAGATGTACCAGTTGTAGGCTCTCGTCTTGCTCATGCTGAACTTGCCCATGATGGCGGTATTCTTTCCTTGTCGATTCGGGAAAGAGTGAGGGTTGAAAGTCGTGTGACCAACTCGGTGTAGAACGATGAGGTCGCTGCACAGGAAGATTGCAAACCCCTTTGGTATACGAAGAAGATAGACAGTCCGTGGTGTGATGCAGGGTGCAGGCCAAGTTAAATATGCAAGAGATGGCAATCTTCCTCAAGCCCTCACCCACCGCAGTGGAACAATATCCCCCGTATCTTCACCCTCTTCCCCCACGCCACTCCGGAGTTTAACACCATGATATGGGGTTGACGGATAGGATCCGTGCTTGATCGGGGCGGCCAGAAGGTCTCTGCCTCATCTGGGGACCCCAGGCCCGGTCCTCGTGCCTCTGTTCTCCACTCAATGTTGGTGGTTTCGCTTGTTTCTCGACGGAAGAATATATGGTGAAGATGGAACTGGATTGTTCCGCCAATCATTGGGGACGCTCGAAGATATGCCGATTCTAGCCCTAGTCACGTCCTGGACACACTATCGATTTGGAATTCCGGCATGACGAGATAACAGAGTCTGCTTTGATTCTGTCTTGTCGTTGTGGTGTCGAGGACATGATTTTGATCATGTTGTTGCATGCAAGGACAATTCATTCGAGTTCATGGTGATGGTGGGCGGCTCTTTGGGGCTCGGATTTCAGCAACCGAGGCGCGCATGGGCCATGTGCATTCACCTGCCAACACCCGAGAAGCAAACACTGCGGTGACTTTTGATGTCGGGCAGCAGCCAGATAGGAAGAGACACATTCGACAAGAGTCAAGATTCTACTTCGCAAACAATCATGCTACCCCAATCTCGAGTTTGGACGCTCTGCAGCGTTCTTCTCCTTTTGACATCGTTGGCGAGTGCATCACTCTTTGCACCGTTTCTGTCCGTGCCCGACTGGTCGCAACAGACAAGCTCCAACGAAACATCCTACGACCTGGTCAAACGCGCGCTTGATCCAACGTCGTGCCCGACTGGTTACAAGAACTGCGCAAACATCGGCGCCCCGGGTCTTTGTTGCACCAACTCGGCCATATGTGCTCCTGACCAGGCTGGCCATGTTGCCTGCTGTCCAAGCGGTGCCGTTTGCACTGGTGCCATCTCATCCATCATTACCGCTGGTGTAATCGCTTCCGGTGGTTCTGTCGCCTCGACCACAGCTGCCGCTTCTCAGCCCTTGACTGCATCTGCTTCATCATCCCGAGCGACAGCTACCTCGGGAGGAGGCCTCATAGTTGCAAGCGGCCTCAGCACCACCGGCACGTCGCCTGTCACCACCACTGGTGCCTCGGGCGCGGCCACTACTGACGGTGGCTTCATCATCGTCGGAACCAGCACTGCTGCTACTCTGGGAAGCAGCGCTGGAAGAACCGTCCATACCGTATGTCTTTGCTAACCACTCTCCTTATCTCCCCGAAATATGCTAACATCATCCAGCCGATTATTGTCCAGGCCATCATCAGCCTCTTGGGATTCCTGCCACTCTGAGAGAAACGACCTTCAATATGAGCTTGATGACATGATGAACAACTTCCGACCTTGACGAAACACGATTGCTGCATAGCATGTTTACATTGCATAACGCCCAGAAGCACTGAAAGGCTCACAGAGAAAACTGCACAACACGAAACGCTTCAGGGAGAGAACAAAAAGTAGATAACAAGATATATATATAAGAAGAGTCATAAGCATTCGTCAACAAAAATCCTCCAGGATTGACTTTAGGTGGTCGTGATATATATACAGATTGTAAGACCAATATATTTACAAGAAATTTTGGCGCTCGTAAGACGATTAGTAAGTGGCGTAGGACTTGATGGCGGGTTCCACCGTGACCTTGGGCTCGTAGAGAACCAGAGAGAGTGCAGCGACTAGAATGGCGTTCTCTGTGAGCAGCAAGTCGCCTACGTTCAGGCCTTCGGCGAGGTACATGTTGCACAACGAGTTGACATTGATACGAGACGTCTGGCCAGCGCCGCCGTTGACCAGAGCATCCTTGACCAGGCCGAATGCAATGGGGTTGTAAAGCACACCCTCGTGGGTGTAGAATGAACCGCCAGGGAGGCCAGGACAGATTCCTTGAAGATAATTGTTGGTAACGCCCACTTTGCGGACATCGTTCAGGTATGCGGAGGCACCTGTGCCTTGCTGGGGCTCGACAATCTCGTCGAAAAGTCCGCTGTACACGGTGGTTGTTGGAACGTACGCAGAGTCGCCGTTGTTGGCTCTCATCTTGTCGACAAAGTTGCTTGTGCCCTTGTATTGCTGTTGCAGGACGGATGGATCGCATGGAAGACCATCGGGGCAGATGAGGTTGGCATTGACGGTACCGGCATAATCAGGGCTGATGGCAATGTGGTTCCTGGTCGACTTCTGGGTCGAAGTGAAATACTTGAATGCCCACTGAATGTCGATGTTGCCCTGGGACCAGCCGATGATGGATACCTTCTTGCCAGTAATGCTAGCAATGTAGTTGATTGCGTAGGCAGCGTATTCGGCGTTGACCTGAGCATCGTTCAAGAGGTATCCAGGGATGTTGAGCCAGACGGGGTCGGCGTAGCTTGATCCAGTCAGAAGTTTGATATCTAATACTGTGTCAGTAAAGTTCTTCAACCTGCAGAAGAGTAGCTTTCTTACNNAATTTCCCACGTAGGTGAAGTATCCAGTTGCACCAGTGCCAGGCATAAGAATCACTGGCTGTACTTTTCCCCCTTGGAAAGAAGACGGAATGTAGATAGCAGAACGAAGCGAAGACTCAGTAACGCTGTACTTGGGATCGTTGCCCTTCTTAGGGTAAATAGTATCCTTGGGTGTTTGGATGTTGACATTGCTCATGCTGTTCTCGCCACTGGCCAAGCCGTCGACGGAACCGAGGAGGTCGGTGACAGAGTTAGCGGTAAGACCTTCTGCAGCAATCGCAGCAACGAATTCGTAAAGGTTGGCTGAAGGCTTAGCAGCATGAATGCTGGACAATTGGGAGATAGCAGATGCAGCATTGGTCTGGGTTTTTGTCGCTGTGACCTGTGCCAGAGCTGATGAGATAGTGCTCCAGGCCTGGGTTCCAGCAATCTTGCCGGCTCCAACTTCGGAGAGGGCGTCGTCGATATCTCCTACAGCATCACCGAGGACACCGTTGACAGCTCCAGAAAGATCTCCGATCAGGTCTCGGTCCTCCAGAGAAGCAGTTGCAGTAGTGGATGGTGAAGGCACAGGCTCCGCAGGGGCTGGTCTAGCAAGAGCTGAACCAGTCAGCGAAAGGAAAGCAAGTGCAATCGAGATTGGCTGCATGTTGAAGGGATGGTCGAATCGTTTTTCGACGAGATGGATAAGGTGCGATATAAAAACCGAAATCAATGCATGCTTGTGGGCCAGGGAATGGCGGTCCTTATGTATGAAGAACCGAATAAAATGAGTTTTTCAGTGATGCGACTCGGTTGTCATCTTGGTTCACCTACGCAATTTCAGAATTCAGTATCTTGACTCCCACGTACCACCATACTGAGGCTCAGATCGTCATGACAGCTTAAGAATATCTCCAAGAGCGGCAAAGATGTGTAGGAGATCCATCTATCTCCAAGCCGCTCCCCATGTCATCAACTCTGCAATGCCTACGCTTGTGCCGTCCCAGCGAGAAATCGATTAGGACGGTCATCGATTTCCGCTTGATCAAGCACGAGAATGTCATGGATTCTAATGCTGATCGTCGCCGATCACTTTATGCCTTGCCCCGTTCGAGGAAACACCATGCTCATGCAAATCGTCACGGACGATCTGACAAATTCGGGAAATCGGCGACGAGGTCTCGGTTGATGCTCGGGACACCGAGCTCCATCCGTGTCAATTGTCGAAACACAAGACCTCGGCAGCCTTTGACCGCTCGAAATCGGAAGAGCGTCTCTCTCTCATTGTGTCCTTTAGACAATGTGTTTGTGTCGCATAGACGTCTGTCTGAAGTCCACAGCATCACAGAGACTTCAAGAGTCAAGACATTGAATTCGGAGAATTCTAACAACGGACGAGGTGACGAATGAGGCGCACATGGCGGCAAGCCGATCGTTTCTCGAGCACATCCCCGCTCGGCAGCACAAACAGGTGACGACGTGCGACGATGTTCAAGCTTGTCAGAACGGACTTTCACTGTGATTATCTCTCTTATATACCATTCGTAGTTCGAAGCCATGTCGCCTTCTCCTTATCGAATTGCCGTACCCGAATCTCGGCTTGAAGACCTCCGGAAGAGACTCGATCTCGCCACGTTCCCGGACGAGCTCGAAGATGCAGAGTGGGCTTATGGAAGCCCTTTGGCCGACGTCAAGAGGCTTACGTCCCACTGGCGAAACGCCTTCGATTGGAGAAAGGTAGAGGCGAAGCTCAACGAGCTACCCAACTTCAAGACAAATGTCACCGTAGATGGCTTTGGAGACACTGAGCTGCACTTCCTGCACCAGCCGAGTTCTACACCTGATGCAGTACCTCTGCTCTTCGTCCATGGCTGGGTAGGTCTGAGTGTGTAAACTCATTGATGTTCTCGAGTTAATGCAGCGTAGCCCGGCAGCTACATTGAGGTGACCAAAATGCTTTCTGCTCTAGGCACCAGCAGCAACGGTATCAGTTTCCACGTCGTCGCACCTTCTCTGCCAAACTTCGGATGGAGCGCAGGTAANGTAACAAAAGCGTTCTGATATCGTCGAGGTCATCCTTCTCAGGCCTTGCTAGGTATCAAAAAGAAAGGATTTGGACTCGGCCAGTATGCGGAGGCGTGCCATTGTCTCATGGTGCTTCTTGGGTACAATAAATATGGTAAACCTCGATTGATTCCTTCTTGATATAAGAGCATGCTGATCATCCTCCCAAACAGTCACTCAAGGTGGCGGTGAGATGTGTTCCTCGTTTATGCAGCTGATTGTGTAACTGATGCAGTCTTTCTAGATTGGGGAATGTACATCACTCGCAGTATTGGATTGCTCTATCCAGACTCTTGCCTGGCTTCCCATATCAACATGGTCCGAGCAAGTCCTCCGGAGTTCTCCACAAATCCTCTACTCGCTATTCAACATGCTGTAACTCCATATACTGAGGATGAACAGCAAGGACTTTCTCGAAGTGATTGGTTTGCGAACGAGGGTAGCGGTTACAGAATGATCCAAAGTACAAAGCCGCAGACTGTTGGTTATGCACTTGCCGACAGCCCAGTTGCCTTAATCTCCTGGATCTACGAGAAGCTTCATGACTGGACAGATAGTTATCCGTGGACTGATGATGAGATATTGACCTGGATCTCGGTCTACTGGTTCTCACAAGCTGGGCCGGCCGCCTCACTTCGTATCTACTATGAGGCAACTCACACTTCGTCTGAGGCAACTCGTGAACGTGTCCAGCGCTACATTGAGAGAGTCCCGTTAGGACTGTGCTATGCGCCAAAGGTATGTAGCTGTTTTCGTGATTATCTGCAATGCTGCCAACTGCTTTGGCCCTGTCTCCATACAAAGGCTTTCATCGACTCGTCGAACAGGCTGAGATCAAATACCACTCTGTTGACTGATTCGGCTCCGGCTCTATTTAATGAGCTCGTGCGCTAACGATCATCCTCATAGGAGCTCACCATCGTTCCAAGGACTTGGGGAAGAACCTTAGGCCCAGTAGTGTTTGAGAGTGAAAAACGAGCTGGAGGTCACTTCCTTGCCTACGAACAGCCAGAAGAGATCGTCGCTGACCTTCGAGCTATGTTTGGATCTGAGGGCGCATGTCATAACATACTCGGGTCTTGAAGTGCTGGTTTCTCACTACCGCAACAAACCAGCGCAGTAGAGTTCGCCAGTGTTAGGGACCATGACACGAACTGGTTCATCGTGATAGTCTCTGATTAGTATGTGTCAATTTCACATCTCGGTCACGTTGAGTCAGCATTAAATTGCGAACGATGAGCCTTGGCTATACTTAATCTCGAGTTTGACTACGGAACACGTTGTACGCAAGCTGTATGCAGGCATGTTGTCTTGTAGATCTCTTTGTTACGGCCGAACCCCTCGTGGGCGTGTGGAAGTCCAGACCAAGATGCCAACTTCGGCAGACCAACCCTCCAGCATCATGTTGTAGCGTTCTTGTATACACTTTCTTGCAAAGACTCCCTTGCCAATATCAAGATTTAGTCTATCGGACCATTGCCTCGCATGGTAGGAGCCGGCCAATCCACGGTTCATATATACGAGCAAGGAAGTCGGTATCTTTGTCTGCAGTAGATGTGTTTAGCTCTGTTCGCGCTTGATTAGATCTTTGTGATTCATGAACACGGCCTCAAGCTTAACGACCATACACCATGCCTGGCTGTCTACATGTTGAAAGCCCTGTTCTCATGCGAAGACAAACTTCCTGAGGCCTGTCATAATAGAACTGCTGAGCGTTGGGCCATCATTTCTCCAGTTGTGGACGTTTTTGCCGATTGCAGCGTGACCAGCATGCTGATCGCAAAGCCGCTGCAAGAGCAACCAACCTTCCCATACGAGATACCACCAGCCAGACAGTATCATTCTACCTATCTGCCATCGGATACATACTGAGAAGACATTTAAGCGCCTTGGAAACCGGAACGGCTGAGCTTGAAAACTGAATGTGTCATTTGGTACGCACGTATCGCTTTGAGAATCTACGTGGTACTCCAGCCACAAGTGAGTGGACTGCTGTTCGAGTCGCTCCTTGGGCGATGATGAAGTGAACTCGTGGAGGGCAGGATTTGAGTCGCGTAGCTGGATGTCAGTCACAACTCGGGATGTTGGACACGAAAATTCGTGTCCAACATGTCTTGATAGGGTCGCTGCTTCGTCGGTATCTCGAGTCGAATTGCGGATCGTCGTCGCTGTTCGTGAAGATCAGAGTGAAGATCAAAAGCCTATTGTTCGCTTGGCACATCAACATCCATTTTCGATATGGAAACTCCGCACACTTGCCTTGGCTGTCTTTGGCACCATTCTCACTTCCGTCAAGCGTCTTGTGAGTGCGCATGAAACCTGCAGTAGTTCGTCCATGACTCTTGCAAGTTGCAACGTCCCGCGACCTTCGGAAGGTGGGTTACATGTTGTGATTGGCAAGCAGAGACGCAATCGCGGAGGGTGGGAACAAGGTCATGAGGGCGCGATGTTTGCTCGAACTCTCTCACGATAATCTTTAGCATATTTAGACTGTCTTCAGTCCCAGATGTGGAATGTAGATCTCCTCTGTTCCTCTCGACACATCCCTCCGCTACATACGTGATGAACCTCGAACGACCCTCCTCAATAACGCCGGGCCTTGCATGGAGGATACTTGGTCTCAGCATCATCTCAGTATTGTGCTCCGTATGCTATCCTCAATGTATGTATGCTAACGATTTACAGTACCTTGCTTATCGGATTGCAATCACGGTACACGATGTCTGGTTTGGACCTCTTTCCAAGTTCCCGGGACCAAAATGGTGGGCTGCGAGCAATCTACCACTTATATGCATGATCTGGAGCGGGCAAGATACCGAAACGAAACACCGTCTCCACTCGCAGTACGGCCCCGTGGTGCGAGTCTCTCCTACGGAGATTAGCTACATTGATGCAGCTCCAGTCAGTGACGAAGGCTTGTCAGGCACGAACGCTTGGAAGGAGATATATGGCCACCGGCTGTCTGGCAAGAGAAGTTTCGCAAAAGACCGCCGCCTCTATGCCATTCCGGTCAATGGAACAACCTCTATTTTGAGCTCGGACGATGCCAATCATGCCAGACAGCGACGAGTGCTATCACATGCGTTCTCCGACAAGGCATTGAAGGAAGAAGAGCCTCTGTTCAAGCGTTGGGCAAGTCTGCTTGTAGAGAAGCTGGAAGCTTTGTCCCTTACCGACGCTCCTGTCGATCTAGTCGCCTACTTCAACTATACAACGTTTGATATTATGGCTGATCTGACGTTTTCGGAGAGCTTGCACATGCTTGAAGGCTCTGAATATTCTCCATGGGTCGCTACAATATTCGCCTCTATCAAATCCATGACCAGGCTTCGCGCGGTCAGATTGATACCGGGTATGGCCACTCTTGTTAACGTCTTGTTGAGTAACGCGATACGCAAGAAGCAGGTCAGCCACTTCAAATACTCTGCTGATCGCGTGGATCGTCGACTTGCAAGAACACCCTCCAACCCCGATTTATGGAGCTTTGTTCTGAAGAAAGCTGGACAAGAAGACGGAATGTCGTTGAGCGAGATGCACAGCAATTCAGCCATGTTTATGATTGCAGGTACCGAAACCACTGCGACATTATTGAGGTAGGTGGTATAGTGCGCATACCATTTTCCGTTGCTGACATGAGGCTGCAGTGGATTGACGTATCATCTCCTTCGGAGTTCAACAGCGACAGATCGGCTCACGCGGGAACTGCGCTCTGCTTTTGTTTGTGATGCCGATATCACAATCGAGGCGTTGCAACAACTCCCGTACCTTTCGGCTTGTATTGAGGAAGGCATGAGGTTATACCCACCAATTCCGACCGGGTTGCCACGTCAGGTACCACAAGGAGGTGCTAGGATATGTGGAGAATGGATCCCTGAAGATGTGACTGTCTCGGTGAGCCAGTGGGCGACTTACCACTCCGAATCCAATTTCTACGACGCAGCAAGCTTCATTCCGGAAAGATGGTTGGGTGAGGATGCGCGCTTCGAACACGACAATCATGCCGCATTCCAGCCATTCTCGGTAGGGCCTCGCAACTGTATTGGTCGCAATCTTGCATATCACGAATGTCGACTGCTGTTGACAGAAGTCTTCTGGAACTTCGACATGAAATTGGTGGACGAGAGCAGAAATTGGGCTGACCAGAAGGTCTTCTCATTCTGGGATAAGTCACCCCTATGGGTCAAGCTGAGGCGAGCGGTCCGGTGATGGGTGAGAGTGACAAGTACTTGACCGCATGTGTAGATGACTGCAACCTCGTGGGCGAGAGAGGCTCGTACTTGTACGTATGATCTAATGATACCTTCCGAGACGAACACGGTGCATGATCGGCCTCTCTCATGGCAGTTGCGATATTACAGGCACAGCGGCACTCTGATTTCGCCTCTTCCAAACAGACATGCCCATAATAAACAGAGTAGGAAGAGTAGGCCTCGCGAGTCCTGTTCTCTCGTTCCGTCATCTCGCTATTGTTTTCGCAAGGATTGCCTGAAGAAGCGCAAACACACGTGTTTCAACAGATACCGAGGCAAGCTTTGATCACACGGAAGCACGCGCGTCGGCTGACTACAGGCCGTGTCGGTAGCCAAGCTTGAAGCTCCGATGCCTAGTTTATGTCGACAAGGAGGAATTAATCTGATATAAGAGAGGTCAGGCAGGAACTACCCTCTTCATCGATCCCTATCAACATGTCTACTCCTATTCCTGGCCCGGCAGGCTGGCCCTTCCTAGGAAATGTTAGCGATATCGACCCCGAGGTTCCCATCAAGTCGTTGATGGACATTGCCGACAAATATGGTCATCATTCCACAACTACCTGTACAGTAGCAAAGTAGCTGACGGCANNAACAGGGCCTATCTACAGTCTTTCAATGCTTGGAAAACGTCGAGTGATAATCTCCTCTGTCGAGTTGATGAACGAGATTTGTGACGAGAAGAGATTTGGCAAGGTAGTCACCGCCGCTCTGGGAGAAGTCAGAAATCTGACTGGAGATGGTCTCTTCACCGCAGTATGTTCACATTTATGTGACTTTTACATTGGCTTCCATGTCTGACGAGATTCCAGNCACAATGGCGAACACAACTGGGAGGTTGCTCATCGTGTTCTGGTGCCTGCTTTTGGACCGCTTAACATTCGTGCCATGTTCGACGACATGAAGGACGTGGCGTCTCAACTAGTCATGAAATGGGCGCGCCATGGAGAGGACTACAAGATCCATGTTACGGACGACTTCACGCGATTGACCTTGGATACGCTTGCACTCTGCTCCATGGACTATCGATTCAACTCATTCTACGCGGAACAAATGCATCCTTTCGTGGACGCCATGGTCAACGTACTCTCCGAATCTGGTCAGAGAATCCGAAGACCTGGTTTCTTGGCCGCACTATACCGGAGAGAAGAATATCAATACTGGAAAGATATCAAGTACCTGCGAGAACTGAGTATGGAACTGGTCCAGAATCGCAAGAAGCACCCTGGAGGTAGAAAAGACCTTCTTCATGCTATGCTTCACGGCAAGGATCCACGAGATGGAAGTCAACTGTCCGATGAAAGTATCACGGACAACATGATTACTTTCCTCATCGCTGGCCACGAAACTACCTCCGGTCTTCTCTCCTTCCTCTTTTATTATCTTTTGAAGAACCCTTCGGCATACAAAAAGGCACAAGAAGAGGTTGATTCTGTCATTGGTGATGCAAGTATCAAAGTGGAGCACTTGAGTAAGCTCCCATACATCAACGCAGTTTTGCGTGAGACTCTTCGACTACAGCCCACTGCTCCAGCCTTCTCGATCCAGCCGAACAACGAAGTCGACACCATTGGTGGAGAGTATACCGTATTCAGAGGTGAGCCGATTGTTGCGGTCCTGCCAAAGATTCACCGCGATCCCGCAGTATACGGAGAGGACGCCAATGAGTTCAAACCCGAAAGAATGCTTGACGAGAACTTTAACAAACTTCCTCCCAACGCCTGGAAACCCTTTGGTAATGGTTCTCGTGCTTGCATTGGTCGTCCATTTGCATGGCAAGAGGCTCAACTCGTGGTTGCAATGCTACTCCAGTACTTCGACTTCACTCTAGACGACGCAAAGTACGACTTACAAATTAAGTCGACACTTACCATCAAGCCAAACCACCTCTACATGCACGCTCAACTCCGCCACGGCAGGACTCCTACTCAGCTCGAGCAGATCCTTTCCTCTAATGGGGCTCCTGTCCAGGCAAAGCAAGTCAGCAGATCTGACGATGAAAAGGCACGAGTCGCTGCGAGTGACGGCAAGGGAAGACCTTTGACCATTCTCTATGGATCCAACACAGGTACCTGTCAGGCTTTTGCTCAAGGTCTCGCAGCCGACGCACCGTCTCATGGATTCAAGGTCACCAAGATTGATACTCTTGACTCTGCCAAGGACAACTTGCCTACAGACCAGCCAATTGCAATCATCACCTGCTCATATGAAGGTGAACCGGCAGACAATGCGGCCCACTTCTTCCATTGGCTTAAAACGCTTGAAGGGGACTCTGCTAAGGTACAATATACTGTTTTCGGCGCTGGTCACAGTGATTGGAAGAACACTTTCCACAAGATCCCTACAGCCATCGACGAGATTCTTCTGGCACGTGGTGGAGAGCGCATCTGCAGTCGAGGCTCGGCCAATGCTGCCAACGGCGACATGTTCAGCGAATTTGAGAAGTGGGAAGACGAGGTCTTCTGGCCTGCCATGTCGAAGAAGTATGGAGGTGATGGCAATGCAACGGACTCGGCAGCAACTCAAAGTCTAACAGTCGAGGTCTCAAGCGTTCGCTCTTCGCACTTGCGTGCCGATGTGTATGAGGCCCGTGTCGTTGATGCAAAGCTTCTCTCACAGCCTGGTGCATCAGAGAAGAGACACATCGAGGTTGAGCTACCGGCTTCCGCGACCTACAGCAGTGGCGATTATCTCCATGTGCTCCCTATGAACCCACACGAAAGCGTCCAGCGCGTTATGCGTCGCTTCAATCTAGCCTGGGACAGCGTGCTGACCATCAAGGCCGCGGTAGGCACGATCCTGCCTACGAACACTCCCATTTCTGCCAACGACTTATTCGGCGCCTATGTCGAACTTGGACAGCCTGCAACCAAACGAAATGTGACACTTCTCTTGGATGCTTGCACAGATGATGAGACGAAAAAGGAGCTCACTCGTCTTTCTGGTGATGCTTTCAGCACCGAAATCAGTGAGAAGAGGGTCTCGCTCTTGGACCTTCTCAACAGATTCCCGTCAGTACAGTTGCCCCTGGGTGCTTTCATCAGCAGTCTGCCNCCCATGCGTACCAGATCTTACTCCATCTCTTCTTCGAGTTTGGTCAGCCCTCACCGCGTCACTCTGACTTACGCCGTGTTGCATCAATCACATATGAGCGGCATGGGCGAATATGTTGGTGTAGCTAGCAACTACCTCTCGAAGTTGGCTACAGGCGACAGGTTGCACGTCGCTGTGCGTCCTTCCAATCAAGCTTTCCACCTGCCCACTGACTACGAAAACACACCTATCATTATGATCTGTGCCGGCACTGGTGTGGCGCCTTTCCGTGGCTTCGTACAGGAGAGAGCAGCTCAGGTGGAAGCCGGTCGCAAGCTTGCGCCCGCTCTGCTCGTCGTCGGCTGCAGAAGCCCTGACCAGGATGAGCTGTACCGCGAGGACTTTGACAAGTGGGAAGCTACAGGCGCTGTCAAGATCTTGCGTGCTTACAGCAGAGTGCCTGAGGCTAGTGCAAAGTACGCACAGGACGCTTTGTGGGAGCACCGCAAGGAGGCTCTCGAGCTGTGGGATGCCGGCAGCAGAGTTTACGTCTGCGGCAGCCGTGGTCTCGAGCGTAGCGTGCAACAGGTGTGCCAGAAGATCTACATGGAGCGGGCTCAGGAGCTTGGAAAGGACAAGACGGAGAAAGAGGCTGAGGAGTGGTTCGAAGGTATCCGCAACGTGAGATTCGCGACGGATGTCTTTACCTAAGTATTTTGCACATGTTCCAGCATCACCTAAGGCGCATATTTCATAGAGGATAAAAGGGAATTGGGAATATATCATTCTACGAAACTTGCATACTTTCATTTCACATTCACAACTTCGAGGTCTTTGTGCCGTGCAGAATCCTAGCAAACACCGGTAAGCCTTCTCTTCCTAGAGCTGTGCCTACGGCTACGACTTTGGCTCCCACAGCCTGCATACGTGATAGTCCAGCCGCGTCACTGACACCGCCAACCCCGATGATATCGATATCGCGTAACTCGGGATGCTCATCAAGCAACCGGCGCAGCGTAGCGACATTGCCCAGAGCTAGCGGATGTAAGGGCTCGCCTGCAAGTCCTCCAATGCCCGTACCTGCTGCCGATGCAAGCAAGGGTTGCTCGCCAGCGAGTACAAGACAAGAGCCCAGAGTATTTGTCGCAGTTATGAAATCAATCGGTGACTTCCCACTTGCGCACAAAGTGTCTATCAGCGTCTTGAATTGACCAGCGTATGTGTATGGCGGTGTCTTGAAGCCTAGTGGCACTGTGCGTGGGACGTTCTCTAAAGCATTGATGTACTCTTTCAGGGCAGAACCAGAATAGGCTGGCGGTGGTTTGTTCGCGATATTGGGGCAACTCAAATTCACTTCGACGGCAAGGGGCGCTGAGATACGGGCAGCGAGTGCGGCGACTCGCGTATAACACTCTGCAACCTCTTGTGGGGATCCTGTGACTGAGACGATGAACGGTTTGGGTCTTGTATTCGGGCAAGCGGCAACGATTTGTGCAATCCAGTGGAGGTAGGTGTTTATGGGTGTGGGCGAGTAGCCGAGTGTGTTGAGACTGGCTGGGTACTCTTTCCCGGTGATGGTGTAGTCTGGCGCCGTCGTGGCCGTTTGTGACTTTGTAGAGAAGAAGGCATGTTGGTGAATGGCATCGTCGTGCGGGAAGCCGAGCAGTAGACTGGTCCTTGTTGTTACAGCGCCTGTGTGTGGACATGCGTAGAGTGCTTCGAGGTCTTCTCGCGTGCTGCACCACGGGTTGGCAGAGTTCAGCAAGGGCGGCTCGATTGTTGCAAGCGGCATAACGATCGGTACTAGGTTCGTTTACGACCTCTTGTGACGAGTTGGCTTTCTGTTCTGGTATTGCGAACCTGCGATGGTGCTTAATATGCTTGCACCTTGGGTCAGTGTTTGTGTAGTTCTTCAGCTTGATCAACGATAAGCACAAGATAGGCTACTATCGCAGCCAGCACTGTCCACAACATCGTTGCATCGGCCTGTGCGATTTGACAGACATGTGCAACAACCCATGAGAGAATTCAGAATGATTCCACGAGTATCTCGAATGTTGAAGAACATGTTTATTTCTTGACAGGGTCGTATAGGCAGCGAGAGCAGACGAGAAGGCCTGGCACACGTAGTCGCTCTATCTTGGTCGGGCTTTCCTCTTTTTCAAACAATGACCAAACATCACCTAAGTTTCTTCAAATCATGGTTAGTCGTCTCACACATATCCACGCGCCTGTCGAATTTCGCGTATGCCAGTCGCTCCTAGCTTTCGCAAGTCGCTCCTCCCCATTTTGCCGTCAACAGAATATATACAACCCTAGATGACTAATCTCACATAGGCGCTTTGGCTGAGTGGTTATAGCGATAGACTAGAAATCTATTTCCTTCGGGAGCGCAGGTTCGAGTCCTGCAGGCGTCGACCTTTTTGCTTTTTGAGCACCTGTGAACACTCTCTTTTGCTTCCTGCATCTGTAGAAAAAGAACGGGGCAAATCGGGCAAGTATTGGTGGAGTTGTGGTGGTATGAAGTGCAAAACTCCGAAATTTGTGCGGCTGCAAAGCCGAACGACGACGCGACAAACCACCAAAACTTGAACAGACTTTTGCAAAGTCTTCGACATCAACAGATAAACATACCGCAGGGGAGAGACCGTTTAGCTTAAGCGCTTATGTACGGAGTACCGTCTATTCAAAAAGCAGCGACTTGCCATCACTGATCGAGTTTCGGCATGCGCTTTTCTTCTGCCCATCATGCCCAAAGACGGAAAGAGTAAGTTGTCGATCAAACCACAAATGGTTATTGCAATCAAGATCCACCCGTCATCTGTGGCTCCGTCCCATACAGTGAAATTGTTCAGGAAAGAGCAGGGCGTGTAAAAAGGTTCTACTCCAAGGAGATGCCAGACGCAGTGTGCTGATCGCCTGTGATACTGACATCACGAATATCCTGTCTCCACGTGCTTGATAGGTGTTGTGAATACTTGCTCATCTGCTCATCACTTTGGATATGCTTTGCTCTTCTGGCCCTTTGAGCTGTACGTGCAAAGGTGCTGATATCTGGTATCGATGGCTGCAACTCTTGCTATGCTTCCCTCAGCATCAACACGGCAAGCACACATGACGACTGCAAGGACAAATCCATGGCTAGATACCGTGCTATCAAAACCCGAACCAGTCGAACCGCCCAAAGTGCCAGAGAAACCACCCAACAAGATCGAACCATCAGACCACCACCGCCGAAAATCAAAATCCTCCACACCAAAACACAAGCCAGCAAAGAAGCCAGAGCGAACCTCCTCTCTCGATGAAGCTTTTCAAGCAGCAATCAAAGCTATAGTACCAGAACGACTCGAAGCAACCAGAAGAGCAAAAGCGAAAATGGACCTCTCCCAAGGAACCACCAAGGATGATCCAAAGGTGACAAAGTTCACTCAAATAACATCCACAAATCCAACACCTCCCGCCCAAACTCTTCCAAAGGCAAAGGAAAAGCCGCTTCTGCAAGCAGCAATCGAACACATTACACTGGATCGCTTACACACCGTCCTCTACAAAGCCCTCAACGAATCCCCAAAGGCCCGTTCGGTGTTTGAGAGGGAACTCCTAGCCCCACTGTCTCCAGACCCTGAAGAGGAACAAGAGGCAATAGTAGCAAAGAAGAAGTCGGCAAGAAAAAGACCACGGTCCGAGATGTGTAGATGGTGCAAAGAGGAATTCGACGTTACCGATAACCCTGACGATGCCTGCAACCATCACAACGGGAAACTAGAGCTCAACGAGCGTGCCTGGCAGCACCACGATGTAGCAGAAGATGACCCATTCGATACGGACGAGAACCGAGAAAACTGGCCTGATGGCTTCACATGGGATTGCTGCTGGGCAGATGGCAATGACGACGGCTGCGAGACCACTGCCCATGAGATTGATGAGGATTACGACCCGAAGAAACCCAAGCGGTACTGGGAGTTTTGATCTATTCATATGTTGAACGCTGGAGTAGCCAATACATGATATATACCACACTTTTTTGTTCACTTGCAAGAATATCAAGGCATGCTGTAGTCGCTGCAAAAGCAAAGAAAAAAAAAAAGAAAAAACAAGACGTCAACCTCAAGAACAAGACGCCGCCGCTAATACACTGCAATGATAATGACAAACAACAACACGACACTCTTTAGAATAGGCTAGTCGCAATCGCCCTCTCAGTTCGCGGCTCTTGTTCACTGTTCCTTCCTGGTTCCTCTCCCTTCGAACCCTTCCTATCCTCCTTGTTTTATCATGCCAAATCATTTCATTTACTTGCTCCTTCCATCCTTGCCCCCTCTTTCGTCCAATCCTTCCATTACCCAACCCGCCAATCATCCTGTCGTCACCCAGAGTTCTTCATTTGCCGAATGTCGTGCTATTCAACATTCATCACTCCTTTAGTTGACTTCTCAACCCCAGAACCTCACGCTTCAATCTAGCATTCTCTCTTCTCAAGCGTCCAGCCTCATCCTGCGACTCTCGGACTTGTTTCTTCAGCTCGTCAACTCCTTGCCCACTCCTGACGGCCTTCAACACTCTCGCCAACTCATCATTGAAACGTGCATACAATGCTTCGTTCTCAGCGTTGGCTTCACGATATAGCTCATCAAGTTTCTTGGCTTTGGATTCAGAGACGGCAAGAGATGATAACGCATCGGCTTGGATCTTGGCTACACGAGCTGCTACAGCGTCGACAGACGAAGGTAGAGAGGCCTCGAGAGCCGAAAGTCGGTGATGGACATCATGGCTGGATGATTGGACTTGGGCAGGCGAGTCGTTACCACGAAGAACACTGTTATGGCGGTTTAAGGTGATCTCCTCGCCTATACGGCTCAACTCGTCTTGCAGGGTTGAATGCGCAGCGTCAAGAGCACGGTGCTCGTCTTGCAGACGCTCACGTAGTTTCTGTGGTGATTGCATGCGTAGTTTTCTGGTTGGCGTACCACTAGGTGGCGGCGATTTTATCGTCACCTTTGCTGGGGTGCCTGATTGACCTGTCTTTATGCGCATAGCGTTGCCAGCTGTGGGACGCTCTGATAGTCCTGCTCTTGTAGTCGGTGTGGAAGGTGTCTTCGGTCTGTCGATCTTGGACGACAGTAGAGGGATGTTCGAACTGCGTCGTAGTGTCGGGAAAGTACCGGTGCTGACATCGTCTATTTGCTTTGATCCACGACGCGCGAGGATATTATGTCCATCCTCAACTTGTTTGGAGCCGCGGCGTGCAAGAGGGTAAAGCCCTTCATCAATATGCTTCGAACTTCGTCTTCCAATGGAATAAGGACTGTGAGTTGCATCTCCTACTTGCTTGCTGCCACGTCGCAAAAGTGGACCGGGACTAGCGTCAAATTCTTCAGGCTGCTTGCTGAGGCTTCTTGGTCTGGTTGAGGAGGGTGAAGGACTGGGCTGGTTGAGAGGCGAATTCTCCTTGCGGAATGCAGATGGTAGCCTTGAACGAGGCCGATCACTGATAGGCGAACCCAGAGTTGAACCAAGTGTTGGGATGCCACTAACTCTGGTGAGTGTTGGAGAGGGAGATTTTGTCCTCTCTACTGGCTCCTTTGGCGAACCCTCGAATGAGCGCATAGCAGACGGCGAGATGAAAGGCGACTCGTTCAAAGTAAGCTCCAAGGATTTGAGGTCAGACAGCGAGCTACGCCGTTTCTTTCGATGAGGTGAAGGGTTTGGTGGGCTGAGTGTCTCGCCTATGCTTCCAAGTGAAGGACCGTTATTGTGCCACATGGAGTCATGCGACATGGGTCGTTCAGGAGGTTGAGGCGATGGGCCTCTGCTCGGTCCCTCTTGTGAGAAGGGTCTGATAGGCAATCCACCATGGCCGTCTGTAGTCTTCGCCCGTTGCATCGTACCTCTAGACAAGCTCGAGGGCTGATCAGGAAGCCTTGTACTCTTGCTTAAGGTGCGCCATACAGAGACCTTGAAGTCTGGCTCCGGTCTGCTAGTACTAGAGCCAAACCCGAACTTCTTTCGGAAAGAAGATGTATTCGAGGTCAAGGATGCAGTATTGGTGGAGCGTGAGCGACCATGTCCTCCCAGAGTAGGCCTTACCTCTCTGGGTTGCACCACTTCACCGAATAATGATTCAATGTCCTCCACGAATCTATCGAGCAGTGATACAAAGTCGTATGGATTGCCGTCAGGGACCAAAATCTCCACAAACGCTGCAGTCAAGATGCCACGGTCGCCATCGTTGCCAGTGCCATCCAACAGTTCTGCTAATAGTTTTACAATTCCCCTCAACGCTCGTTGGTTTGGAGGAGGCATATTGTGAAAGCTGTCTTTAAAGTATCGCTCAAAGTCGACAGGGAACAAACTCTCGGCTTTAGTCTGGATGGTCTGGAACTGAGTTGCTGTCATCACTGCACCAATGCCTTCTTTCCAAGCAACATTGAGGAACTTTTCAAAAGCAGCAAAGAGGACATCAATGGAAGACTGGGCTGCTACCACCATCATGTTGGGATCTTCAAGCAACGAGTTGTACAATTCGTTGACAGAGAGTTCGTTTGCACGCGATCTGCCTTGCACAACTTTGCCAACAATGTTGCCTTTACGAGCAAGCAGGGCTAGGAGATAGGTGTTTAGCGCATCCTCGAGTCTCCTTGAAGGGCTTGCCACGCTGTTGTTTCTCTCGGGCGTCACAGAGAGCTGTAGAGGTTGGTCGCGTGAAGACGGTCGACTTCCATCTCTACTACTTGGAAGAAGCAGAGGGGCATCTGAGAAAGCGTTGGGTTGAGGAAGCTTTCGCGAAGTCGGGGTCTGACGTCCATGTGCTGACTGAGAGAGGAAGTTGGAAATCATCTTGACAGGAGATTTGGGACGATGATGTTCCTGACTAGAAGAAGGCTCCGGTACGACTGATACCTCGGCCTCTTTCTTTTCGAACTCCAGATGCAAGTCGTCCAAGACCTGCTGGTTACGAAGGACGAACGAAGAGGTGATGGCAGAGTTTTTGGTCGAGAATCGAGATGTTAGTAATCCGCTCAGCCGACGTATCAATATAGAGAGAAACTCTCCTTCGTCAACCTTATCCCGTGTTGCCATAGAAAAAGCGCTCTCAATTGATATGCGCCACTGCCCTTTCTCCGATTTCTCCAAGGACACGTTCGCCTCGAGTTGGTTCTCTCCAACAGGCGTAAGGTGTTCATGCTTGCTTGGGTCGATAATTACACGAATTCGTGCAGATTCGGATGGGTTTTCTTGATGATGTCTTTGACAACCCTCAAAGATAGCATTGAACAGATTCAGCTCACCACCGGCGATCTGGGCACTGCGAACCTCCCACTTTCCACTTTCACGTTCCTCTTCGGTGAAACGGCCTTCGACCTGGGCCTTGGTCCACTCTTCTTGGAACTTAGATGCTTTTCCAGCGTACGATCCTTCGAGCAGATAAACACGCTGCTCACATGCGATGCCGGGGTCCGGACCAGACGACAGAGGCATGATGGTTATAGCGCGGTTATCCAGGTATTCCGTCACAGTTGTGTCTTGTAGGCTGAAAGAATCAACAAAATGCAAAGATGGCGGAGTAACTGGACGAGTCGAGTCACGGCGGTCTTCGAGTAATGGTTTTCCGAGTTCTGACAGCAAGGCCCGGGCGGACATAGCCATCTGAGTTCGCTTTTCCACAAAGATAGTACAGTCGGTGAACAACATGAGGACGCCCGAGCTTCCACGGCTATGACCGTCCTCGAACGGAGGGAACATCTCCACCACATCCACTATTGTGATCAGTCGACCTACAGATTCGATTTCTTCTGGCCATGACTTGACGATACGCTGCAGACGTTCCCAAATGTTCGTTTCTTGAGCACCTGGTGCATCTTGCGAACAGATCTCCGAGACTATATCTCGGGCTTTGAGCAGTAGTTTGAGTGCAGGATGAGCTACCGGAAGCTGCTTTGCAATACCATCGATGTACAACGTGTAGCGCGGCAGACGTTGTACTGGCTCAATCAGCAGAGAGTTTAGGCGCTTCTCTCCGAATTCCTGGATCTTGTCGAGGATGTTTGCATCTCCAATACGTGCCAGTCTTCTCATCAGTCGTGGAAACCTTGAGTGTGCTTGCATGTAAGAGGGATAACACTCAGCAAACTTCGGGAACCATTCGATCAAACACTTTGCGAACTCTGTTAAGCCAATCGTGTCCGTTATAGGCTCATCGTGGGAGGTTTCTTCGGCAGTGTCTGTCAGGTCCAGGATAGTCGAGTCTTCAGTGTCGTCCAGGACACGGCGAATAGCCTCGAGAAAGGCCGAGTTCAGCTCGAGCATTTTGTCGAGAAAAGGAGGAAACAGATCGTTAATCGTGCGTTCCATGGGATTCGAGACAGGTATAGCGTCGTTGTGAACAATTTTTCGCAAGTCAGAAGCAATGTCGGTTACCAGTAGGGAGAGTTTGTTGATATAGTTAGACTCGGTATCGACTAGCTCACTCATCTCCTTCCTGGCCACGTCGCGCTGGTCCCTGAGGAAAGCTTGACTACGGCCAATGGCGGTAGGCTTGGAAGGAGCTCTTCGTAATTTGGAAGTGGGCAGGAAGGCAGGTTCACCTAGCAGCTTGATGAAAGGTGCATAGTCTCCATATCGGCGGGCACACAGCTCGTCTTCGTCAACATTCTCTTGCTCGGGCTCTCCGTCGTCGATCTTGACGGGCTCGATGGACCCGGGAGGGAGAACAACGTCCAAGTCTAGCCAGGATACGGTTTGTTCGCTGAGAGAGCGGTGTATGTCGTTGATGATCTCGTCAAGGTTATCGACCTTGTTCATACGGGTGGCCAGAATGGCGACGTGGGCGTCACTGAAGAGGGCAAAGGCAGAAGCGGCCTTCCTGGAGGGACATGCTTGGGCGACCCATGCGTCTCTTGAAGGCCTGGGGACCTCGGCGAAGTACTTGGACAGACCAAAGGCCAGACCACGACAGACTTCATCGCCCTGTTCTTCTCGCGGGAGTGAATTGACAGCAGCGTAGTAAGGGGCATTGGGCGAGATGCTGACACGAGGGTAGGACTCGAAGCCGGCCGGGGTAAAGACGTGGATCTGGATGCGCGAGGTAGCGGCAGAGATGGAGGGCGCAGGACCATAGAAGACGAGGATGGGCGAGTTGGAGAGAAGTGGGTCGGTGGTGTGGAAGAGGGTTAGCTCGCCGGTGAGGGCGGCTATGGCCGGCGTGACAACGACCATTGGAAAGATCTCAGACACTGGCGAGGAAGTCGCGGTATAAGCTCATGGCCGGCTGTCGAAAAAGTAAACAAAGCGGACGAGGACCAGCCTGCTGCCCGGCGTTGGTGGGAGCGCGAGCGAGGACGACGAACGAGCGGACGGCCGTCACAAACAAAAAACAACAGTTCAGCGACGCGAGGGGAGATGGCTGGTCGTGTCGTGTATATACGGATACTAGGGCAGCAATTGGGTCACACACCGTTTGTTGTTGCAACCGTCGGCTCTGATATTGATCTCTCGGCCCGCGCTGCCGACGAACTAGTTTGAGAGCTTCCCTGCTTGCTGCTCCGCCTCCGCCGCTCGTGTGTTTTGTTTGCGGGGAGGAAGTCGCGATTCGTCTTTCCCTCTGCGCTCAAAGTCAGCAAGCAACCATGTCTTCGCAGTCGACCTCGGCCACTCCCTTCTCCATCGCTGCCGACCTGCACCCGTGTCGCCTACTAGAGCTCCCTCCAGACTTACTCGAATACCTCAGCGCATCCGATGCTCCCACCCTGAGCTTCAAAGCCAAAGATGCGACGGATCCTGAAGCCTTCTTGACCACGACACACAAGACCTACCTCATACGCCAGGTCCACACCTCCAACACCGTCTATCTCACAACCCCTACCCACGACGCTCCTGGTGCCACCGCCGTCTCGCAATGCCGCTCAGCCCTCGAGTGTCTACCCGCGCCCGTCCGTCATGCCGAATCCACCCTCCGCTCCCTCTTGATACCTTTCGGTGAACCGCAGGACCTAGACTTTCGCCCATCCAACCCGCAGTCCAAAGACTACGTATTTGCGCACACACCAATGAGCCACGACGAGTGCCACACCGTCTGGAAAGACCTAGTCGCCTTTGAGCACGCTGGTCAGAGCTTCCGTCCTACTGCCGTCGCCCTCGCGAAAGTCTGGAAATGGTTGTTGGAAATTGCATACGCAAATGCTGTCGACCTGGCAGAGCCTGTACAGAAAGAGTCAGTTGACAAAATGCTCGACGGGGAAGACGAGTGGCCAAGGGGTCTGGTTGACGCCATCTTCTTGAAGCTATCTGGAGACCACCAAGACTTGCTGCATCTTCAGCAGCACGCTACCGTTGAATGGGTGGGTACCAACACACTGGAGTCACAACGCCAGAACAATAACAACCATCCGGTCATGGATACCTCTGTATTCCTGGACACTTGGAAAGACGCCCTACCCGAGACCTGGCGGTCTGAGCCAAACCTTGACATGCTCAAGGCAAGTCCATCTTGTTGCAATGTGTGGGCATGGCTAACGGTCGGACAGGGGTTGTACAAGCTATCAGGAGGCGGGAAACGCATCGAGTTTGTCCACAACCAAAATGCATACGCCGAAGAAGCTACTGCTGGCGCGCCCATCCCATCGGCAACTACGACTGCTGGGAAGAGGAAATGGCACGAAAAGTTCGCCGCGGCGAGGAAGCAAGGCAAGCCGTTCTGAAAGAAAAGAGGAGTCTATTTGATGTTCTTCGAATCATGCTCTCTATATGGGTATCCTCGCCATCTCGGCTGGTGTCCAGTACCGTCTCATGTTCTCAGCTCGGAGTTCATGCACCTCATCGTCAAGGTGTTGCCACAGGACCTTGCCGAACGTGTCCAGGATGGCCTTCATCTCTTCCATACGCAGCTCTTTCTCTCCACTTCGGCATTGACCAAGGTACTCCTCAAACTTGTCGAGTCCGTTGTGGATTTGTTTGTGTTGAGTGAGCAACTCGAGCTCCTTCTTAAAGGCCGGCATCTTGCGTGCGAGGACTGGGAAGATGTGGCGCTCTTCAATTGTGTGATGGATGGTCAAATGGTGGCAGAAGTCGTCTCCCACACCGATGAACTGGCGGATAGACATGCCAGCAGGTCGCTTCTTGCTTTCGCACGCACCGTACAACAGGTTCCACGTCCTACGGAAGTTCTCGTNGCTTCGCGACGTCAGCTCAGGTCGAGTAGATGTAGCGTTGTTAGGTGAAATACTTACAAACATGTCCATGTGCTCTGCCATCCTGTTGTATATCCTGAACTCCTGTGGCGACAACTTTGGCAACTCCTGGTCCTCTTGCTTGGGCGCAGCAGCACTTGTGGGCTCAGAAGCCTTGGGAATCTGCTCCTCCATCTTCTCGAATGGCTTCTCCATGTTGTTGAACAATCTTGTGCTTGTTGTAAATGTGCGGGTATTGCGGTTGACAGTACGAGGTATGCTGTAGAATGGCGACAGCGACTTGGTGAAGGCCTTGCGCATATGGGTCTGGGAGTAGAAAAATGTCGAGAACACTTCCGATACAAGATACAAGTACTAGTTAAATTGGTCGAACTGCCGGACGACATTCGTCAACCCCTCGGAGCCCGGTATTACCAATTCTGGGCATCTAGTAGGCATTAATGGGTGTTAATTAGTCGGATTTTCGAGGCTGTCAACCTCCGATGCCGAGCGGAAACGGCAAAAAAAAGCTAAAGTCCTATACGCGTATAACGCGACAGAAATCACATGTACTATTCTCTCGTCCTGATACAGATTATAGAATCAGTAGAGAATGAACACCGCTTCAAACACCCAACTACAGAAAAGCCGTCATACAGATGGGAAACGTCTCAAGGTTTCAACAAAATTCGTGGTTGCTGCAAGATTGACTTTGAACGAATCGCCAGCCACCTGAGCTTGTACCTACTCACTTCAACATTCGATCCTTCAAGCGTCGACGTGTTTTGTAGAGTGAACGCGACCTGACTGTCACTCCATCTCCGGGGGCCAGCTTGTATGTCATATTGCAGCGAAAGAGAAAGCACAAGTGTTTGGGTAGTTTGCGCATGGTTACCGCAGCATCCAGACTTGTTTTGATGGTCGTCACGCCCCAAGCTTGATTCAATCAGCAACAATTGTTCCCCCAAAAATGATGGCATGAGCTCACAGCAACCTTGCTCTACGTTTGACTCATTATCTTCATCCAAATTAGTCGGCGGTGTCAGTCCTGTCCGAAAGGAGAGCCTCTGCATTTCCACAGCATCATAAACGAGTACTACTTCACTTTGAGTACCATTTCGACTATCGAATTCAGCTATGGCGAACCACTCACTTCGACCAGAGAGTCCTTTAAACTCCAGCACCCAATTTCCGGCACCTAAGAGGCAACGATTGTCCGCGTCTGGTCTTCTGTCGCTGTTCAAACCAAGACAAAGGCCTCTGTCGGTGCCGATGAGTCCATCTCAGCCCACGGTTCAGTCCCCGTTCAAGAACGCAATGACAGAAGACACATTACCTGTCACGGAACCATCGAGCGCCGTTGACACTCCTAAGGAAGCTCACTCTGACTCCAAGGACGCCGAGGTTATCAACGACGACGATGAGGATGTGCTCTCTAACATTGATGTTGCGAGTCCTGTCAAGCTCAACCCCATCACTCCGACCAGAACCTTGCCCCCTCGAGCTGCGCGGTCTAAAGTCGAATACAGCAATTCGCCGCGCCCAAAGACTCCCAAAACCCAATCTCCCAAAACTAAAACACCCAAATCAAGATCCAAGAGGCAACAAATCGCTGATAACCGCGTCCTGAATTCTGACATGGTCGTCGAGGAGGCTACGACAAAGACTAGAGCTACGGCACCACGTATAGTCAAGGCTGATACCGTGCGTAACCGAGTTCGCGAGGAGATTGCCACCACGACGAAAGCAAAGCGCGATGCATTCCTTGTCCACTACAAAGACTACTTCTTGCCTCTGCTTCCNCCTAACAATTACGTCTCCAGGCTGCTGCAAGCCAATGACAAGCGTCAGGACTACGTGCCGTATACTCCTCTGAGCAAGCAACCTACCAATGTTGTTGCTACAATGAAGCCCTACCAACTCACCGGCCTATCGTTTTTGGCGAACATGTACGAAAACGCAATGCCTGCAATCTTGGGTGACGAAATGGGTCTTGGAAAGACATTGCAAACACTGTCCTTAATCCAACACCTCGAGGAGACTCATCCTAGCCCAATCGGCATTGCTCGGCCCTACCTGGTCGTCTGTCCACTCAGTGTGTTGGGATCATGGTGCGACGAAGCCCGCAAGTGGACTCCAAAGCTCAAGGTTCTCCGCTTCCACGGCTCGACTTCTGAGCGCAACGAGGTGAAGTTGATGGCTTCTGGTGTCACAGACAGATATGGAAATGCGACCGGACGCAACAAAACCAAGCGAGGCGACGTTTCCGTGCCTACGAACGAGGACTCTGGAACCGTCTTCGATATCATGGTCACCAACTACGAGACTTTCCAGTCAGAAAGTTCATGGCTGAAGCAGGCTTTCGTATGGCGCTACTGTATTCTGGATGAAGGACACAAGATCAAAAACGACAAGACGAATATCTCGCTCGCTTTGCAGGGCCTTCAAGCTGAACATCGCTTGCTACTGACTGGAACTCCTCTGCAAAATGACCTGCGCGAAATGTGGGCCTTGCTTCACTGGCTGTACCCAAACGTCTTCATCGACAAAACCGCGGATCTGTTCAAAGAAGCATTCGACATCGGCCGTGGTCAGGTTGACTCGAGCTTCATGGACCATGCACGTCACTTGCTCGAACTTATAATGATTCGAAGAATGAAAAGCAGTCCTGGCGTCGATCTGGGGCTGCCTCCCAAGAGCGAGATTCTACTCTACATCCCTCTGACTCCACTTCAACGATTTTGGTACACGAGACTACTTACGAAAGCTGGCGGCACGCTGCTGGATGACATATTTGGCAACGTAAAGCAGAAAGAACACGAAGCGTTGATCAAAGAGGTCCAAGAGGATGTTCAGCTCGATCAGGTCAAAGACGTGATGGACAGCGACTTTAACAGCCAGAGTCGCGCTCTTATTGAGCAGGCTATATCGAACGAGGCGACTGGAGAAAAGGACACATCTGCGTACAAGAAGCTGATGAACATAGTCATGCAATTGCGCAAGACTTGTGTGACTCCTTACATGATCAAAGGTGCCGCGCCAGATCCGTACTACTACGGAGATCACATCATGCATGCCTCTGGAAAGTTCATCGTCTTGAACAAGATTATTGATGAGCTGGTCATGAAACAAGGAAAGAAGATACTCATATTCTCGGGCTTCACCTCAGCTCTCGACTACTGTGAGGACCTGCTCGCCACAAAGGGCAGTAATCAGCACGATGCACCGTTCCGCCATGTGCGTTTCGATGGCAGCACCCAACGAGCAGTCCGCAATCTGCAAATCAGACTCTTCAACGACGTGTGTTCAGAGTATAAGGTCATGCTCATCTCTACGCGTGCAGGTGGCCTGGGTCTCAATCTCACTGCCGCAAGCGATGTCATCTTTCTGGACGAGGACTGGAATCCGCAGGTCACACTCCAGGCAGAAGCCCGCTCTCACCGCATTGGACAGACCAAACCTGTCACCATCTACAAGTTATTGAGCTCAGGCACTGTGGAAGAGCAGATGATGGGTCGCATCAGAAAGAAGCTGTATCTCTCTGCAAAGATTACCGAATCCATGCAAGACATCCATTCCGCCAATCAACCGCAGAAGAGGAAGAGAGCCACTGAGCAAGACGCTTCGGCAGATGACGGTCCAGAGCTTGGTTTCTCACAGCTAAAGAGTTTGATTCGTCGTGGTGCTACCACGTTGAGTCACCCTGAGGTTGACGTGNNGAGTGAGATGGTTAAGTGGGACCTCGATACAATCATTGAGAAGTGCAAAGACAAGCCTATCGATCCTCATGTGAACGGTGAATCCGAGGAGGCTGCTGANAAAGAATGGTTGGCCAAGATGGAGCGTGTCGAGAGCGCTGTGCTTAACGGTGTCAAGTACCAGAAGAACATTGACAAAGCAGAGGCAGCTGCTTCCGACCTCTTTCGTGCCGACCGCCGAGTGGACAAGAACACGACAGTCATGGTAGATGGCTTCGCTATCAACAAGGAGAGCATGAACTGTAACGGATGGGAGGCGGTCCCAACACTTGCGGGCAAAGACCCTCGACTTGCTGAACCCAAGCGTGAGAAGGCAGCTCCAATCAATCACCAGGAAATATGCCAATCTTGCTTCGATGGCGGTGAGATGTACCTCTGCTCGGGATGCCCACGCGCCTATCACCTGGCCTGCCTGAGTAAGCATTACCAGGCAAGGGCCACATCCAAGATGAACTTCCACTGTCCCCAACACGACTGTCACGACTGCGAAAGGAGTACTGGCAGTGCAGGCGGCCTGATCTACCGTTGTCGCTGGTGCCACAAGGGCTACTGCGAGGATTGCCTTGACCCTGACAGCAAACTGCTGGGCGAGACCATCCCAGAGTATGAGGTATTGGACTACGCATCCAAGCGCAACGCCTGGTACATCCACTGTACCGAGTGCAAGGAGTCGCAGGAGGACCCCGAGTTTGCAAAGCTCATTGCCAGCATGGCCGCACAACACGATAAAGAGTATGCCGAGCTCCTTCAAGCTCAGCACGACAACATGACCCAAAACACTCAGCCCGGAGCTTCTGAAACTATGCCACCCAGCCGTGACGAATCCATGACTGACGGAATCACGCTCGAGTCGTCTGGCCAGGCCACGCCCCTCGAATTTGCCAGACAGGGCAAGCGCCCCAGAGAATTCATCGATCTCGCCGACGACCCCGACGATGTTATTGACCTGACCAACGAAGGATTTAACAAGTCTCTTCATCCCATCACCATCGATGAGGACCCCGAGACCACAGTCGGAGCACCCGTGTACAACAATTACCGTACAAAGGCAAAGAAGCGCAAGACTCATTAGATATGGGACGGACTACCTGCAGAGTTCGATATCTACAGTGGTGGAAAACTAGGTATCCAGATTACGGACTTTCGTGCTGAATAAGGGAGTCGTGAGGTGAGGTTCCATTTTTGTTGTTTTCATCATGTACTCGTATTCGCATCCACATTGTCGTCGTGCAAAAGTAGACAAAAATCGACAAGTCCAATTCTCTTTCGAACAGCAGTGCTTGAATGTGCGTTGGTCGACCTGGAAGAAAGAGGCAGTACATTGGGTTTGGGGAGAAGGAGCGAGTCAAGATAAGAAGCAGGTCCAAGACCGAAACCGGTGTGTGCAAGAAAGGAAGGGACGCCCGAAGATTCGACGAACAAGAAAGCAGTGGTGAGACAGAAAAGGAGAGAACGACTCATGCTCATTCCCTGGAGAGTAATGCACTGTGACTCGACAAACAAGGTGCAACCATGGCTGTAGACAAGATTTGTATGTTATAAGCGAGTGCTTTCTTATGTCCACAACCAATCAATCTCCTTTTCTTCTCGACTATCATTTTATGCTCACCACATCTTTTTCCAAATGGGGTTGTCATCTAGTATTACCCTCCTGCTGATTCTATGCACATTCTTGTTCTTCTTTCTCAGATCAAGCCTTCATTTCTGCGGGCGTTACACGACCACGGCTAGGCGTCATGCTGTAAGGCGNCCTGCATGAAAAAGTCAGTGTTGTCACTATGGTTGCATGAAGAATGTCACTTACGAGCACTTTCTTTGCATTGCAGATTCTCCAAGCCAGGTTTTGTACACTGCCGTCAGCCAGGACGACTTCGGGAGCGAATTCGATACCAAACCTGTCATATCTGGTCAGCGATTTCTCTTCGTCTCAAGGTCGGAAAGGGGAAAGGACTTACATCTGATGAATAGCAAAGACGACACGTCTAGCATATCTGCCTTCTCTTTCCAGTCCATCGCCAAACGTGTCGTCAACGGTACGTGGCGCAACCTCCGGGTCGCGATCGAAGCAGTTTTGTACAACAGGGAGTAAAGCTTGCTCGACGGCCGAACGTGCCAGGTTGATGTTATCAAACTGAACATCGTCTTCGTCAAATCTGCTGATGCGAATTTCGAAGGGTAGAGAGGTGGCCATTACATTGTGCTTTCCATCGTGGTGGTAGCGGAACTCGAAGACGCCGTGGGTCCACCACAGTTTATCGCCTGAGAATTCCATCTCGCCAGTTGCATACTGCTTGTCGTCCTTGGTGGTCTGGTGGGAAGAAACGAGGATGCCGGTCTCGGCAGTTACAGAGTCGTAGACACCCTTGGTGGTGGCAGTCCAACGACCTTGAGATCCGATACGAGTGACATCACGCGACGAATTGTCCGCAACCATGTACAGACCGATCCAATCGTTTTTGCGATGGTTTGCAGGAGCTTGCCAACGGACTTTGATGGGGGCGCCGTATTCGAACGTAAGAGTCTTGTACTGATCAACACGCTGTTGCGGAACCTGGCCAATCTCTCCCTCACGCCCACTATAGCGTTCGAACTCAGATACTCCAGAGGCTGGAGTGCCTTCGATCTCGAGAGAATAGTCCTTAGGGTCGAAGCCAGCAAGATCGGGTGCGAGACGTGTTATACTGATGCGAGCTGGGTAGTTCTTGAAGAGGGTGCGTGTATCTCTGACGAAGGTATCCATGCTAGAAGCGAGCTTGGGTCTTGCTGAATCAATAAATTCCTCGAGGAAGTCCATTGAGTCTTCGAGCACTCTGTCGACACTACCCTGCCAGTGTTTGAGTGGTGAGGGTAAAGAACGCCTGAGACTCTTGGATAGTCCAGAGTCCTGGCGCAGAGATTGGCCATAAAGCTTCTCCATATGCGGACGCTCGACAAATTGGATGAAGACCAGAGTAAGAAGATGGCTTAATAGAGCGAGGAAGAAAATTGTCTTGCTCCATGTGATCAATGCAACACCCCAAAGACCAGCTAGTCCAAGCACTCGCTCAGGGTTATTGAGGAACCTGTAGATGCCGCCGTAGGTGAGCTTGGATGCATGATCGAAGAAGAAGTCGCCAAAGAACCATCCAAACTCGCCGAGAGATTCGTAGATGCTGAAGCTCGTCCAGATCTGGAGAGCAATCAAAGCCATACCAAGTACGTGACGAAGCAGAGCTAGACCATATGTCCAGTCAGGAGGCAGGTTGTACATCTTCAGGGCTGCACACAAGAAGCTCGCAGTGCACATACTCATGCTCAAATGGTAGAGTCCCTTCCACTGTCTCCAGGCTTCTTCAGTGCTCTCACCATACTTGACGAAGTGGCGAGCCCACTTCTTCTTGTTTGACTGACGGTCAAGGATGTAGCCGATACCGAGCGAATACCAAAGCCGCCAAGCCACTGCATTGACGACGAAAGCGGTCTGCCATAGAGCAGTCGATGGAGTCAGGAAGGCGACACTAAACAGGTAAGATTGCATGAGCAAGACGGATATATCAGTGATACGATGAAGATCCATGTTGTGGAAGCCAAGAATGTTGTGAACTGAAGAAGGCTTCTCGGTTGTCGCTATGGGTGGATATCCGTTGATGTGACCAGAATCGGGTGTGGCGCTTTTGGGGGNTTCTCTGTCGCTCTCGGATTCTCTTCTTTTCTTAGGCATAGGCGGGTTGTATGTCTTCTCGATATGCGGATTCTCAACAATGGTCAAAAAGGCAAATTGAGCAGCATGCGCAACAATGGAGATGAAGAGCACCTTGTAGCTGGCGGCCATCAACGAAATGCCGTAGAAGCCAACGTAGCCGACAGAGTACATGGGATGAGGAGCCATCTCGAAGACGCCGTCGAAGGTGAGCTCTTGATCGATGAGGTAGAAGAAGTCACCCCAGTACCATGCGTAGTCTTTGACGACTCTATGAGCATCTAGCTTGACCCAGAGGTTGAAAGCGACGAGGGCCAAGCCACATACCCAGCGTGCAAGAGTCATTGCAACGTTCTCACCATCGGGACGGCCGCCGCAAGCGATGGCAAAGCAGCAGTAAGCGACAAAGTCGGACATTAGGATCAGATCAACGACTCTTCGAAAAACCAACCATGTGTTGTACTCGAGTGGGGCCTCTTCGAATTTGTAATCGCGAGCGATTTTTGTTTCCATTTCACGTTTTAGCTGATTGTAGAGCCATGGACGCGGGTTCTTGCCGGATTTTGGGTCTGCGAAAACATTGTACTTGCGAGCCCATGAGGTGAGGCGCTTGTGGTTGGACTGTATATTGAGTAGCCATCCAATGCCGGCATTGTATGCGGCACGCCAGAAAAGGAAGACGATGGCGAGTATAGGGATACGAACTGGGTCTGGGAGGAAGTAAAGTAAGGCAACATGGCATGCAAGTACGGCCAGGATGACCACGTCGGACACGTTCTTTGGTTGGGTTGGGGAAAGAAGTTGTGAGACCATGTCATGTGTCTGCGGCACCACGAATANCTATCGTCCTCTTGTATCAGCCATAGCCGTCTTTGTCGTTCTACCACAACATGGCATACCTTTACCCTCTGGCGTTCTGCCATAAGTGCGCTTCTTGGTCTCGTCTTTATCGGCTTCTTCTTCGTTGAGCGATTTGACAGTGTTTTGTGCATCGTCGGTTGACTTTGCATTGGTTGGCTTGTCAGGTTGAGGTATCCTCTCGCGAAGATCCCCTTTGCTGGCCGTCATGCTGCTTGAACTCATACTCGATCTTTGATTTCCAATTACACACAAACAGGAACAAAGTCGGAGAGAAATGGCCGGCTGAAATGTTCGAAGAAAACGACGTGGTCAAAGTGGCATCTCGGGAAATTGGTGGGGCATGAGAAGCTGCGACCCGCTGCGGAGCAACGAGTCCGAAGAGCTGGAAGGACCCTGTTTGTTCACTCCTCGTCCATTGACTACCTTGAGCGACGATTTCGAGTACGAGGACCTGCAAACGCGGGCTCAATCAACACGCATCTAAGCAGGCTCGCCCTCTGACCAGGATAGAGGAGGGATGCTGGATTGATAACAACAAAATGTCGCTGTTCCAGCCTGCTACTCAACGTCATTGCGAACGGCTATCGTGGTTGGGAACCAGTGGGGTCAATAGACGCTGCCAACATGAACCTTGAACCTTGTCTTTACATGTGCTGACCAGGAAACAAAGAGACAAGCTTGTAGACCCCATCCCATTCTCTCTACAAATTCCATAGCAGATATTCGATGACACGTTCAGCAGACATCCATTCCGAATACCACCTTGGAGTATCTATCGATTTCGGTCAAGTTTAATGATGTTCTTCCCACCAATATCGTGGCCCTTAATATAGAGGGTTGCTGAGAGATGTCGAGTATGACAGAAAGATACGCCTACAGTAGCTGCTGTTACCTCGCCAATAGCAGGTGACATAATTTCCCAACAAGGTATGTGATGTCGAGGGTGTGGTCAGGGTGATATGCTCAGCCACGATCTCGGTCCTTGGCCATTGAGACTCCGACAGACAACGGCAGAATCAAGGCGGTGAACCACAAAATCCAATACTTTCTTCGACCAGCGATCGTCTTTAGATAGGACAACCAGTTTTTTTGAATACACACCTACCGACAAGATGGCCGCCGCGAGTGATAAGGCTCGCTTCTACATGGAACAGTCGGTTCCCGAACTCCAGGAGTACGAACGCAAAAAGATCTTCACGCGCGAAGAAATCACATCCATAGCCCGCAAGCGCTCCGAATTTGAACACCTTCTCAACACACCCGGCGCTGCCACGCCAGCTGACTACGCCCGATATGCGCTATACGAAATGAATCTGGACTCGCTGAGGAAAAAGCGCTCGAAGCGCATGGGTGTCAAGGCCACAGCTTTCGCCGGTCAAAAGAAGATCTTCTTCGTTTTGGAGAGAGGCGTGAGAAGGTTCCAGGGAGACATGGGCTTGTGGATGCAGTATCTGGAGTTCTGCCGTAAAGAGGCGGCAAACAAGAAGTTGGCAAAGGCTTTGACACAGTGCTTGAGAATGCACCCCATCAAGTGGGATTTGTGGACGTGGGCAGCCAAATACTATTTCGAGCAGCAAGCCGATATGCCGACGGCGCGCAGCTACATGCAAAGAGGTCTAAGATTCTGCAAGAGGGAGAGAAAATTGTGGTTGGAGTACGCCAAGCTGGAGATGCTCTATGTCGCAAAGATTGCTGCGCGACGAAAGATTCTGGGCCTGGATATCGAGAGAACGGCGAAGCAGATCGACTCGACATTGGACGCAGATGCCGACATGATGGCACTGCCTGATGTCACGGCCGACGAAATCAAGCCTGAAGGAGCACCCGAACCGAAACAAGCCGTCGACGAGGAAGCACTGAAGAAATTGGCCGCATCACCTGCCCTGAACGGCGACATTCCCCGTATCATCTTCGAAACTTCGATGCGCGACTTCAACGACCCTACTCTTGCCGAGCAGTTCTTCGACGTTTTTGCTGGCTTCACAGACGTGCCCTGCACCAGCAAGCTGCTACAACACATCATCGATTACCTCTCCAACCAAGAGTCCGCCGCCAGCAAGATCAGCATGCAAATATGCTTTGCCAAGCTCGAGCTTCTGGACACAAACACNCAGGAAGCCATCGAGTCCGCCGACTTCCCTCTCAAGCTCGCCAAAGCTCTCTCCGTACTCAAGAAGGGCATGGGCGAATCACCCAAGCACAACGCTGATTTGGCCGAGAAGGTCGTTGCGCTGTTGTTGCCTTACTTCAACTTCGAGCTCGATGAAGATATCGAGAGAGTTCTTAGAAGTGCTCTTGCACAGTACATTCGTACTTTGCACCAAGGCAGTTTTGATCGCGTCAAGGCTGTTGTAAAGAGACAACTCAAGGCTGGCAATGAAGCGGAGGCTACCCTTCTGATCGAGATTGCTGGCAAAGCCTGCCCGATCCAGAAGGCCCAGCTTGAGGCTCTGATCAGCTCATGATATCAGCTATAGGACGACCATACCACCCACAAATATGAAGGAAGAACCCGCCATATCTCCCACTTCGGAAAGCCAAATAGTCTATACCTCAATACCGGACATGAACAACAGGCTGAGTCGACTAATACTGGACCCGTCGGACCCTCTGCGCCATGTTGTTGCCGTCTCTGCTGAAGGTCAGCAAATTCTGGACACTAGCAGCTTCCCGACGTCGAGCTGCTGCCAATCAGTTCTGCCACAGACACATCGATAGAATGACAAGGCATGGTGGAGTTCACCCCAAGACCAAATCAAGGAGGATAATGGTGGACATGAGTACCCACCAAGACAAAGTCCAGATACGGCTTTGCGAGATCAAGCCAAACGTGAGAGCTGTTCTCTTAAAGTATATCACACGCAAGATGAAATCGGACTACTGTGGGGATGAAAGCTTGTTGTCAATAGCATTTCTTCTGGTTCTCTATCTTCCCTTCTCGCATGTGATATTATGCTGATCTGATCTGGAAGCAATATGTTATCTGAAGTGTCCCTCTATCCTTCCTGTGCTGTTCTACCCTGTGGGGCATCATCTGTGACAGCTTTTTGTCTTCGCAATGGAAAGGAGCTGTATTCATTGTGAATCAAAACCTAGCTCTTTGCTAAGTTTCCCATATTTGTTCTTCATCGCTCTGCATCTTTGAGAGTAAGTTCGTGTGTAAATCCGCAGGTCTGTGAGCACTGGTGCTCTGTTTGATGCCTGTGTTGTTTGTGATTGTTCTAATGGTGGTTTAGTCGTCGAGAAGTTCAACGGTCAGTGTCGATGGACCGACTTTGCGCTTCTTGTTTGGAGGCTCTTGGACTGGTGGAGCCGGCATGTACGTGTTCTTAGCAAACGACGAGCAACCCTGTGCCTGATGAATGTGCGAGTGGACAAGCTTGCAGATGTTCAAGTCTCCTTGTTCAAAGCTTCTCTCGCTCAGCACTCTAACGCAAGAACGCCCTTCGATTGACTTGGATATTTTGATGATCTCTGCCATGAACTCTGGTTTCTAGTGATTTATGTTTTNTTCGAGTCTTTGACCGTGCCACACTTCCTCATATGCTAGATACCAGCGTAAGTGAGACAGCTGTCTTGTCTTCGGCATGTCATAGACACAGTTGATGACATCGAGTGCCGCCAGCCCGTTCTTGTATAGATAGCTCAGGAGCATGGAGATAGCGTCATTCTTGAGCTCGCTTATATCTCTCTTGTCGGCAAAAACGATTAACTCGGCGATATGTTGACCGAAATTCTGTGGATCGTCGAGAGCTCCTTCGATGTCTTGGGAGTTGAGTTGTCCTTGGTAGAGCCATGCGACGTAGGTCCGGAAGATTGTAGGGTCTTCGTCGTCGAGGTTGATAGTCTGAGTCTCGCCCTCGATAAATGTGCCGTTCAAAGCAGCTGTGAAGTAAGCAGATGAGTTGCAAAGCAGAGCTTTCTGTACAGTAAACACGCCGGCATGTGGACCTCGACCGACTTTGATCGTGGCAGGACGATCAGAAATCGACTCTCTGTGTTTCCGTTAGCACACTGAATTGTTTTGATTATGGGTACAGCAATAGCATACCTGAACGACATTTTGCTTCTGGCTCGCCGTGGTAACTTCTGGCTCTTGATTCAAGGCCGATTTTTGTAGATGACTCCTTGAGGGTTGTGCTAAAGCGTTGATCGAGACACTCTATTGTTGCTGTGATATAGCTTCGAAGTGTGAGTCCGTGAATGAAAGTCGGTTGATGGATGAGAAGGGAGTATGGCTAGTGATCTTAGTTTATGTCGAGGGCTGGTGTGGACTGATTGTGATAGAAAGGTTGTACCTGTGAATGAACGAGGTGAGAAGAAAAGAGCCTTGATATCTGTGGCTCACAGCGAGTGATAAATTGGTGGTCCGGACTTGAGAACGGAAGATCAATCAGCGTAAGAGAACCTCTGTGCTAGAGGAGTGCTCCAAGTGATCCTGAAAACCGAGGCACGGGTCCGGAAAAAGATCAGAAGATGTCGGAGGTGTTGAGTAGTCAGTGATCTTCAGTACATATACTGAGGTGTAATTTGTTGTATGAGACTGAAGCAACTGGCAGAAATAGAACTGGAATAGAGCCGATCAGGAGCTTGTATGTATCAGGTTCTTTCGAAGGTGGTGATGTCGAGATGATCTTGGGTTCCACAACTTGTAGCAGATACAAGATCAGACTCTATGTTTGTAGTGAGACTGCGATGTGATAAGCACCGAGGTTGCACGTGTTTGAGAAGAAAGTTGACGGCAGGAGGTGGCTTGGGTGAAAGTACTCACTCCGAGCGCGGATATTGCAATATGATGGAATCAGAGTGTTGTAAGAGTATACCACAGCTCGAGGCCGAAGATTCAGGGGCCACGAGATCACTACGAGAAGACCGGAATTATTCGCAAGTGACAGTCCAGGATAGTCAGACCATATACAAGTCTTCTCGAGGCCTTTCACCCAACGCCTTCGATTTTCAAGCGGGACTTCTTTGGCACTTGGTAATGAGGCGACTTCTGTTCTGTCTTCCTGAGTTGGTGCTGTCTGATGCTGTACTGGAACTTCCTGGTTGGTCGGAGGACGCATATGTCCACACCGTCCCGTGATTCCTCGATCCGATGAACACGATCAGCAAATCTCCTTTGAGGAGCACACGACTTATAAGATTCAAGTGCACAGACAAGCAAAGCAAGAGAAGCAAAAGGAACGAGCAAATCATAAATTCATAAGGCCGCTGGTATTCCCTTGATTCGACTGTGCCTTTTGCGGCGACAACTCCAAACTCCACGCCTCTAGAAAATGTAGAATTTATTGTCCAATGAAGATTCTGCCCTGTTGAGAGTTAGAGGATACATCACAGAATAAATATTGGATGATACTCACGGCCATGACGACGCAGCAGACACTGATGTATGGACTCAGACGCTCGCCAACACGTGCTGCTCTCCAGAATACGGACGTGAAACTTGACCGAATATCAGCAAAAGGTTCAAGGTTTGAGAACAGAAAAGTCAAGATACCNNCATCCTTGTGCTTATCCATGATAGCAGGGAAGACGCCATGCGTATAGGAGCATGTGCAGATGAAGAGGAGGATGACCAGTAGCAGGGACTGGAAGTTGAAGAGGGCAGACTATTCATCTGTCAGCATATTCTAATGTCCATCGTCTTTCCAAGTCCTCTGTTCATTACCATTTTGAATTATTGGTGACTTTATCTTGTCGCGTGTTATTATCAAACTACTCCAGGAGGTTGCAAGGTGTATGGATGGAAGTGCCCTCGGCAACATCCGAACGTGCTGCTTTACACCTTGAAGGTCAGCCATCGATTGTGGCTTCCTCGAACATTGTTGGTTAGCATCTCTCTTATCGACAGGCGACGACAGTACTCACATTTCGGGTCAATTGTGAATACGACTCGTGACCAGCCTCGTCTACTGTGGCATCAACTTTCAACACACCAACCCATCACCAAACGAGAGCAACACCCACGTCCTATATCATACATCCCTCGCGTACAATTTATTGGAGCCTTTGAAAGACCAGCGCGTAGCCCTCTTTGGATTGCCTACTTCACTACAACAATCACAAACCACTTCTCTCAGAATGGCCGAGCCACGCATGCGCCTGCGCCAAAAGGGCCAACAGTTCTCTAACCCAGAACGTGTGTCTCTCCCACCTACACCATCACCAACCCACCGCTAACAGCATCACTACNNAGTCGCCGGCCTCCTCGAAGCATTCGGCGACACCCAACCNCTCCCCGCGACCCTCACAACCCTCGACGAAATAATCACAGACTTCATCATCGAAACCTGCCACAGCGCCGCAATCTGCGCCTCCTACTCGCGCCGCCAGAAGATAAAGGTCGACGACTTTAAGTGGGTCTTGCGCAGGGACGCAAAGAAGCTCGGCAGAGTGACGGAAATCTTCTTTGCCGAGAAGATCCTCAAGGATAATAGAAAGGCTTTCGATATCGGTACGGGAGAAGGTTTGGTGCAGGGAAAGAAGGGTGCGGTCAAGGAGTTGGGCGTCGAGGACGAAGGCGAGGAGGGTGGCAGAAAGAGGAAGAAGAGAAAGACGGAAGCCTAGAAGGCTAGCAGTGAGGCGAGCTCTGTGACATTGGTTGGCGACACGGCGCAAGGATGAGATGTTTCTTGGTTTGGGATTGCTGGGTTTAGCGAGGAGTTCATTGGGAGGAGGATACAACACCCGTTCCAATTTGAATGGAGCAAGGAGAGCAGATGATACTGCAACACAAAACAATCATGACTGTCACGAAATACACAAATCACCTCCGCGCAGAGCGATCACATCGAGCAATCGTGAATGCAAAAAGTAAATCTTGACTCGTACATGACTGAGGTCTATAAATCATCTACGAGCATGCAATACCCATTTTGGCCTGTCGTATATTCGAAACGCCGTCGAAGTTAATCATCATGAATGCCATCCTGTAAATCGCTATCTCTTCTGCGCGCTTAAGCAGCGTGGTCGTACTTTTGTGCGTGAGCGGCAATGGCACGGCCACTGGGGTCTGTCTGCTTAGACCATGTCGGTGTCCATCTCATGACAGTCGAGGCGCAGTAAGGGGNGAAGTGCTCGTCGAACATGCATCTGTACCAGTATGCCTCCTTGGTGTCGGGAATATCGTCTCCCCACTCAGCCTTGGGGTTCTTCATGTCCTCGTCGCTGACGTGCAGCTCTGCGTTGTCCTTGAGCGCATCGATCCAGCCGTAACCAACACCGTCACTGAACTGCTCTTTCTGTCTCCAGAGGATGTTGTCGGGCAGGTATGGCTTCTCGCCGGGCTCGTCGGATGTGTCGAAGGCCTTGCGGATAATGTACTTCTCGATGTGGTCCTTGTCGATCAACTTGGACTCGGGGTCGATGTTCATCGAGTACTCGAGGAACTCCTTGTCCAGGAAGGGCACTCTGGCTTCGAGACCCCAAGCCGAGGTCGACTTGTTGGCTCTCAGACAGTCGGCCAAGTGCAGGTTGCGCACTCTACGGACAGTCTCTTCGTGGAAGGCCTTCTTGTCGGGAGCGTTGTGGAAGTAAAGGTAACCACCGAAGATCTCGTCACTACCCTCTCCACTCAGAACCATCTTGATACCCATAGCCTTGATCTTTCTGCTGAGAAGGAACATGGGAGTCGAAGCACGGATAGTGGTAACATCGTAAGTCTCTAGGTGGAAGATGACATCCGAAAGAGCGTCAAGACCCTCCTGGATGGTGAAAGTAAGGTTGTGGTGCTTGGTGCCCAAGAACTTGGCGACCTCGAGAGCAGCCTTGCTGTCAGGGGCGCCAGGCAGACCAATCGAGAAAGAGTTGAGCTGAGACAGAACAGGGACAGTGTTGAGCTTGTAGTCCTCGTCAATTCCAGCCAGCTCCTCCTCGCCATCGGCGAAGCCGTTCTGCTCCTGCTGTGCGTTGTGTGCAGCCTGCAGTCTAAGCGTCTCTCTCTGTGCGATTGAGGCAACCAAACTGGAGTCCAGACCACCAGAAAGAAGGACACCATAGGGGACCTCGGCCATCAGACGCTTTCTGACAGCTCTCTCGAACTTTGTTCTGAGAGTCTTGAGGTCGACGGGAGTGGTGGGGATGTTGGAGGGCTCAACCAGCCACTTGGGAGTGAAGTACTGGGTGATCTTGTCGGTCTTGGAGTCGTAGACGTGGCCAGGGGGAANAGCGATGATGTTGTCGCAGACAGGGTGGAGACACTTCAACTCTGAAGCAAAGTAAACAGCACCGGGAGTCTCGCTGGAACGGCCCATGTAGAAGGTGGTGACACCGATGGGATCTCTGGCAGCAATGACTCTGTCCTGCTTCTTGTCGTGGAGGACCCAGGAGAACATGCCATCGAGGAACTTGGGGGTATCAATGCCGTGCTCCATGTACTGCGAATTTCGTCAATTGACGTCCTGTCTTTTATGCAAAAGGCTTCATACCAGGGGAATGATGACTTCACAGTCAGAGTGAGTCTTGAAGTCGTAGGGCTTGCTGAGGTGCTTGCGCAGGACCTTGTGGTTGTAGATCTCGCCGTTGACGGCGAGGGCAATGCTGCCATCCTCGTTGAGCAGAGGCTGGGCACCCGAGTCNNTAGACGACACGTCTTAGCAGATGCTCGACATGTGGTGTGTTTCTGAGCTCCTGTACATACCAACACCAACGATACTCAGACGCTCGTGGACCAGGATAGTGTTGTTGGAGGTGTGGTTACCGCTCCAATCGGGACCACGGTGGCGGATCTGCTTGCCCATGCGCAGGGCAGTGGGCTTGAACTTTTGCACATCGGGATGGCTGTTGAATTGTCAATATCTGCGAAATCGAGGGGCACGCGATCCGAGCTGTCTCGAGGAATTGGAACATACCTGTGGCAGGCAAAGATACCACACATCTTGGGCAACGGATTGGTATGTGAAAGGGGAAGAATGAAAGAAACAAAGTGTCAAGATGCAAAAGATGCACCAAAGTAATAGGTAAGCAACACTGGCGCACCCTGTCACCCTTTGACTCACCAATTCTGGGCGCTTCTTTTAATAAAATCCGAGTGCCACCTGCGAGTCCCGCGCAACGCCAACACGGCAACCGTCACCGAAGTCGGCCGGCCCTGTCGTCTATCACCGCCCGCCGCCGTCTTTTTCCCCCAGCTTCCCCCCTGCCAAATTCAAATCGTTAGGTAACAAGACTGCGCTACAGGGTAATTGTCGTCACTAATCGATAGATAGGCCGAGTATAACCACCTGGTGCTCGAGCGCAACTATCGCGAAGACGCCCTTTTCAACATATTGCCGATCAGCTTCCCTCAAAGTGACAGGGTCGTCTTCGTCATGTCACATGCATCTTCACATGTCATGACCATCGAAGTTACAGTGCCAGGGTCACCCTATTTCAATCATTTTTCGGTGCCTGATCTAACGAAAACCTGATAATATCTTGTGTTGCCGAATCTTGTTTGTGCTAAAAAGCATGGCTATCTCCATGTTCGTATGTATAGTGTTACCCGGCAGAAACCGATCAGGCGAGCAAGTCGTGATACCACAACCTGATGTACTATGATTCAGTGTAGAGCAAACTTTTGAGCTTGCACAATGTGGTATGGATGATTAAGTGTGACAATTATTGCGATTATCAATGGCAGTGGGGTTATGACTATACTATACCAAGTTGATTGTGGTATCATTTTTGCGAGCTATGCTGCTAATTGCCAGTTCATATCGACAAGTCCTCGAAGCTAACCAGTCCCAAATACCTTCTCCGAACGCCTCGCCAAATCGTGCTGCATGAAATGGAACATTGTAAAGTTCAGCTTATCTGACAACCAGGGCGGCGCTTGGTACCAGGCCAGCCTCCTTCAGTGTTTGGCCGAAGTCTGAGCTGTCGTAGACCTTCTTGGGGAAGTTTTGGACAAACTCAGTGACCTGAACACCAGGCTCCTGGCCGAGAGCTTGGGCAACCTCGAAGAGCGTCGTCTCGACAGGGAAGGTCTTCTGGACTGTGCCAGCGGATGTCTGGAGTCGTAGTCTTGCCTCTGTGTAGTTTCCAGCAGTCTTGGGTACGCTGGGCTTCGCGGCAGGTGTAGGATCGGCGACAACAGCAGGTTGACCAGCGCGGGTGGCCTTCTCTCTTTCAGCCTTCAGGCGGCGCTCTTCCTTGTCTGCAGCAATCTTTGCCTGAATGCGCTTCTTGGCTTCGACATCAGCCTGCTTCTCACGTCTCTTGGCCTCGGCTTCCTTGATCTGTTCTTTCTTGGCCAAGTCCTCCTTGATGTCCTGTTGTTCTTTTGTGGCCTTGCGACGGATTTGGTCGTTGCGCTTCTTGTCCTCCTTGTCTTGTTCAGACTGACCGGCACGTTTGGCGGCGAGTTTCTCACGCAGTTCTGCGAGCCTTGCGGCCTTCTCCTCCTCGGTCAAAGGGGCGATCTCTTCAGTAGACTCTTCGAAGTTTTGGTGCTCACTGAGAAAAGGGCGTTAGCGTGGACGTAGTGGCGATGGTAATGAGATGACACACGTCTTGTTTGCATGGAACTCTGCCTGAGCAGTGGATCTGAACTTCTTGCCACAGTCTTTGCAGAGGAGACTCCTGGCTTGCTCACCAGGCTGCAATGAGAGGGGTGACTCTTCTTCGCCTTCGTCCTCTTTGAGCTCTTCGATGGATTTGTCGGCGTTGTTGCTGAGCCAGTCGACGGCGGCTCCCACTAAATGAAGGTAAGTAAGGTCGAAAGTGATAAATTGATAGATTTGAGAGATAGACAGTACGCACANGTTGCCTGCCTTCTTCATGGCAAGAGTCGCCTTTTCGCGGTCGAAGCCCATGTCGACGAGGTTGTTGATGTCTGAAGACATGATGGCTGATGTGTCTGAGTTGTTGCTGTTAGAGGTGAGGTAGATGGATGGTAGTCTAGTAGATGACAAGGTCAAGTGGAAGACAGCACTAGTAGAGTAGATGCACAAGTGTGGGAGTGAAAGTTGTCTCAAGTGAAGCTGAAGCACAAGCTCGTGCAAGTTGTAGAGTGTGCACCGTGCGTCGTCCAGACCTCTCCAGGAAAGAGCGAGTTGCAGCGAGAGCCGGGACGCGCTCGAACGTCGCTTCCGTCATTAAGCCCAGTCCCTTCCTGCCAGTTCCCTACGTGTCGCCGTATACCACCTGCGAGTTCAACCCACATCTTCTTCCACTCACAGCTTCGCCTTCTGCTCCCCATCTCCTCGACTGCAGCTTTTTCACCCTTACCCACATAACGCGCTGCCCTCCTACACCATGTCTGTCGAGCTGGACCCCGTCGAGCTCGGTTTCAAGCGTGCGTAGCCAAGTCTTCTTCACCACCCTGTGCTCCCTCTGACTCGTTGCTCGACAGGCCCCTTCACCCACGAGGTTGCTCAGGTTTTGCGTCTGTACAACAAGAACTCCGACCCTGTCGCTTTCAAGGTACTGCCCTCCTGATCTGCTGCTCCCATACTTTTGCTAATCTCAGCCCCCCAGGTCAAGACCACTGCCCCCAAACAGTCCGCCTCCCTGCTCCGCCATCCATACCTCAAAACTAAATGCTCTCCAGANTACTGTGTTAGACCCAACTCTGGCCGCATTGAACCTGGCCAGGATGTCGAAGTTCAAGGTACGCTGCGCACGTGGCCTTTTGCTGGAGAGATTGCTGACTGACCATCACCAGTCCTGTTACAAGCCATGAGAGAGGACCCTCCCCTCGACGCAAAGTGCAGAGACAAGTTCCTCGTCCAATCCGTCGCCATCTCGGCCGACAAGGAATACCCCAACGTCTCCCAAATCGTACGCTTCATTTTTCTTCCCACGCCAACATGTAGCTGACAACCAACTAGNTGGTCCCACATTGAGCAAACAGCAAAGTCATCGATCCAAGAAAAGAAGATTCGCGTTGTCTTCCTGCCTCCAGAGGGCGTTGCCCACTCTGATGCTGGCGGCCACATGGACGACTCAATCGCTACCTTCAACTCCGCCAACTTCAACTCTGTCTCCCCTCAACCCCAGACCCCTCAACGAGGCGCCGACGTAGGAGCCGTGGGCGCCATCTCTCGCCCGGAAGAACGTCCCATTGACAACAAGCACCTTGGAGATGCTGTCGAGTCAGCCAGAAACCCTGCTACCGACCGAAACACCACCTACTCCGACTCGTCGACCACTCAAAGCTTCATGAACTCCATTCCCTCGGCCGACGATGTGAAAGCCAAGCTTGCAGAAGCTCAAGCCACCATTGCACGAATGAGCCAGGAAAGAGACGAACAAGGATTGCGCCAGAGAAAGACCGATGCAGTCAACCAAGATGCTAAGGAGAGAATTTCTGCCGGAACAACCGGTCTGGGTGTGCAGAAGGCTCCTGCTGGAGGTGTTCCTGTCCAAGTCGTTGCCGGACTTTGCCTCTTGTGTTTCTTGATCGCCTATTTCTTCTTCTAGGCGTGACGAAGAAAGTGGCTGTGTCAGAACACGCACGGCATGCACCCGCAAGCGACGCAACCTTGGGTCGCATTACTACTAGACGGTCACACAGACTCCAGAACTGCACACACTTGGGTTCAGAGGTGGTCTTCTATATTGTCCCAAGAGGACACCATTAATGCTTTTGACTGAGTGATGATTCTTCTTCTTCTGGGGGAAGCGCAAGATGGAAGAGCCCATGTTTCTTTTGTGTACCATTTCCAATTCATTCAGTTAACTTATCAAATGCTCACTGTTTTTACATGACAAGGCCAAGGTCTCTGCGTTCACTGAGAGTTCGCTATCAATCTGTCAGTAGTCGTTGGTATTGAACATAGGATGATCGCGTCGAACATGGACCATGTCTGACAAGTCTGCTGGTGAAAACAATTGCAGACGTGGTATCTGACCATGAAATGAAAATAACGCCTCAAGCTACCCAAATGACCTATGCCGAAACCTTTGCCTTCTTTGATCCCTTCTTGCCGTCTGCCTTGCTCTTGACACGTTTGGCGCCTGCCTTTTCCACAGGTGCCGTCTTCTTGGTCTCCTTGACCTCCGGTTGCTCTTCTTGCTTGTTCAAGACTGCGTTCACGTCGGCACCAGTTATCAAAGGTGCGGCCTCGGCCTCGCGAGTCTCCTTGGTAGGCACCTCCTTGACATCGCGCAGAGAGGGCATCTCGAAGTCGTAGCCCAACTCCTTGAGCTGTGCAGCCTTCTTGTTTCTGGCCTCGGTCTCTCTCTCGATTCTCTTCTCCCAGCCCTCTCTTGTGGTACCTCTCTTCAACATACCGCCCTCAATCTTGTTGCGCGGCATGACCTTGAATCTTCCACCCTCGCCCTTCCACAGCTTCTCGTGGACTTGCTCGGCGGGTACACGTCTGACCTGCAGAAGGTGGCCGAAAAGCAAGTACTTGTCCATGGTCTTGGCTACAATCTCGGCGACTGCGGCGGATCCGAACTCGATGAAAGCGTAGTGCTTTGAGCGGCCAGTAAGCTTGTTGCGCGCCATTCTCAAGTGGGTGATGTCGCCGAATTGGCTAAAGTACTCGCGCATCTGTGCCTCGAAGAAACCGTGCGGCAGACNGTCTGTATCTCTTGTTAGTTTTGCTTGAATGAGAGTTGGCGCAAAGATCGCATACCCAATGTAGATAACGCCGGNGGTGTTCTCGTCGTCTTGCTGAGCATCCTTCAACTGCTTGCGAACCTCCTTCATGTTGGGCACAGCGGGAAGCTTATCCAGAGCAATGCCATCGTCTTGCGGGTCGTTCTCGTCGTCACTGCTTTCGAAGCCGGCAAGTAGGGCAGCAGTCTGGTCGTCCTCTTCAGCCTCGGCCTCGCTGTCTGTCTCATTGGCGACAGCGATTTCCTCCTCCTCAACAGCAGCCTTGGGGCTGGCCTTGGTCTTGGTCTTCGAGACCTTTGATGAAGCGCTCTCGGGCTTAACAGTCTCAGTAACGGTGACCTTCTCAACCTTGCCGGGGGCGGTCTTGACGGTCGTTGTCTTCTTTACGGGCTTCTCCTCTGGCTCCAGGAAATCTTCGGCGCGCTTTCTCGTTGATCTTGTCTCTCGGGTGGGTGCATTCTCCTTGACTTCCTTCTTGGCCTTGACAGTGGTTGTAGTGGTAGTTTCGGTCTTCTTGAGTGCAGACTTGGGGGCGGGTTTCTCGACAACAGTAGTCTTGACCTTCTTGGTGGTTACGCTGGGCTCAGATGCGCCTATTGCTTGATGTTAGTCTACAAACAGCAGGATAGCGCCTCAAAGTGATTACGGACCCTTGCGCTTGTTACTCTTGTTGTCGACCTTGGACATTTTGGCGTAAAATGATCAATAATAAAAGTGGTAGAAAAGCAGAGGACTTGCCAGAAAAATGGCGGCCAAAAAGTTTCTGAGATCGAGGAATCCGGGAGACTGACACTCTCCCGACCCGCCGCTCCTCCAACCACCTCGAACCATAGTCCGCATCTTCTTCTTGAACATTAGACATAGCAACTATGACGAACAAACGGCTTTCTGATAACGAGATATGGGATGACTCTGCCTTAGTTCAGTCATGGAATGAAGCGCTCGAGGAATACAAGGTAAGTCAACACGTCCTGCATTTAATAAACACATGCTTACTATGTCATCTANNGAAGTACCACAGCATGTCTGCCCGAGGCGAGCGTGTCGAGGACGTTCTAGATGCTGTAGAGAAGGAAGAAGAGGCGCCGTGTGTTCTCATCGAAATTCTTCATATTAGACAAAAATGCTGATAAAAACGAACNAGATCCACCACCAACCTCAAGAACGAGACTGTCGATACATCAACCGGCCTTCCGCCTTGGGAATCCGTCGAAGCAGAGAAGGTGACAACTCTAGAGGTTGTCAACGAGTCAAAGGTTCAGCCTGTCGACGCGCAGCCGATCAATAACTCGAATCAAGTTCCTTCACCAGGCGTTTCACAAGTCCTTCTAGACTCTGGTTAGTCTACATATTTGTTTTTTCTCAATTTGTACATCGCTAACAGCTCCNNAGTCCAAGACGAGAGTCTCAAAGCACTTATGACATCTTGGTATTTTGCAGGATACTACACTGGTCTCTACGAAGGACAGCGAAAAGCCCAGGCGGCACAGGACCATTCAACTCACTGAGAGCTCTCTGCAACGGCACTCTAACATTTCACTCATGAACCCGAGGCAGACAGAGGTGAACACGCTGCTAGTTCGGGCATCAAGTTCTGCGAGATACCCAAGCATTACCCCTGAGCAGGGAGGCTCGACCATGGATCAACTGATGCACCCGTGAGCGTCTATACAGTACCCTGAACCGTCGCCAGGATCAATCAGGGGTTTGTGCAGCAAGCGTGCTGATCCCAGTCGGTACTTATAATACAGAACCCGCCAAGTATCTTGCTGCTTCCATAGCCAACAGAGCAAAGATATGCATGGGAGTCTGGCGGGGCGGCACCGTAAGATCGGGCCACAGATAGCCAAACGATCCTGATGTGGACAAGGAGTAGACAGACAGATCAACTGAATCGAAAAAGAAAAACGTGTTTAATACCCTCTAGTATTGAGACGATTAGACCTCGTCGAAAAGAACAAATCCATCGCTAAACGCTCTGCAAACGGATTTTTGGTCGTGATGGTCCGAAAATAGTTGACTCCTGCTCGCCGGCAGCCTCGATTACGCCTTGATCAAAGTTTTGATGTGCAGAAGAAGTGTTGATTTACTTCTTGGCCTCCGCGGCCCTCTTGGCGTCGGCTGTATAAACATGTCAGATAAGGGTTCGTGAATGAAAGGGATGCAATCACGAATACGGACCTGCGGCCTGCTTTGCACGCATGATCTCAGCTGCGCTCTCCTTGGCCTTGGCCTGCTCAGAGCCAGACATCTAGAAAGGAGGTCAGTGGACAGCGTTTTGCTGTGTTAGCGGCGTGAACATACGGTGTTCTTGTTTTTCTAGGCAGAGAGTCAGCAAAGCGGTCCCCCTCAAAAAATGTTGATCCCTGTTTAGAGANAAAACTTACGACGTTGCCAGCGGCCTTCAAGGTCTTTTCGCGAGCTCTCTCCTTTTGGTTACCGCGGGCCATTTTAACTGGATGTGTGTGGTGTTTGTGAGATGTTGCAAAGGAAAGGGAGTGAGGAAGAGATGCTCAAGAAAAGCGTTGGACAGGGCCCGGCAGAAAGAAAGTTGTCTGGCAAATTAGACCCTTTTACCACTTTAGCACGCTTCCAGACACTGCCAAGACATTTTCTGTTGCTATCGCGGCCCGCCGCAACTCCACTCCCGATCCCCATGGACCGAACCAAGACTTCTAGAAGATTATCATACTGGCGACCGGTCAGCTCAACCATGTTAGTCCATACCACTTGTGTCCAGATCAGATGAGCTTTTCTGGGCCTTTGTTCGCAGGTCCCACCAGCTACATACCCACTTCGAGATGCCAATGAAGGCATTGTTCCCAGTAGCATCCCCACACTATCGTTCTAGGGCCGATGCAGTATACGAGGAAATGGTATCTTTATGCCCCACGCACAATGGACATGATTATCGCGCTCGATCTTCGTGCCGTGCGAACCCCTGAGGACTTCCCGGTACATAATTGACCCCGTATCGGGATAGCTAGCAGTAACGACTACTGTCAGCGCGATGCGCCAGGTCAGGTAACTGCGGACGAACACTTACACATCCTTCATGTGGAATCTCAGGTGGCCATCATCGGACAACCTCGGTGCTGAAGAAGGAATTCCTTGATCTATTGTTGTCTTTGCAGTTTTCGAGAATCAAGACAATGTCAAGCAGAGCACCAGGCGCGATTCTTGAAACTGCATCCACCCTCAAGCGCCAACACAGCGCTTATACCAGTAACAAGTTCCACCAATGATCCAAATATGGAGTACCCCAGCCAGACTGCTTCTGTTGCAGGAAATCCTCATGTGCTTGTCAAGGTAACACGACGTCTGAGAAATTGTTTCAGCTGCATTGATGCAGCCATGAGCTTCTTGACGGCGTCAATTGAACAAAAGAGCACGCTGTGGCGCTTATTTCTCCCATTGTACCTCTTCGATTGCCTTATTGTCTGCTTTTCACTTATCCGTATCTCTTATTGTCCTTGTTGTATTCATTGTTTCCATTACGTTGTATTGTCTCTTCCTGACTTAATTGATTTGAACTTCCTCGATCCTGTCTCTCTTTGATCAATTCTTCCTTGCTCTTCTTCCAACGACTCTTTCTTTCCTGCAACAATTCGTACAGACCCATCAAGTATCTGCTGGTCAGATCCCATCATTTCATCGCACGAATGTTCCTCAGACTTTGGCCTTCTAACTTGTAAGTCTTCGATCCTGCTTCATGACGAGGTTCCTATCTGACATGTGTAACAGATCTATTTATCTACCTTTTCTCAAGGATCACACGACTGAACCCACCGAAAAATGGCACTCAAACCCAAATCACTGGCTGGTTCGGGCTATGTCATTCTCAACGTGCTGAAAGGTATGAACATTATTGGACTGCTGGCTATCATNCGCTGCAAGCGTTCTCATGCTTATCAAAACAACCACCGACTTGGGCGTAAGTAGTTCGCATTGAAATACATTGACCTCGCTAACACTTCTTAGTTCTTCTTCTTTGATGCTGTCACGCATGCTGTTGTAGCATCTGTGGCCATATTTTTAATCATCTCAGAGGTTGGCATCTTTGGTGGCTACTTCGCTCGCAACTGGCCTCTGCTCAGCCTGGAACATGGTTTCGTCGGTCTTGCTTCAGCAATGATCATCCTCGGTATGCACGTTTTGGCGTGTTTCAACAAGTCCAGCAACAGCAAGGAACACCTGGGCATGGCATTCTGGCGTGTCGTGATCATGGCAGGTATCCTCAGCCTCATCCTCGGAATTCTCAACTTGATTGCNAGTAAGTCTATTCATGAATCGCCAACTGAACATATTACTGACTACAGACAGAACTACGTGTTTCGCGATACCGCCCAGGGAATCACAGCGCGCCAGGTTCGCGCCCGAGGAGCCGAAGCGGCCGATGTGACCTATATGCAGCGAAGCAACACCTCAGCAAGCTTGGCTAAATCAACGTCGTCTCGCCGCACTGCGAGCGACAGCTCGTTGAAGCAATTCCGCGCCAACTCGAAAGAAGAGTACACTCTGCCTTCTTATCACAGTCCTTTGCCCGAACCCCAACAACACGCACAGACACCAGTCTCTCCTTCCTTGTACTCGCGCGCTACCTGGTGTAGCAAGAAGAAGTTCTTCAGCCGTAAGAAGGAGAGTATGGGACCTCCACTTCCAGTCAGCATCTCAGCACCGTATGACTTCGAGGCGCAATACCCTTCTACCATCGGAAGACCCGACTCGACACTCCATCCCAGCCGCGACATTGAGAGTGAAACCCACAGATGGAAGGCAGGACGCTGATGGACTCAGAGCATTGATATGGGAGCTGGACAAAGGTCGACCGCCAATGTTTCGTATCGTCTCATATCATTCATTACCTTTCATAAATGTTGTTTTCTTCTTCAAACTGTTTCAGTCAGAGGTCACCTGCGATGCTCTCGATGTATGTGTTTCGTGTCTACCGTGGGTGTTTGTACTTAATCGAGCATTGATTGGACGATGCTTTTGTTAAAGATGTACCTGGGTTTCATGAGATGGGTCGGATGAAACAAGTCATGCGTAATTTGACAGGCCTCATACCCAACTCAAGCACATGTACAAGGTCGAAACAGCCAACATGGAGCCTGTTCGTGGGTGATTGAGTTGGTGTACGACAAAGGGGCATGTCGCGCGGGTGGAAACAGCGGAGGGCACACGTGGGACGGATCGGGAACATGAGGGATGGAAGCTCTGGAAGGCGCGAGCTCGCGGTGCTCGGGCCAAGTGTAATAGAATCTCCTCCTTTGCGCTCCCATTATCCATATACATAGCTTCTTCCACCCCCATCCTACTCCATCCCAAAACTACACAATGGCCGCTCCCGACTTCTCCGACATCAGCAAGCCCCTCGACGGCCGCATCGGCGCCCCCAGAATCGTCGCCATGCCCCTCCCCGCTTACGGTGACTTGAGCAAGGCCGCCAACGACGTGAGTTGTGCCATTGATCCTGCAACAGGAGCCACAGGGACTGACTATCGTGTGTCTAGNCTTATCAACAAGGACTTCTACCACACCCAGGCTGGCATGTTGCACTCTACAGGCCGACCGCAAGAAAAAAGTCCGACTAACAGCGCGACACANGCCAACCTTGAGGTCAAGCTCAAGGCCCCCAATGGCGCCAACGTCACCGTCAAGGGCAAGCAGGCCTTCGACGGTGCCACCACTGCCTCTGTGTGTTGTTCTCGTCTGCTTGTATACAGCAAACCCGCTAACAAACCGCGCAGNCTCGAGGGCAAATACACTCTCAAGCCCCAGGGTATGCACTTCTTGCGAATGAGCCGCCTTTTCTTCCCGCTGCCCGTCTCTGCGCGCCAGTCGCTGTACCTCATGATTGTCAGCGCTCCTGTTGCCCAGCAGACTGGCACCCCTGACGAACCGCTCTCGCTCTCATCACAACATCATGTCTATCTTACTTACCGCTACAAACCAGGTATCACCGTTACCCAGGGCTGGACCACCGCCGCCCTCCTCGACACCAAGGTTGAGTTCGCCAGCCTCATGTCGCAGCCCGTCAAGGCCGAGTTCCAGAACCTCTTCAACCCCAATGCCCCCAGCAAGGCCGCCCAGAAGCTCAACTTGACCTTCAAGCAGCCCAACCTCCACGCCCGCGCTTTCCTCGACCACAGCGCTGCTGGCAATATCAACGCCCTCATTGACGCTACCGTCGGTCACGAGGGCTTCGTTGCCGGTGCTGAGGCTGGCTACGACGTTTCCAAGGCCGCCATCACCCGCTACAGCGCTGGTCTTGGCTACCAGGCCCCTACCTTCACCGCCTCCCTGATTGCCATGCAGAACCTGAGCGTTCTTGCCGCTTCCTACTACCAGAAGGTCAACTCCAACGTTGAGGCTGGTGCTAAGGCCACCTACGACCTCCAGGGTGGTAAGAGCGTCGGTCTTGAGGTTGCCTCCAAGTACAAGCTCGACCCCCTCTCCTTCGCCAAGGTAAGACTTTCCATGAGCATCTTGATCTCTACAACATTTACTGATGACAATGTGCTCTACAGNGCCAAGATCAACGACCGTGGTATTGCCGCCCTTGCCTACAACACCAAGCTCAACGCTGGCACCACCTTCGGTGTTGGTCTTTCGCTCGACACCAACAAGCTCAACGAGGCTGGCCACAAGATCGGCACCAGCTTCGTCTTCGAGGGTTAAAATCTTTATCCATGTAGACATGCGCCATGTATTTTTTTTTTTGCGAGGAGAAATGATAGAGAGCGGGCATTAAGCAACATCCGCTATGCACCTTTCCTTTGCCAAACTCTACTCTGATTGTAATAAAGCCCCAGTATAAAAATGTACACAGCCCCTTCTTTTGTCCAGTCTGACATGCATGTGTGTGTATGAGGATAGTTGTAATCAAGCAGCAATCTTCTTCTTTTCGTCGGTCTTTCTAAACAAGATGCCGCTAACACCAAAGATGACAGTCAAGACGCCACTTAGAAGGACGAAGTTGAACAGCATGCTCGTACTTCCCATGATATCGTCTGTAGTGATGGTACCACTTCGCCGTCTTGCTTTGTGTCTGTTCTTCATGACATTGTCGTGAGTTCGGAAATGACCATCGCGATCGAAATGCGGTACATCGTTGTTGAAGCCGGCCTGGTAGCCAGAAGGACCAGTACCAGGTGCGTCCTGGGCACTGCTGCCGGCAGCTTCGTGCTGATGCGAGCCCTGGGAGGCATACTCTGATCGCTTCTGGCTGAAGTTGCCCCAGCCGCCGCTGCGGTAGAAGGAAGGAGGTGGGCCTTTGAACTGTGTGCGTCGTCGGCTGAGACCTGTGGCTGGGCGTCCTCCTGCTGGTCCAGTACTGCTGTATGAGCCTTGTGGGTGAGAGGAGGGTTGTGATGAACGGAGGAAGTCGCGGTCGTAGCGTGCTCGCTTTTCAGCGCTGCCTAGGACATGGTAGGCTTCGGAGATCTTGACGAAGCGGTCGGCGGCTTTGGGGTCGTCGGGGTTGTGATCGGGGTGGTGTTTCTTGCTCAGCTGGAAGAATTGTCTGGTATCGAAGTGTTAATGTGATAGACTGGTCAATTGGAAGAGTGATACTGACTTCTTGATGTCTCCAGCAGAGGCGGTCGTGTCTATACCCAGAGTCGCATAATGGTCAGGGAGACCGGCATCGCAACGAATTGGCGAGGCGTGGAAAGAGCGCTGTAGAAGAGGTTGCTTGAGCAGGAGTTGCGGCAGAAAGTGTCCTTTTGCAGGACGGAAATGAATTGGGCGGAGGATCATGCCTCATTACGGGTATCTTCAGGCAGATGTTCTCTTTCAAGAGTACTAAGAATGTGGACGATGGGAGTGTTTCGCAACCTTGATGACGTCTATGCGAAACGGCCGTGCCTTGTCTAATCTGATCTCATTCTCCGCTTGGCCTCAGCGTGGTGGCCGAGACTCCGAGAGCTTCTTGGTGCGACTTTTACTCTTTTGATCTCTGTATCAGAGTCAAAATGTCTGCCGTTGACGATACAACCAACGGCGTCGAAGCCCTCAAAGGTATACCTATCCTTGCAACTACTAGGTTCGCGCCAGCATACGGGTACAAATACTAACTACCATCAGTCGAGGAATCCAAGGGCAACCTGCCCGAAGGAGCTGCTGCCGAAGCAGAGAAGCGCGCCGAGGGCCACGCTGACGACTCAGACGACGAAGGAGATGACGCCGAAGGTGCCAACGACGGAACCGAAGAAGGTGCCGCAAAGAAAAAGAAGAAGAGAAAGCCCAGAAAGAAGAAGAAGGCAGGCAGCGGAACCGCAAAGGGCCAGACCAACCCTCCACGAGTACCCATTGCCCAACTCTTCCCCAATGGCGCATACCCCGAGGGAGAGGTTTGCGAGTACATTGACGACAACAACTACCGTACCACCGACGAGGAGAAGAGACACCTTGATCGCATGAGCAACGACTACCTTACCGAGTACCGTCACGCCGCCGAAGTCCACAGACAAGTCCGCCAATGGGCCCAGAAGAACATCAAGCCCGGACAAAGCCTGACCGAGATCGCCGAGGGCATTGAGAATGGCGTGCGTCACTTGACCGGCCATCAAGGTCTCGAAGAGGGCGACAACATCAGAGGAGGCATGGGTTTCCCCACTGGTCTGAGCATCAACCACTGCGCTGCTCACTACACNCCCAACGCTGGCAACAAAACCATCCTCCAACAGGGAGATGTCATGAAGGTCGATTTCGGTGCCCACATCAACGGTCGCATCGTCGACAGTGCCTTTACCATGTCCTTCGACCCCACCTACGACAACCTGCTCGCCGCCGTCAAGGACGCAACAAACACTGGTATCAGAGAAGCCGGTATCGACGTACGCATGTCCGACATTGGCGCTGCCATCCAGGAAGCCATGGAATCCTACGAGTGCGAGATTGGCGGCGAGACCTTCCCCATCAAGTGCATCCGCAACCTGAACGGCCACGACATTAGACAATGGTCCATCCACGGCACAAAGAGCGTGCCCATCGTAAAGGGCGGCGATCAGACCAAGATGGAGGAGGGCGAAACATTTGCCATCGAGACCTTTGGTTCGACCGGCAAGGGCTACGTCAGAGAAGACATGGAATGCAGTCACTACGCAAAGGTTGCAGATGCACCCAGAGTCCCTCTGAGAACGACGAGTGCAAAGACGCTGTTGAAGAGCATCGAGAAAAACTTTGGCACTCTGCCTTTCTGCAGAAGATATCTTGATCGTCTCGGTCACGACAAGTATCTGCTTGGAGTGAGTATTTCCTGAGAATCACGCATCTCCGACACGACTAACAATCTCTTACAGCTCAACAACCTCGTCCAAGCCGGTATCGTGCAGGACTACCCTCCCTTGGTCGACATCAAGGGCTCCTACACCGCACAGTACGAACACGTAAGTGATATATCTCCATGTACGAATCCCACTTCTCGCCGCTAACAATCTACANNGACCATCTTGTTGAGACCAAACTGCAAGGAAATCGTGAGCAGAGGCGACGACTACTAGACACATATAATGAAATCCCAAAACTTTACGTACAAAACCCATCAAAAAGTTGTCAAATGAAGAACAAACAAACTTTCCATGTATTGTATCTGTCTACAGTCTTGTTTCTCCCCTGGTAGCATCAGAGCATGTTCGTGCTGTAAAAATGCACAATTGTTTTCGGACCAGGGATATCTCCAGAGAGAGCTGGTGGCATTGACAGCTCTCAGTGGACACTGCTCATTTCTATAACTTACTGTGCATTTTTATAGCTACTTGTCTTCAAATTGGGCACACGGGGAGGACAAACACCTGCCTAGTTTGGCATGGAACATGAGAATGTGAACGATCGAACAATGGTAACATTTGTGGTAAGAGCTAATCGTGTCTTTCCTTCCTCATCAAATGTCTAGCAGTTACAGAAGCACCCATCTCATCACTTCTTCTGCTTCAGCAGCTTCTCCTGATCCAACATCTCTTGGAGCTTGCGTCTAGATTGCTCCACCATTTCGTCGTGCTTGCGGGAGAGATTCTCTTGTTGCTGGCCAGTGTGGTGACTGATCTTGTTCTCGTGAAGCTCAACGATCGATCCTTCTCTAATGTTCAGACTCGACAAACGGCTGTCAAGCATGTTGGTGTTCTCACGTAACGTGTACCCTTTGGTCGAGCGAGGTGATCCGACGGGCGTCTCGTTGGTAATGGTTTCGGTGGAGGTATCATCGAGAAATGGAGTAGTGGTCATGGCCTTCTTCTTCTTCTTGTTCTTTTCTTGTTCTTCTTCTTGGGTGCAGCGGATGTGATTTCGGTTTGTGAGACTGTAGAGCCTGTATCGTCGTGCTTCGCCTTGCTCGAGCTCATACTGCTCAGAGCGCCAGTGAGAAGCGCGGTCACCGACGACAACGTCAAAAGCATCTGTGGTGTAGCTGACTCAGTGTGATGCTTCGAGTCGTCCGCCTTGGTACTCGGCTTGGGTGCATGGTCGTCTTGTGGCTGGGAGACGGTAGGCACTGCGCGATCCAAGTTCTCAGAATTGAATGAGTGGTCAGGGTCCTCAAGGTTGAATGAGTGATCAGGGTCCTCGGGCTTGGATGAGTGATCTGAGTCCTCAGGGTTGACATTGTCGTTCTGNGCCTTGCTCGGTAAGATCCTCTGTAGCAGTAATGCGAGTCTCCGGACTCGTATCCACCGAGGTGTCGACCATGATTTGCTTCGACTGGGTTGGCTCAGGCTTAATCTTGCTCTTTGATTTGCCTGGCTTCTGTTTGGGGTCCTTCTTCTTCGTGTTTGCTCGACGTGCGAAAGGACTGTAAGACTCAGTCTGCTTCGGACCTGACCTCGGACCTGTAATCTGAGATTCGTGTTGTGCAACTGCAGTCGACTGCTGAATAATATTCGGCATGCTTGCAGTGTCACCGCTCTCAATGGTGCTAGTCGGTGAACGTGGAATAGACTCTGCATTTCTACCGTGTACTTCCTCCTCAGTAGGGGTCACTGTGGGAGAAGTCTCGACGGCAGCCCCTGAAACAGCATCTTCGTCGCTCTCTCTGGTAATGGCAGGCGAATGTGGATCAGACTGTGCCTTTTTACACGATACTTTCTCCGTGGGGGTTGTTGTGGGAGTCTCGGCAGCAGTCTGAAAGCTGTCGTCTTCAGCCGTTTTTGGGGAGCTGTTGTTGATAGAGCCGTCCTCGGATAGTGACGGCAAAACAGGTCGAGTGAAGGTCTGTTCACTAGACTCCATAGTAAGTTTGGTGTCAGTTGGTGAGGGTTCGTCTCGACGGTCTCCAGTTATGTCTAAATGAGAGCAGTTCTCTCTCACGTAGTTACGCTCACGCTCAGCTGGATGAGCATAGCCGCGGTGGTCGGAATAGATTCTTCTCTCAAACGACCTGGTCTCCCTGTTAGATCCTTGCCACGCATCACCAGAGCGGAAAGAAGATCGACGTGCTCTGTTGGAGTTATTGAAGGAAGAGCGGTGGCCACCTCTATGGCCGTAGGACTGTGTGGGGTAGGAGGAGCGCTGCTGAGTGTTGTCACTGAAGCGTATGAAGGAATTCGGATCCAGTCTGGGAGGAAGATGATGACCACGCTGGCCAAACGAGCCAGAGCGTCTATGCGAAACATCGCTTTCGACATAGTAGTAGTCAGGAGCAGGATGCATGCGAGACTCGGGGGCAGGAACAAACATCGGAGGCGAATAGTACATATCAGGTGGAAAACCAACTGGTTGGTAGGGCTGAGCATCAATAAAGCTGATGTTGGCGTCAAGATCCGGGAAGCTAGAAGGAGGTTGCATGGGTGCTATCATGGGACTCATCGATGGACGACGGTTACGACCACCGCGAAATTGGCGCGAGAAGGAGCGAGTATTGTATGACTGAGCCTGCTGCTGACCACGAAGAAGCGAGGTGCCATGAGTCGAGCCAGTTCTGGGCCTCTGCTGCTGCTGCTGGTATTGATGGTGGTTTTGAGTAATTGGCACAACTTCTTGCGAAGAGGGAGTGGGCTCCATGTCGTTAGCGGTGACAGACTGAGAACGTCTGAAACCATCGCTGATGAGAAGAACGACACGTCCTAAGAAAGACTCGGGGTAGTTGGGTGCTTGATGCAAGTCAAGAACTTGTCTGATCTGAGCGGCGTCCATGCCGAAGCTGGAGCAGAAGTTGTACTCTTTCCACCATTTCTCGGCTTGAGAAAGGACGCTGTCTTCGTTGAACTTGGCGATGGCGTAGAGGACTTGTTTCAGAAATCGACCGCCCTGCAGGTGGAGGTCGCGTTCAGAGAAGTAGCCAAACAGAAATGCGTCTTCTTCTTCCTTGGTGGCGCCCTTGTCGGCGGTACCGCGTGGAAACTGGTCGGGATAGATGTTGCAGCACATGGCGCGGCGATCTTCCCAGAGGTGTTCGATGAAAGGTCTCATGTCAGCATAGGCATTCTGGCGCAGAATGATGCCATCTTGATGATTGGTGTTTGCGGCAAGCTGTTCAGGTGTCTCTGGAAGGTCCATCGTGGTGTTCAGTTGCCGGAGAGTGACAGCGCATAAGGTTGTTATGGATGTGTCTGTTGCAGAAGCGAAAAAGAAAACCAAAGGTGGAGGGAATGAATTATCTAGGAGTGTGTTGAAAAAGCTGAGAGTGAAAAGAGTTGGCGAAGATGTAAAGTCGGCTGTCTCAGTCCAGCAAGTACGATCAAAGGCTTGAGTGAGGACAAACAGGCACCTTCTGTCGTTGGAAGCCGAGAGACGCAGACGGACGCTTCTTCCAGATTGCGCGTCAAGTATTTTATGGTAGGCAACACAAGCAATAAGAGCGCATGGTTTTACTTACTTCACTTGCGCAAAAGTTCATTCAATGCTGGTTCTTTGCTTTGAGATGACATTGCATTCGCATTTTTACCTCAACATGCTCCGTTTGTTCGCCAGTATCCCAGCTCTGCAGCTACCCTTTATATTCGTCACTCTGGCTCCCACGATGGACACTACCTTTGAGCATTGCCCTCGACATCCAAGGACGTGGTTGTCCTGATTCGCACGAGACCCCCTGTTCCTGTGCAAGAACATGCTGAGTACGGCCCGATGTTCATAACAAGCCTTCTACTGCACGAGCTAACCAATCTGGGTGACGACGAGCACGATATGAAGTCAGGCGAGGCATTGCGCATTGAAAGCACGGTGTCCCTTAGGCTTTAGGAGTGGTTTGGAGCAGCTTCAGGATTTCAGACTCGTTGTCACCACTCACTGCNNATGTATGTCAGTTACCAGTCAGGATCAGCAAATGGTTTCAGTAGGAAGTTGAAGTACCAGCGCGTCCATTTCCCCAGTCTACAACGAGCGGTCTCTGGAAGAGACTTCCGTTCTCCTTGAGCTTCCTCAGGGCTTCGGTGGGGCTTGAGGCGCCTTCAATGACGTTTCCAATCTTGTCTTGGCCGAGGTATTCGAAGATGTTGGTGAGTTGGTCGTTTGTTGGAAGTCCTTCCTGAACGTNCTACAGCAGCGACGTTGGTGAGCAGGTGTTTCAGGTTGCGAGCGGAGGTGATTACAGACCGAGTTCGAAGTCGGTTCTCTCAACCTTGGACTGCTGAGGGTGGGAAGAAGCTTGATCGATGGTCGCAGTCGACTGGGCAGCGGCGGCAGTCTGCTTGAGCAGGGTGTGGACGCGAATCGAGGCAGCCGAGCTGGGNNTGGAGTGGAACAAGGTGATTACGTCCTTGACGCCAGCNNCTGTTTGATGTCAGCAAGCGAACAAGACTGTGATTTGTGAGGCGGTATTGGCAATACTTACTTCCTTGAAGAGACCTTTGAGTGCGCTGAACATGTTGACGGTATGATGCGTAATTGTGAAGATGGGAGGAGGTATCCATGGAGTTGACGAAGTCGCGTAGACTTGACTTGTGGGGAAGCACTCAAGTGACGTACTGCTCAGAGCTGTAAACATTTACTACTCGATACCGGTTCACAGATAATATACCACCTACTCGAGGATATTCGGGATATCTCAGTCAATCACTCTCTTGTTAATTGCAGATCCACGTAAATGGGAGATGAAACTTTGACCAAGAAAGCGCTACAAGATTGCCCTGTTGACTAATAGGTAGACAGGCATACCTTCTCATTCTACGGAGACATGCAAGAGGGGTACACCAAACACAGAGAGAGCATTTGATCACGAGATGTGTTCAGAAGACGTAACCGTTGTTGTGGAAAAGCTACCAAAGACGCCAGATATAAACCAGTCTTTGCGGCGACATATGTTCCAGCTTACGAACAGCAGCTGATCAGCCATGCATGTCCGCCAGAATTTTGAATCGTCATCATGGATGCCAGGGCTAGGAAACGGTCTGGCCGCCCAGTGATGAATCGAGGGTGTCGCCAGACTGCGTGCTATCCATGTGCCCGTCTTTGCCCCATCTCTCAAACTCCAGATCCGGAATTCGTTTACGAGGTAGGGTTTGGGTTCATCTACCGCCTTGTCAGCGCCTGTTGCGACCAGAGACCCGAGGTTGAGGATTGTGCGCACCTTTCTCTTGCCACCGGTCATGGTGACGTTCACGAAACGGCGGGTGTACGTGATTCTCTTCTTTGCGCGGCCCTTGGGGGTCTTCTTCTTCTCCTGGGGCTCAANCCTGATAGCGCACTTGTGTTAGCACGCTGTTCCGAAGGGCCGGGCTGGTGGATGCGGTGGGTGGCGGTTGTCGAAATATGTAGCGGAGCGGCGATGGAGGATTCGTACCTTGGGAGTCTGCGACTTGACCTTACCGGCACGAGCGAGGGATCCGTGGACCTTACCCATGTTGTCGATTTAATGGGGTTGTTGGATGACTTGAAGGGTTTGTAGGTTGCCTGTGGGTGGCAAACAGAGGTCAGTCGCTGTCGCTCGTTCAAAGTTGAATCAAAATTGATGGCGAAAAAGACGGCGATAGTTTCGAGCGTCCTGCAGATGGGCTGTGATGGAAAATGGGCGTACTCACGTTGGCGCAAGTTGTCGTCGGTCGTCCTTCGAGAAGAGTGCAGGCAAAAATGAGTTGAGTCTGTGTTAGACCGCCGGCAGGGCTGTTCGCTTAACTGACCAATGACAAGCCAGCAGTCTTGGCAAAGTCATCCCATCATCCTATCTGATCAAGTCATGATCTCTGGTCAACGTCTCGCTCACGTTTGGAATCACCTTCACAATACTCTGTTGTTCTCAAGATGCGCGTCAAGGATTCACTTGTGGCCAGTCTTGGACTGGTGGGCTCGTCGATGGGCTCGCTGCTTCCCAGCAGCCAGTACATCTTCGCAAACCCCTCTCCGGAGGCAACCTCGGGCTTCCGCATCCCTACCGTGCACGAGTCTGCTATTCAAGCACGCCGTATACTTCATCTCGAAAACATTGGCACATTATCGACTGTTTTTCCATCTGATTCTTCTACGAGTCAACATGCACTTCATCCTCTGGAGCAGCGACCCGTTGGTCTCGGGGGCGTTCCCATAGGCTTGATGGACTATTATGCCGACTGTGAGCCCGACAGTGGCAATCCTACTATTCTTGCTTTGGACATTGCTACCTCTTTCAAGAACGTGGCAGCCGGCAGTAACATCACTTTGAGTCTAAGATGGCACCCCCAAGACGGTAAATGGCACAGTGCTGCTAGCCTGCCTAGATTTTCTCTGGTCGGGCACCTCGAGGATATTGATGATGCCGATGCTTCAAAGGTTGGTCTTGCAACCTGTTTCGTCAAGAACCACCCAGATGCCGGCGCGTGGCTGCCAGGCAACCGAATCCATACAAGTCGCTGGGTCAGACTTGTTGTCGAGGATATATACTGGATTGGCGGGTTTGGAGACCGTGCCTACATTGGTTGGATTCCTCTGGACGCATATCATAGTAAGTAACTCGGGGACACGCATCGCACAATCAACAACCACCGGCCTCTGTGTGTACCATCCTTATGCACCGAAATATGCTAACTTTATCATCTTNNAGATGTCACGCAACAAGAAATCGATGGCTGCAAATTGCCTGGCGAGAAGTCCACATGGGGTTGGTCAGAATGGCTCTAAGACGCTGCTCGAGTACACGAGTATCATTTCCAGGAATGACTCGTTCAAATGCATGTCTACCTCTTCCATATTAGAGGCTTGATCACTCTTCGGACGTTTCATTGCAGGATGTTTCCACATGTGCTAGAAAGCAAGCGATTCACATCTCTGCATGTACAAGGATCGAAGTGAATCGCGGATCCTATCAAGGTCGCAATAGGCAGTTTGTGGATTTCATCCTGAGCTCTACACAGCGTCAATCGCGTTTCGGGCGATGTCCTGAGGATAAACCAAGCATCTTTGAATTTGGTACCATGCAGAGCGGATGGCACCGTAGTTTGACGAATTGCAACCGATTTCAGAAAAAGACTCGAGGACTGAAGGCGGACATGCGAATGATTAATCGTATCACGAGCAACATCACGAGCACGAACATGTTGTTTTGACGATGTAAATGCCATGTCAATTGTTGCAGATATCTATCTAAGCAACACCCAATCAAATAGGACGCCGTTTCGTGAATTTCGATCGTTGAGATCGTAATGGTCCATAACTTTTGACCCGATTCCATAGCCTTTTGTTGAACTCCGTCTTCCGTCATGCAATCATTATAGTTGAATAAATGGGGTATCTTTGTTGAATGAACGCTTTGATGCAGCTGTTGAGTGCTGTCATCCCAAATGGTACTGTCATCTCAAATGGATGCAGGGTTGTGTTGTTGTTGTGTTTAAGTGTGCTTCTGGCGGAAAGCGATGGCAGCGTTGACCATGTTGGTCAAAGCCTCCTTGGTCTCCTTCCACTGGCGGGTCTTGAGACCACAGTCAGGGTTGATCCAGAGCTGCTCAGGCTTGAGGTACTGGAGCATCTCTTCGATGCGCTCCTTGATCTCCTGCTCACTGGGAACTCTGGGAGAGTGGATGTCGTAGACACCGGGACCAATGTGTCTGGGGTAGTCCTCGTCGATGAAGACCTTGAGGAGCTTAGCGTCACTCTTGCTGTTCTCAATGGAGAGAACGTCAGCGTCGAGGGCAGCAATGGCGTGGAAGAAGTCCTGGAACTCAGAGTAGCAGAAGTGACTGTGGATCTGAGTAGAGTCCTTAACACCAGCAGTAGAGAGCTTGAAGCTGTCGACGGCCCAGTCAAGGTAGTTCTCACGCTCCTTGCCGGAACGGAGAGGGAGACCCTCACGAAGAGCGGGCTCGTCAACCTGGATGACGTAGATACCAGCGGCCTCAAGGTCAACAACCTCGTCGCGCAGAGCGAGAGCAAGCTGCTGAGCCTGAACCGACTGGTGAACATCGTCACGAGGGAAAGACCAGCGGAGACAGGTGATAGGACCAGTAAGCATACCCTTCATGGGCTTCTTGCTGATGCTGGCGGCGTACTTGCTCTCCTTGACGGTCATGGGGGCGGGGCGAGAGATGTCACCGACGATGATCGGGGGACGAACGCAGCGAGAGCCGTAAGACTGGACCCAAGCGTGGGTGGTGAAAACGTAACCATCGAGACGCTCACCGAAGTACTGGACCATGTCGTTACGCTCAGGCTCACCGTGGACGTAGACGTCGAGGTTCAACTCATCCTGGATCTTGACGACATCCTGGATCTCCTTCTCAATGAACTTCTCATACTCCTCGGCAGTGATCTCGTTCTTGACAAGCTTGTTACGCTGCAGACGGATCTCCTTGGTCTGGGNGAAGGAACCAATGGTGGTAGTGGGGAAGATGGGGAGGCTGAGGTGCTCCTTCTGTTGAGCGTAACGAGTGTCGAAGGGCGACTGGCGGTTGTGCATCTCAGCAGTGACCTTGGACTGTCTCTCCTTGACCTTTGAGTCGTTGGTACGGGCAGAAGAGGCACGGGCCTGCATGGACTTGGAGTTGGCCTCGAGCTGCTCGCGGACAGCGGCAGGGCCCTCAGTAACAGCCTTGGCGATGATGGCAACCTCGACGGCCTTCTCGGAAGCGAACGAGAACCAGTCCTTGACTTCCTCGGGGAGGGTCTTCTCGCTGGCGAGAGTGTGGGGAGTGTGAAGGAGGGAGCTGGACGAGGCAACGATGACTCTGTCCTTGCCGAGCTTCTGAACGGCGGTCTCGACGACCTCAACGGCCTTCTTGAAGTTGGTCTTCCAGATGTTACGGCCGTCAACGACACCAGCAGACAGGATCTGCTTGGGGCCGAGGTGGTCAATGACTTGCTGGAGCTGCTCGGGGTGACGGACGAGGTCAACGTGGAGAGCGTAGAGGTTCTTGAAAGCGGCGTCGACAACGTCGAAGTTGTGGACGATGTCACCGAAGTAGGTAGCGAGGACGATCTGAGGGCCCTGAGCAGCTGAGAGCTTCTCGTAGGCAGGCTTGAATGCCTCCTTGACCTTGGCGGGCAGGTCGAAGACGAGGACAGGCTCGTCGATCTGGACGGTCTCGGCACCAGCCTTCTTCAGCTCCTGCAGAAGCTGCTCGTAGACGGGCAGAAGCTTCTCGAGGAGAGTGATGGGCTCAACGGACTGGCCACGGTCGGCCTTACCGAGGGCGAGGAAAGAGACGGGACCGAGGAGGACAGGGCGGGTGGTGATGCCGGCCTCCTTGGCCTCGAGGAAGTCGCGGACAGGCTTGGGGTTGGATGCGAGCTTGAAGGTCTGGTTGTCTTGGAGAGTGGGCTTGACGTAGTGGTAGTTGGAGTCGAACCACTTGACCATCTCGAGCGAGGGCACGTCAATGCCGTCACGCTGGTGACCACGACCCATGGCGAAGTACTCGTCGAGGGNGTCGAGACCATGCTTTGAGTATCTCTCGGGGATGGCNNCTGGCATGGGGTCAGTATGCTGGGGTGTGGAGTATGGAGCAACGCCAGAGATGGCGGGGAAAGGGAGGCTTACGTTGAACATCTGAATGTGGTCGAGGACGTGGTCGTAGAAGGCAAAGTCGTTGCTGGGGATGATGTCGACACCGGCGTCCTTCTGGATCTTCCAGTGCTCGCCACGGAGTCTCTTGCCCTCGGCGAGCAAGTCATCTCTCGACAGCTTGCCAGCCCAGTATGCCTCGTTGGCCTTCTTCAGGTCTCTCAGACGTCCCATGCGGGGAAACCCAANGATTGAAGATTGAACCATGGCTGCTGATGTGTGAAAAGGAAAATGAACAGGGAAAGAGGAAAGGGGAGATGCGGATGGAGGTACAATGGACAGCAGTGCAGGCACGTTTAAGTAGTCGTCAGATTTTCCTATGGCGCTCAGACCACGTCGACAGCGGAGCATGTTCGCTCACTGCAACTGGAAACGTTGAAGAGTCCCCGCGGTGCGCCATCACGCCATTGTTCGCATGGCCCCTCGACCTGGCATTCAAAAGGCTGTGCTTCTTCTTGTCCACTTCTCGAGCCCGTCCCTTTGTGCTTGTATCGACGTTTGTGCCTCCATGGGCTTCCTTCTTCACTGTATGGCGGCTTGATATTGTTGACGATTGGGCGTTGGCTGAATTCCAATGACTCCATCGCAAGCCCACCCTGCGTATGTAGATCTCGACCCAGAACGCGCTAACCTGCCACCAAGCTCGCATTCACCTCTACAATTACTCGTACATTCTCATGACATCTCGTAACACGCCTTCTTCAACCTTCCATGCGATGTATGTTTCCAACATGCCTTCTCTGCATGCGGCCGAACACGCTTTACCATTACTCACATGTTGATGGCGCATCTTGCAATCTGGACCTCTCTCCACAAAAATGCTGTGCTTTCGGTGATTCATAGCCGCCTGCCCTCATTGGCACGAGCTTGTCATTTGGCCGATTGCGGAGCCTGGGGATTTCTCAACCCGACACAAAGCGTCAGTTGCCCTGGGCGTTCTGATTGGGCGGTCACGGGCTGCCCAGTCGTTCGACCACTCTCCTCGTACTTGCGATGAGACGGGGGTAAATTCTACGAATCTATGTTATGCAAATCAACATAGACAATCCTTGCTAATTCTGTTAAATCTTGGTCGTCTTGTAGTTGTAAAAAGTGCTCTCTACTCTCGACTGGACTATGATGAGCCCTACTTCTTTGCCTTCTTGTGACGGTAAGGACTTTGCAATGCACCTTCCTGCTCGGAGTAAATATAAGCACCACGGAGTTGGGTTTCCAAGGTAGGAAATGGCATCCATCACGCTTGCCCTCGAGCGTTGGCCTGCACTCGATCGAAATCCTGTTAACCATTTATCTCTTTGTCACATTGATTTCAAGTCCACATTTTTTAACTTCAGTCGACTCTTACAACAAGATTACATTTGCAATGGCAGCAGCAAAGCTTTGCTGTACTGCGCCTCTGCGATCACAGTCACCTGATGATATACCCTCAAGGCCTGTCAGACACTTCAAGTCTTTGGCCAACATCAAGACACATTTTGCTCATAACAAGCATGCCCCAGCTACCACAGACCACACAGAGAGCCACTCGCTCTACCCAGCAGACGATCTTGAGCTTCGGCATATCTTTGTTGCTGCCTCCTTGCCGGAGGACCACCCTCACGCTCTCAGGATCGCCCATCGCAAGCCTGAGGTCGACGAAAGTATTGTTCATTCACCAAGCTTCACCAACAAGCTGCGTAGACAGTTAAGTCGCAAGAGTCTAGTAACGGACAAGCCTCACAAGGAGACAACAAGTAAATCGACCGTCAAGCCATTCGCATATTCAAGAAAGAGGTTGGGACATGACCTTCCAGACCTCGCTGGTGATTATGATGATGATGCTCGGTCGTTGTGCTTAACCGAATCTCGGCTTGCTTCTCTCAAGAACGACAACTGTGTGACGACAGATGCCAAATCAGTCCAGCACATCCGATCCCCTGAATCTGTTAATCACTATGCCATTGTATCAGATGAGCCACGCCGGTCAATCAGTGTACCTCTGGCATCCTATCCGGCAGATTCTGCATCGCAGCCAAGACGTTCAATTTCCTTTTCCAACATGCAGCAGGATTTCAAAGGTGCTCTCACCGTTCATCTACCTGGTCCTACGTTCATGGATGCGGACGATATATGGCCATTGTCTCCCGCGGCTGCAAAAACAGGCCCTACGGAATTCTTCAAGACACCCAACTCTGTTGGTTCGCAAATGCCCAATTCTCGACTGTCGTCTCAGGAGTCCAGTCGACCACAGCTGATAAGGGCCAAATCAAGAAGCCCTGATAAGCACAAAATCTTGCCAAAAGACTCGACGAACTCGCTGCACTTGTATGACATGCAAATCTCGCAGCATTTACGTACACGATCACAGGTTTCAGAAGCGTCAAGCGCAAATGAGTCTGACAAGCAGAACCGCCATACACACGCAAGCCTCAACAGCATCGTGCTCTCCTCCATGGAACTTGGACGCTGTAAGAGTATCTCCAGCTCTGGCTTTGGAGGCTCGGCTGGACCTTCTACCTGGGAGAAGGTTTTNGAGGATGAATCATCCTCTATCTACAGTCGCAGACCAAGCATGGCTTTAAAGAGCCCGCTCAAAGCGCCCATGGAACATTCGTCTGATCTCTCTGGGAAGACTATTCGGGGAGACGCGATGGCTACCGACATATCTGAACTCACCAACCAGGGCAAGGAGAACGCCACTCGTCAAGCAGAAAGAGTCATATCAGCGTCTACTGGCATCAGCTTGGTGGCAAGTGGTTTAGCTTCTCATTCCGATCTCAAAGATTCTGCATCTGTGAGTGGCTCTGCATGCGTCAGCAGCTGGGTCGATTGTAACACGACGTGTTCCCTTCCAAAGAGTGACAGTTCGGGAAGCCTTGGGAAGCTTAGCAAATTCAGAGAAGATCTCAATGATTCCTCTACTGTTCCAAAGTCTGGAAAGAAGCGTCGCTCGGTCTTGCGCATACTGTTTCCCAAACTCGCACGGTCCAAACTTCGAAGCACCAGCACGCCGTTGCTCGGTGATAGGACCCAATCTTCTCTCAATCAGTCATACGATGGAACTGGGGACTCACAAGATTTACTGTCCGTGCCACAATCTTTTCTCAAACCACAGAGCAGTGAGCGCTCAGTCAGTTTCGTTGACAGAGCGGTGACAAGACCTGCGAGTGCCCTCTCAGCCGGTTCTTTGGCTGCTACTCCTTCTTTGCAGTCACGGCAATCCTTGGTAAACTACGAAAGAAGTCTTTCGGTTGTGGGTAACAACCGCCGCCGCAAATCGACTTTGGGTGGACCAAAGATCCAAGCACATGGGAGCGAAGATCACAATGATTGTCCAGAACGAATTATACGACGTGCCAGTCCCCTTCTCAGCCCTGGCAGAAAAGGAACGGAAGAAACTCTGATGGAAAGAGCACTGCTACAACATCAGGCAGAGAAAGCAGCCCTTCTCCGTCCAAGCAGCCAGAGGAATGAGACCGTACCGTCCCCAATGTACGCACCTGTTTTCACAAACTCTTTCGGCTTCCAATCTACCAGCGAAACAAGATTGGCAGCAGCGACGCTCGAGGATGTAGATCCATTAGAATCCGAGGAGCCTCTAACTGCTCGTGAAAGTCAGAGTATGCAAGATCTTGGATCATCCAAAGATACTGCCGCCGATGCTTCCTCGTTCCGCAAGAAGAAGCGCAGCACTATCTGGACCACGAACACAACTGATACCAAAGGTACCAAATCACACCTTCACACAATGACTCCTCCGCACTCCTGGAGCCGTTATTCATCTCATACACGAGAAAAACGCTGTAGCTCAGCTGGGCGTCACGATGGTATAATCAGTCGAGATTTTGCTCGTGTCCAAAGTCCACGCAACGTACATCAAACGGTCTCCTTGGAGGAGATGGCGACCTCGCCCAAAAGCTGGCCGCGTCTAGTTAATGCCAAAAGAAGAAACTGGATTGTCAAGTCGCGGTCGATGACATTCGGTACAGTCTTTCGCTACTATTCTAACCTTCTTACTTCTTCAGCAGCCCGTAATCGCCGGTCTTCCACGGCCACAGGTGGTAGACTGGAGCATCCAGAGCTTGAGGTTCTGCCTCCAATGCTACCGACACACCCAACCTCCTCACAGCACCTAGGAGCCAAGAACCAATTTTCTCGTCTCGTGGATCACATTGAAGAAGAAGGCCATCACATCAGAGAGGAGGGGCTCGACTTCATCCATCGCCATCGCCAAGAGTCAACATCAAGTGTAGACAAGTCTCCATCTGGACACGTTCCACTCGTCTCTTGTATGCATGGCGGATCTCAGATTATGCGTAATGAGGAAGCAGGTGAATCGGAACTTAGAAATGACTCCAAGGACAAGTCCATTCTACCCGGTTCAGTAGACGGAAACACCGAGGGCAGGCCTGCAGAGCCAGATCGAGCACTGAGTGCAAGAAGGTTGTCTCGCATGTATCAAGCTTATGTGCAGCTTCCGGCATCCTTGGACAACACTGAAGTCGAGCAAAGCGGTGCTACAGACGATGTCGTTCAAATACCAGATAGGCCTACAACTGTTGAGTCGGCTGAGGTCGATACGAAGACGCCTACCACCGGATTTTTGGCCGTTGCATCTGGCAAACAAGCGGTCTCATCCAGTCCAGTCACTCGTCACTTNCCCTCGGTCACTGTAATTGATGACCGTAAAGGACATTGGCGTAGTGTCAGTTTGTTGTCGGTGGATTCTGGAAAGAGTGTTCGTAAGAGCACTAGAGATCTGCTGGAGGTCGTAAGGGCAACCCAAACACAGGAGCTTGAGAAGTTGTTGGGCACATCTGAGTTATCGATGATGGATGCGAACACCCTCTGAGTGATTATGGTTTATCATTCTTATCGGAAGTATGCGCATGGGTTGGGTTGTGTTATTGTTGAGATTGATCGGGTACCGCAACACGGAGAAAAAGTAGATATTAAGGAATATCCACCACTTGCCTCTGCATTCTATAAATATGGTCGTCTACGCAGCCTGCGGCCTTCTTCTATCTGAGCCAGCACCAAACGTGTTTCTCGTAACACATGCTTTGTGGAGCAATCACTCAAGGGCACCGAAACAAGAGATCGAAAATTCTCGAGATTTTTGTTGGTATAGTCTCTATTGATGTAAAAGTTCAAACAGGTGAGAGGCAAGTCTATTAAAGACTTCGAGGCCATGGTTCGTCATGTCCATCTACGTGCTGAACTTGAAGCCTCCGTTGCAACTAATGACAGAGCCCGTGGTATAAGCAGCATCAGGAGTACAGAGCATGGCGATGACACCAGCAGTTTCCGATTCGTATGCNNCTGTTTTACAAACGGTCAGTCTTCTAGATACAAGTCCGGAGCAGGTTATGGCTTGACTTACAGGTCGGCCTCCGGCAACTTCAGCGCCCTTGACCAAGTCCTCGCTATCGACGCCGGGGCGGACGGCTGCCAGAGGAGTGTTCTTGAGCCATGGTGCAATGCCCTCTTGGAACTCTTTTGTGACTCCGCTCCACATATNCTTCAAAGTAGGCGCACAGTCAGCAAACGAAATGGTATAGCAAGAGCAACGACACTTACCAGTCATGACAGGGCCAGGGTTAATGGCATTGACGGTGGTTCTCTCGGCCAACTCGCGAGCCCAGGTACGTGTCATGGCCTCGACAGCAGCCTTTGAGCCTCCATAGACACTCTGCTCGCTAAAGCCACAGCTGGCACTAACACTGCTGACATTGACAATGCGACCACTGCGATCGGTAGGCAAGTACGGAAGCGCAGCCTTCATGAGGAAAAGAGGGCCTCTGACATTGACACGGTAGACGAAATCAAAGTCTTCGGCATTGCACTTTTCGATGGGAAGGTTGGACGCAACGCCTGCATTGTTGATGATGATGTCAATCTGCAACTTGCGTGTCTTTGGGTGCGCGAAGTGGTTCAGGGCTGTGGCGATGAGGTGTGCGGGACCGTTCTCGCTGCCCATGTCGGCTTGTACGGGCAATGCCTTGATTCCATGCTCTTTCTCGAGGCGCTCGGCCAGTTCTTTTGTGATGGATTCGGACGAGTCGGACGTGTAGTTCATGATCAGGGAGCAGCCCTTGGACGCGAGGTTCTCGCATGTTGCGGCGCCGATACNCTGGATGTTGTTCAGCCGCTCTTCAATATGAACTCTCATGGTCAATGATGGACACATACCTCTAGAGGCACCAGTGACGATGGCGATCTTGCCATCCAGCACTCTGTATCCATTTGCGCTACCAAGATTGGTCGATGCGGTACGAGACACTCCAGGACGAGACATGATTGATTGCAGGATTCGATGTCAAGATTCGTTTGATTGGGTAGAGCACTTTATTACTGTGTACTTTGGCTTGGTACTCTACTGCGTTATTGTGTCAAGTTCGTGTTGGTGGGGTTAAATAGGTTACTCGTCCCGGTGACGAATGTGGGGAGCTTCGATTCATTTAACCGGACCGGGTAAATCGCAGTCGTTACTCTTTCTAAAGAATGAACATCGCTGAATCTCAACTTGAAACAAGCCGAAGCCATAGAGTTAGATAAAAAATAGCAGCGGATCAATAGATGCTATACCTCAACGTCTGACAATGCGTCGAGAGCTCGAGAACATACCCGCTCTAGAACCAAACAGTTCATTCGACATGCCCCTTGAAGATGTTGAGCCGCCCTTAACGCCCCGTATATTAGCAAGTGCTCCATCATACGTCGGTCCTCTCCTTGAACGAGGTATGTTAATACTCGATGCCAATGACGGAACCCTGGAAGGCAATGGCTGAGGTCGATTGGAATATTGAGAGGNGTGCGTCGACCCGCGTCTCGGACCAACCGTTGGCATTGAGCTCTGCGGCATGTCCGGTCTTACAAAAAGACCATTGGAATTTCTGAGAGCCCGATCCATCGATACCTGCACACGACCACTGAACGCCGTGTCTAAGTCATAAACATGATCATGACCGAGCTGCGAATGTTCGACAANAGAGAGACCGTTCATGGTTTGAGATCTTGATTGAGAGCTGCTTTGAACAGGTCTCCGAGGCGGTGCCATCCTAAAATCTGGCATGGTTTGCTGATTTGTCCGCGACACCACGGGAGGGAGTGGAGGATAGCGTCTGGAGTTACGACACTGGTCTGCTCGGAAGAAGGGACTAGTCACCGAAATACCATCTGATTGTTGAAGGACACTGACTCGTTGTGGTGATGGAGTATGAGGTCTGTTCGGTTGACGATTGTAAGGCGGTCGAAAAGCATTTTGTTGGACTTGTGCTCCATGGTATGGTGATGGATGTGCCCTGGGTAAAGCGCTTTGAGCAGGTCGCTCGAATGGTTGATGTTGACCGTATCCCGTGCGTTTTCCTCGAATAGGTAGTGAGTATTGATCGGACCCTGAATAAGTGTCATACGACTCTTGAGATTCGTGAAACGTGCTGCGTGAGTCATATGTGATATCTCCTCTAGTGGCAAACTGCTTATGAGGCGACATGTACGTTGGGAGTCGCTCGGATGTGATGAAGTCAGTTCTCGAAATGTTGTCGATGCTATCAACCGGCTGAATCTTCCTCTTTTGCTGCTTGGGTGGTTTGAAAGGGGCCGATTGGTTCGTAAAGTTCGAGCAGTCTGACTGTAGAGCACCGCTCACGTAAGGCGGGTCGTCAGACCTAGTGTCGGTATTGTGGTTGATCCCAGTACGATCCCACGGCTCCCAAGTCTCACGCTGAGTGTTTGTAAGCTGAGGACCAGTACGTGAATCGTTGCTTCGATTGACAAAGCTTGGTCGCTGATTGTTGCTTTGCTTGAGTATAGGTGGTGGCTGGAAATGTGTGCTTCTCGAAGAAATGTTTTGGGTAATTGAAGATGCTGGTGGGGGTCTTGTTACAGGCCTCTTCTGCACTGATGGGTCTTTGGACGGGCTTTCTGGATTGCGTGGCTCGTAGCGATACTCAGAAAGCTTTCGTCGCTTGTTTTCGGTACTCTGGAGATTGTCTTCGGTAGCTTGCGCGATGTCAGATCATAATGCCTGCTAAGTCCTATCAAATTCCTTACAGGTCCTTGAGGAGTCGCCTCGAAGGGTGGTACTCGAAACGCTCGGGATATGATCCTCCACTGTCCTTGGATCGGTCCGGTCAACGCGGTCGCTACCTCCAGTGTGCGAAGTTGTGGCTCGCCCATTGAATGTATCATCCTCAAACAGACGTGAAGGAGGGAATGTGTAGTCGATCCGAGGCGGAGGGTAACCAAGCGCACTCAAATCTTCATTTCGGCGGTCCAGCTCTCTNNGTTTGTCATCGTCAGAGGATACCAAGGTTAGAGCTGACCAGACTTACTGTTTTACAAGAGTAAATTGCTCGAGATAGTGCCTGATCTCGGGCTCTTTGGCTTTGTACCTTCTCTCTGCTTCTTCAGCTAACGTGATTCGCTCCGTCAACGTCTGGATCTCCGTCTCAGCCTCTGTCTTTTCCAGCTTCAGTTTGTCTGTCTGGTCTCTGAGATGAGAGTGCGCCGTCTGAAGACTACGAAACTTTGTGGCGATTGCAATTCCATACGTGACAAGGCCAAGGAACTGGAACTAAACCAATGTCAGTTGCACATCGCGCACGACTGATTGTTTGATAGCATAGGTACTCGAAGCGCGTCCATGCCACCATCCTTGGTATCAAGAGCCACGGGCGGACACTGGAAGAAATGATGAGGAATCTCCGAGTCGTATTGACCCTTGGCGAAGCCACTAATGGCATANCATCTGCTTGAGCGCGTGGTTGTTCTGTCTACTGACACAGACAGGACAGACGGCACGAGGTGCTTGTCCAGCGGGATGGAACGGAAGAGCTGTTGACGACATGAGAAGCGCACCGAAGGCTGAGAGCGCTTGTTACGTACCTCCGCCCTCAAGATGTTTTGCACATATGAGGTGTGCGCATTCGGTCATCCAAAGCTTCGCGACTGGTCTGCGGACGCCTTCGAGTTCTTGTTCGACCTGAACAGGGCTGCGTATGTCGCGAATAGAGTCATGGCAGATGTTGCAGCTGAAGATAAGATCAAGTGGCTGAAGAGGCTTCGTAGGGTCAGGTTCGGCGGCCATGATACTCGGTATGTAGGCGCGATCGAGATAGGTCAGTGTGGATCATTGTCAGAGAGGTAGAGTTCACGCAGGTGGCGGCGCTTTGGTTGGGCGTTCCTGCCTGTCTCGAAGTGGATCGAAGCAAAATTTGGGAAGGTGCCTGCCTACTTTGAACACGCTTTCAACACCACATGCCATGTTCATCACATCTAAACTTGACCTATCTTAGGGTCAACCGAATATTCAGAAAAGGTTGTATTTCAAGGCATGTCGAATTTGGAACGTCTAAGGAAAGGAAAATGTACATGTTCGGTGCATCTACTCGAACGTTCTGCAAGGGTAGCTGGAGAGAAGTTAGTAAATGTCGTGCGCATGACGAAAGGCATTGAGACACGTACTTTGTGCTGTAAGACTGCTCCTTGAGCATCTCGTAGCGCTTGGGAGTGGATGAGGGGTATCTTGAGGTAGGGAATGGGGGCAGCCCGTTGGCACCCAGCACACTGAGGCCAGCCTTGTTGTCCTTTTGGAAGAAGGCCGAAAGACCCTTCTCACCCTCCTCCTTCAACGAGACCAACTGCTTGGCGCCGGCGTCGCCGATTTGCAGAACATTCTCCTTGGGGTTTTGTGCACTTCCAACAGTCAAGAGACCAACAACGTCTGGCTGTTTGACAACGCTGAGCTTGGGGTATTGTCTGCGGACATCGCGCTTCCAGTAAGGGTTCTCGGCAAGGTCGGCAGCAGGGACGGTGGTTGGGTCGTCGTAGAGCTTGGGATCCACGGTTCCAGGGGAGGGAAGACGGTACTGAGGGTTGAGAGGGATACCCGAGGAGCGCTTGGGGTCGACAGCAAAGAAGTCACCGATACGCTTCCAGATGCCGGTGGGTTGCACAGTGTATTTCTTGTAGGCGGCGTGTTTGCCAGCGGCCGAAGAGGCCAGCTTCTTGAGCTCGGCGACCATGTTGGATGTGAATTGGAGATGCGACGGTTCAAAGGCGACGATGAATTGACGACGACGAGCTTGGCCGATGTTCAAATGCCTTGTTCGGGATTGGATGGGACGCTGTCCGTGCACTTCGCTCTCGCGTCTACCAACACCAAACTACCACGCAACCACTCCCCAGATCAAGAAGGACAAGTTTCTTCGCTGCGAATCTCCTGAAGAAAACAAAAGGATTGAGCAAGCATTGAATCATGAGCACAAGCACAAGTTCGCTGCGCAGCATCCTGCCACAACTCGAGACGGCTCTCAAGTCTTTTCAGTCATCTGATTCCAAGTTTCGCATTGTCCGAAGTATCAACCCTTCTGCTTCAAGTTCACCGTCTCCAAAGACTCTGTTCATCCTCGACTCGTCCTTCAATCCACCGTCTAAGGCCCACTTGGCTCTTGCCAGATCTGCCCTACATTCCTCTTCAACCAAGCAGCATCAGTCTCCATTCAGATTGCTGCTTCTCTTCAGCACTCACAATGCCGACAAGGCTCCATCCGCGGCCTCTTTTCCTCAACGTCTGGCTCTCATGACTATCTTCGCCGAGGATCTGTTAAAGGATCTCCAAAGCACGGCGAATAACCAAGACTATGTGCTACCATCAGTCGATATTGGCTTGACCACTGCTCCTTACTATACCGACAAGAGCTTGGCCATCTCAAAGGAGGGCGCTGAGCAGTATCCAGACTCTCCGAGCCATGTACATCTACTGGGCTTTGACACTATCACCCGCTTCTTCGCTGCAAAGTACTATCCCAACTTCAATCCGCCACTTTCGGCGCTTAACCCTTACTTTGATGAGGGACATCGGTTACGTGTGACTCTGCGCCCTTCAGATGAGTACGGTACGGTCGAATCGCAACAGGACTTTGTCAATTTGCTGGCCAGGGGTGACATGGAAGCTGACGGAGGCAAACGCGAATGGGCTTCGCAAATCGAAGTGGTACATGCTGAAGAAGGAGTCGGTGTAAGTAGCACGAGGGTAAGAAAGGCAGCTAAGCAACAAGACTGGGACGAAGTCCATCAGTTGTGCACCGAGGGCGTGGGAAAGGCTGTGAAAGAGAATACAATCTATGAAAGTGATGATCGGGGAGCGAAGATGGCTTGATAATCACTCACAAGTATAATGACAATCAGCAACAGGGACGTACGTAAATTTGAAATAGTGAATTTTGTTGAACACTGTGGCTGTCCGATGAATCTCTCCTGATATTTGCCATAGGCCATTTTGAGATATTGACACCAATGTCCTGGCGTGTTGGACGATGTCGAGCAGACTCCCGCGTAATGCTTCGCGTATGTATGTACCGTAAGAGCCAACGCGAGCGGGATCCAACCTTATGATTCGTATGTTCGTGTCCTAAATACCATGTACAGAGGAGGGCGGAGGTGAGAGCAAGTCTGGGCGCATCAATGACGAGGCATGTCGAGCTCGATGGCCGAAGAAATTCGTTGCTCAGTTGGCGACCCACATGATACAGACGACGACATCCATGCCCTTGGCCTCGCCGCCCTCGTACTTGTAGTTCCAGATGCCGTCCTTCTCGGTGTTCCAGTATGCGCCAGTGGCAGAGTGCATACCGCGGCGGCCGACAGTGGCGGTTGAGGAAGTGGTAGGGGCGTCAGAGCCAGCAGGACGTGGGTCGGTAAGGTGCTGGATGATGGTGGAGTTTACGGCGAACTTGTACTGGACCTCGCCCTTGGATTCGGAGATGAGAGCGGTCAGGATAGATTTCTAAAGAGCGTGTCAGAAAGCAGTCAAGGTGGCCGAGAGGGCGAGGCATACAATGATTTCGGAGTTCCATTGCTCGGTCTGGGCGTGGTTGTATGCGGTGGCACTGCTGAAGGCATTGTTGCAAGNCCTGGCCGGTGTCAGTATGTGTAGCCTTCTGAGTCTCGTAATCAGGGCGCATACGTCGGCAGCGATCTGGCTGAGGCGGGTTTCGGTGACTGGCTAGAGAACAAAGTCAGACGGGCAACGTCGCGTGCGGCATGGCGGGCTACGGCGTACGCAGGTGGACATGGTGACGGCGAGGGCGATTGGGTCAGATGTAGGCTCAAATCGATCTAGAGGAATTGATGAATTCTTTGAGAATACGGCGAGGCTTTGTGTGTGAGAAACGGTATGCGACAGTGACTTGAAATGGTGTGGTTGGGTTTGTTTACTATCGCAGCGGAACATTGCTGCCGGTCCGAGCTTCTGTATCCTCAGTGAAGCGTGGGGTCTGCTTTGCCATGTGCAACACTGCCTTTGGCCCTGCGGCATCTTTGGATTCGAGGACAGGAGGAAGAGGCACCGCCGTCCTTCTACCGAGTTGGCTCTCTTAATGCCTCATGATACCTAGTCATGAACCATTGGATTACAACAGAATTATCCAGTCTGTTTCGCGGTCGTGTTCGAGCCGTGATAACGTCTGGGGTTGAACAAGCAAGCACCTGAACCATCACGAATCCTCGCAGCAATTGAAATCGTCGAGTATCACTGCCCGCTCAATCCAATACCGTAAGGCTTCTAGTTTGTGCTCAGTGACCACCAAACAGATGAGTATAGGAAAAAGATCGGTTGGCCTTTAATATCGCGACGAGGAAAATCAGGCATGTCGCTCGTAGAAAGGATCTTGACCAATCACACGGCGCACGTGTCAGATCTCAGCCAGGCGTCATGCTCGAGCATTTCGCTGCATCAATTGATTGCATCTTTTTTCTTCGCCAGTCGTTCTCAAAGCTCAGCAATCCATTGACTGTTATCTGCTGCACCATTTCCAACTTCTGCCTCGCCAGTTCGACCCTCAACCATCTCATATCGCCATCATGTCATCGCAACCACTTCTCCAGACAGCACCTGGTACACACCCCTCATACGAGCTGCCCGCGACCAGTCGGTCTCCAATACTGACTCGATCTGTTCACNNAGGCAAGCGCATCGCCCTGCCCACTCGCGTTGAGCCCAAGGTCTTCTTCGCCAATGAGCGTACTTTCCTCAGTTGGCTGAACTTCACCGTCATCCTGGGCGGTCTCGCCGTCGGTCTCCTCAACTTCGGCGACAAGGTTGGCCAGATCTCTGCTGGTCTCTTCACTCTGGTTGCTATGGCCACTATGATCTACGCCCTGGTCACCTTCCACTGGAGAGCAAAGAGCATCCGCATGAGAGGCCAGAGCGGCTTCGACGACCGCTTTGGTCCTACTGTCTTGGCCATTGCTCTGTTGGCCGCTGTCATTGTCAACTTCGTCCTCCGTGTTACTGGAGCTGGTGGCAGCCACAAGTGAGAGCTTTGATGGCCTGCGAGAGCAACCAAATCAGCAAGATCAAATCCAAAAACAACAACCACAATATAGACTGGTCAACGAGCTGCACTTCAGTCGTTGGCCCACAGCCGCGCGGTCCCTTTGTATCGTTATGATATCCCTACTGAGATTTCTCGAACAATCTCTGGCGTTGAGGGGTGGATTTTTTGCATGTATCAATTGAAAGGCAAATCGGAGTATAACCATGTACATAATCACACGAAAGAGGCGTTGGATAGTCGTCCTCAAACAAAGCTGTACTTTTCCATGTTTGATCATCATTTGCTCGTCTCTATTGTCTAGGGGATTTGATCAGGTTGCGAAAAGAGCCAAAAGCTGATCAGTTTTGGATCTCCTCCTCCTTCCAACCACCAACTTTTCTTCCACCTTCCTTGCGCTTGACTCTACACCACATGCCGACTTCCTTGTCCATGATAAATTGCCATATAACACCAACCCAGCTACGATGGTAAGGCAGATCTTGATAAAACTCCTTGGCGATCTCGTTGACCTTCCAAAGTCTGGTCCAAGGAATGGCTGGGAAGTCGTGATGCTCGTTGTGCAGGCCGACGTTGTAGGTCAAAAGATTGAGAGGTCCATAGTAGGAGAAGGTCTCGGGAACCGGAATACGTTGTTTAGGATCGCGCGCCTGCTTGTTCTCGAGAGAAGCACGGTCAAAAACGTAGTGCTCGGCGATAAAGTGGCCGGCCACAGGGTGCAAAGATCCGGCCAGGAAACTGCTCAAGATGAAGTATCCGACTGCTTTGCCTCCCCACGACTGGATAAGGACGTAATCAAACAGAAGCTGAACAGCAATGTTAAGGGCGTGGATCTTGGTCAGAGGGATCTGATAAACCATCATAGGTCTCAAAGCGTAGAACAGAATCTGGAAGGTGCAGAAGAAGGCCTTGCCGGCGATAGAGTCGAGGAAAAAGGCCTCGAGAGCGGTAGGCAAGTCTGTATCAAGGCCATCGACACCAAGCGATTTGTGGTGGGTCAAATGGTAGGGCTAGGAAGGAGTCAGTGTTGGTTTGTGGCTGAAGCACTGAGTGAGACATACTCTGAAAGAGGCCGAGTATGGGATGCCAATGGGCAAGTTGGCGACGATAGCGAGAAGGCGGTTCGCGAGACCAGATTTGAATGCAAGGTTGTGCGAGATTTCGTGGATGGCCAGAAAGAGGTTCTGGTTGGCGGTGGCACCAATGATGTAGGCCGTGAGCCAGAAGCGCCAGGACCAGAAAGGAGTGTTGCTGAGGAGGTAGGCACATGTGCACTGAAGGCCTACGACTGCGAGGACAAGAGGAATCGTCAAGGGCTCGGGTCCGCACAACTTGAGCANCCTGTTTGTAAGGTGTCAGCCAGGTCCAAAGAATTGCCGTTTAGGAGCAGCGACTACCTCGGGGTGTGCCTTGATGATGGCCATGCGACGGGAACGGTGGGGTTCTTCTGTGTAAGACCAGAAGAACTGGTCATCCTGGGCCTCATGCTTTAGCGGCGCCGGGTCGCTGGAGCTCTTCATGTTGGCTCGGAGGGTGGCTGACTGCTCGCCCGCGAGCGTCGTGGTGGTAGCGATCGTGCTGGCGGCCATTGCTAGACTGACAAGAACGACTGAATTGGACGATGGCGCGAGAAATCAAACACGAAGCATCTTTCGACTTTTAACAGATGGTGCTCCGCCTCGCTCACCTTGTGGAGAAGGGTCTCGTACGCGTAAAGTTCCACCTTTTCAAGGGGAATCTCCTGAGATCACCCGGTCGAGGCCTGCCCATTCGCCGCCAATCTTGTTTCTTGCTAGCGAGGTGACCCTGCTTGACATACATCCAGCTCGTGTTCTTGTCATCTATCATGTATCCAGCCATCAGAGGCTACCAAATCATGGGTCTGCTTACTGACAATCATACCACAAAACATCTGCCAGTTTTCTGCTCGTATAATACACTCGTAGGGCAATAATTCGCAAGTCTTGGAGTTCACCTGTAAAGCCACCTCAGTGGCGTTACTTTGGCCAGTGGTCTTGCGCAACCACATGCAACAAAATAAGCCGCCATGTTATAAACTTACACATCTACCTGTATAAGAAGAGTGCACAAAGCCCCAAAGTACCGTATCGTAACCTATCAGACCAGCGTCAGTGTTGTAAATATAGAGACGTTGAGAACTAAGTCCGAGACGTTAAGAACATCGTATGACTTGGCAGGCGTGCTAGTCAACTCAGGGTCATGACCAAGGACATACATCTCGACGACCAAAAATCACACCTTTGTTGACGTTGAGATTGATCAAGTGTCGAAGCACTCAGCGAGACCAGAACGGCGCATCCAGTCCACTCTTTTGCAATGTCTGAACACAAACGGGTCCTTCGCTCTATCTGATCACACAAAGTATGCATGTCCAACAACGATAGGACGAACAATATATCGGCCTGGCCTGCAGCTCCTCGAAACACGCCACCATGGCAGTCACTGTCGACGAAGGATTTATCCTTTCAGATCCCGAAGTCAGTCTTCCTGCAGAAAGCTCGCATGGTCACGAGCCAGCGCATGACAGCGAACCATGCCAACTCGATACATTGGAAGCACACGATGACTTGAAAACTTCTGGCATCACTGCTGTAGATCATGCTGACAAAGACGAAGATGACCATGCGAGGGTCGAATCTACATCCATGCTAAAACTCGATGGTGCGGAATCGCAGGAGGCGCTCACAGAAGACGTCGAACCTGTGGCGTCTGACTTCGAGTCCATAACCAAGAGTGTGAACGAGCAAGCAAAGAACAGCTCCCAAAAGTCGAGCCAGCAACAACCAACTCTCCACAGAATGCACAAGTTCACACTCTATGAGACGAATGCTCGATATTGGATAACTGGTTCAGATATAACAGACAAATATTACAAGCTTCTGAAGATCGACCGCACCGCACCTCCGGGCCAACTCTCTGTCTTCGAGGACGAAATCGTGTACAGCAAAAAGGAGGTCACGCAGCTTCTTACGACGATTGATGATGGCAACAAGGCTACTGGAGGGCTGCGTGTCAAGTGCAGCTTCTGGGGTATCCTGGGCTTTATCAGGTTCACAGATTCATACTACGTCTTACTCATTACCAAGCGACAGCAAGTGGCAATGATTGGCGGCCACTATATCTACCAGGTCGACGGCACTGAACTGTTTCCCCTGACAATCGGCGCTGGCTCTCGCTTTGCTCGGGAAAGANNAAATGCCGAGGAAGGTCGCTTNTTGGGAATTCTGAATAACCTCGATCTTACACGCTCGTTTTATTTCAGCTATTCGTACGACATCACTCGTACACTTCAGTACAATATTACCCGACAGCGAAACGCGCTCAACCAGGGAATCCAGCAACCCGGTCATGAGTATGATGATATGTTTGTTTGGAATTATCATCTCCTGAGTCCGGCAGTAAAACATCTGAAGAATGCTTTCGACTGGTGTCTACCCATCATCCATGGCTTCATCGATCAATCGTCTCTTGACGTTTTTGGACGCACTATCTACATCACTATAATTGGGCGACGATCACGTTTCTTCGCTGGTGCACGCTTCCTCAAACGTGGAGCTAACGACCTCGGGTACGTGGCCAACGATGTAGAAACCGAACAGATAGTCTCGGAGATGCTTACAACGTCGTTCCATGCTCCCGGGCCTAGAATGTTTTCCAACCCGAACTACACTTCGTATGTTCACCACAGAGGCAGCATCCCTCTCTACTGGACTCAAGATAATAGTGGTGTCTCTCCTAAGCCAGACATAGATGTCAACATGACAGATCCATTCTATCAGCCGGCGGCGATGCATTTTGACAACCTCTTCAAACGCTATGGATGCCCAATCTATGTCTTGAATCTAATAAAGTCCCGCGAGAGGACAGCACGAGAGTCTAAGCTCCTCACAGAGTTCCAGAATGCTCTGGAGTATCTCAACCAGTTTTTGCCCAACGACAAGAAGATCCAGTACAAAGCTTTCGACATGAGTCGGGCTGCAAAGACAAGAGGTGGAGATGTTATTGGTACGCTTGAAGTGATTGCAGAGGAAATCATGCAACAGACCGGGTTCTTTCACAACGGAGATTCGGAGGATGGATCACCTCAAGTTCAGAATGGCGTGGCGCGAACCAATTGCATCGATTGTCTGGACCGTACCAATGCAGCCCAATTTGTCATCGGCAAGCGCGCTCTTGGACATCAATTACGAGCACTAGGCGTAATACCGACTGCAGATATGGAGTATGACTCGGACGCGGTTAACGTCTTCACACACATGTTTCATGACCATGGAGATACCATAGCCATCCAATATGGCGGATCTCACTTGGTCAACACTATGGCCACGTACAGAAAGATTAATCACTGGCACAGTCAGTCAAGAGATATGGTGGAAAGCTTCAAGCGATATTACCACAACTCGTTTCTCGACTCTCAGCGGCAAGAGGCATACAACCTATTCCTCGGTAACTACATATGGGCACAAGGTCAACCCATGCTCTGGGATCTTTCTACAGATTACTATCTGCATCACACAGACCCCAAGAAATGGCTCGACCGTCCTCGCAAGAGCTATATCAATTGGTTCACGCCAGAGCATCTTGAGCGACGAACATTGCCACCAACAGCTCCGCGTAGTCAAGCCGCAAAACAAACCCAGCATCCGGCAGAGTGCGATGACTACTGGCTGGAGTACTACAGACCTCTCGCAGTTTCATCATTCGTCAAGGTCTACTCTTACAAGATGAATACAAACCATCGTTTTCTGCCCGAGAGGCCGAACAAAGACACAAAATACGACTTCAGCCCGTTCACGCCTCGCATCGACTTGAACAGAAACTCGCCCGACTCGCCAGAGAAGAAACCTCTACGCAAAGGTGTGACGATTGTGGACCCACAAAGCGAAAATGAGGCGGGACATCAGCAGGTGGGCAGGAGTGCCGCAGTAACAACAATACCAGAGGGCATCCTGCGTGACACCACAGCCGAGCGCACGACAGCAGATCCGGAAAACCAGAAGTCGGTCAAGATTGCAGATAAGGCTGCCATCACACAAATGACTCTGAACCGCATCTACGATCACTCGCTCAATCCCTCTGTCACGGCCGAAGAGACGAACGAATACGAACGCTACATCACGCACCCGACCAAGATCCCGCTAGTCGTATCGACCGAGCTACCACCAGAGACGACGCTCAATCTGGACTTTGTGGACTATGTCAACAGCGGCAAAGCGGGCGTTGACTCTGGTGATGAAGGTAGTAACGGCGTACTCGAGCCCAGTGATGAGGACTTGACCGAGTTTGCCAATTTCCTGACAGCCAGAGAAGACCCGTTGACTGTTTGGGAAGAAGATGGAGATAAGAAGAGATACAAGGCATATCGGCAGTGGCTGAAAGGCAAGAGTTTGTTCAAGCAGAGCAAAGTGGATCCGGAGTACAGACAGTGAGCTTCTAGTATATGAAAGCAGAGCGAATGTATTTCATAATGAATGCACTGAATGCTATGTAGATTAGTGATACAAAAATATCCTGTCTTCGATTGGGATACAAGAAAGAAACAAAACATCTCTAGCCATGACTACTTGTTGGTGTGTCTACCAATCTTGATGCTCTTTTCCAATCTGCCGTCGCTAAAAAACGGAGCTGAGATTGCCAAACCAATTTGGAGTCAAGCTCTCAAAGTGTGGAAGGCTATCCGAAGTTGATTCTCTGGTAAGACTGACGTGCGATGGGCGACGGATAGCCCATGTCGGATGCAGCCTCAGGGGCATCATCCATGACCATTGGCGAATCGACAACCGACACGACCGAGTCCCTTCTGAGCCTAGCCTCAGTCCCAAGGGTGACGGAGTTTGTCAGAGCCGTGTTGAACATGTCCAGACGGAAAGGAGAGGCGACACTAGAGGGAGGCGTGACATGAGGATTGCCGTATGCGGTTTCTGGCTTGTTCTGTGCGAAGGGCCCGAAGACGTCAGGACGAGAGATTGAGCTGTAGCCGTGGAAGGGAACAGGGTGACCACTGTTGTTGGTGTGCTCTGGCTTGACAGTATCGCTGTGCTGGACATGAGGACTTGAGGTGTTTGTGTGGCCGTAAGCGCGGAAGTTGAAGGGAACGGCGTTGGCAGGATGAGCTGGTATATGTTGGTCGCGTCCATAGCCATAGTCTCTACGCTCCAGCTTGACTGGGCTCAGGTATGGACCGTTGTGCTGGGTAACAAGAGAAGGGGTAGGTTCAGGCTTGGCCATGGTAGCTCCTTGACTCAAGCTAGGATATGGTGCAAGCACATGCTGCTGGACTGGAGAAGGAGCGTAGGCGGTGCTGGCGTTTTCAGGCTTGACAGCGCCTTCTTTGCCAACAGGAGTAATTTGTTGCTGCACATCGGGACGAGAATCATCAATCTCGCTCTTGAAGTAGGTGCCACCGACTTCACAATTTCCGGCGTTGATCATTGCCCTTTCTTCCTGCTCATCAACACCCTCCTCCTTCTTTCCCCAGAAGTCATCATCCTCGTTCTTGACCGTTGCAGTGTGTTCGTCCTTGATCAAGGTACCGTCTTCATTCTTGATCATGAAGCCCTCTTCACGCTTGATGCGCATCATGCGTGTGTGGAGACGTTGCATCAATGGCACATCGTCAAGAGCTTCGTCATCGTCATCTTCGCCGTCGTGGACGTACATCTTGTCCTTGGCCTTGAACGGGTTGAGTCGACGCTTTCGGTCCTTTTCCTTGAAGCCTTCCTTGCTGGACTCTGCCTCGAGTGCTTGACGAAGACGCATCAGGCGCATGCGAGCAGCCGGAGCCTTGATCTGGAAGTAGGAAGCGACCTCATGGAAATCGANCCTGAGAAATGGTCAGCTAGACAATCGTTATTGGCATGATGTGGATGAGAGAGAACTCACTGTACTGAAGTTCGAATGCTTGAAGCAGATGTACAAGAACCGGAGATTGAGTTCAGTGTCAATCTTTGCAGGCATCCTGTTGGTGTAGTATGGTTATGTGTGCAGAGTATCGAAATTGGATGTGGTAGTTCAATCACACCGAGCCTGGTTCGGCCACCTTAAGTAGGCAACAGTCTGCTCAACCGAACTACAAAAGGGCTCTGTGACAGCCTTCGTTCCTTGTCAGGCGAACAATGAAACAGCAGATGGATGAGCTCGTGTGTGTCCTAGGACCACTATAAACCTCTTTTCACCAAGTCAGATAGGGTTAGCAAGCCGATTACCTTTGCCCATCAATGCACTGTGGAGATTTCTAGACGCGATGGAATGCCATCCAGATCTTCCTTTGGCACCAACAAACATGCGCAAAATGGAGAACAGAACGAGATGGCACTGTCTAGTGTGCACAATTAGAACCACGCACAAAGAAGTGGCATTCTGTATCAACCTCCATGTTTCGACACAATGGCGATCGTTTACTTTGTAGGAATACTGGTTTGTCAACATCTCTGCAGAGCGTAAGCTGATTTAGTAGCAGTAAACATTACTACAAAGTATGGAACATAGATCTAAGCAGGCCAGCCTGTTTGTATCCAGAAATCTGTCCAATTATCGGACTATCATGTTTGCTGTGCGAGGCCTTGTGCGATGAGGCCCGAGAAATCTACACCGGCCTCGCCTAGAACAGCAGCCTGCTCTCGAACGACATCAATGCATTCATTCCACAAGGAGCTCCCTCTTTCCACACTGCTGAGTTGGCGGTTCAAGCTTTCATTAAATTCGTCAATTCGTTCTTTAGCCCACTTGACGACTGCTGATGACGATGTGGGTGGAAATGAAGACGAGAAAGTGCGCAAAGTATGCAAGATGATCGCGAACGTAACATAGGAGAGTGAAGTCAGGTGTGGCGGCAAAGATCCAGTAAAAGGAATTTGTCTAAAGATCGTCAGCGATTGGGAGCAGGCAAGCACACGCACCACGAACCTTGCTCTTTTCCGTAGAACCTCCTTACGAGATTCTAGATAGGCAGATCGAGCCGTTTCTTCATATCCGAGCCTCATGAGCCAGCCGACATTCTCTTTGGTGGCCGCCGCGCCAGAATTTGTATCCTTGAGCCGCTTGGCCAGCATGGTGGCCAATTTAGCGCCACGTTGGTCTAGCTTTGAGAGAATAATATCTTGAGCAACATTGTTTCCTTTGATGTTCTTTGCCAGTTTGCGCAACTTCTCATTTAACACGACAGCATCGTCGAAGTGTTGCAGAGCTATGTTGAGATCTAGTGCATCTACCTGGTTCTCGACCCAACGCAGAGTCTGCTGCTTGCCGTCGACATCAATCAGGGTCGAGGAAGAATTTAGGGTGGTGCTATCTGTGTTTTGAGTCGAAGCCTTTTTGTAGAATCGAGATTGGCCTGTTAGGAAAGCAAGTTCATCCATGGCACGATCTCGATGGTCTTGATCTGCCGCCGTGGTCTTGCGAAGATCTTCGACTGATTTACGAAAATGGACAAGCAAGGAATTGACCTCCTGGCCGGCACCGGAAGCACTGGACGAAGCTAATGTCCAAGATTCGTTTCCAATGCGCACGTTGAGAGCAGTGGTTATGTTGTGTCGATCGTCAGTAGCACGTGTGGAAATATCAGTCATGTGGATATCCTGGAGAGGCCAGCATCGTTCAGCAACGAGCTGGGTCTGTGTTTGGGTCTGCTGATAGACCGAAGCACGTTTGCTCTGAGGGCTCGAGTTCATCCCAGGAGGATCAAAACGCTTCTTCTCACTAGCCAGGAGTAGATGGTCATTGAGTAGGATGACATGAAGACGGCGGCGAGGCTTCCAGGTGGCAGCGTTTAGTTCAAGCCAGCGGCCAGACTCATAGACGATGTGACGGCCGGGGACAGCAGGAAGGAACTTTTGAGAGCCCTCGACACGTTTCCACATAGCCTGCAAGTGGGTGGACCACAAAGCTTCCAGGTTTGCAACACTGCTGCGGTTTTGACGCTTTCGGGATTGTTGTGCAGTCTGGTCCTCCTGGCTCGAGCCCGCAGAGGTAGCATGCGACAGGACGCCGGTGAGTTCGGACATGAGTGCCCTGAGGGTGTGCATTTCAGACTTGAGCTTGTCGGCTTCATTGGAGATGTGGATGAACTGAGTGCGGTTCTGGTAGACGTTATGTTGCAAGTCGGTCGAGGTACGGTTCTTGAGCTTGCGCAGTTCGTGTTGGTAGGCGTGGATGTCGGCCTCGTTCGCGTCTTGCAGTAGGATGCTCACGTACTGGTCGGGCTGTAAATCGGGGTCGCGCAGGGCATTGACGTCGACTCGGATACGTTCACCGCGACGGTCGGGCGAGCGGTTGGGCCGCGACTGGGCGAGGTGTTGTGGGATGGTCGGGACAGAGGGAGCTCGCTCAGCATCTTGGGGGTAGTTGGCGAAGCGAGTCGAGTAGCGGCGTTTGACTAGGTCGGCGGTACGGTCGGGACCTCCTAGCGATGGTCTCGGACGGGGAGCTTGCGAGCTGGCCTGGCTAGTCTGGCTGTTGCTGCGAGGGGCGGTATCCGAGGACTGGGAGTGCTGCAGCGGTGGAGGATGCAGTGAGGGTGTCGAGTCAAGCTGCTGGGTGTGGACGATCTGGCGAGGGGCGCTGATCTGGGGACGTTTGGTTGTCTTCTTCTTGCGCAACGACACGATGCCCTTTGCCTTTTCCGACATTTTGCGTGGTTGGTAGAATGACAGAAAGACGTGGACAGGGTGGGCGGCTGTCTTGGACGCGACTGCACGGGGCTGGAGGAGGCTCAAGTTGAGTCAAGCTGCTGACGCAAAAGGTGGAGAAGGCAGGCGCGCAAGATTCACGAACAGAAAAGTCCAAAGTGCCATCACCACACCCGCCCACACGCGCATACCATCAACCTCAACCCACCATCTGTCGCCGTCTTCTTCTCTCCAGCCCTCGCCAGAAACACCCCACATACCTCGTCATGCCCTCAACAACACCTGCATCGGGCGTCCAGACGTCGACCATCATTCTCGCAACTCTCGGCACCGTCACCACCGCTGCCCTCGCATACGCCGTCTACTTCGACTACAAGAGGCGATCCGACCCTGCCTTCCGCCGCTCGCTCAAGCGCCAGCAGAAGCAGGTCTCCAAGGCCGCTAAGGACGAGGCCGTTGCCGCCGAGAAGGGCCAGAAGGAAAAGATCCGCCAGGTCGTCGACGACGCCAACGACGAGGGCTTCCCCACCGACCCCGAGAAGACCGAGGAGTACTTCATGACAGAGGTCGCCCGTGGTGAGCAAATGTGCCAGGATGGCTCCGACCCCGTCGACGCCGCCCTGTGTTTCTACAAGGCCCTCAAGGTCTANCCCCAGCCCAGAGAGCTCATCAACATCTACGACAAGACCGTCCCCAAGGTACAATTCCTAGACTCCTTCAACTCTCACCTCGTGTGCTGACACATCCCANNGCCTATCCTCGACATCCTTGCCGAGATGATTGCCGTCGACAGCAGCATACAGGTCTCGGCTGCCCCCGAGTCCGAGCCCGTCGAGTAAATCCACTCCAAAACTCCCTCTCAGATTCTCTCCACGACACTTCCTCTTTCCAGTCCTCCTCTTCATGCCTGTACCACTACCTCATTCTGTACATATACCTCACGTCTTGGGTCTCGAAATCTTGCAAATCTTCAGTCCTTTTCCCATAACTTGGTATAAAGCTATCTCCGAACGCTGCCTCCTTCTGCTAGTCGTCTTCCAAGGTAAAAACCATCTCTGTTTTCCAGTAACGCCACGCTCATGTGAAACCTGAATCCTCTTGTCTATGCAACCAAATCACCGACGCCTTCAGGCCAGTTGCCCCAAACCAATGCTCGATCACCCCACCTGCTGGGATGCGGTGCCAGGAACCGTACCTTTTTCCTAGCTTCATCCACCTCTGCCACGTAAACGAACCCCATGACACAGCTGTCGCGCACGTGGTCCAGTGACGAGTTTCCTGAGCAGAACTTGACCGACAAGATTGCGTTGACCATTCCTTGACTTGGCGTTACCTTCTCCAGCCATGGTGCAGCGCCCTGCCCAGGCGCCGACTCGTCGTCATAGTCCATGCCAGGCAAGAAGGACGATTGTGCCTGTGATGCTGAAGGGTCTACTGCTTTGTAGAGGGTCAGATCGCCAAAGTCCCACCATTGGCCGTGTGGGTTTAGTGATGTTCTGCTATCGCCGAAGAAGTAGTTTTTGATCTGTTGCTGACGAGCTTGACGCATGAGTGCCTCATCTCTGGCTACGGCGCCGCCTGACTTTGATATGCGAAAGACGTGCACCACATCATCGGAGCTCTTGGGGCTGGCGAACTTGCGTAACAGGTCGTTGTACAACCTCTCCGAGCCCAGTGTGAGAACGACGTTGATGCTGAATTCCGAGATGATGTGCATGAGGAGATCGTACCCGCCTTTTGGTTGGTTGACACTTCCTGGTGTGTCGATGATGATACCGCTCTGCTTTGCCTCGTCGTCTTCCTCGAGTCTGCTCGTAACAGCTAGAGCAGCGCGTGTGACCAGAGGTTTGAACATGCGCGTGTTGTCCTCGGGAGATGCAAAAGGAAAATGGTAGACCAGTGGTGTCTTGACGGGCACTCCAGTAGGACCAGAAACCGGACTGCTTCCCCAGCCATCTTCAACATCCAACATGCTGCCCATTGTGACTGCACTCAGGCTGCCGGGAATGCTGAGTAGACCTTCCCGTGGGTCCATGTTGATGACAGTCGGTGTCCTCCCCATCTTCAAGCTCCATGCTGTCAAGCACTTGAGCAGACTTGTCTTGCCGCTATCGTCAGGGCCAACGATCAGAACACGCGGGCCGCCATTGCTGTCCCTGCCAACTCCAGCATCGTCGCGCGCTGTCTCTAGCATACCGTGGACGTTCAGCCATTCCACCATGGCTTCTGTCTCGGAACCGACGTATTCGCTGTCAACCTCGCCCTGCAGCTCCAGGGTGCAGCCGTGCCATGTGAAGACGGCGCCTTTTGTTCCGCTGAAAATGTAGGTCGTGCTAGGCGCTAGCTCGCTGCCAAACAGTTCTGCTGTTCCTCGTACTAGGCGTATACGGTATGATTTGGCGGAAGCGACTTCGAAACGCAGCTCTGAGCGCGCGGGCAGCTCTTCGGTTCGTGGAGGCGCATGCGACGCAGCGTCCGGTTGTGGTGTTGCCGTCGATGGCGCCGAGAGGGACAAGCCAGGCAGAAGCGACATCGAAAGCGGCACAATGAATGCTGTGTTCTGTTGTTGTATGGATAAAATCGGTATGGATACAGGTTTGGATGGTGGGGATCTGGTCGAGGTTGGAATTCGCTGCACATTTACATTGCTCAGTGAATTATTCTACTTTCTTGACACGCGTTGTAAAAGTCAAACATTTATTCAGGATTCGTCTTTGAATGCTTCTTCAATGGGGTATAGTAAGACAGATAATCATCATCGCTCATGCCAGAGTCCAACTCACTCGCGACTGATCCCCTTCATCAAGCTCTTCAAGACCTTGCGGACGCTGCGTATGCCGACTAGCATGTTCTCATCCGGTCCTTGCCCAGGTGTCCACTCTGCATGAGCAAAGTCGATCATCTTGATGTCAAACAGCTTTGGCTCAACTTGCTCGTCCTCATCATCGTCATCGTTCTCTTCATCAATTCCCTCACCTTCTTGGGTCCTAAGACCGTCCGAGTCTCGATTCTGTGCCGTCTGTGCAACGGCGGAATCAAGGGCTTCTCTCCGCGCTTGTGGGTCTCCCTCATAGACGAACAGTAAGCTCGCTGAATACATCCTGCTCTCCTGGTTCGCAATAATTTGTTCTATAGAGCCGACAGCCTCTTCGATGTTACTGACGATATCTCTGATCATGTCTGGAGTCTCTGTCTTCTGGTCAACACAGAGGAAGGCTGAGAAAGCGTCCTTGACATTGTCTGAAGTCAAATTTCGACCGTAGAACTTGTCGAACACCTTGTACTCTCCTGAGCCCTCAGGATGCCATACCTTCATGCCTGCTATCCTGAAGCCAAGCGAACCACTAGTCGTTTGGGATGCGACGTCGTCCAGCTTGGTACGTTTGGCAGGTGGTGCATCATCTGCCCACAGTCGTTTACCCAGCTTCACATCGACGAAATTGGGCTTTTGGAAGCCGGCCAGCACGTTTTCCAGTACGATAGCAAGTCCTGTGTCCAGTTTCTTTCCTCGTAGGGCGCTATTCGTCTCGGCTACATCTTTTGCGTCCTTTTCTTCTGTTTCATTTTCGAGAGCGGCAGGTAGAACAATTGCTTCGTTGGCAGCAGAGCGCGAAGCGGCGGTGGTGAGATGATCCTGTAGTTCCTTGGATTGGCCGCGCTGTAGGCTCCCCATGAATGTCGGCATCAGTTGGGCAAACTCTGGGTGCTCAGCGTTGGAAAGCTCGTAGAATTCCACCTCGGCAGCGACACATGGCTTGATGATCAGACTGCCAGATACGTCTGACATGACGCCGTCGCTACGCTGTCTGTTAGTTTCATGGTCTCGACGAACTAGGACCGAGGAGGGAAGCTTACTGGCCAGCCGCGACATTGTCAAAGGCGACAAGAGAATTCCAGTCAAGGCCATGTCCCGCCATTGTTTATCTGTTGCTGTGAGACTTGGGGAAATGGCGAAGGTGTGTAAATACAGTTCGGGTGGCGCTTTGCGGAGAGACAAACACCAGCCACACAAGGACGCGCAGTCAATCTCCGCCTACTTCCACTTCACACTAACTGTGCATCATGCCTCTGCACAAACTATCGATCCAGCCATAGTTGCGTCGAAGTAACAGTGATGACAAGGCTACCGTTTTCACAGAGGAGCCCAATGTGGCTCCCAGACGACATTTAAGTCTTCACCTTCTCTCCATTCCCTCTCCACGCACCCTCTTTTCGAGTGCTTCTCCGAGAAAACCAATAGACATTTTCCCACTCTGAAGTCTCGAGACAAACAGAGCGCGTGATCACGTCTTTGTGTCTACTACTAGACGTCTCCCCTGCAGTGCCTACCGATAATCTTTGTGACACGTTCAATCCCAGCCTGCGACTTCCCGAGCCGTGCATCAAACGACCTTAGCTTCACATCAAGCAGGTTGCAAGCTAAGTTCATCACTCATCATTTGGATTCTATCAGTGTTTGCGCTTCACCAAACAACAAAGCTTCCTCACGTCAGTCTTGACTCTTTGCTCTTTGCTCTCACACCCACCTTGCTCGGCAACCCCTTCTCTATTACATTGACTTTTCTGTCATCTCCTGCACCAATCATCAGTACCCATAGTGATGGAGCCAACCGACGTACACTCCGTCAACATCTCTCGGGAGATCTCTGATGATCACAGCCAGTATGTACTTGGAAAAACCCACCAGAACAATCACCGCTCTGACCGCCGTCAACCAGGTCCACCAATCTCGAAATGACAGCCCCTGACAGAATCACCGAGGTCAGCTCCGATGCTCCAGTCACAAGCGAACTTCAAGCACCACAACATGAAGAGCATCCTCANGGAGATGAGATCGTGAAGCAGGTCGGTCCTATCGCTTCTCGTTGGTACTCACGAACTTCTAGCTCACCACTAGCAGATNNTGAGTACTACTTCTCCGATGAAAACCTTCCCAGTGACAAGTACCTTCTCGACAAGACCGGCGGTAAGGAGAACAAGCCTGTCGATATCAAGAAACTCTGCCAGTTCCCGAAAATGCGCAAGTACAAGCCTTACAGATCGGTTGTGGAATCTTTGAAGAAGAGCACAATGCTCGAGGTCATCGAAAACAAGTACATCAAGCGTAGAGTTCCACTCTCCATCGAACCCACTGTTTCNCCTGAAGAGATCAAGGTGGCTATGGAGCAAGAGCAGAAGAAGAAGGGCCCGAGACCTCCTGCTAATCAACCATGGATGACAAAGGGAATGGTGAGTTGATGGCAATCGTATAGTGGGAGAGGGCGCCTGACCTTGTGTACANNGATGAAACCCACGGGTTTCGAGGAGTTCTTTGCGAACGCACCTGTTACTCCTGCTGCATTCGAGGAGGAGCAATCACTCTACGACAGGTATGTTTCTTTTCCAGGTCCATACATGTTGAAAGACTGCTGATTGCCTTTGTAGAGACATCTCGTTCGAAACGTGAGTTGCAGAACCACCTAGAGAGGACTCCCACACTAATCATGTCATAGGCGTATTGAGACGGCCATCCAGCGTTACCGTGCTCGACGCAAGTTCCACCAGCAAACTGCTCAGGTATTCAACAAGTTCATGACCTATGGTGGCATCGAGTCCGGTCCCAAGATGTTTGGCGGAAGTGACAACAGAGATCTGGCTGAGATGGATGCTGCACAGATCGCTGCTCTGACCGCTGTGCACTTCGTCGCAGAGGACGTTTTGTACTCTGACAGATGGGAGATTGACTTCGTTGGCGTGGCAAAGGGTTTCTTGTAAGTCACGATGACCTCTACACACGAACAGCAGCTGATATTGCTCTAGNNGTCCTGTCACATGTTGACCGACCTCGACACCAGTTCAGCGCAGGTGGACATCGCAAGAGCCACCAACGTTATGCGCAACTTCTACAACTACTTGCTGCACCACAACGTTTGCCCGGAGTTTGAGAGCCAGATCCACGCCGCACGCAAGGTCTGCGATCTTGCAGACGTGGAGCTCTTCAATGTGGTGATTGCCAACGAGAGGCTCCCAGGCCCTTTCAGCGGAGCAGTCTCAGCTACGCACGGTGGAACTGTTGCAGGCGTGTACAGCGGTGAGCAGCACTGGGAGAATCCTGGCACCCCTGACCGTACTCTCCAGGATTGCCGAGACATTGTCGAGTTCGCCATCTCTGCTTACGGATCCCAACAGCAATACGAGAAGGTCACCGACGTGGAGATGTTCGAGACTGTCTACCAAGAACAGATCAGTCTGGAAGTGACCAAGATTGAGATGGCCGACGAAGCGATACGTGCGCTCTATGATGCAGCTAGGGAGAAGAAGCCGTTCCTCGCTGCCCTTGGCAAGCTCCAATGTCGTCGCTGGACCTATCCACTCGCACCCAGCTTCGATCGTTCGGATGAGGCACTCAGACGACAGCAAAGCGAGCACACCATGACTCTGTGGGTGGAGGAGGAAATTTTGCAGTACTGTACTGTGGGTATGAAGATCGAAGGTGAGGTGCGCGAGCTTGACATCGGCATCAAGTGGCTGGACAGCGTTCGTGCCATCAGTCCTTCATTCTTCGAATGGCTCCCCAACGAGCTCTACGAGGAGGAGAAGGCTCTGAAGGCTGAGAGCGAAGCACAGCAGCGCAACAACCAGACAAACCTCGAACTGAACGAAACCGATGATGCCTCCGAGCCCGTTCACTCGCAGATTGAGGAGACTGAAGGTATCGTTGAAGATATCGGTCCTCAAGTCGAGGGCATTTGAGTGGCGTCAAACGAATGAGACGTGACAAAGATGGCTAGCGAGATGATTGATGCGAAAAGCTAGATCAACAGATTCCCAGACCGGTATTATAGCAGCAGGACGTCTTGCAAATTGAAGAATACCGTGTTCAAAAAGCCTTTGACCTCTATGGAAGTGGTTAGTGCAAATCACGGAGAGAGATGACGCGAGCGGAGAAGTGCCGCTGCTGCTGACAGCTCTCCTCCCGATTGCGGGGCATCACTGTTTGGCCGCATTACAAATAGGGTGACGTGGATGCCTCTGTTGCCATTCTCAAATGTCCATCTTTCTGAAGCACAGTGTCTCCTCCCTTCCCGCTCTAGCTTCACGTAGACTGACGGGGTTATCCGGTCAATTCGTTTGCAGCATGGCTTCACAATCGCTTCCAAAGACAATGAAGGGTGTCATCATCGAGAAAACAGGTGGGACTGAAGTTTTGCAATACAAGACAGACCTGGCAGTGCCAGAACCTAAGGACGGCCAAGTTCTGGTCAAAAACGACTATGTCGGCATCAACTACATTGATACGTATGAACGCTCTTCACTGTAAAAGCGGTCACGAACTCACAGAGAGTAATAGNNTTACTTCCGCACTGGTTTGTATCCTGCGCCCAGTTACCCGTATATGCTTGGAAGAGAGGCAGAAGGCACCATCGTCGCGACCGGCCCCGATACACCACATGGATTCAAGACCGGCGATCGCATTGTGTACCTATCCGAGGCAACCTATGCGGAGTATACCGCAGCTCCCGCAGCCAAGGCCATCAAGATCCCTTCAGGTATTGAGCCCACCATAGCTTCTGCCGCACTTCTCCAGGGTCTCACTGCTTTGACCCTGATCCGGGAGGCTTATCATGTGCAAAAGGGGGATTGGATTCTGGTTCATGCTGCCGCTGGAGGAGTTGGCTTGTGGTTGTGCCAGTTGCTTGCCGCTGTTGGTGCAAAGACCATTGCGACAGCGAGCACACCGGAAAAGCTGGAGCTGGCCAAGAAAGCTGGTGCTGAAGTCCTCATAAACTACAGTCATGAGGATGTCAAGGCAAAGGTCGACGAGGTCACCAACAAGCAGGGTGTCGCAGCTGTATTCGATGGTGTCGGCAAGGCAACCTTTGACCTGAGTCTGGACTGTCTAGCTCGCAAGGGCACCATGGCCAGCTTTGGTAATGCCAGTGGTGCTGTGCCGCCGTTCGCAATTTCGTAAGTCGTCTTTCTTGAGCAATGGTACTTTGAGCAGAGCTACGCTGACACAGCCTGCAGGCGACTCACGGCCAAGAACGCCAAGGTTCTCCGCCCAACGCTGTTCAATTACATTGCGACGAGGGAGGAATTTGAACAGTACACCAACGAGCTCTTCGACTTCATTGTCAAGGACAAGATGGATGTCCGGATTCACAAGGTGTATGACCTTGAGGATGTTGCTACTGCGCACGAGGTGAGCCGATGACAACCAATTTGAGCACTATCAAGATGGCAGTACTGACGATAAGCANNGGACATCGAAGGACGCAAGACTACCGGCAAGCTTCTGTTGAAGCCGTGAAATTAGATCGTACTTCTCTCAAGGGGGCTCAAACATGTCGATCTCACAAGGATGATCGCTGGCTTTGTTTACTTGAAAATAGTCGTGCATGTTGCCACATGTACACAGGCCTTGGCCCCAAGAAAGGACGACGAATACATGACTGTCCAAGACTGTATGCACGAGGCGCAGCAGATGTGTTTCGGAAGCTGTGGGGTCGGATGTGAATTCTAATCTGCATACGATGCAAGCACGAATCTCTTCCTGTTGCTCCTCCTTGTTTGATGAAATGATTCCTTGTCGAAGTCCTTGGCATCTGTACCGCCGTTTCTTTCGAGCTTTGCGACAGCAACAACCAGACCGCTACTGTACCACATCTCCAGCGAGCACATTCGCCCAGGGCGAGTCGCAGGAGTTCCGATAGTGTTGACATCACCACCTGGCTCTGATTGTCATTCTCCTTCCTGTGAGGCGGGTTCTTGGGCGAAACGGTCTGCCAAGTATACGGGTCTTGCCCAGCAGCCAAGGAAGCGCAAACAACAACACCCAAGGCGCCGAGTAGGCACTGCCGCGGGAGGTTGAGGATGTAGGTTGAGAGCAGTCGCATAAATCCAGCGGTACCCTCGCAGGTGTCGTGGGTAGATATCGTGCTCTCTCGTAGTGTCATTCGTTCATCATACTCGTCTTCTTTTGTTGTTCCCTTGTTTCGTTTCGTACCATCAAAACTTACCAGTCATGCGCTACTCGATTGCAGGTCTTGCCTTGCTTGGTGGTTTGACAGCTGCCGTCGATCCCGTCGAAGTACGCGGACAAGACTTTGTCAACTCAGTCAGTGGTGACAGATTCGTTGTCATTGGTGTCGATTATCAGCCTGGTGGTCAAGGAGCCATCTCAGCAGACAACGATCAAGACGTTCTCAGTGATGCCGAAGCTTGTACTCGTGATGCAGCTTTGATGCAGAGTCTCGGTGTCAACACTATTCGAAGCTACAACGTGGANCCCGGTAGGTTTATCATAGTCTGAATTTGATCTTAGCTGACCTGTTGTCAGACTCTCAACCACGACGAATGCATGTCGATTTTCAACGGTGTAGGAGTCTATGTCATTCTCGACGTCAACACTCCTTTGTATGGACAGCATATCGATCGCAGTAACCCTGCGGGCACATACACTCGCGATTACATGGAACACGTCTTCACAGTTATTGAAGCATTCAAGGGCTATCCCAATTTGTTGGGTTTCTTTGGAGGCAACGAGATCATCAACGACCTGGGAACAGCCGATGAGAACCCTCCCTACATGAGAGCAGTCCAGCGCGACATGAAGGATTATATCACTGCTCGTGCAGACAGACCTATTCCTGTCGGATATTCAGCTGCCGATGTCAGAGAGTTCACCGAGGACACTTACAACTACTTGGCCTGCGATAACGGAGATTCAAGTGCTTCTGACTTCTTCGGGCTGAACTCTTATTCATGGTGAGTCTCCCAGAAGCAAGACTTATGAGATTACATGCTGACACGGATTGATAGGTGTGGATCAGAGTCTAGCTTCGAGACAGCTGAGTATGACGTTCTCGTTGAGATGTTCTCCAATGCCTCTATACCAGTCTTTTTCTCCGAGTATGGCTGCAACGATCCTAGTCCTCGTGTTTTCGAAGAGGTTGAGGCGTTGTACAGNCCCCGGATGACTGTTATGTCAGGAGGGTTGGTGTACGAGTAAGTCGGAATCTGGACCAAAAGGAATCCAGGGCTTGAACTAATTGATATAGANTGGTCACAAGAAGAGAACAACTATGGTCTCGTCGACATCTCTGCCAATGGATCTGTCCAACTGCGATCAGACTACAACAGTCTTCAGGAACAATACAGCCGCATCAATGTCACACTTCTCGAAGCCAGCAATGACACTGCGACTGGAATCGTCGCTCCTCGTTGCTCTTCTGACTTGATCCAAGCGGACGACTTCAGCGATGAATTCGATATTCCTTCTCGCCCCAGTGGTGTCGATGCTTTGATCTCATCGGGCATTTCCAATGCACCTACAGGTGCTCTCGTTTCCGTTACCGCAACTGCAGTCGCACTTCCCGTTTACGACGTCGGTGGCGTGTCCATGAGTAATCTCGCCATCACACCGACCAACGAAGCAAACCACCCAGTTGGCACTGCAAGCAGAACCTCAAGCAGATCGGGAACTGCTTCTGGCTCTTCAACATCCTCTGGGGCTTCCGCTGGCGCAACTCAGAGTGGTACCGCTCACCGTCTGTCTGGTGCTGCTGTTCTTGCTCTCGGTGCTGCTGTCTTTGCTTTGTAGAAATTTCTCGTTCCTCTTATTCATAATTGTCTTGTATTCGTTATCCTTCCCCACGAAATTTGCTGTCGTCTATACTTTGATTTCCTTGCCCACACATCACCGAAGCTTGAGGGATACCGACAATATAGAGCTTTTAGTCGCAATTTTGGATTCGTCCTGTCAATTTAGAACCTTCCAACATACCATATAGTAACTTCTTCTGAAGACATTTGAACAGATGTTTGTTTTGATTCAATTAGGTGTGTTTCTTCATCTTTAACCGATACAGTGACATAAAGATCAGAACTGGGGAGGAGCATACTGTAAAACACAACGCTTTATTATTGTAGCTATGTTAATTCAAAGCGATTACTATCTGCTTTTTCATCCAAAACCTTGCATCCGTTGATGCTATACATTAATGCGATCAGGATTCGAGGGAAAGTACAAAGAACACAGAACTATCATCGTCAAAAGGAGTGTGCAGGCATCTCGCCAATATCAGTAGTTTTACATATCAAAACGTTGGAACTTAGAGCAACATCATAACAGCAGCCATAATAATGGGTACTGCTACGGTGAAGACAGAAGCTCTGGCATTCTGAGCAGACCCTGAAGACATGTTGGTTTCTGTGGGTGGCATGCTCGGCTCTGTAATGCTTGTCAGTACGATTTTCAAAAGTATGAGGACATGTACGCTTACTTGTGGCAGTGCCGCTGGAGCCAGCACTGGTACGCTGCGCAGGGGAACTAGACTGGGGCGAGTGAATGGATATGGTGGAGTTAGACATCGAGGGAGAGCTGGCCTGAGGAGAAGCGACCGAAGGCGGAGGCGCGCTGCATTGCATATATGGACCACTCTGAGGAGGAGCACTGCCCTGTGGCGGCATTTCACTCGCAGGGAGGGAACTGGATTGAGTGGATACGCTTGGCTGCGGAGACATACTGGCCTCAGGGGGCGAGCTGTTCTGGGGAGGCACATCTGTAGCTGGAGATGGTGGGCCAGGGAGGCTACAGGCGAAGAAGGCATCTGCGCTGGAGGAGAGCTCGCACCCATAGAATTGGGAGAGACTGGTGAGGACATTGGCGTCGAAGCAGCCATAGTGTTGGGCGATGATGGGGCATTGGAAGGTGCTGATGGTGACATGCCGTTCGAAGCTGGAGGTGCAGAAGAGGCAGGAGATTGGGGTGAAGACATCGGTGGCTGCGCTGCAGTCGTATCGCACGTCGGGCACACAGTAATGGTCGTGGGAAGAGGAATTGTGACGGTCGTCTGTGTGTTCGTTGGTGCGGAAGGCGAGGAGGCCACGTTTGACGGAGTAGTGGGCGAGGCCACGATTGCTGTGCTGACGGATGGAACGTTCATGTTGTGAGAAGCTGTTACTGCAGACTCAATACTGGCAACACTTGTCTGAGCAGAGCTGTGAGGCACAGTGACGATAGAAGAGCTCTCCTTGACCACTTTCGTGGTGGAAGTCACTGTTTGAGTGCTTGTTTGATGAGCCTTGGAAACTTCAATGGTGGTTCCAATGGTGGAGGTACTGAGTTTCGCGGAAGGAACGCTTGCTGGTGCAGACGGAACACTGCTCATAGGTAGGCCGGGAGCGTTAGAATATGGCCCAGAGCTAGTGGAGGTGACATAGACCAGGGTACTCGTAGTACCACCGATACAAGAACCGCACCCGGTAGTAACTGTCATCACCCGTGTGGCCACCACGGTGGTGAAACTATATGTGAAAGAGGTTTTATCACTCTGTTGACATGTGTCGGAAGGATGGATATAACTTGGGCAGCCCATCGTGACCATGGAACTGATGATGGAGGTCACAGTCGTCCAAGGGCGTGTTGAGGTAGTAGGGTAAACAGTCGTAATTGATTTGATTGGCGACATGATAAACCTGGTCGACTTCATGTTGGTCGAGCACGGACTCGAAGTGCAACTCCAAGACGTCGTTGGACAAGGAGTCGATGAAGAGGAGGGAGTCGGATAAATCGTCATGATCGGTTCAACTGGTGACCTGGTGGATTTGGTCGAGCATGGCTCTGACGAAGAGGAGGAAGTCGAACACGATGTGCTTGTCGAAGAGAAGCTAGAACAATTAGTTTTTGACGACGAAGAAGTCGAACAGGGTGTGGTCGACGAGGAGGATGAGCTCGAGTACTTGGTGCTTGAAGATGAGGAAGTCGAGCATTTAGTGCTTGAAGATTCCGAGCAACTAGTACTCGAAGAAGACGTCGAGCATGGAGTGGTTGATGAAGTCGAGTTCAAAGAAAGAACAGTGCAAGAGGTAGAGAATCGAGGCTTTGTAGAAGAGGTCGAGCAGTTGCAGGAGGTGGAGCCGGGAGTAGTGCGCGTGTTGATGTAGGCCGTTTTGGTTGTGCAGTTNGGACGATTTAGTGTTGATGTAGTAAGTCTGCGTGGTGCAAGATGAATTGCCCGGAACGGATGTCATCTGGCTGTAGTTATATGCAGACTTTCCATTGCATGTGACGTTAGTGACAGCAGATGAGGGTGGTGTAGAGGTCGCTGCAGAGGTCTGGCGAGGCTTCAGTCCTCGACCTTCGACATGGAGGGACAATGCTAGTGAAGCAATGATAAACGAAAGGAAAGCCCTCATAGCGACAGATGGCGTTCAAGGTCCTTGCAAAACGATTGATGAAGGTAAGAAGAGAACAGGAATGTTGACAGGAAATACCATTAAGTACCTCGCAGGCGCCCATTGCAGTGAGTGATTTTACGTTACTCAACTGCAATGCTCAGTGGGGTTAGCTGAAATAGAAAGCTGAGAACTGAGCCAATCATGGTCTCAAAATGTCGATGGACTTCACCGCTTGTAAACACTAGGGTTGGATACCTCCACACCAATCCACATAGTTTCAAAAGACACTTTGGATGGACGCACATCCCGTTTGAACCTGCAACTCTCGGTGAACATCACATGCAGTCGAGCAGTTATTCCTCAAGTCTTTGCTCCTTACGGAGAAAGAGATAACCCAGGCATCATTCCTAGCTCTTGAAGCAGGCTGAATGGTGAATCCAGAAACTTGGTAGGTCGTAGGTATGTAAGTACGAGTATACGTTAAAGTTTCTTAGGGTGGGGTGTAGAGCGAGATACTGAGCTTTCTTTGTTGCTAGCGTACGATTCTTGCGCAGGAACAAGAGGGGTCTCTGTAAAGACAACCGATCATGTCTTGAGCGATGTGGATCTTGGAGATATGTGTGGAAGTCATACCATCAGAACCTTTACTAGAGAGCTATAGGCAAAACATCGCTTCAACAACCGCTCAACAGAACTTCCGATTAGATCATGACGATAACACTGTCTGAATGGAGTTTATACCTGCAAAAAGTTCTCCGTATGGCCAGCGATGAAGTGACAGCAACAACAGCATGTTGCGGAACACAAACGATGAAGCTTGGTCGAGCGTGGCTGGCTCCCGAGTCCCGAAGCATCGCGAAGTAAGCCAGCACAACATGGACCTCAGACTGACGAGGTCGCGTCTCCGCAAGCTATGACTTTTATCAAACTATTGAGAAATTGCATAGATCAAGCATATTTCCTGTCGAAGCTGATGCTGGCCCATGGCGGTCACAGCGCATAATGCAAAAGGATCTGTGTGTCCTAACTGGTTTGAATTAAATCGTGCCTGACTGCAGTCTTAGACCACAGTGACTTTGTGAGTTGCTGGTTCGTTCAATGTTTTTCTTCTTGTTTTGCTGCTTTTAATCAAGAGGAAGAGCGTATGGTGCGATGTCGAAGTGAACGTTGCGCGGCAGGTCAATCTTGTGCTTGGCACCTTCCTCTCCAGCTTGGCGGCGCCCCTTGATACCATCATAACAATAACTACTACTTCACGTTGCCATCGAAGCTCGCCGAAGGCATTCAGTTTGCAAAGTTTGTTTCCCGGGCGCAGTCAGCGGGCCATAACGCGACGTGAACGCAACCCTGAAGAAGTTATCGCAATCATACCGAATCTGGAACCTACGCGACAACTCATCGGCCAAGGCATCATGGGAGGCCACAGCAACAATAACGGAGAAGAGCAGAAGGTTGAGAAGGGATATGCCACTCTCGCGACTCTCAGGTGTGTCATGGACTGCCAAGCTTCAATATAGTCCTTACTGACCCGGACNAGGGTCGGAGTCAGAGCATGGGTCGACAAGGTGAGGGACAGCCTGCCCATACCATCACCACATCATCGAATATTCGATATCTTTCGCCAGCTCAACAAGAAGATGGTGGGATTTTATAAGTCCGAATACTGAATACCTCCTAGNGACGATGAAAAACGCAAGGCCGAGGTTCTCTCTATACAAACGCGCAGAGGCAAACCTACCTTCTAGTGAGTCTGGACGACCAATTCAAGCCGGAAAGTGCTAACGAAANNTAGTGTCCATTATCAAGACTTCAATAAACGACTGGATGGTACGGAACCATCCAACAACTGACCATATCAAATGCTGACCACGTGATTAGAATGGGTAGCGGCGGAACGCATCGATCTATCGAGGGAAGTGGAATGGCCCCTNTCCGAGAAAGCAGACACAAAGCAGAAAAAGACTACGAGCAAGACAACAGCAAAAGCCGAACCCTCGAAAGCCAACAAAGCACCAAAACGATCACGAGCATCAAGTATCAGGGAGCCTTCCGCAACACCAACCGAAGCATCTCAATCATCGAAAGTAGGCACTCGTCGGCCTTCGTTAGCAGGCAACGATCACAGATCGCCTTCTATAGCCGTCCTTGCGCCCGAACTAGGCGATGGGACGCCGCAACCGGATGGAGAGGTCGACGACGATACGGTGGATCTTATCGACGTGCAGAATGCTGCCGCAGCCGCAAAGGCTATCCCAGACCACCTGTACTCACGCGAGGAGGAGATTGAGAAGCTACGCACTAGTGGTTCGATGACACAAAACCAGACAGAAATCAGCAGAGTACGAAATCTGGAGAAAATACAGATGGGAGCTCATGAGATCGAACCATGGTACTTCTCGCCATACCCCGTAGAGTACTCCGATTGCGAGCTGGTGTACATCTGCGAGATGTGCCTACTCTACTTTGGCAATGAGAGACAGTTTAAGCGACACCGAAGCAAGTGTACTCTATTGCACCCTCCTGGTAACGAAATCTACCGCGACGACATGGTCAGCTTTTTCGAGATTGACGGCAGGAGACAAAGGACTTGGTGCAGAAATCTATGTCTTCTGAGCAAGCTCTTCTTGGACCACAAGACACTCTACTACGACGTAGACCCATTTCTGTTCTATTGCATGACAACTCGCGATCAACACGGCCACCATTTGGTTGGTTATTTCTCCAAGGAGAAAGAAAGTGCCGAGGGTTACAATGTGGCATGTATCCTGACACTACCGCAATATCAGCGCAAGGGATACGGTCGACTACTCATTGCTTTCAGTTACGAACTCAGCAAACGCGAAGGCAAGCTGGGAAGTCCTGAGAAACCTCTCAGTGATCTTGGACTCCTGGGCTATCGTGCGTTCTGGCAGGAGATCATCGTTGAGTTTTTGATCGAGAGCAAGGGCGAAATGAGTGTGGAGGATATTGGAGCACAGACAGCCATGACAACCAACGATGTGCTGCACACGTTGCAGAACTTGAACATGTTGCGTTATTCTGTACGTCGGAGCTTCTTCATGATACCTCAAGGATTTCTTGCTGACTGGGACAGNAAAAACCATCATGTGATTGTCCTCACGGAAGCTATTCTCAAACAAAGGGAGCGACAGAAGGAGAAGGAAAAGATCAAGGGCAAGCATCAAATCGATGCAGAAAAGCTGCAATGGAAACCGCCCGTTTTCACAGCAGCAAGCAGGACTTGAATTGGTAACACACAGCTTTGCTTGTGTTGTTGGAAGGAGGAAATGAATTACGAAAGGGATGGATGCGGATTATGTTTTGATCGTTTTCTTTTTCATGGCATGCTTAGATACCCCCCAATGCAACTGAAAGATGACAGTCAAGACACAGACCGTTTTCTCTACGAGGAGCTGCCAGAAAGCATAAGTGTACAATCTATCAGCCGAAGAGGCACCCGTCGTCGTCTAGAGGAAGTAGTCGGGAGTGCGACGAGACACCATTGGCTCGCCGGCGCGTGGGCAGGGATCGAATTGAAGGCTAGATGACTGGTCAGCAAGTTATTCATCGAAGCAACCAACGGACAATACTCACAAGGTGTATTTGAGATGTTCGTCGATCTCCATGATCGCAGCTTGGTTGCCGCAGCGGTAACAGTAATTAGGAGCCGAGAATATCGTGACGACGTTTCTGTCCTGACTCCAGTTGTAGCCCTCCATGACCAGTTGATGGGCTCGGGCAACCAGCGTCAAGCCGTTGTTGTGGTTGAAAGCCTCGCTGATGTCCTGGCCGAAAGTGTAACCGGCACCTCTGGGACTGATTCCCCAACCGCATCTGTCGTCGGGATCACTCCAAAGCAGATCGCACATGGGACCCTCGTGGGGCACCTCTTGGATTCTGTCGAGCGCACGGATGTTGTCCAGTGTGTCGATGCTCGGTGACAGACCACCGTGAAGACAGAAGATTTGGTTGTCGATCAGGGCGGTAAGGGGTAGGTAGTCGAAGAGATCGGTGAAGTACTTCCAGACATTTGCGTTGCCGTACTTGCGCAGGCACTCGTCGTAGAAGCCGTAGACTTGGGTGATCTGACGAGACTCGTGGTTGCCACGGAGAATGGTAATGCGTTGTGGGTAGCGGATCTTGAGGGCGACGAGCAATGTCACGGTCTCTACGGAGAAATAACCGCGATCGACGTAGTCGCNCTGTGTGGAGCACGTGTCAGCAAAAAGCAAGAGCGACCGTGAGTGAGAAGCAAATAGTCAAAACGTACCCATGAAGAGGTAGTTGGTGTCAGGGTTGGGGCCTCCAATCTTGAACAGCTCCATCAGATCGTGGAACTGGCCGTGAATGTCTCCGCAGACGGTGACGGGACATTTNNCTGTGCAGGAGTGTCAGCTCGAGTGCATGGCTGAGCGGCAGTAGAGCAAGGTAGGACATACGACAGGCTGGACATTGGACTCGTCCTGGAGGACCTCTCTTGCCTTCTCACACAGTCTCTGGACGTCGGCCTCGGACAGCTGCTTACAAGCCATCAAGCTCTCGATCCAGCCGTCGAGGGTAGGGATTGAGGGCGGGTCGGAGGGCGCCGTCATGGGGAGCTCTGACTTTGCGCCAACATCTTCCATGTTGGTGTCCATTGTTCAGGAGAATTGAGCGTTGGCGGTTGCGACAAAGTCGTGGGACGTGTCGTCAATGCAAGGCCGAGAGCGAGTGCGGGCTCGGTGAGCGCAGATGCGAGTATGGGCGTCGACGTGTGCGGGACGTGTAGTCGGGGGCGATGGAGAGCTGACAAAGACCTGGAGCGGGGAGGAGGGGGAGTGGTGGGTGGTCAATCGATGTGCAAACACACACAACAAGACAGGAGATGCGATAGATGGTATGTCGATGATGAGTCTCTTGCACAGCTCTTAGGAGGCCCTGTGAAGTGGGTTGGTGGGCCCGTGCCATGGAGCAATTCCACAACATCAGCCACTGAAATAATCCCTTGGCGTTTCCAACTCGACGTCAAACAACACTAGTGGGCTGCTTGTTCTTTCTGTTGTGTTTCTACTTATTATATGGATATGCTACACGTTGCTTCCAGTTGTTTATTAGCTAACTAGGACCGTCCTCCCCAAAGCATCTTGGGCTTGCCTCCGATGAAGAAGAGCGACAATGCTGCCGTGACCGCACAAATGACTGCAAGGACGATGTTCATGTTGCCATAACCAATGGCTTGCTTCAACTCGCCTGCCAGCTCAGGACCGACAGCTAAACCGCTGCAAAATGCGACCGACGACATAGCGTACAGACTCGCGAAAGGACCCTGTTCACCAAAGAATTCGGGGTTAACATCGTAATACTTCTGCACAATGTTGCCTGCCTCGACAATCGATGGAGCTCCAATAGCAGCAAGGCCGACTCCGCACAGTCCTAGAAGCGCTGCGTAGAGTATAATTTGGTCTTTGCCTCCAGCATGTGGAAGGCGAAGCAACACGAGACAAGGGACCAGGAAGGTATAGCCTCCGACCGCCGCCACTTTGGTGCCATATTTGTCGACGACCCATCCGAAGATAGGACCGAGTAGGAAGTCGAAGACGCCCAAGGGCAGAAACAATGTACCCGCTTTCAACGAGTCAAAGCCAAAGTATTCCTGACCGATGGTGGGGATGGTGGCATCAAAGGCGCCGAGCAGTAGTGCCTGGACAAAGGCTACCATCAAAGCGGCAATTAGGCGAGGGTNTTTGAGGCATGGCAGAATAGGGACCTTGTGAACGATGGCCGGCTGATCTTTCGAGATAGTGTAGTAGTCGTCCTCTGATTTCGTTCCTAGCAAAGGCTCTTGTTCGTTGCTGGCCGCTTCTTCATCCTCGTTGGAAGTCGATGCGTCACTTTCATTGCTGCCTTCCTGAGCAGTAAAGTTGTAGCGGCGAGCGACCTTCTTTTCGATGACCAATAAACGCATGATGAAGTCGATAGCCAAGACGGCAAACCCAATTCCAAACACGCCTGCATATCCAGCCTTTTTGTAGAGGACACCTCCCAGCAATGGAGCTACCAGGTTGCCGACTGATATGAAACTGAAGATCGACCCTATGGTCTTCCCGAGGTTCTCCGGACCGACGGTCTCGACACAAAGTGCTAGTCCGATTGTCTGAACAAAGGCGGCTGAGCAGCCTTGAAGGAGTCTCGCAACAACTAGCGTTGAAACGTTATTGCCCATTAAGAGTAGCACCGTTGCGAGCAACAACGCAGTAAGTCCGAGGAGAAATGGCCCTTGTCTTGTAGAGGTTTTGTCTGCTAGGATTCCAGCAACGGGCGAGAAGACAACAGAAGCTCCAGCATAGGCGGCGAGTAACCCATCGACATGCGATTGGATTTGGTCTTCCGGCAAACCGACTCGATCCTGTAGCATGTATGGNNAGAAGAGGTCAGTAAAAAGACCGACAGCGACAGTCGAAACGATAAATAGAGTGTTGCTTCTCCATTTTATGCCAGCCGGAGTAACGCTGTAATCATGGCTGATCTAAAGAGTGGTTTTGATCTTCTGCCAAGTAGACGGAGCCATTACAGCGTGGTGATAAGCGTGCTTTCGAAGCTCTTCAGGTGGAAAGGATCTATGCCCTCGTTGCAGAGGATAGAAAGATATCACTGCACAATGGCGTCAACTTCGAATATGTCATGATTTAGTTCCTGATGCGGCTTAGTAGTACCGGTTGAATGTCGGTTTCTGCTCTCCCGGCGTTTGGAGGTCGTCGTTCGAGACCTTCGCGACACGCACGACTCGATCTATCTGACAAGATTCCTTGCTATCGCGCAGAATACACAAGATGGCGACTGTAGATGAAGGAACCGCGCCAAACGCAACGTTCNNGTACATTGCACTCCGTACGAACAAGCGTAAGAGCGTCTTACTAACCAGTGAACAGTGTCTATGTATGTGCTGGAGCTGCAGCTCAAAGCTACCAGGCTCGTGACCCGAGGATACTGACTGTAGCGACACCAAGGCCAGAAACTTGTCCGAGCGCATTAAGATCCCCCAGCTCATCGAAGCACTGCGCGAGATCTTTGAAGAATATGGAACCATCGTCGACATTGTCGCCAAGTCAAGCTTGAAGCGCAAGGGACAGGCTTTCATCGTCTTCGACAGCGTTCAGTCAGCCGAGAACGCCATCGACGAGGTCAACGGATTCGAGTTGTTCGGCCAGTCCATGTCCCTCGATTTCGCCCGGACCAGGAGTGACGCGACAGTTCAAAGAGAAGGAACTTCTGAAGAATTCNNGAACAGCACAAGCGCCACCGCAAGGCCGAGAAGGGTGGGTTCTTGATTAGCAGAACATACTGTTCTCGAAAACTGACAAGCATGAACAGAGCGCAAGCAAGCCCTCGAAGCAGCCGAAGCAGCCAAGAACCTCAAACGCCCAGCACCAGGTGCTCCCGAGCCAGAAGCCGCTGCTCAGCGTGCGCCAAAGACCGCACGTGGAGCAGGTCTCAAAGGAACATCAGGTGCCGGCGCTGGAGTCGTACCCGACGAATACCTACCACCCAACAAGATTCTGTTCATCAGACAAGTACCCGAGGATTACGGAGTTGATGCTCTCACAGCCATCTTCTCGCGCTTTACGGGCTTCAAGGAGGTCCGTACTGTGCCTGGTCGCAAGGGCATCGCGTTCGTCGAGTACGAAGCCGAGGACGGGGCTATCAGTGCCAAAGAGGCCACGGCAGGCATGTCGCTGGGTGACAACACCATCAGAGTCACGTTCCAGCGCCAGTAGAGGCATGCTTGTGTTGGGCATGTACAGTGGCTTGGTAATTACAGCAACGGCAAAGGATATCTCAAAGTAGCAAAAAACGAATCGATCAGAAAATGACATCCTCATCATCCTCTCCTCCTCCTAGCATGTCTTGGGACCCATTGTCGGCCTGCGAGTCGACGCCCTTTTCTTCTTCGGCCTTTTTGGCCTTTTGACGTTCGGCCTCCTCTGCCTGGGCATCTCTTTCCTTCTTGCCTGACACCTTCTTCAGTCTGAAGAACTCCTCTCTGTCGAGCTCGTCCAGCTCTGAGTTGATGTATTTGATGGTGTTTTCTGTGCGGGGGATAATAACGTGCTCGCTGCAGAGAGAGTTAGTAATGCATTCTGGCTGTAAGGGTGGGGGTTGGAGGCGTGCATACATGGCGTTGACTCTGCGGTTTACGACCTTGATGACATCGTCCAGGATGACAAAGGCTGTCTGCAGACTGGCGAGCTCGACAAGGGTCTCGACTGCTCTGACATATGTCTCCCTGCAGCGTTGGACTTGCTGACCTCCTTTACCCAGACCAGTCAGGCCGAAGTCGTTGTTGCCCTCGGTCTGGAAACTCTCGAACTGAGGTAGGAAGACACCGCTGACGTTCTCCTGGCGAGTACGAACACGGAACTTTGCCGACTTGACCGACTCCTGGATCTGGTAGCCGATTCCAGCGCCTCCAATGGCGTAGCTGACCTCTGCGAGGGAGAAGGCAGCAATCTGCATGACTCTGCCCATCTTGCGCTTTGCATCGTCGATACGGCGGGTGATTTCTCGGAAACGTTTGGTCAGGGCCTCGCTCTTGCGCTTGAGCAAGTCATGGCCAGTTTGGGCACCCTTCAGTTTACCCTTCATCAGACCCAGCGACTGCCGGGTGGGAAACACGGCCTCTCTCTGTTCAGACTCTGTTAGCCAGGAGCAGGGACCAGCACAGACAACAGACGTACTCCTGCAGCAGACATGGTGTCGACTGCTCAAATGGCGGATAAGAGGAAGAAGCGTGGCTGTTTATTAGAGAGCAGCTCCAGCAAGTGGTATGCCCGCTGGCCGCATGACGTTCGTTGTTGCTCGGGGAAAGTGCCAAGGCGCGCGCGAGTTTGGGCAGTCGGACGCTCTGGAAAGTCCAAAAGTCGACAGCGAGAAGTGAGAGTCGAGTAGCTCGCAGCAACCAGCTGTTTGTCTCGCCAACCTCGACTGCGCTGCCGTCGCATCCCTCTCGTCGCCGCTCCCGTCGCCATTACCGCCGTCGTCAGTAGGCCCGCTACGACGTGTGTGTATCTCCCTCGACATGTCGACAGCTTCGCATCTGTACCTTGTCACCGACAACGATGTCATCTACGAGCAGGACGTTCTGCGCAATCCCGCAAACATTCGCGCCTGGCTCGACTATGCCTCCTTCAAGCGCCAGACTGGCTCGCTGCTCGACCACGCCTTTGTCTTGGAACGCGCCTGCAATGCCCTCCCGCGAAGCTACAAGCTGTGGAAGTTGTATCTGGAACTGCGTGTGAGCCATCTGCGCAACCGCAATCCCGCCCGCCATGCCTCGGAGTACCGAAAGGTCAATGCCTTGTTCGAAAGAGCCCTGGTCCTCCTCAACAAGATGCCGCGCATCTGGGAAATGTACCTATCCTTCCTCTGCAACCAACCCAGAATCACCCAAACCCGTCGCACCTTCGATCGCGCCCTACGAGCCCTTCCCATTACTCAGCATAACCGCATATGGGCCCTATACCGTCCTTTCGCTACATCTGCCTCGGGAGAAACAGCCATCAAGGTCTGGCGCCGCTACATGCAGATCCACCCCGAGCACGCCGAAGACTTTATCGACATACTCATCGACCAGCAACAATACACCGATGCCGTCGTCAAATACATGGACATCCTCAACAATCCACGCTTCCGCAGCAAAGAAGCCAAAGGCCCCTTCCAGTTCTGGACTGACATGTTAGAGCTCATCATCGACCACGCTCGCCAGGTGCAGACAGGTGAGGATACAGGCATCGACGTGGACCGCATAGTTCGCAGTGGAATACAGCGCTTTCCAGACCAGAGNGGTATCTTGTGGGTAGGCCTTGCACGGTACTGGATCAACAAGGGTGATTATGAGCGCGCAAGAGACGTTTTCGAGGAGGGAATCACTACCGTCATGACCGTTCGTGACTTCTCCATCGTCTTCGACACTTACGCAGAAGCAGAGGAAGCTCTGATTGGTATTAAAATGGACGAGGCCCAGACTCGTTCCGAAAAGAGTACACCTGATGAGAATGCCGATCTTGAACTTGATATTCGCATGATGCGCTTCGAGCAACTCATGGACCGTCGTCCTTTCCTCTTGAACGACGTTCTACTTCGGCAGAATCCCAACAGCGTCGCCGAATGGGAGAAGAGGGTCGCGCTCTGGGGTGATAACAAGCCTGAGGTTGTCAACACTTTCACCAACGCCATTGCTGCAATCAACCCCAAAAAAGCCATCGGCAAATATCATACTCTCTGGACAAACTACGCAAAGTTCTACGAGGAACGTGGCGATTTACGCAATGCCAGGGTCATCATGGAGAAGGCCGTCAAGGTACCTTTCAAGTCCGTCAACGAACTCGCTGAGATGTGGGTGGAATGGGCGGAAATGGAGCTACGCAACGAAAACTTCGATCGCGCCGTCGATATCATGGCGAAAGCCACCCAGGCGCCCAAACGAAGCACGGTCGATTACTTTGATGAGACTCTCAGTCCTCAACAACGAGTACACAAGAGCTGGAAGCTGTGGTCATTTTATGTTGATCTTGTCGAGTCCGTTAGTACTTTGGATGAGACTCGCAAGATTTACGAGCGCATCTTCGAATTGCGTATCGCGACTCCCCAGACTGTTGTCAACTACGCCAATCTACTCGAAGAGAACAAATACTTTGAGGAGTCATTCAAGGTGTACGAACGTGGATTGGACCTCTTCTCATACCCAGTGGCTTTCGAGCTCTGGAACCTCTACCTTCAGAAAGCAGTCGACCGGAAAATCAGCATCGAAAGGTTACGAGATCTGTTCGAGCAGGCCGTTGAAGGATGTCCTCCAAAGTTCGCCAAGGTATTATACCTTATGTACGGTCAGCTAGAGGAAGAACGTGGACTGGCCCGTCACGCTATGCGTATATACGAGCGTGCGACACGTGCTGTATCGGACGATGATCGCCTGGACATGTTCAACTTCTACATTACCAAATCGGCCTCGAACTTTGGCCTGACCTCAACTCGCTCAATTTACGAGCGAGCTATTGCTGCGTTGCCAGATAGCGAAGCAAAGGACATGTGTCTCAAGTTCGCCGAGATGGAAAGACGGTTGGGAGAGATCGATCGTGCCAGAGCCATCTATGGGCATGCCAGTCAGTTCTGTGATCCCAGAAGGGAGCCTGGCTTCTGGCAGAAATGGGAGAGCTTTGAGGTGCAGCACGGAAACGAAGACACCTTCAAGGACATGCTTCGTATCAAGCGTAGCGTCCAAGCACAGTACAAGTACGTATCGCATGTGCTAAGATTATCATCAATCACTAACCGCGTACTNAGCACCGATGTCAGCTTCATCGCCTCCCAGGCTATCGCACGCAGTCAACAAGCTCCGATTGAAGATGGAGCTCTCGATGACACCACACAGAAAACAGATGCTATGGCGGCCTTGGAGCGCCAGGCCCGCGCGCCCACGGGCTTTGTTGCTGCTAGCAGTGGACCGGAAGGCGGCAACAGACCTGCTGCAGCCGTGCAACCAGCAGCCAATCCGGATGCCATCGACGTCGACGATGACATATGAAGGTCCACTAGGAGCAGTGGTCCGTAACACACTCGACTTATATTCACACTTTTGTTCATGGCCATATTTTTTCGTTTGTTCAAATATACCAACACAGGCGCCGCTTTTTTCCTTTGTATGTCGAGAGCTTCCTCTCAACAAGCCAATTCAAAAGGCCAAATTCTCTGATCAAATGCTATGAATTTCAATTATGGTGCATAAAGTGATCATGGCTAACGTCTTCCTTGATCGATCACGTATATGTCTATCACCTCTCGGGTAATCAGCTTCTCCAGTAGTGAATGCACCCTGCTTCCTCGTACTTTTGAGTCCTTCTCCACAATGTGACGGAAGCAAAGCCGGAGTGACCTCAGTGGGATTTGCCCCTCACCAACCACAGACTTGAACTCTGACCACTTCTACCAAACACACCGACAAGACCCAAAGGACACCCAAACTCTGCCCGACTGAACCACTGTTGCTGGCTCGGTCATTTCCTTCCTCACGTTCACTCTTACAACAGTTTTATGCACGCACAGTCCCCCACGTCTGTCCAACAGCCGAACATCGAGTCCACGAGCCCCGCCGAGCCCACCTTCGACAGCCAGCATGGAGAGCAACAAGGTGCGAGTCCAGTCGGCGGCGATGGAGGTGTCAGCCTTGTCAACCATGTGTCTGACACTGACACGCCTGGACGACGACTGAGCCCTACGCACAAGGCCTTCTCAGCTTCGCGCAATCGCATCGCCGAATACGAAAATGCTTCGGCCGCCTCGCCGTCCAGGAAGAAGATGGAGGGTCCGGCCTTTGCTGTTGTCAAGAAGCCGAGAAAGCCTGGCGACAAGCATTCGCCTATTGCCGACTTGCCCAACGAAATCTTGACCCATGCCCTTGCACACCTCTCTCCTCAGGACCTGTCTGCCGTGTCGCTCGTCTCCCGCCGCTTCCATGATCTAGTCACCACTCCTCACGCTTGGAGGACTGCCTTTTCACGCTATTTTCCTGGCCCAGACTCCCTCGATCCCAACGCCTATCACGACGAAGACGACCACGACGATGGCCTTCGTGTCGAACGTCGCGCCTTTACTCGCGTTACTGCCCTGGCCTCATGGCGAAGCGAGTATATCCTTCGCACCCGCTTGCTACGTTCTCTCGCTCGTGGTAAACCAGTCCAGCCGCCTGCTTCTCCTGCCCAAGCTCGTCTTGGCCAGCCTCCAGTCGCATTACCTATCGTCGTCTACCCTTCGCAGATGTTCACAACTGTCAACCACTTACACGCTACTTTTGGTGGCACTGCTCTGAACAAGCGACCTCCNCGTTTCATTCACGGTGCTGATGATGTGGGCACTGCCGGAAGCAGTGATCCAACCCTTGAAAAGGCTGATTCGTGGGGACTGGGCGACCCCAACACGTTCCTCCAGTTTTCGGATCGCTTCCCCGGAGATGCCATGTACGGTTTGGGTTCTGGAAACATTGTAGGCGTGCCCAATTCAATGGACGTCAGTCAGCCATACGGCATGATTCATGGTGAAGGCTCTCCGGGTGGCTTTGTCTACTACAGGTATACTGAGGAGATGCGCGGCCATTTCCTGAAGCCTTCGAGTGGCATATCCGTACCAGCTCTAGGGATTCCGCAGCTATTGCCTGTTCAGGAATCCATTTGCAGCGTGTGGATCACCAAATCTTCTACTATCCCTTCTCTTACCGACGGCCTGATTGGCCTCATCTCGGGCTCATCCCTCGGTGTCCTCACAACATACAGCCTTGGACCTCTCGGGACCCGGGATCAACGCTTCGGTCGAGGCGAGATCACAGCGCGCTGGGTCCTCAGTCCTGGAGTACCGATAATCGCCATTGCCGTCGACGATCAATACTCAGTAAAGCGTCAAGGAGAGAATCGAGCATGGGCAGTTGTGCTCAACGCTTTGGGCGAAGTTTTCTACTTGACCAAGTTACCCAAACGCAGCAACGACGATAAGCTTGTCGGATCGGATGACGAGGCGAAGGAGCGCCTTGCCTGGTCGATTGGACGATCTGTATATTGGACTCTTGTGGAACCCAGTAGACGCACTGCTCGCCCGAACCCTTACAGCAATTCTCATGTGGACGGCAGTTATTCTCCTCGTACCTCGTGGAATGGCATGTATCTGAGCGACGAGCAAATCAAAGCCGAGACATATGAGATCGAGGACTACATTAATCGAAAGCCCAAGGACTTCCAAAGAACCTGTCTGGGTTGGAACATGCGCAGGTTACTGGAGGTTGATTTCGCAGGAGATGATGGCAACCAGGCCGGAGAAGCTGTTTTCGTGTTCGAATCTGGCCTCGACGAAGACTCTGTCGCCTCGGCCAAACGGTTCGTCCGATTCAAGGTCACCGACACGAACAATTCTGAGACCAGGACGAACGGATCGCATTACACATCAACCCCGACACCTCCTGAATCGACGTCGCTCTTCGGTGGCCCGTCGTCCCCTCCATCGCCGCCATCGAAGACTGATCTGGAATATGGTCTGTCATTGTCAACAGTGCAAGATCTCGAAACCGACAACAGAACTCAGCGTTCGACAGAGGAGTGGAGGCTGTCCGGTCTGTCATTCGGTGGGCTGAAATCAGTGCAAATCACAGCTCACGCTCTGGATGGCTCGACCTTTGCAACTCTCACGTCTTCTGAGGATCCACTTCTGAACTTCTCAGGCCAGTCGACAGTGTCTTCCCCTAGCATGACACCTCTATGCAAGTCTAGCACTCCGTCTTCGCCCACCGATGTTCCAGGACAGCGAGCCCGGTTCATCGCTGTGGGTACCATGATGGGTAGTGTTTTGGTTTGGGACGCAAGAGCATCGCTTCCTACCTCGGCCGAGGCTGTCAACACGCTGGGACCGATACGCATCATCCATACAGAATCGCCACAAATTTCCTGCATTGCATTGTCGTCGCTCTATCTTGTGCACGGAGGAAACGACGGCCTTGTACAAGCTTGGGATGTTCTAGCTTCCAGTCTAGGCCCGATACGCAGGCTGAATTCACGCTTCGCGTCTCGTGCGAGACGTAGACTGGTGCAAGCTCAAGCATCGGTGCAAGGTGTGGGCATTAACCTGTTCGCAGCGGGAGCCATTTGCCTTGATCCTGATCCTACAGTCCTACGAGGCATGGTCTCCATTGGCACACACTTGCTGTATTGGAGCTTCAGCTCTTCTGCAGCAGACCAATACAAGTCACACAAACGTCGCCTGAGAAGAGCAGATCGAGGTACCAACGTAGCTAATGATCGATTTGCCAATGTTGGCAGAGGCAACATCAAAGGCTTCATCGCAAACGAACAGCTGGAGCTCGAAAGAGAGAGTGCACGAGAAGCAAGACAAGCAGAGCACCTGGCTGGGCGGTTTGGTACTGAACTGCTGGGCAGTGATGCCAGCGAAGAAGAAATCCTTGCTTACGCCCAAATGCTCAGTGAGGAGGCGCTCGCGAAGGACCACGAAAAGAAGACGATCGAGCCCTCGGCCAACGGAAAGGCAGCCATCGCTACGCCAATGGACGACGCAGATATGGACCCGGAAGTCGCAGAGGCAATCCGGCTCAGTCTTGCCGAAGAGGAAGCCAAGCGCATACAGGAGCAAGAGGAGGCCGAGTATGAGGCGCTTCAACAGCAGGAGACAGCAGAGGGCAGCAACGGCCGAGAATTGACAGACCTCGAATTTGCACTGCAGCTCAGTCTCGCCGAAGAGCAGAGCAGGCTGGAAGCCGAAGCAGAAGCACGAGAAGAGTTTCCCGCTCTGTCGATACACTCAGACAAAGGCAAGGGAAAGCAACGTAGATTTTCTAGAGGTTAGATTCCAAGTTCCATCGCAAAGATGATTATCGATGTTCTCGTTTCCTCTGATTCGTGCCATGTGTCTATCGCGACTTTTGCATTGGACGAGAAGTCACGCGCAGGACTAACCAGATCGGGTTGGTGTCGTGAGAGGGTCACCTGGTCTCAAGTTGCGACGGTTTTGTCGTCACTCTACGAGTATCTAGCAGATGATTTCGATATATGGCGGACAGTAATGAAGATGATTATACGGGATAGTGATTCGATGGTTGATTGATCTATCTATGTAGTCCGTCCAGAGTATGTTTATACTATCGTTTACCCAAAATCCGCCTGGCTTGATCGTGCTCAACAGACAGCGTTTCGAGATGTCAAGCCGCATCAGTCAATCAATGTTCCATCTAGCATCAGCAGGATGGGCTTGGAGGATAGTCTAGCTGGATCACACAAACAAGATTTTCGAAGAGCGGTGATGAGAAAAACGACCGATATATGTATACGAGAGAAGAGCAAATCTAAGGGACATATAGCCTGGAGTACGCCACAACCTTGGTCCTGCAGCACATGCATTTTGTGAAGTTTCGCGTGGCAACGCCTACCCTGCACTCGTCGCATACACAGAGACAGCCACAGGGCCATGCAACGATGACACGAGGACTGCTCTGACAGACGACACACTGTGGTCCGCTAGATCCCATGCCCTCGGCGCCAGAGTCCCACGACCCAGCACCTCCATCCAGTTCTGGACGTTTCGCTAGACGACGTTCGAGGAGGAATCGTTCCAGATTCTCCGTCTCATTGCTCAGACTCACAGCCCCTTCTGTGCCTTCACTGAACGCTGACTCGAGGTAGGGAACGTTGAGCACCCGTGCCTTTTCACGGTTCATTCGGTGACGGTACTGTGAACGGGTCATAGGCTTCTCGCTTTGGAGATGACGAGACAGCATCTGTGCTTCTTCTCTGTCCGCTGCTGTCTTTGGATCTAGTAGTCGAACTAGGTCTGTCACCTCGAAGTCTGCTGCAGGTGTTTGCTCTCGACTTCGAGTGTAGTCTTCCTGCGTTGGTGTCCTTCTGCCACTCTCGTCTTCTGAATCGGCTTCGCTAGGTGCGTTTGTTGACATAGAGATCATGCTGGTCGTATCGTCGTCCTGCTCTCGAGCTTCGTAATTACCGCTGGTGTCAAGATCACCCCACCACCCACCACGTTTCCACCAATTGTACAGATCGGTATCGACAGCGTCCTCTCCTGCAGGGTCACCAGGAGCAGCCTGCAGTCGTCTGCGCAGCTCTACTTCGACGTCGATATCACCATTCTGCGGCAAAGATAACACGCCCCTCTCAGAAACCAGCCAGAAGTCAGGGATCGAAGCTCGTTGACCGGATCGTTGTTGTGAAGAAGCGGGAGGGGCAGCTGGCTGGCTATAGTCGGCGGCTCTGGTCAACCAGTTGGGGGTTCTCTCAATACCCAGCATCGAAAGACAAGTCAAAGCAAGGCGACTGTTGATGCGGATGAGCAACCAAAGCAGACTTTTCAGAAACTCAAAGCTCAGCTGCCATCTGCCACGACGTTCTGCAATCCCGAGTCCATTGTCGCTATTGATGGTTCTATTACTAGCGGCTTCGGTAGTAGATTTTGATTTTCGCTCGACAGCAAAGCCCGATGACGAGGGCATTGTCTTGTGATCAGTGAAGCTGAGACCCCTCGCAATACGTTCGTCGAGCAAGTCGGACGGGACCAAGTCTGCTCGGCGGCGGTTCTCTAACATGGAAGTAAGTTCTTGGATTCGTTCCTTTTCAAGCCAGGTCATGTCATGGATCTGAATTTTGCTTCCTTCGTTCAAGAAGACGGATTCGCTTGCGGCAGTCAGAACGTTGAAGCCTATTTTAAGCAGGACAGTGTAGAAATCCTCGGTCCAACTTAGCCTCATAGATGAGACAGATGAGAATTGAACGTTCGCTTGCATATTGTTGAAAGCGATCGAAAAGCGCTCTTTGATGGAGGGATTCGGCGGAGCACTGGGTGGAAGTGATAGAGCGTTGAGCAACAAGGCCACGGCATATATGAAGGAGCAAACCAAGATGCCTAGAATGATGAGCATGTGAGGTATGAAACCGATGATGCAGACAGTAGGGAAGCGAAGAATGCTAACATCAGAACCGAGGGGACTAGAAAGGGCGTTGACAAAGCTCCAGCAGAAAGCAGCCATGTAGCATACGGCCCAAATAGCCGTGTTGACGAGACGCAATTGGTGTCTCCGGCCGGTGATGGCGAGCACTGCACTACTAATGTGGCTCATACAAGAGATGAGGGCGATGAGCAAGACCTCTGAAGGAACGTTGAGGCGTTGAAGAACCATGGACTTGGTCAGAAGTATGCTGGACAAGTCCGAAGGGTCGGACGAGTTGGAGGCTGGGCGGGGGTGAGAGGACGAATCGGCGGGGCCAAAGACACTCAAGCCGATGGCGTTGGTAAGCATGGCTTCCGACTCGGCAAAAGCCAGAGAGTGTTCGAATGTGGTCATGCCAGTCTCGGGCAGAGGCTGTCTACCTTGGAGAGCGCAATTTAGCGTTTCAATGAACTGGCTGAAACAGAGGGCCAGGAAAAGAGGCCAGAGCAGAGAAAAAGAGCCCATAACATCGAGGAATTTGTCGTCCTGGAGGGACATGTTCATGGCGCGGCAACACTCAGCGTCCGACTTCCAGAATAGCAGCTTGGAGCTGAAGACGTGTACAAAGCCACCTTCTCCGCCAAAGTTGATGGCCAGTTGCTTGTTTGGGTCGCCATAGCGTAACAGAGGATAGTCCGGGGATGTTTGGCATTTGAGAGCTTGCAGGATGGACAAGATGTGATAAGAGAGGAGCAGGATGGGACCTGAGTACAGGAGTAGACGGGTGTGCCAACGGGNGTTTAGGCTCTGGCGAGACGAAGCGTAGAAGTGGGTGCGATTGAGGAAGATGGNACTAGAACAGGCATAGTCAGCTGTCGGTACGAGGATGTGACTGACAGGGGAAGAGCGTACAATGGCAAAGGTGGCCAGGGCCCAGCGAGAGCCGATGTATGCGAACATGCCGCCGAAGCCTTTGATTGCGTCGGCCGAGAAGGGAAGACTGAGGAACGAGAGGTAGCCAGACGAGGAGGGCAAGGCAGCAGGGGCGGCGGTCGAAGATGCGGCGTGGTGAATGGCAGCAGCAGTGGCATTGAGCAGGTGGTCGGCGGTAGATTCGGTCATGTTGTCCTTGGGCATCCAGCGCATGGCCAGGTCGGCCATGTTGCGCGCCAGCCGGGGCACGAGGAGCAGCAGGTCCGACGACGACGGCACCAGCGACGAGTTGGTCGACATTCCGGATCCGACTCTCTCTCAGACGCCCGTCGGTGTGACGCCGACTCGAGACTGTGTCGGGTGCTTGTCCAGAGACATGGGTATGCCTGGAGAGGCAGTTGCCAACTCTGGCCTTCTATCACGCTGCCTCTCTGCCCGCCGAGCACGTGCGCCTCCTCAGCCTTAGCTTTCGGATGCTGCCGACCCAAACCTACAGAACATGCGGGGATGATCTTTGTCACGGGTTTGTACGTGTTATTCTTATGTCTACCACAGCTGATATCTTGTCAGACATGCAAGGCCAAACAGAATGCACGTGTCAGATCTGTTGCTAAAGTCTACTCAGAAGAGAGGTCATACTCCAAGCCTGTCTACCTGACAGAACAGAAAGTAACACATGAGTCAACAGACTACCGAAAGCGGCCTGGAACGGCGGGTGCTCCCGCGCGCAGATCATCGTCATCGACTTGGCTGCCTGGTGCTTCACTATTCTATCTTCAAATCCATCACCTACACTCACAATCTTGTTCTCCATATCCCCCAACTCCACCGCCAACAAGACAGTCGCAAGCGTCTGCATCACACCACTCAACATGACTGTAATAGGCAACGTCCTCTCGGCAGACTCGCTGGCCAGCGTCATGGCATCCACGCTGCCTGAAGACAGCACNCCCCACATCAAGACTCCCTTCGATGCCATTGCTCTAGCAAGCCACACATCCATGCTAGCTGTAGGCTTCCGTCTGGTGGGGCTCGGCGATGACGACCGCATTGCAGTCGACAACCCTCCTCGTCTACCCGCCAGCTGGAATGCAAACGCTCCCAACTACGCCTTCCGTTATGCCCACACCCAGTCATCCATGGAATACCTGCTGAAGGTCAACCGTATGGGCAACAAGGCCGTCGTCTTGGCCATGGGTCTTGGTGACGACAAGACGGCTACGCTAGACGTCAAGGCTGCAGACTACACCTCCGAAGGTTCCATGCCCTTCACCCTATCACAGCCTCACGCCAGGAACCTCTTCAACCTTTTCATATCCAACGGCCGTCTCTCCGACTATGGCTCCCTCATGCGCATCAACATCATCCAGAAGCTCATGCCTTCACTTCAGAAAGAAGGCTACCAAGAGTCCGCCGCTCAAACCTCAAGACAGCCCACCAGGGATCCCGGCACTGCTCGTAATGACCCTCTGCGTGACGATCGTCAACCNCCAGCTCGTCCTCAGCCCTTCCACGATCCTCTTGCTCAGCCTCCACCTTCATTCCCACACGGAGAACTAGCGCCTCCAGGCTTCGAAGATCCGTACGACTTGAATAGACCGCTTCGTCCCATGGGCGGTCCCCATCCAGGCTTTGGCAACATTGGCGAAAGAGATCTCTACCCTGCAGGTCTTGGTCCAAGGGATCCCTTCGGAAGCCCTGGGTTCGGCGGCGGTGGCATGCACCCAACTCTACCTGACTTCCACGATCCAAGAGGTCGTGGCTACAACCCTCAAGCACCTCCAGGAAGTCGATTCGATCCAGTCGGTCCTCGAGGTCCATCGGGCTTTGGAGGTCCACCAAACCCCTTCAACAACTTCGGTAGTGGAGACTTCATGTGAGGTCAGAAAATCTCTTGATCCCAATGTCTTCTTCTCGCACACTTTACTTCTCTATGTCTTGAATACCCCAAACTTTGTTCCAGGCCTCAAGATACCGGGCTTGTATCATAGAATTATCGAACCTTTTCCGTACATTTTGTTCCATGTCTCGCTTGCACAAGTGCCTCCAATTTAGTTGTTTGCTCTTCTTCAACACAGACATCGTGAGTCAAGTATAGTAACTTGGTAGAATGCCACCGAGTCGAGGGTCGGTGAAGATATAAACAGGCTAGATCCAGAGGACTCGACTCACGTATGCAAACACACGATCGCCATCGGGTTCCGAATACGCAATGGCGATATTGAGAAAAACATTGCACCATTGGGTGAACTATCCATATGGGTTGATTGAGCTGCAATGCACGATCATGGGGTTGTTGGCATCAAATCCTTGTGGCGGCATCTCGTTGACTTACTCGATACGTCTCGGCTCATTTGTGCACCTTGATTACCCCATCTCCGATTCATGTACAACATCAGCCTGCATCACGAAATCCAGGTTTTGAATGTGGAACGACACGAAGGATGATGGATCCACCTCGGCGCAAGCCCCCATCCACAACGTAGATGTCGAGACGGAACTGTTCCGCGTGCTTGCCTGGTCCTTTCTGCTCCACGTCGTGTGCTCTTGCGAAGATACGAACTCATGACACGATTATGGAAGGTGAGAAGGTGGTCTGTTTAGAGTAATAGACTTTCGGCCGACGAGAAGTCTTCCCCACCTAATCACAAAGTCAATTCCTCGGATGCCATTGTCGAAGCCGAGCACTCAACGTGTGGACCCTGACTTGTTTCTCTCGGCTCCAGGGGTTTGCGATCATCTCTTTGCATGTCATGAAACTTCAACTTTGGTTGCTGAAGGGTCTTTTCTCAGTCTATGACCCCTCCCTCCCTTCCCGGAATTTGCTAAAATCTTACGACCTACACAGAGTACAAGGAGCTGTCAAAGACAACCACAAGAATCGAATCAGCTCTTTGCTGTATATCCTCTATATATGCCCAGCCCTCATCTCAAAAACACGCTGTCTCGCCACGCAACGTTCCCGCCTGTGGCGTTTGAAGCAGGTTGGTGATTGGCTCTGGGTATCGTCTCATCTAAGAGACATCCACACCCATTCATCAATGCAATATATACACGAGTCAGGATCGGCAGCTGTTGGAACCCTCATCACCTGTGCATACAGCCGCGCTTAGGCGCCTGCAGCTAGAAAGCTAGGTGTAGGCCGAACGAGCTACCACGGCTGAACCGATAAAGACGTACTGGTCATGCTCCCTCAGCCTCACAGAGAAGTCGGCGTCAGCATATGTCGGCATGCTAGTCCACAAGTGCTGGGGCCAACGAATCTTTGAGTCGCTTGCGGTCCACTCCCGTTCGTTTTGAGCAGCTGCCTTCGATGTGCCTNNGCATTGTCAGTTTGGTCAGTACATCATGCAGCTGGAAAAGGGCAGAACTGGCATACCTGACAAGCGTATCCTTTCTTGCAAAGAAAGACCCACACAAGACGCATTGGTGTTCTCGCAAGTGCAAGTGTACACTACGCTCATGACGGCCAAGATCGGTCTTCCTGTCAAAGCTCTTGTTGCAACCGGCATGAGGGCATTGAATCTTCTCCCTTGTGGCTTCATGCTTGAGCATGTGACTACGAAGGTTGTAAACACGCTGGAATCCTTTATCGCACTCATTGCAATAGAATCTGGCATTCTCTGCTGTGGTTCTGACTCTGCGAGGCCTGTCCAGTAGTGCCTGCACTTCGGCCTCGGGATGTCGTTCCAGGGAGGCTTGTCTTCTCCGCGGGCTGTGCATAAACACATTTGCTCTGGTTTCCGCTTTAGCGTTATGCCAAAAGCGTGAAGACTGTTGGCCGGCAGGAGCAGTTGATTGGTGCAGCTGATCAGATGCAAGCCAGCGAGTCGGACTTTCCACGCCATCCATGTGCACAGCACCGTCTACCATAGGCATGGAGTGTATTGTTGGGAGCGACGGGGTGTTTGAGATCAGGCTCGAGTTCGTCAGAGTTGGTGACCATTTGCAGTCCGAGATTGAGTCGTGTTCTTGCTTTACACTCATCGGACCAAAGTTCGGTGACCCAGAACTCGACAAAACAGGACCAGGAAATTCGGGATAGGTGGCAGCTCCAAAGACCGGTTGTGGCAACTCCGTCCAAAACTGTTTTTCGGACTCTACGGGGCTTCGCCAATGGCCGGAGTCGAACTCTCGATGACTCTCTACTTGATATCCTGGATGGTAATAGAGCTCGGGACCCAAGTGATACCGATGTTGCATGATGAAAGGATTGCTGAACTAGATCTACCTGTGCAACACACAGACAGAGGTTAGTTATATTTGCTGAATGTGGGATCAAGTACAGAGCACCTTGGTAACGTACTATTTTTGACAGCAGAGGCGGAGCAAAAGCAACTCGGGGAACAAAAGCGGTTATGGATGTGAGGAAGAACTCAGGCGCAACCTACGACTAAATGCAAAAAGAGCTCTGGTCCAAATCCCGCATTTGAGACCAATGTTGGTGACAACGACCCGATGGGAGGGTACCTGCCAAGCTCCTGGTATCGAGGACATGCACCTAACACTTGTCTTCACGGACGCCTGGAACTCCATCACTTCACGTTGATAGTGTTGATGGCTCAAATTGTTATTATTTCGTCGATGCTTTTTGTATGCCGTTAATACTTGCGGTTCTCGATCCTCGGCTGCGGATGGCGGCTGCCGAGTAGCGTCTCCATCGACCCGACTATCTGGGTCAAAGCAATCAACCACCCATTATTTCACCCGTGTCTCGTCCGTCTCTGTCTGATGGCCTCATGGCTCGATAAACCCTTGCACAAAGCGCTGAGCCCCGCGACTCTAACAAGCTTCCTGGCCCTGAAGTCCGAGCAATTAGAAGAGTCAAATTGGCGCTCGTCTCTCTCCACTGTCCAGGTGGCTCTGTCGAAGCGCTTCTTCTAGCAGTGTTGCAACTTCGGTACCGCGCGGGTAATTGTACCGTGTGAGAATTTAGTCATTGTTCGCTTGGAGCTGACGCTCTTGCTCTTCGATAACGCCTTTGAGCTGTCCTATCTGCAAAGTGAGCTGATCGAGCACGGTCTTGATATCGTTGTTGATGGCAGCAGGGGCCGAAGGCTGTGAGCCCTGCGACACCTGCAATTGGTCGACACCCGTGTCAGGTCTCGAATTTGGCGCCAACAGCGGGTATCGTGATGGGAGCCTCTTGTTCAACACAGATCGTCTCCAACCAGGTGGCTTTTCGATACCTCGGGGTGATCCGAGGCCGAATCCGGTAGTGTTCTTTCTACGGACAGACTGCATCTTCTCGTACAGATTTATGAGCAGTACATGAGGCAAATGCGTCATTTTGAGAACCACTATGCGACTGTAGCGTAACTGTTCAGAAGACAGAAACAATCTCAGAGGTCTAAGAGCGAGTGAGAAAAGGTTCAAAGGAGGGATGAAGTAGGTGAGTCTGTTCGATGTTGATGCTTCGAGCACAAAGACCGAGTATACATAGAGATACTCTTCTCTGGCATGCGACAAAACGTTGCTTAAGCTGTTGGACAAGATCGAGATGAGCGAAGTAATCAGAAGGATTTGTGTCAANNTCTGTAGTTGGTCCCAGGGTCAGCAGAGGTCTCTTCCGAACAAAAATCAGAAGATTGGGCTAAGAGATATGTGTATCACTGACGTTACAAAAACCAGCATGAGTGGCAGTCCAAGATAAGGTGAAATCTTATCGCTGATTTCAAAGCCCAGATATGAGCTTCCGAAGAAAACCTTCGTTAGGATGAGAGCCATCTGGCGGAAGGTGAACTGGCCTCTACCTAGCAGACAGAAAGTTGACAAGAAGCCACAGTACAATATTGCCACAAGCGAAAGAAACTTTAAGAAGTCCTTNNCGGCACTGTTAGTCGTGATCGATATATGGAAGCGTATATCTTGACAAACCTTCGTCATTGCAGTAAGACATGGAAGCAGCGTGCCGAAATAAGAGTTCAGAGAGAGCAGCGGAGAGCAGATTCTAGGGATGAGAAACAACGCCTCGAGTGCGAGGATATCGAAGGATGTATCAATGATCTTGTCGTTCCCTTGATGAAGGCCGACCANTTCCTGACATTGTTAGCTTGGCCATGCCTCAAACCTCCTTTGTGCCAGAAAGCTAACCGCAAGGCGTAACGATAGGAGAAAGGGAGCACAGAACTTACGAGTAATAAAGAACGCAACCCCAATGCCTATTACGAACAAGTCCCAGAGGGACCAGAAGTCTGCAAGATAGAATGTTGTGGTGCCTGCATCCCAGAACTCTCCAATCTCGTTGTGGGCAAACGATGCGATCCAGATGTAGAGGAACATCTCAGCTGTAGTCACTGAGTAGAACGAACGCTGCATTAAGACAGCATAATAGAATGCCAGAAATGCCACAAAGAAGAGAACTTCAAAAGCCTTGAGATAGATGGGGACACGCAGGCGACAGAAAGGATCCATGGATTTGCGTTGGTAGATCTGCGCCTTTTTCTGTGCATCAGCGCTAAGTTTGTTCCAGAACATGATATCTCCAGTCCAGATTGCGTTGATGATCCTTTGGACCTGCTTCTGACATAGGAACTTTTTGGCTCCAGATACAGCTGCAATCTCCAACGCATTGAGACCGTCGAATTGCTCGGCCAATTCGGCATTAGTAGCAGCGGATGAGTCTTCAGCGACACCGTCATAAGATTCAGGGATGGTGATTCTGCTCCTGTAGCTTCCACGAGAACGTAGACTTGATTGTGGCAGCAGAGGAGACTGCTCGGTAGCTGGCGATAAGAGTTCTGGCTGGTTCTCATTCACGACTTGGGTGTCGGTCTCTGAGTTATCAGGAATATCTAATTCGTATAGAAGCGAGTCAATTATCTCCCTGTCGGCCAAGCCAATGATAAACCTTGTAGCAACGGCTTCACAAGCGAATCCCCTTGCGGCGTGAATCCCCTGCTCCTCGTCGGCCTCGAGAGTGACAAAGTGGCCTTTGAGGACNNACTATCGAGATACAATGTCAGCTTGATCTGGTTTCCGGAAGCTTTCGTCTTACAGCAGTGCTGCAACCAGGGCAGGGTGATGTACGTCATGGAGCAAGTGTCGACACAGCGGTGTGAGCAGATGGTCTTGAGTGGTACGGAATTCCTCAAACGTGATAGGTTTCTCAATGAGATCTGTAAAGTATCTGCCAAGTGCATGAGCAAAAGATGTCGGCTATGGGAATGATTTGAGTACACCTACCTTGCAAGCTTTTGGATCAGCGCACTGAAAGGATCGGTTTTTCCAATTCGTGGAAGCCGCGCCGGCAGATTGGTCTTCGCAGGAGACGAGTCCATCTCTAATGGCCACTCAGATAATGTCAATGTCGCTTTCGAGGACAACAAGGGAAGTCGCGACAAATCTGGGCCGCGCACAAGTTTTCTGACGCCACTAGTCTGGAGCGATCTTCCTAATTACCATAGCACAATCAAGTACAGACAATGCAGAATCTACCACTCGTGTTGATATTTACATAATCGCTTCTTCAAGAGTAGTTGCTTCAAACATATTTGCAAACATTGATCGGCGCCAGTCTATGTGGCACAATCAGGGTATCTCCAACAATTCTATACCTCCTTGATGTCTCCTTCCCCTCCTTGATCCTCTACATTAACCGAATAGCGAGAAACATCTTGCTGTTTCAAAGATGCGGCTAGACTGGCACGTCTTCCATCATTTCCACCGAGCCTTCTCTTCCGACGGTGAAGATAACATCACCCAGGGTTTTGGTGACGAAGCCAGCCTCGCAATAAGCAAAGTAATACTCCCACTTTCTGCGGAACAGGTCAACGTCCTTTTCGGTCATGCCTTCATGCTCCTCCAACAGCGAAGGCTTGATTTNTTGGTCGAAGTTTTGCATGAATTCTTCGCGCCACAGTCGCAGTGTCTTTGCGTAGTGTGGGCCGATGTTTTCCACTGACTCTGGGATTAGCCTGCAAGAGGAGCCGGCTCTGACAGAGTCTAGGAGTTGTGTGACAGTAGGAAGGTGGCCGCCAGGGAAGATGTATCGCCGGATGAAATCGTCCGAGTTGCTGTATGCATCATAACGNNCTTGGAACGGTTAGTAGTCGATCAGTTCTGCACGGTAGAGACTTGTGCTTACACTTTCGGGCATCGTAATGCACTGGAACACTGCAACACCTCCTTCAGGCTTCAAGAGCTTATCGACGCATTGAAAATAGGTATCAAGGTACTCCTTGCCCACTGCTTCCAACATTTCAATGCTCACAACCTTGTCGTATAGTTTTCCATCTCTTGGTGTCGGCAAAGCGCGATAGTCGCACAGGAGAACCTCGATACGGTCTGTGAATCCGGCTTCCGCAATTCTTTTCTCGGCCAGCGCCTTTTGCTCGATTGACAAGGTCAGACTTGTAACGCGACATCCAGTTTCTCGTACGGCCAAGATGGCAAAACTGCCCCAACCAGTGCCGATCTCCAGGACATGGTCATCTGCCTTGATCTTTGCATTGGTGATGAAGCGTCTAAGTTTGCGCATTTGGGCTTGCTCGAGCGTCTCTTCTGAGGAACGAGAATCTGACTTCGGTAGCCAGATTGGGCAGGAGTAGGTCATATCTGGGGACAGGAATGCGGCAAACATGTCGTTGGAGATGTCATAATGCGCGGCGATGTTGAGACGAGCGGTCGTGAGTGTGTTCGTTTTGCGAAGCAAATACGAGAGCTTGGCGGAGAGGTTCGACGTGAGCGTAGATCCATTCGAGAGATGAGTACGGTTAACAATGAACAACTGGTCGTGTTAGCATGTGCTTCAAAGGTTGGCAGTCTCGATTCGAACCCGGAAGAACTCTGTCAAGTCGGAGCAGGAGACCTCCCCAAGCATATAGCTCTCTGCGAAACCCTACCCTTCAATCAGCCTAAGGTTTTCGATTGACAATGCCATAACGATTACCATATCCGCGAAAAGCAGCATGCGCACCCAGAACACGTCTTTGTGCACAGTCAACTCTACATTCGGCAGAGAGTACACGCTCTTCTCCGACTCTCCATTGGCAGCCTTTTTGTGTCCGTATGTAGACACTTTCCCATCCACGTCCGCTAATCTTAGATGTCCAATCTGGATACGCGACAGCAGCGAAAGAACAGTGCTGCGCGAAACGGACAATAGAGGGCCCCAGCCATAGGATGCCACGTAACCGCTCAATGCCTGCAAAGGGCCAGAAGTCTGTGTTGAATTGACCATGATTTGCAAGTCAGGCACTAGCAAGTAACAATGTAGAATGACCTTGGTTTGAGCGTTCTGAGAGAAGAACGGTGCAGCGACCTACCCTCATATTTGAGTCGGACCCCGGAGCGATTCAAAGACCGCTTGCTACCGGTCGCGATGTGGAATCGGCCTGGGTATGTTATGACTTTACCTTTTAGAGCATGTCAATGACGTGGCCGAGCGCCTTTAGCGCAGGAGATGGAACGTCTCTGGATCACAGATGGGACAGCCCGAGTACTACTGAGAGGTGGTGGTTGAAGCATCAGATATGAATGCGACCGTGAACGATAGCATTTCGTCTTTCGCTGGTTTCTCTTCGTGTAGTCGACCACTGCAAGTTCCTGTGAGTTCAAGTCGCATCATGATACGCGAATGTGGAAGCTTTGGAGCCCCACCAAAGTGGGAAAGCTTGAGGCGTGTTGCTGAGATTGCTTCGATCGCGCTCGGAGCACGACTCCTCTGACCCGCGGCGGTGCTCGCGAGAATGGGGACAGAACGCCATTTGGTTGAGCAAGGCCGTATCGGGCAAGATAGTAAGACCGGGTTCTGTCGCGCGCAATATGAGAAGTGTGGAAAGGGAAGCAGCTTCTGTTGGAACTTGGTGCAGAAGTTAAGTTATGAGCCAATTCCGTCAATTTTGTGTCCTCATTCTCTCATCATGACCGCGCGAATCGGATCTTGGTCGAGCGTGCTAATGAATGCCGCGACTTAGTGTATATGTATTTGCATGACAGCACCCTGTACAACAACTCGGTTGTATAGTGTAGCGGTTAGCACGCGAGATTTTGATGACTCAAACATTCTCGAGTCCGTAAGTTTAAGCTCACATCCCACCGACCAACAACGATTCTAATAACTCCTAGTGGGTTCGAGCCCCAGTACGACCTTACAAGCGTCACATATCTTTTGCACCTCTTCTTTCTGCCAATCCATACTCGATGTCTATGCACTAAACAAATCGCTGCGACGGTAGCAGTTTTACTTGGCCAGTGGCATAACACACACGTGTTGTGAGTTAAGTAGGCGTGCATCCATTTCGGTGACGCGTGCTTTGTATGGAGCTCGTCATCAACCTTCACAAAACTCATCCCACAATTCCGTCATTTCCTACCTCAAAGACTATCGTTTTTCAATGCCGCCGCGTCGAGCACCCGTAGCAACGGCCAAGCTGGAATCCCCGACTGTTTCGCGGCCTCGGACGACCCATGCCCAACAGATGGAGTACCGCATAGGAAGAGGAGAGATGGGCGTCCTAACATTTGAACCCTACAAGTCATACTTGCTCNNCCCCCTATGGCGCTTCCGAACACCAGAGATCGCACGACAATCCTCGGCCCTCCTACGAACAGAGTTCGAGCGCTTTGGAGAAGAGGGAGACTTTGTTGGGATGGACATGACGCGCAAGTTCATTCAGATGGGCTACACACGCGCAAAGCGATACGCCAACCATAAAGGCGGAAGAAAGTACGACAAAGACCACGAGGTCCTTCCCAACAGCGAGCATCATTCAGACAAGGCAGACAAGGAAGAATCGAGCCGTATATTCAAGGATATACTGGAGGAGATCAAGCAAGACGAGACGTACTTGCGGCTCAAGGAGCAGTTCCAGAAAGAGCTCAAGGAATACAAAAGCAAAGTTCGTGAGCACCCATGACAGTCTTCAGCGCCGGACCACCCTTCCTGCCTTCTCGTTCCTGTTGAGCATGTTGCAAATGAGGGAGCGCGAAGCTTTGTCGTCTTTCGTGTGACACTCTTCCTATCTAAACTGATGAGCAAGAATTTGGTCAGGGTCGTACCTACACCCATCATCTTCTCAGTACGATGGTGTCATCTTGCTCTAATCTTGCAAAGTTTTGCAGTATCTCTGAGCGGAGGAAAGTCTGTTAGCCTTCTCGATATTGACACGCGACCTTGTGGCTGTTGGTGATGAGGAGCGGGCTCCAAGACACAGAAATACAGTATGATCAGAGCAACTTGTGGAAGGTTGTTGCATTACACCAGGATGTGGGTGTTATACCAGCGGACAAAGTGTAGCCAAGCAATTTCAGAAGCAACGAAGGATAAAATGTTATCAATATACCCTGGCTGAGAATTCTCGAGCCTGTCGCTATATAGACGGAAAAGACACTTAGTACATATTTACATGGACCGTGAGCCAGGTCACTCTGAATAGCAAGCGAGAGGGAAAGTGAACAACAGTATCAGGATGCCTTTTCTTGGTCCATCACGACCGCGATTGATGGATGATCTAGCAATTCTATTTTACGAGTGCACGTCTTCACCAAAGGCATGGTGGTGCGGCTCGAACGATTACATATTGACAGCAATCCCGATCCAACATAACGCGTTGATGACACTTGGTATAACAGTAGGAGATCCGCCCACATCATCATCAGCTCGACAAACACTGGACTCTGGTGGTGCTGTGTTTCTTTACACAGTGCAGGCTTCAAATTGCCTTATAGACCTCTCTATTATAATCTCTCAATAAGAGTTGACTGATACACCCACTTTACGCAACCTCTGGGCTCTTCTCGGTAGCAGACGCAGGTGCACTTGCCTCAACTCTTTCAGGAGCTCCTTCCGTCCCCGTCTCTTTCTCCTCCTTGGCCTCCAGCTCCGGGAACAATTCAGGCATCAGGTCCGGAAGGAATTTGTGTAATCTGTCCGACGTGTCGTTCCACAATTGTTTTTGCTGCTCTGATTGTTCACCGTCCTCGCTTGGTCGCTTGAGGTAGCCGCCACTGGACATGACGAGCAGTATATTTTTGAGAGATTCCGACACAGCTTCCGNCCTATAACCGAAAACATCAGTCAATCGTGCGTGCACAGGAGATATTGGAAAACTTACCAGTGTATCCCCCTGACCGCTATTCATCAGACGGTCCATGAGATCCAGGATTTCCATCCACAAGTCATGCATTCCATCCCACTCGCTGAGCATCACGAGGTAATGCAAGAAGATTTTGCATAAGAGTTGCGCGGTCTGTATGCGCATCTCACCCATGCCGAGAGGATCAATCTGGTATACCTCGGGCTTGAGTAGCTGCTGAACCAGAGGGAATACGACCTGACTAAAGATATTTGTCCACTCATTGTGTTCTGGTGATGCTAGATCATTAGACAACAAGCATCGTTGCAAAGATGCAAATGATTGCTGGCGAATTTCGCGAGAAGGGCTGACACATTGCATGATGAAGCATCTAAAGATGGGAAGCCAATATGCCTGCCAAGCCTCGTTGGGTTCCAGATGAGACTGTTTGATGAAGGCAGGCACACGACCGGTCATTTGTGATACAATTGCCATCGCCCTGACACCACGAAGGGTGGCCTCATCAGGTGCCGGTCGCTTCTCAGGTGCAGCTGGTTTGGCTCGTCGCGCAGCTGGCTCTCTGCGTTGTTCACGTACAGCATTAACTGTGGCAAAGGTATTCAACAAACCAATAGCCGATTCGTAATTGTCAGCAGTAATCGCTTGAGGCGATCCTGTCGCAATGTCCTCGGTAATATGGAAAGCTAGCGGAGCAGCTTCTGGATTTGGTTGGAGAGCATGAAGCACCGACCAGAAATCTGGGGATGTTGCCATCTCTTTCCGGAGGCTTGCAGGCCCCTTGATGCATCCAGACATGCCCTTGAGGATTGTTGGACCGCATCGCTGAAGGAGGTCTTGGCTGAAGGACGAGATTGTATGCAACACAACTGGGGCGCGAACATAATCGTGATCCTGCTTCTGGTCAGCAAAACATGCATGGTTATGATGAAGAGAACTGACATCACTAGCTTTGAGCAAGTTCAAGAGATAGTAGGATGCCCGACCAACTGTCACGGGATGTAGTCCATCAGCCTCGTGGATTACAGACTTCAAAGACTGAGCAACGTCTTTGCCGAATGATGACATCGAATCTTGGTCACGCGTTGCTAGAACAGTCGCAAGCTCGAGGACACAAACAAGGGCTGGGTCATAGTCTGGAGTGGCGGGCTGCGGCTTTTGACCGTTAGGACGTATGGGAGTCGGAGAAGCAATCGGTGGTTTCACGGCGATGACTTTAGGCGAATTCTCGACATCATCTGGTGGCAAATACGACAAAAGCGACTTTGTGAAAGCCTCGAGAGAGATACCAGGCATATTGCTAATGAGGCAGATGTCAACATGTGTTCATATATAACGAACGGCGGTTTGCTTACCNNCAATGTTGGCAACAACTTCATCCAGTCGACAAGCACTGACACAGTCCACCGTGCAAAGTGTTGCCTCAATCTCCTGATCATTAGGCTCTGGAGGCTCGTCATTCATCACGCTTGACACATAGGACGTGAAAGCAGAGAATAAACCGATATCAGTAGACTTGTCGTTCCGTTCTATGACTTGAGCGGGGCTCTGAAGTGGGATAGGCGGAAGATCAAGTTTTGAAGTCAGTGCCGATAGAGTGTTGGGAATCAGTGAGTTGATGAAGAGGTTGAGAATAATGCNGAATGATCTGTTTACGAGGTTCAGTATGACGAAGAGCACAAATCTTGATATTGAACTTACATGACTCCAGCCACCTCGGATCGCGGCTTCGTGCCCATTGATTATGCGGAAGAGTACGAGCGTAGCAAGCTGTGCTTTGTTTTCTCGCCCAAAGTCAACAGCGAACTTGCTCACCATGATACTCTTGCCATTTGCTTGCACTTCGGTATTGAGAGCAGTGCTGGGTGGTGTTTCTGTGGCCAAGGTGCTGATTTGTGCAAGAGAAGCTATAATGTGGTCGAGACAGTCATGAAGCCCATGCTTGGCCGCAATCTGAGCGCACTGGTCGAAGCCAGAGATGACTCTTTGGAACACTGTATCATCAGTGGCAGACATGAAGACATAGTTGAGGGTCGCAACAACAGGCTTCCATGTGGCTGCGAACATGTCCGCATCATAGATGTTGGTATCGCACAAGACCAAATCTTGCGCAGTTTGAGTCTTGATTAAAAGTTCTTTCCAGGCATGTTCGAAAGCGTGCTTGTTGTCATGTTCCTCTGGCAAAATGATTTCCCGAGTTCTGATCGAATCATAAATTCCTTGGAGATACTCTGGTTCGAAATCTTTACCCCCGTTGACACCACGTAGATTGCGGGCAAAGTCCGTCACTGCCATTCGCGCTTGTTTCATGTTTGGATTATGCTGATCGGTATTGAGCATGATGATTGCATATGTCAGGACGTAGACAGCGTCCTTGTCCGCAATACCCTCGGGATCAGTCTTGTTGCAGTACTTCTCCGCAAAGACTGTGACAATTCTCTCAATGAGTTGTGACTCGCCTGGGAGACGGAAGGAATTCAGTATTTGGCGCAAGGCTTCGTCGACACGCTCTCCAGTAAAGTCGAAAAGATCGATAAAGGCATCGAGGATAGCCTCGTTGGACCTTTTCGATATGAATTCTCCCAAAACCTNTTTGTCGATTCGTGATGTTCCTTTGAGAAACCGTGTGATGGATATGGAATCGTCTGCATTCTCAATGATCCCCTGAGAAGCCAGATAAGCAAGACCAGCTTTAGGGTTCTCATTGAACTTGGTGGCGCCACGAATAATGATCTGTTTACGGATTCTCTGTTCACGGAGTGCTTCCAAACGAGGCAAGCCCTCTGTCACGGGCTCATCGTCGAGTCTATCGGCAATGAATTGCACATATCCAAGCAATGAGTCCAAGCAGAGCGGCGGTACATTGGTAGTACTCCAGGTAGCGGAATCTGGAAACGCGTTGCGTGAGAGGAGGCCAACCATGTCCAAGCATAAATCGCTTCGGTCGATTTCACAATCGTAGTTCACGAACAGCTCAGCCATGAAGCTGGGGATTCTGACCAAAGCTCCCACACTCTCCACCATAGCTTCTCTCGCGTCGGGCTTCCGAGAACCGCCTTCCAAGCCAAGCTTTTGTCTATCCTTGACCGGCACCGGAGTGGATCGGCCACTTTGCGTAGCAGATGCAGCTGGTTTGACGAGTCTTGGAGCCTGAGGCACGCCCTCGTAGAGAGTGGGGTTGATGGTTGGTTCGTCAGGAATCGGAACGCGAGGATGTAAGCAAGCAACAATGTAGGAGAGGTAAAGCTCTTGCTGAAGTCGTAATACACTGCGACAAGTTGCGAGCAGGGTACCAGCGACACGTAATGATTCGTGTAGGAGGGCGATGTTTTCAGAGCGCACAAGCTGAAAAAGATTGCGACATAGAGTGTCTTTGGCCAGCGAGGCTAAAGATGGATGGTAGGCTATCGAAGGACCGGCAACCTCCAGAGCCACATTTACAATACGCAAAGCCATGACTCGCATAGTATCAGTGTATTGCCTGTCATGAGGATCAAGAAGTTCGGCCAGTGTACGGAAAAGTTCTCTGATCGAGGGTAAGCCATACGGCTTGATATCGGGTATTTCGGTAGTTTCGGTTGCTTTGGTCAAGTCTACCTGGCTGGCATTGAATTCTGCAGAAGGCCTCTCACCACTGGCCACGCGAGGCACATCTAGGCTTCCAGAAGGAGGGGTATCCTGAGCGGGAGTCGAACCGATTTGGGTAGTGCTAGACTCGATTTTGAAGTCGTCTTGGTCGTTCTGATTGTCGTGTTCGGGCAAGGATTCGAGGTGGGTCAATCTCTGGAAGATGGTCTGGCACATAGTAACCATGGTGATCTCGGCCGAACGGCGTAGTACCTCGCTCATACGTAGTGCACAGCAGATCGAGATGCCACACTCCATCATGCCGCAAACACTTTGATCCCCAAGGACGTCGCCCGAAGGACCGGTGATGATGATCTCCATGAGTTTGAGGATACGCAAAAAGACGACGTCGTCTGATGCAGTGTTGTCACCCTCGAAGCGGCAATTTGTTACGCTCGAAGACAGGAGCATCATGGCATATGGAAAGTTGGGCATGCCCGGGCTAATGACGTTGTAGGAGAGCATCTTGGTGATGGCAATCAGGGCCAGCGAGGTGATGGGAGCGGTAGTGGACGACGAGCGAATGACCTGCAAGAAAGGTTGGAGGATCGAGGGTGTGTCGACGGTACGAATGTCTGTCAGGTTGCGACGTCAACTGCTGCGTGACACGCTGTGAGCGAGGTCGCATGACATACCTCTGCACCCCTTGAGTTGACTACGCAGACGCGCAAAGGCCGACAGCAGCGGATTGTCCTGAATGCTTTTTCCCTTCTTGCCACGAAGGCCCCATCGTGTAGCCAGTTGTCCACCATCGGCGTCGTCAGCCGCAGCGAGAGAGCCGAGGGATGAAGGTGGGCGCCTAGCAGCACCGCCGCCGAGGATTGCTGATACTGAAGATTGGGCCCAGCGCGCATGCTTGCGCATGGCCGAGGTGACGGTGATACATTCTGTAATGATCAAGGCCACGGGGTCGATGGCTACGCTGACCGGACGCGTTGCTGCCGGGTAGTCGGCCGCTGTCGTCGGACTCGACCTGCTGCTGTGGCCCTCGTCTGCACCCGTGCCATTGCTCATTGTGCTCGTGGATTTGCTGCCGTGTACATCGACCTACGACTCTACAACGACCTAGATGTCGTCGACGTACTTACTCCATCAATGCGCGGTCAAAGCTTCATGCACCGACTGGCCCCGGATTCTCGCGTCAACTCACCCCCGAGCCTCGCCGCAACCAAAGACCTCACCAAGGTGCAACATAAACACAAGAGTCGTCATCGTCGTCTTCTTCTAGTTCGCTTTTTGCAAATACATATACCGACATGTTTAAGCCGACCTGTTCGTTTATGATACTCATGCACAACTCCTGAATTTCCCCTTGGACATCGCCATCCTTTTATGCCGCAGCCCCCTTGTCTTTCACAACTGCTTCGGCTGCCTTCTCGGCCTTGTCGGCTAGTCTGTTCAGATGTGTTAGCCAGCAAATTCTCACAGGACATTCCATGTGCACTTACCCCTTGGCAGTATCTTTGACGCCTTCAGCTGCGTCCTTTGCTGCAGCTTTGGCTCCTCCTGCCACTTCCTTGGCCGCTTCTTTGACATTCTCAGCAGCATCCTTCGCACCTCCAACTACGTCCTTAGCAGAATCTGCTGCTTTCTGCGCATCGACAATCTCCGACTTGTCCTTCTCCCACTCGCTGGCTGTGTCATCGAATTGGGACTGGATCTTGTCCATGCGCTCCTTGTTCTTGAGTTCTTCTGCTTCGCGCGCCTTTTTCTCCTTTTCCATCTCTTCCATGTGCCTGATGTCGTCCAAACTGGGCTCGTAAAGATGCCAGATGGTGTAGTGAGGAAGACCCACCACCGAGTACTGCATACGTTTGGCCANTCTAGACATTGCATTAGCTCTTGTCAGAACATACTTGGCTTGTCCTCGCCATACCTTGCCGAAACCCTCGGTCTCTGCGTGCTTCTCGAAACTGAAGGCCGGGAAATGGACACCTGAGCGGAAGACCTTGGCCTTGGCCAGAATACTGACACCACCAACACCATCGATTTCCATCTCCATGTCCGGGTCGCCGTAAGGGTCACGCAGATAGGCCAAGTGAGGACGCCAGGTGGCATATTCTGCATATCCCTCTACGATGACGGCGTCTTCGTCAAGCGTGTCGGCCAAGGCCAGAGCAGTCTCGGACTCTTGCCATGAGTTCAGATCGTAAGGTTGTTCACCACCAAGCCAGTCAGGCAGAGGTCGCCAAACGTNCTTTTCGAATGTGTTAGTATTGCGAATTGTGTTCTTGATGCAATAATTCTTACTGGGTACAATGACGTCCTTGTTATGTCTCATCAAGTCTTCCAAAATTGTGAATGGCGCCGTCTCGACATCGACGTCTCTCCAGTAGACCCAGCTGTGTGTGGGACGCAGGGCTGCACTCAGAAGCCAGTTACGTGCTTGAGCCATGCTCTTTCTTCTACTAGCCTGGGCAGCGAAACCGTGTCTACTCTCGACGTCTTGGTTGACCTTTTGTCCAAANNAGTCCTTCTCGATGACCGAAACCTCGCCAAAGGGCATACCATCTTTCTCGCTGGCCTGCAACTGGGCCAGAAGATCAGAGAGCAAGGGGAGAGTGTTGTCTTTGGAGTCACCGACAAGGAAGGCCAGATCGATGAGGTGGTGGGGATACGTCAAGTTGCGCAAATGGGAAAAGAACATTGGCAAATGGGGAGAGGCGTCTCTGAGGGGGGCGCAGAGGAGGATTCTCTCTTCTCGCTCCCAGCCTCTGGCAGTGCCTTGGACATTGGCAAGATCATAGTATCGGACAGTTTCCAGCTGAAGCTGCTGGCTTCCGGAAAATAGGCCGAGTGATAGGGCAGGTAATACGGCCTGGCGCGTCGAAGGGAAGAAGAGGAAGATGGCGGCCAAAACAAGGGAGCCGATCAGGGCCAGTCTTAGCATGAGTTGGCGACGTCGTCGCATAGCGGGCTGTGAGCGGGGAGCGAANNCCTAGATGTGCAGACATGTAAGCGCAACGAAGATATACAGACTTTGACGAAGACATGCGTACTTGTGAGGCTCGATAGAAAAGTGCGAGCGCCCGCCCAGCGGGTATGCGCCTGAGTTGGAATAACCATGTCTATTCATTGTTGCTCGCGGAGTCGGGGATGCATGTACAGGTAGCATACACGACGAGCGATGGCCTACGAACGAGGGCCGACGTCTGGAAGTGCCGCAGGAATGATAGGGAGAGTCTCCAAGAGCGAGAGGTTGAGTAAATTGGTCAGACTGATGAATGTATCTAGCTACCAACGTCTCGCGGAGGAGAAACGGAAGCGTTTAGCTTTGGCCGACTGGCCCCTTTCTCGCGTTCAGGGTTACGTGGTGATCTCCACGCGAACCGTCTGTAACGACATGGTGGTACATGGCGACTGGAAAGGTAGGTAGATGTTCACGTAGAGCTAGACTATTCTAGAAACGATATGCTGCGTTTGACATGGCAATATATTTCGAGGCATGGAAGGGAGCACGAGTTTGGGTCGGCTCGAGTGCCTAGCCGGCATCTAACAAGTCCGCTCCTCGAGGCGCTCTGCAAAGATATGCTGCGAGAAATAGAGCCATTGTAATTAAGCAAACCCGACATACAGCTGGCCGAGAGCGCCTAGCTCAACCTCGATTCACAAGCCTAGCAGCAAGCCGACGGGTCATGCACGGTATCAATACCCAACATCGGACATTAAGGAAATCGGGTCGGAGCATGTCGCGACCCAGCCAAGATTCGGGCCGTGGCCAGGATACAGAACGCTCAGGGTTTTACTATGGAGCTTGCAGCAAGCTCCAATCAAACATGCAGACTGTAGAATCTGGTCAGAAAGATTGAACCCGGTAGTTATTTTGAGCTGTTGGTGGTCAAATATGACTTCAACGTTGTCGAGATGCTGATCGAGTTCTATATGCATCTGTGATGAGCTAGGCAGACGAAGACGCAAAGAAATGGCAGGAGCAAAGAGCTTGGCGGGCCGTTTTGTAGCAAATCGGGCAGCTGCTCGTAGCGTTCAAGATTTCCGAGACGGACTTTGTTGAGCAGACAAGCCTCTCGCAGCACTCTCACACTCCCGACCTCTATACCCTCGCCCTCACTCCTTCTTCCCTCCGCAAAGAAGAGCATTCGCCATGGCCGCCTCCAGAATGTTCCGTCCCACCTCGCGCCTGGTGTCGGCGTCAATTGCCCGTCCTGCTCTTNNCCGTTTCCGCCCCGTCGCAGTCTCGAGACACTATGCTACCCAGGGCGGCGTCAAGGAGATGACTGTCAGAGAGGCCCTGAACGAGGCCATGGCCGAGGAGATGGAGAGAAACGACAAGGTCTTTGTTCTGGGTGAGGAGGTTGCCCAGTACAACGGAGCGTGAGTGCTTGTGCTCGTGCTGTCCAGCGAAAGCACCAGCTGACCGCAACCGCAGNNATACAAGGTCACCAAGGGCCTGCTCGACCGCTTCGGCGAGAAGAGAGTTATCGACTCTCCCATCACCGAGTCTGGTTTCACCGGTCTTACCGTCGGTGCTGCCCTCGCCGGCCTCCACCCTGTCGTAAGCCCCGCGTCCAGCCAAACACCAACCCAGCGCCAGTCTGATTACTGACCCGCCTCCAGNTGCGAGTTCATGACCTTCAACTTCGCCATGCAAGCCATCGATCAGATCATCAACTCGGCCGCAAAGACCCACTACATGTCTGGTGGTATCCAGCCCTGCAACATCACCTTCCGTGGACCCAACGGTTTCGCTGCAGGTGTCGCCGCCCAGCACTCACAAGATTACTCGGCCTGGTACGGCTCCATCCCCGGTCTCAAGGTCGTCACTCCCTACAGCGCCGAGGACGCCAAGGGTCTTATGAAGGCCGCCATCAGAGACCCCAACCCCGTTGTTGTCCTCGAGAACGAGTGAGTCTGCTCCTCTGCTCATCATTAGCCGACCAATACTGATCCTTTTGTTTCCAGGCTTCTCTACGGTCTCTCTTTCCCCATGAGCGAGGAGGCTCAGAAGGACGACTTTGTCATTCCCGTAAGCCTTGAATCCTCTCTCAAAAACACCAACCTCAACACCTCGCTTACTCTCTTTCCACAGTTCGGCAAGGCCAAGATTGAGCGCCCCGGAAAGGACCTCACCATCGTCACCCTCTCCCGCTGCGTCGGTCGGTCGCTGGTCGCCGCCGAGCAGCTCAAGCAAAAGTACGGCATCGAGGCCGAGGTCATCAACCTCCGTTCCATCAAGCCCCTTGATGTTGAGTCTATCGTCAAGTCGGTCAAGAAGACTGGCCACATGATGGCTGTTGAGTCTGGTTTCCCCAGCTTCGGTGTTGGTGCTGAGCTTTTGGCTCTTACCGCCGAGTACGCCTGGGACTACCTGCAGGCTCCTCCCGTCAGAGTTACTGGTGCTGAGGTCCCCACTCCTTACGCCCAGAAGCTCGAGGAGATGGCATTCCCTACTGAGCAGCTTATCGTCGACTACGCCGCCAAGCTTATGCGCGTATAAAGAAGAAAAGCCATTCTGGAGTTTTAAAGGGTTTTGACTAGGAAGCTGGCTGGTGTATTTTTGATATCAACTCATTGTTCCTTTTTTTTTCTTTTCATCAAGCAGCATTTCGAATGGGGCCTTTGGATGCCATATTCTCTTGAGGTTAATACTGTATTTCCGGTGCGAGCTTTGGCATCTTGTTTCTGCACGTCCACCCTGTCCGTTCCAGCTCTTCGACATGTCAGACAGAATCATGATGCATTTCGTTCGGAAGTGACCGAAATTGCTGTATTTGTAACATATCTCCTCTCCAGAGTCTGCAACAATCAAGGCTTGAAATCATCACATCCACACTTGTCCTCGTCAACCACATCGGGCAGCTCACCATGACGGGATCCAGCCTCATCACAGAATGTGGCCATGACAATGTCTTTGGACGACAAACCTAGAGGTTTATGTGTTGTCCAGCGTACATGGGTCTTGTTGAAGACGTTCGTCCACTCCGGGTGATGCTTTTGCACTTTACACTCTGCCGCAACTGTGTTCATGAATTNCCTGGTAATCGAGTCAGTCTTCATCTCTACGGTGAATGGACAGGGTGACTGAGAGTAAATGCCCTGGTCACGCCTTTGGCCACAACTGATGTCTTCGTCAAAGAAAGGACATTCCTCACGTACCCAAGTAGCTTTGAAAGTCTTGAAACGAAAAGTTCGCTCGAGCCCTCTGTTGTCATTTGTGACCTTCCATCTGCCTCCGCCTTCTGTGGTGAGAGCACTGGCATCGCGACCCAGTTGTTCCTCATTCTCTCCTGCAGAGCATTGGAAGCGAGCAGAGGACTGTTGTTGTGAAGACGACGACATGGCCCTGACAACTGATCGTGACACGGGTCGTGGACTCGCCCTTTGTAGAAGAAACATGTTGTTGATGGACAGATTGATGAGTGTCGATGAGCAAGGACTAGGCAATCAAAATCTTGGCAAGGGACAATCCGAGTATGAACTTTGATTTGACATGGCCACAGCAAGACACGCGAGCACATACAACAAGGAAACAACAAAATGCATAAAAAGTGGTATCATGAGGGGCAACTAAAGACTTTTTGGTTCTCTTCCTGCTGACAGAAGTTCTATCAAAAGGTAATGCCCATTTTTCGCCTTGGATTCCTGACACAAAGCAGCCGTCAAAGCAAATCCATCAACGCCGACCTTCACATAGGGGTCAAGTCGCTTATTTCTTAGCGTTGGCAGCCTCCTCGGCCTTGGCCTTGGCGCGCTTCTCGCGGGTACCGGCGAGGCGGGCCTCGCTGCGGACGTCACGGAGCTTGCGGTAGGCGTTCTCCTCACCAGGGTAGTCGGAGAGCTTGCCCTCAACGACCTGGGGCTTGTTCTCGATGGGGAAGGTAACGTTGGCCTGCTTGACGAAGTTCTCCTTGGCAGCCTTGACCTCCTCAGCAGAGGCGTCACCCTTCTTGGGGGCCTTGCTGTTGCGGGNGAAGAGAATGACGCGGCTGCGGTAAGCCTTCAGGCGCTCGACGTTGGCGGCAAGAGACTCCTCGGAAAGGTTCTGGCGGCGGGGGTCGACGGAGATACCGATGGTGGGTGCAAGCTTGCGGGGGATACCAGCAGCCTTTAGNNAGACGTATCAGTCACTGTACAGTGTGATGGCACGAGGCAACGGGATACGTACCTTGAGCTCAGCCAAGCTGAAACCACGGCCGGCGCGGACGCGGCGGTTGTACTTAAGGGTAGGGCAGCGGACAATGGGGCGGAGCTTGTCGACGGGGCGGGGAGCGACGGTGGCAGCCTTAGCAGCGCGAGCGTTGCGGCGAGCCTTCTTCTTGCCGGCCTAGGATTGATCTTGTCAGGAACTCTGTCGCTGACCGCAGGCGCCTCTGCTCTCATGAAGAGAGGGAATTACCTGGTCGAAGTGCACGCGCACGCGGCGCTGCCAATCCTTGCGGAAATGGTTGTGCGGGATCTGCTGGTTGTGCTTGATGGCCTGAGTGTGTGTTAGTCTATCTGTATCCCAAATCTCTTTCTTTGCCGGCTGTAGTGATGGATGGAAACCAGGCTTGTCATTGCTGTCTTGGTGGTGAAGGCTAGGGCGAGAAGATTGTGTCGAGCATGTGTGTCAGGGCATGCGAATATCGCTGAGTGCTGGACAGCTGCCTTCCCAACCATCAAACTCGAAGATCTCACGCGGGTCGTCGAGAAGGCGAAGAATGGCGTAGCGCATCGAGAGTCGGCCAAAGACAGCGAAACAAGCGCGGTCCAATTCCATCAAAGACAGCGGCGGTGGCGCGACTAACCATTGTGTCGGTGGGCGATAAATGATCCTGTTGTCGAAGGTCTCGTCGTCGTCGTCAAAGGAGAAAAAGATCGAATTCTCGGCCGTGCAAAACTTCGATTTGTCGCTTAGCCCGTGGTGCGCCAAGCCCACGCACGTGCCGTCTTCCAACGTCCTGACTCTGGACGCTCGCTCTTTCTATCACTACAACCTTTGCCTTCGTAAGTTGTAGGTACAGACGTGATGCTGGCGAATTGCAAGGGCAGCTGGTAATACAATTACACTTGGTGCGTCACCAATCTGGCAAGTTTCGTGCTATGACCCCGTCTGCAACATCCTCAATACACAGGCAGCTCATCTTTCACAATCACACTTCTCACATCTTCGCTTGTATTCAACTCGCAAGACAGACTCGACTTCATGCGGGATGATCATGAAATAATGAGTTCAAGATTGAATACGAAAAGACTGTCAACCAGTCATAGAAATATCTGCGTCTCGCATCACACACTCCATAGGCCTGCCCAACCCGCATGACCTTCTGCCAGCAGACAGTGTCATTACGCTCAAAAGCAATTCTCCAACTTTTTGTTGTCTAGAAGGTTTCATCGTCTTGCGGAATTTTTTCCTTTAGCCACAACATCGTAGCTTCCGTTCCTTTTTCGAGAATCCGATGTGATGGTACGCGGAACACATTACCGCCAATACTCAATCCCTTTAGACCTTGATCCCACAACAGTCCTATCTCGGGAGGTACGTAACCGATGTTGTTGTCTGCGAGGTCAACTGACTGGAGCCCTGCCAGAGCCTCGTCGGAGACAGCATCAATTCTGTTGTTTCCGGCGTGCAAAATCTTCAGCTCAGGAAAAGAGTCTCTGACTCTGGGAACGGAACCGATTAGCCTGTTGTTGGATACGTCCAGGTATGAAAGGCGTGGTGCATGTAGCAAACTCAAGAGTGGTTCCCAACTTGAGATCTTATTGCTGCCTAAGAATAGCTCTTGGAGAGCCGTCAAAGTCACGACTTCTGTTAGGTAATTGTCTCCCAAGGAACAATTTGACAAGTCCAGAATTTTGAGGTTTTGAGCCAAAGAGATCTCGAAAGGGATGGTGACAAAATTGTTTCGTGCCAGTTTGAGCTCACGAACATCTTCTGTGCTAAAGATGGATCGAAGTACGTCGGCATCATCATCTACGAGGCTTTTGTCCCGAAGGTCAAGAGTGCCAGAGACAACGCCCCATTGTGAACCAGAGTCTTGAGGTGACTGGATATCGATTCCCTCATCTTCGAACTCATCACCCTTGTCGCCTTGACTAGATGTCCTTAGGCGTTGAGCCAAGCTACGTTTGAGCTCTTCGGTCGACATGTTCAACAGTTTACGTTCTCGAAGAGGATTGGCGGCCACTTTCAAAACATCCAACGAGTCCATGAGACCAATATTTTCGTGCAGTTTGGTGAGCTCGTTTCCGGTCAGGTCAGCCTGCTTGAGGTATTTGAGACTCGTGAATCCTTGCGGAAGCAAAGATATCTTGTTGTCGGCAGCAGCCAAAGATACCAGCTCTCTCCAGCCAGACATGTCTGGTAACGCGACAATCCTGTTACTCGCCATGTTGATCGATTTGATGGCCGGCAGTGACAAATTCTCAGAAAAGGCCAGCGAGGCTAACGAGTTGTTGGCAATGTCCAGGTACTCAAGCTTTGAAAGTCCAGAGACACTAAAAGGGAACAACGCGCCCACCATTGCGTTGTTTGAGGCATTGAGATCAACAATAGGTAGAGTTTCTAGAACGTCCATTGGTAGACCAGTGAGTTGGTTTCCAGCAACGTTGAGAACCTGCAAGTTGACAAGTTCGCGCAGACCGTCCGGAAGACTGAGGAGCTTGTTGTGCTGCAGTTCCAATGTTCTCAAGTTGTGCAAGCGACCTATTGATTGAGGAAGATAGCCGGATAGGTTGTTATTACCCAGCTTGAGTTCTCGCAATGCCTCGAGCTGGCCGATAGTGTCGAAAATGGCGTTGCCCAGTTTGTTGTGAGNACTTTGTGAATGTAAGTAATTGCGCTTGCACGATTTCAAGGTAAAGCTTACCAGATTCAGAGCTGTCAACCTCTCCAGCCAGCGGAAACCTGCGGGAACTGTCTGTAAACTATTTCCATGTAGATCAATCATTTCTACACTGCGAAACTGCAACCCCTTGAACTCATTCTCCTCATTCATAGCCACTTCAGTAGCAACATCCGGGAATATGTCATCAGAGATGGTGTCAAGATCGTTATCCGCTGCCACAAAGCGTACAAGGTCCGTCATCTGGCTCCAGTTCATGTTGCTATCTTCTCGTTGGTCGTACATGCTCAAGACTTCATCCGGGATACTCTTGAGGTTCATTCCTGCAATGTTCAGACGACCATCACCACGGGCTGCTTCGATCCTCTTGCGTAGAAGACCATTGGAGTTTTTGGGTTTCGTGTTGAAAGGATCCGCAAAAGGATCAAATGTAGCATCGTCGCTTTGACTACTCGACTGCTGTCCTTTGAAAAGACCCGGTGTCCTCTTAGCAGCTTTGGCTTTCGCAATCTGGTCTCTAAGCGCTGCGGAAGAACTAGCTACTTTTTCGGGAGATGCTTGCGATTCTTTAATAGGTGCGCTTTTTGCAGCTGTTGCAGGTGTTGGCTTAGGCTTGATCGCCGAAGTCGAATTGCTCGTGATTGGTCTGGGTCTGGGAGTAGCGACTACGCCCGCACCAGGCTGACGAAGACTACTCGTTCGCTGCAGAGGCTTTGAAGTGGGTAACTTTGGCGTACTCGTCGTTGTGGTAAGTTTGCCTGCTACGGAGGCGGGGCGACCAAGTCTTGACGATGCCATGCCAACCGAGGAAGGTGCCCTTGGAGTGGAATACTTGGCAGGCATTTTACTTGTCGGAGGAACCATACCAGATGACTTCTTGGTTGGCGAAGGCAGTTTTGCAAGAGATTTGGGACGAGGTATTTCTCGTGCTTCGTCAATGCTCATAGCAGAAGCCGGACGTGATGGAGGACCCATAGGACTCTGTGGCGCGAAAANACTGGACCTTCGCCTGTCGGTCCCTGGAGTCTCGGGGAGCCGCGAAAGACTTTCCACAGTCCGATCTGACAATGAGAGACGGTGGGCCCTCTTTGCGCCTGGAGTTTTTGGCTCGTCGATATGATCAAACGCTGAAACATCATCGTAATCACCTTGCCTTGAAGTGGCACGTGAAGCACTGCGAAAACCACCAAGAGAGCCTAGTTGATCATTCAAATCCTCTTGTTGAGCAGTTGTGATGATGCTGGAAACAGGTCTTCGAGATTGCGCAATATAAGATAGCGGACGTGAAGCAGGTTTCCTAGTGGCATTGGTAGGCTTCTCGGAGATAGAATAAGTAGAATGATGCGATGAAGTCCTGGGCGGAAGGATGCCAGGTGAGGGTCCAGAGATACTCGATCGAAAGCCATTACCAGATGAAGGCGGCCTCGGAAGAGCCTTTTGGCAGGAGACGGTTTCACCAAAGCAGAAGGNTTTAGAGGGAGAAGGTAATGCGGTTTTGTGATCATTGTTAGGAGCAGGCAATCTAGAAGCCGATGGTCTTGCGATGGAAGAGAACTTTGGGATTCCTGAGGATTTTAGGGGAGTGGCGGAGCTGGAGGGATCCATTGCGGCCAGCTATGCCCAAGGCGTATATGGGTAGCCGGAGGAAGAGAGTGACCGATGATGGAGACGGGTCGGAGAAGAAAGCGTCTATGTCTATTGTACCTGGGTTCATTCCAGCTCGGCACTTTTGTTTGGCATCGAAACCCCTGGATAATGGGGGTTGGAGTGCCTAACGTTGCGGATGTCCCGCCAACCTGGACCCTGGCCCAAAAGGGATGCATGATTGAATTGCGCACGGACTCGGCACGAATGCGCGTCTCTTCGAGTACACAGACTGCGGCCGACTTTCACATCTCTTGTTCTTTTGCATTTCATTGCACAGCATAGCAACTAGTATTCACAACCACCGTCTTGTCTGCGTCACCGACTACATATATCCACTACCTCTATCGGAAGCAGCTCGGATTATGAATGCGACACAACCNCCTACACCAAACTCCGGGCATGGCGACGCGACTCCTCGGTCTTTGAACCCTTCATCAGCAGATCGTGTCGCAACTCCATCATCTTCCTCCCCAACGCCTGCTTCTGAACCTTTGATCTTGTCTGAATACCATGTCCAACAGGCACAGCCGGATGAGCTCCGCGCCATGGTAGCCAGACTCATGCCCCTCTTGCAAGAAGCCCGCTCCGAAGCTGCCCATCACAAGCTGCAATATCAGATGCTTGCGATCGAGACCAACGAAGCTATGGAACGTATTCGCGTCGAGATGGACATGGCCCAACGCGAGACCGAGCTCTTGGGTAATACCAATGACCCTGTCGAGCCACGCATCATTCAGCAGTCAGACCCGAGCATTCGTCGGGTACATGCCGACATATGGAAATCCATGGTCGAGGAAACACAAAGCCTCAAGTCCCAGAACGCTCAGCTCGAACAAATCGTGTCGCAACACAAACGTATGGTTGTGCAGCAGGAGAGTGAGATTGCGACCCTGAACGACCGCATCACTCTCTATCGCGAACGCCTCCGTGAAAATCGCTCTCATCTCAATCGCTATCGTCGTGCTGCTGGGTTTCTCGAGTCACCGCGCAAGAGTCAGTCTGTCCAGTCTTCACCTTGGACCACCCACGAGCGCGATCAGCCACCTTTTGCGGCTCTATTGCATGCATCTGATCTCATGAGTGGGAGGAGTCCGACGACCCCACAGACCCCTACACGCAGAAGACGAGCCGCCTCGATCACTTCAATGCCTTATGAGACCCCTCAAACGCTACAGTCGACGCGCTACTTGCAGGTACCGCAGACTGCCCCACCCTTGCGCCGTCCCGAGTTACAATTCTCCAATTCTGAACGACTGGCTTCGACCAGGCATCAGACAACTGTGCTCAAGCAAGTTTTGGTGGCGGACGAGAGCGACACTGAGACTGATGTCCCTGATGAGGAATCGGCCAAGGATTCTGGCAGTGTTGCAAGAATGCCCCAGACTCCTACACGCACTCACAAAAGTTCTCTCAAGAAAACGTATTCTGACGCTAGTCAACAGAGATTGTTCGGCCAAGTCAGAAAAGCAAGCATGCAGCGAGATGAAAGCGAAGCATTGGCCAAGGTATCTGTCCCGGAACAGACACGATCACAGCATATCTCGAACGTGTAAAAGAACGACGTTGCCCAGAGTAAGCATGGTCCGAGAGTTGCAACACCTGTATAGCGATAGACTTAGATAGATACCCCCAATGAACCGGAGCATTGTATAAGCTCGAGAATTGACATCAAACGAACTCCATTTTGCCCAGTCTGCCCACTGTTTCTCCAGCATTTCTGACGATGCACATGTGTGGTCCCTTTCCAGTAGCATCGACAGNTTGCGATCAACTTTGGACAAAGACACTGCCAATGGCAACACCTCTGCCTTCCGTCAGGCTGAACTCGCCCTTTGTGACAAAACCAATGAGGTCTTCTCTGCCAGGAAGTGGTGGGCAGCAGTCGTGCTTGTTTAGTTGTGGAGGCTCCAACAAGTCTGCAGCCAATCGCTGCTGTATGTCGGCCGGAGAAGTTGACTTGAATACAGACGATGGCAGGCTTCGTTGGCGCTTCTTCTNTTGGACACATGAATCTGACCGAGCCGGGTCGAGAGCAAGCCACTGGTCGCGCAGTGTCGTCTTCTCTGGGCCACACGCAGTTGGCAAGCGATAGATTCGTGCGCAAGGCTCGGNGGTTCCACGTCCAAGTAACGTGATGCGGATTGTCAAAACAGCCTGAGGTAGATGTTCGATGGACGTGGCCTGGCCAGCAATGACACTTTGAGCAAGGCTCGGAGCAATGTGATGGATCTCCGATGTAGCAACCTCTTTCGCTTGGTCTGTGGTAATTCCAGAGCAGTAGGCCCAATCGCAGGCCCATCCATTACCATCTTCGCCTTTTCTGCCAGGACCCAATGAAACACTGTCCCATTCGACCCTCTTGCCTTTGGGCTTTGCTTCCCATTGCGCCTTTCTTTTCGCACTCTCCGAAGCCTCCCAGAGATCACCCGCTTTGGTGCCTGGGAAGTCGCCAGGAAACCAAGGTACGCCAGTCTCAAAGGCAACTTGGCGTTGCTCATTCAAGCCTCCCATTCTCACTTGTCCGCCAGTCGAAATGGGATAATACATGAGACTTTGCCAAACAGCAGGAACTGTTTTCCATGGCAAAAGGATGACCCACGAGCAAGACGTGCGCTCTTTGCTATTTTGTTTCGAGTTTGGTTGGGAAGGTGATGGAAATGCCATGATTGGAATGCGAGGATCTTGAGCCAGCGGTTCAGGATAAGTACCTGGCGTGGCGGCGGATTTGCGTCGGTTGATAGTTTNTTGACTCTGCAAAGCGCGGCAAGATGCTAGTCTTCTTGCACGATCGAAGATACCTGGCGTCATTTGTGCAGCATCAAAAGGCCATTCCGTTAGCAATTCGAGAAGTTGAGAATCTTGCGTCCCGGTGCCGCGAGGTGCAGTTTGCGGAGGGTGATGCAGTCGCGGATCGGTTATATCGAAAGCGAGAAGGGCACTTGCAGGCAAAGTCGATGGGTTTTGGATGCCTGCCAACAATGGCCATGTTTGTTCGACGGTTACCTTGTCTCCTCGGCTAGTATGTGCAGGACAAAGAGCACTTGTAAGAGCTTCGGTCGAAGCGGGACCGACAATCTCGATGCTTCCAATCTCGAATCGCAAGTCTTCGATGGTCAATTGGGGTTTCTGAATCTTGGCCAGTCGGATGAGCTGGTCCCAGAGCTGAGAGAAGGCCGACGGGTGAAGACGAATGAGAATCTGACGCTGTTTTGCAGGGGAGTCTTGTTCTGGACGCCAAACAATTGTGGCAGGAGCAATGGGGCGAGTTGGAAACATGTCACGCTCATAAAGCCAACCTTGCCATATACGAGAACCTTGTCTCCACCTCTGGCCTCTTTTCGTCCAGGCGGCATCGGATGAGCCAACTCCCAGAGCACGAAGAAGAGAGGTCATACTCTGCTCGTTACCGTGTACGGAGACTGTAGACATGTAGCTTGTGTCCCAAGCAATGGCTCCACGGTCTTTACTCGCACGATGAGTGGGGCGATAGCTTTTGACAGTTGATGTCAATGGCAAGGCAAAACGCCAAAGGGCCTGAGACGGAGGAGTCATGTGGGCTCGTTTTGCATGAAACATGTGTGTGGGCAACCACGTCTTGTGAAGTTGACGTTTCCGATACTTTGCCTTGGGCACAGGAGGGGACGCGAGCTTGTTCTTCTTGGGCTGCAGCGACCTGGCGACAATGCCCTGGTCAGGCGACAGCGTCTTCTTGCGGCCGAGGCTTCGTAAACGGTTGACGGTATCCATGCGAAGCCGCATGTGGCCACTGGGTTTACGACGACGCGATGTTACGGTTGGCGTGTTGTCTTCGGCCANTCTGTTTGGTGTTAGCCTCGTCACGGCCATGGTCTGCAGTCAACCAACCTCTCGCACAGCCTGACGGCGCAGTCTCTTGGGTACCCTCTTCGCATTGTGACTGGCCGTCCTACGTCTTAGATCCTTGGGCACTTGTTGAAAGGCTCGTTGTGTGAGGCCCTTTCTGGCCCGCGCCATGCCCTCTTCGAGTGCTCGGATCTCATACTCGCGCGCCTTGACAAAGGCTCCCACGTCGAGCTCTCCATTTTTGAAGGCCTTGGAGCTTGTCTGCACCGCTAGAGTGCGAGCGTCGCGTTGCGTCTTTTGTCGCTTGTTGCGCCAGCCTCCTCCATCTATCGGGTTTCCTTTGCGCTTCTGGCCTGCTTGTCCTGCCGGCTCTACTTTAGGCGCCATTTTGAGTCGTCGTTGTGGGCGCTGACTTGTTGCTGTCGTTCGGTGCACTGGGCGTCGAGCTTGTGACTTTTCCAACGTCGTGTTTCGAGTCAAATTGCGAAACTCGCGACGTCGCTTTGCAACTTCAAGCACTTTTAGATTTTTCAGCCTCTGCTTGTTTGATACAATGGTTTATGCCGGTAGGCTCAGCTACCTAGCTATCTAACATCCAGTGCTTCACCACTAGGGTGCTTGCCCTCTTTCCATGTACAGACTTGCTGCATCAAATCATCGACGTCTTGCGTCGCCCTCTTCTCCACCAAGTCTAATATCACAACTCCTTCCGTAACCGTATGAGCGCCCACACCCAATTCCCAAAGAAAACAAGAGGAAAAGAAACCGGTCGTGGTATCAAAAAGGACCGGAGAAACAGAGAAGAGAATGCCAAAAAGGTTTGTAAGAAAATAAGAACAAGAGAATTCAACATCCAAAAACATTGCGGGCTCAAGCCAACATATTAGACGATCCTGCGTGGCAGCCTCTCTCGTGTCGTTTCATGTTGCTTCGAACACTAAATGCCTTTCCACAACCCGGCTGTGTGCACTTGAATGGCTTCTCTCCGGTATGACTGTGGTTGTGAATCTTGAGACTGCTCGGCCGCGAGAACGCTTTGTTGCAAGTCTGGCAGACATAACGATCCTGGGATTGTGGGTATGTTGTCTGGCTGGAAGGAGCAATGTAATGGTGATGTTCCCACATGTTCGGCGCGGGAATGCTGGATGCTGCGATCACCGCGCCCGGCATGACTGGGGGAAAGTTTGACGGCAGTGGTCGTTGTTGGTAGACATTGTTCATTCCATATACACCATCGGCAGAGTAGTAAGAGCTGGTCGACATCGCGCTGGGCGATGAGTTGTAGGCAGCCATCGTGTAGGGTGATGTTGTGTACATGCCACCACCGGGCATGGGCACGGAATGACGCTTCACGGGTATAGACCTTTGCTGATGAGCCTCCACGTTGTTGAGAGATGACCCGAGGAAGTAGGATTGTCCAACTATTGAAGTGGGACTATGAGTAGTCTCGACAACCGAGTCTGATCGCAGGGGTGGTGGCGAAGGAGGTAGTGGGCCTCTAGTCGAAGTCATAGGTTCTGCTACCGTCACGTAGCCTTGGCCAAATGCTGGCTCTGTTGGAGCCGATGAGTAGTAAGCTTGCGCTTGCTGTGCTGGACTGCCNNTATACGAAAGTCAATGACTAGCTCCCATGGCTATGTGGTTGAGCTTACTGGTCTCTTGGCTAGGGACTGAAGCTCTGTCCCCATCTGCTATGCCCAAGAGGTTTGAGATTGATGGAAGGGAAGGTTTGTTCACATCGTCCTGCGATGTCGGCACAGCAGAGCTCTGCTGTGGCGCCTGACGTTGACCTGCACGTCTGACCTCTTGATATTGGCTTGTCATGGCAGGATGCACTGAGACGGGATGAGAGGTTTGACTTCGAGACTCGTGGTATTGGCTATAGTGCGGGTTGAAGTCTGGTTGGAAAGTGTGTTGGCGGTAAGGTGCGTAGGTTGCGACTTCCATGATTCTTGATCAGGATATGTCTCTCAAAGATGGTGCTTGATAGACAAGAGTGGTCTGCGCCAATCGGTGACTTGAAGTGGGTTGTTGAGAGGAGAGTCCTTGATGCTCGGCTATGACGACGAACAGATTGTGTAATCAAGCTTTTCTGTTATATGTAGAGTGTCCCGACCAGGAGAGAGAATGGTGTATGCACAAGGAAGATGTGAGATGGATATAGAGGATGTAGGAGAGAGAAGAAGGATGGCAAGTTGACCAGAGATGTCAAGACACGGATATGGCCCAAGGAAATGCACTGACAGGGTACGAAATGATGCTGCCCGCTGCGTATGGGGCTAAGGAACAGCAAGGTTGGCGCACAGAAGGTGAACAAGAGAGCATGGTCTTTCTGGGGAGCGGGCAACAGTGACAAGGGCAAGGCAAGATCCGGGCGGAAGCACAGAGGCAACGCAAATCTGGTGCGTGCTGGTCAGTGGTTTTAGGCGGGCAGACGTGCAGGTTGATCCCTGCGATTAGTCTTAATCTATTCTGCCTCGACAGTTCAAGGAGCGCAGGGACTCTCTACCGAGTCTGCAGGGTGGAGAGTAGGAAAAAAAGGTCCAAGGGCGATCTGCCCGGGCAATGCGACGGTGATCAGCAAGCCCCAAAAAGCGGCGTGCATGAGATAGATTTTGGAGAGGATGATGAAAGCACACGCACGAGGGGTTGCAAGCCTGATGCGTGCATCCTCCAATCGTCACTTTGCTGGCTGTGCTGCGACTCCAAAAGCTTACGTAGCCGGGCCCTCTTGTTTTCCAAGAGGTTTCACCTTGCGGAAGAGGGCCTGTGGCGTTTTAGACGTATCAGTGATGGGCGATAGCCGAACCCATCAAAGAGAGGATCACTTCGGCATGGCTGTAGTTTAATGATATGCACGGTCAGCTCTTCATGGTGGCAGAAGCATTTCTTGGGAGGTTTCAGAGACGATGTGTCGAAGAAGAAGAACGCACACACGGACAGCGCCTCCAGCAACTACCATCTTGCGCCAGGCGTCAAACCGGCGGAATAAACGACCATGCTGCAAGTTTGGCTTCTGCCGCCTCGCTTACAAGCAAACAGAGACACTCGAGAGGCTGCGAGCGAAAGACGTCCAAGTTCTCGGGCTCCAACACCCAATCAGAGGCCTGACAATTCTGCCCTTGTGAGCTCTCCGAACCGCAGATTATTGCGCGCCTCACCAGGGCAGTGCTGCTCGAGATGTTGGTAACTTGTGTGTGTGTATGTCGGCGCTTCACATCTCTGGCATAAAGATCTTCACTGGTAGATTGATCGCACCAAGCAACCTTGAGATGAGGACAGTGATGCGAACCTTTGCACAGGTCAAGAACACAAGTGGTTCTTGAGAGTGTTTGGCTCGTGAGCGATCGACAGCGATCCATGTCTTTTGGCGTTTCCCATGATCGACCAACCCCTCTCCGCTTCCAGGTGTCAGTTTCACAATTAAGTTAAGATGATGGCTGGAGTTTAACGCCGCGCACGCACACACACACAACGATTGCCCTGTGTTCAATGTGTTCGCACCTTCGCTGCCGAGATGAGGATGTTTGGCAAAAACTGCTCTTCGTCTTTCGAGTCTCGCGAATGACATCTTGTGTCACCTAACCACGTTTATCTGCTAGACATCACTGCCGCAATGCGCCAGCCATGCGATTTGTTGCAGGTACCAGGATCTCCCTCTAAGCAGTCGTCATCAACGTCTTGATCGACAGTCGCGTGGTGGGAAAGGCGATCAAGGCGATTTTTAGAAGAAGGGAGGCTACAAGTTCGGTAGACGACCTTTGAGTATGACGACGATCAAATACCGGTTATATTCCCTCCAATCGAATCGGGAGTATGATATGGATTGAATAATCAAGTTCGCACTTGAGGTGATGTTGAGTCGCAGGGCATATCCACATACTTGATCAATCTCCTCTAGGTATTGCGCCAGACTCTAGTGAGGCTCGCTTCAAACAGTTCTCTCACCATACAGTATCCGCATGAAGCGCCGTTTCCTGTCAACGTCTCAATCATCGCTCGCCCTGAACTTACATCCAGAAAGTCGCAATGGACAAAACAGCGAGTCGTGATTGAGATTACGTTTGTTTCGGGTTGACCGATGATACCCCAGAGAAACATCTTGCTTGGTTTTTTACTGTACTCCAAGGGGGAAGTAGGGCATCCACAATTCTCACCGCTGCCTCAGCCATGACATGAACACACGCGCAAAATGTTCGCATCACACCTCCTATCAGCTGTTTCTGGAAACATTGGAGGACCGCATCGTTCAGTGGCTGCTCAAGGCCGCTTGCGACTGCCTCTGGTGACGGCTGGAGCGGGAATATACATATGAGGAGTGTGGACTCTCCATCTCTTCTCGTACTCGGCGAAGCATGCACAATCGCTTAAGCAACGGATAGGTCCGGGCACTGCCAGAAGGATAATAGAGTGCGCCATTTATGAGTCAGTAAATTTGTACAACGAGTCGCAACTCTCCAACACTGACGGGCCGTGACACTACAGGCAGGTACGCATACTGGTTCCGTCTACTCACAACATTTCCTGTGCAAACAGCCCCAAGAACCATCATTCGAGCCTTTTATATCCTCGACTCATGATACATGTTGGGAGAAGTCTGCTCTTTCTGACACCTAAAGAAGTTCCCCTGCAGCAGCTTTCAAGACCAAAACCCACACAGTAGAGCGACATGCCAATTACAGCCGCTCAGATAGATTAACTGTCGAAAAACGCGTGCCACGATGGTCTTGACTCTTGTTCAAGCGACAAGGTCTTGCCCAATCGACGTCACACTTAGCACAACCCGGCCTCTTCATCTCTAGGCCTCACAGGGCCTCTTTACAGGAAAAGGGTTCGACTCAAGAGATCACTGATAAATCTTGATTAGAGAACTTCCTACAGTGAAGACACAAAATATACGCAAACAACGTCATCGATTCCAACCTCGTCTCCAAACTAGATCATCGCCCAGCCCAATCATTGTCGAGACAGGGTTGTCGCTTCCAATGGGATGGTAGTCAATCTCAGTAATCCGCGACGCTGTGGATAGGGAACTCCGTCGGCTAGTGTCCATGACTTTGACACACCGGATCGGAAGGGAGTCATCCTCTGCCTCGGCGATAATCTGTGGCCCCACTGATGGCTCGGGTCCGGCCCAACAGGTGTGCAGATGTCATGCATGGTGGATGCAAACGGCTATCCGAGGATGGCGCGTGGTCCTGCGCCTGTAGCCAACAACTCTTGCTACAGAGATTCTGCTTGCAGAGACGACGTGCAAGTCGAGGTGTGTTGCACTCTAGAAGAGACTGACACCACAAGACAAACTTGATGTATCCACACCGCTTTGAGAGTTGCAATCAAGACAGAATGGGCTCCGTGGATCCCTCAGTGACCGGTCCACAAGCACGTTCACGATAATCCGTGTCTCGGAGTTTAGCTTGCGCAGAACGCTGCCAACGAGAATCAATGCCTAAAGGTCCAATTCGATACTGACTTGCAGTAGAGCTCACTCGCTTTTGGATTGTCTGCACATATCTTGTCCCGAAAGTACGGTACAGTCATACTGCGAGTGCTGAATCACAGGTGGTTCCGGTCCGGCTCTGACTCTGCAGACAATGAGCAGACGACCGTCTGATCTTGCTTCTCGGCAATGCATATGTCTCGATTGTCACTTGTCTGCTCCCAGGATTACTGGTCGATCACCCGTGTATCTTTTTTTAGACTTGGTTTGCACACAAGAATCCAAGCGCCGAATGGCGATTGAGGCATTCCTCCTTGGAAATGAAATACTTGTTGGTAACCAACGTCATTTGGTTTGGCTCGATTACTCTATAGCATGTACTCGAAATCACCCATGGCACCATCAGAACTGCCCACCAGCGGTTTGTCTGCACCATCAACTTGCAATGAAGATCGAGCTGCACGGAGAGAAGTGTTGGCTCTGACAAGAAGAAGCCTCAGCACTATTGCCAATAGTGCTACCAGCGCCATGAAACCGGCGCAAAAGGCATGCCCTCTTGTATAATCATCAGAGTCTGGGTAAAGTCGTGTTCCAACAAGAGGCCCCAATTGACCAACGATATTCAAGAGTGCAACATTGCTGCCACGTCCTTCTTCGCTTTGCTGATTGTTGACAGTCCAGACAATGACGGTTGTGACGGCGCAGAAGAAGCCAGCAGTGACTGGGAAGAGGCACAGATATTGGGTTGTAGACGACAGATGCAACGTTGGAGCGAGAGCAAGCAACATGTAACCAACCAGCGCCAAGTTGGCATGGATTATGATGGGTATTGAACGTGATTGTAGCCTGTCAGAGATGACTGAGGTCACAAGCACCATGACAAAGGCGAAGAGGTGAGGAGGAGCAGCCAGACCTTGAGCTTTTGTAGCCGAGTAGCCCATACTATCAACCTGTTAGTTGTTACTCACGTGCGGCATGTGGCATGCTTACTTTTGGATAATTATGGGTGCGAACACTGGCATCGAAGAAAAAGCTACGTTCAGGGAAAAGAAGCAGCCAGCAGTCAGGTAATTCTTTGGATCGCACAAAGTGGTACGAACAGCAGACCAGTCAAACCTCTTCGCTTGCTCTTTCCCAAGGGTATGAGCTTGGGAAATGCTCGTTTGTTTTCGCAAACGGAAGGTTGCTATTCTTCGTTCTCTGGCCGAGAGCCACGATGCAGTCGAAGGTGAGTCTGGAATCACATACCAAGCCCATACAGCGACGAGTATGCTCGGGAAACCTTCTATGATGAACAAAAGCCTCCAGCTTTCTATGGCGGTGTTCTTGCCAAGCTTGACGATGGCAAAGGCCAGAGTGCTTGCAAAGCTGCTGGCGAGAGGTGCAGCGGAGATGAACAGACCAGTCCTAAAGGCAAGCTCATTCCTCTTGAAGAAGAAGGACAAGTAGAATGGCACACCAGGGCCAAATGCCGCTTCGGAGGCTCCCAATAGGATTCGTAATATCAGCATGGAACCAAAGCTTGTACTGACGCTTTGCAAGGATGCAAGACATCCCCACGCAAAGACACACAGGGATATGTACGCGTGTGGCGGAAAGATCTTGTNATCTGCGACAGATTTGTTAGTCTCTGGTAATTCTGTGTGCATCGACACCATCGGTCAATCGAGAAGGATATCGGTTTCATCACATACAGTTGTTGAAGGAGCGACCCTGGGCTTGTGACGAGACAGTTGGGCAGGCACGACTGGCACACAACAACGATAAAAGAAGAGTACTTACAGTAGAGTCATCCACTCGAAACAGATATACGAGATATAAAATCCCGTGAGTAGCCATTCGAATTGACCTGAACTAAGCCTCAGGCTTGTGGACATGCCAGCGACTCTAGCATTGCCGATATCNNTGCAGGGTCAGTATCTGAATACTGACAATTAGGCGATGGATTCTGTACTTGACCGATCCAGGAAAGAGAGCATGTACAGAAGTGCTAAGAATAATACAAGACGGGTGTCCAGTCTTCTGAGTAAGGATTTCTCTTCGTCTGGCGTATAGAGCTCAAAGCTATGTATACTGGACTTGTCGTCTTCTTCTTCGTTGTCTTCGGTGCCATCTGATTCGTGTAGAAGTTGCAGAGATGATTGTGGATTTAGATCGCCCAAGGCTATGTCGTCCGTATGACTATCTGGCTGGAGGCGATAGCCTTGAGAGGATGACGACCCCTGTGTTGCCATTGTGTTTAGTAGCGAGCGTTATGTCGCAACTCGTTATAGTGTATGCGACGGTGAGTAGTCCTTATAAAACATAATCCGTGAGATCGATGATGTTTTTGAGTATGTTCCCGGAGTGAGTAGGTGTTTGTGTTCTCCATCTTCTTTTGATGTTCAACTGGGTATTTGGTCATCTCGGGGAGCGGGAGCCGACTTCAGCCCCTACCTCGTACGCGTCAAAACACGAAGATCACTCGCAAGACCACGGTGTTGTTGAACATTTCAATCATTTCATGAATCATAATCTAATCGATAATATATGGTTTCTCTCCTGGACCAAACAAAATGTGTGGTTTTCTTTCCGCCACGTCGAGGATGGTTTGAGCAAAGACGGAATTGGCCCAAGCAAACCAGCTGCCTATGAAGACGGTCAGTAAATCTTGCACAAGTAACCACGAGTCGAACTGCTTACGAGTGTATTCTCTGCCGCGCTCAACATGTATGCTTTCATGTATCAGACCCAGATGACTGACGTGTTTGACGGCAGAGAGGGCGTCTATGATCTCTTCGTCATTATCAGAAGTCATTGCCTGTACTAGCAGACTCATGGGCCAAGCATTTTGTAGTCCTATGTGAGGGCCACCAATTCCCTTGAATGCTCTACCAGAAAGATAGTAAGGATTACCGTCTCTTCCTAATATCATACGGCGGGTGTTTTGATACGTCTTGTCATCCTTGGATACGAAGCCCAATAGCGGTAAAGCTAGTAGTGACGGCAGATTGGCATCATCCATTATGATGGAAGAGCCATAGCCATCGACTTCAAAAGCAAACACCAAGCCATACTTCTTGTGCGATACGACACCATGCTCCCAGACACCCTCCTCAATCATTGCTCCACGTGCTTTCAGATCAGCAGCAAGCTTGAGTTTACCGGCTTTTGCTAGCATGGCTGATGCTCGTTTTAGCTCAACGGCCATCATGGCATTTGCTGGAATAAAGAAGCCAAGGATGGTGGCATCATCACTAGGACGAAATGCACTTCGAACGAGACCAGTTCCGTTGTTCAAAGGATTACCATTGCCAGACAAGCTGAGAGTTTCTGTACCGGCATCTGTACGACGTCTAAAAGTGTATTCATTATGCTGAAAAGCACCAGTGATGGGATCAANGGTGGGTTTGGCCTGCTCATCGAGCAATCCAAGTAGAGTGTCCAAGGCGGCATACCATCTTGGGGTCAAGAAAGCAGTGGATCCAGTGTGATTGTAGAATTGATTGGACAAGGACAAAAAATGCGCAACCGAATCCAGCTCGTATTTGCACTCGAAGACTTTTGATGGCTCATAGGCTGGATGAACGACATCTTCCTGGCCATTGTTTGAGGGAGCCAGACGACTTGGTGGAGGTGGTTGGAAGGCGTTGCAGTAGGGAGACTCGATTACATATTCGGCCTGAGTGTTGATGGCGCCCAGTATCAACATCTCTATGGCCTTGTCCTTGTTGGCCAGCTTTTGGTATTGGGCCAGTTGGTTTGTGGAATCTCGGAGCCACTCTGCATTGATATCGCCAGTGACGATGAAACTCTGGGGTCCTTCCCATGCGCCATTGCTGCTCTTATAGGTCGACTTGTCTGTACCGTCGACGTGCCATTTGACCGTAGTATCCAATGTATTGGGGAAAGCATTCTCAAAGATTCTAGCCAGGTCCTTGTCCGTCATCTTTTCATTCATGTCGTCAATGATTTGTTCCACCAAGCCTGACTCGAACGTTCGACATGGCGCAGCCGGGCGCTGAAAGGGAAGTGACATGGGACCCTCAGAGAAGGGTGGGCTACCAGGGAGTAAGCAATAGTGNNTTGGCACAAGTCTTGAAGGAACGTACTGTGAGAACCTCGCGTAGTGCTCGTAAGCCGGACATGCTGCGAGTATCTTTGCTCTTTCCTGAGCACTTCTGAGAGGTCGCTGAGGGGCCTTTGCATGCGCCTTGTCTCCCGTACCAAGGCAGATGCCTGCAAAGGCCAGAAGAGTGAGGGACGATAACATGGTCTTGACGAGTCTCAAGGGAGAGGTTTATTGAACGCGTAGAGAACCTTCAGTCGCTGCAGGTACCAGGTCAAGGATCCGGATCAGTCGCTCATATTGTTGAATCTCCAGGCGATCAATGATGGATGAGATGATACACCCGGTCGTGCTTGTTGCTGAATGTTTGCGACTCGATCCATGTCTTGGATCGGACAAGCATCACGTCGCCGAAACGCCGCGGCTCGGCAGTCAGGGTCACATGCGCTTGACTTCATTTCTCGACACTTCTTTCGACATTGTGTGAATTACCTCGCTGCACGACGAGCGGAGGTTTGTGAATCCAAATCAACAAGACGTGTCAGTTTCTGGAGCCATCTGTGTGTGGGCATGGTTGACATATAAATGTGGCTTTTTGGAAGCGGCCAGCAGGGTGCAACCACCAATTGGCGACACTGATAGTCTCGAGTCTGTGTGATATAGGGGACGTTATTCATTACTATAATACATGTGGTCTATATGTCCATCTGATGGCGACATCCTCTACTTGTAAACAACACAACTACTCTTCGCGCTTCTGCGTCTTCTCCGAGCTGGTCGTTGCCTTGTCATGCGCTAGGTTGACCTCGTCCATCTCCGAAACACTCGAACCAATCTTTTGCTCCTGATCATTCCCCATGGAGTCTACTGATTCTTGTGTTGTTTGCACTTCGTCATGGTTTGCTGTTCGAGGGGCCAAGTCTCGAGCCACGTCCGAGTTCATGCTTACCTGGCTCGTGGCAGACTNCTCACTCGCAGTCCACTCGGCCGCGTCCATGATTTCGATATCGGTTTCTCCCGAGAACTGATCACCTCCAGCAGTGACACTGGTCTGTTGGTCAAGTTCTGTAACTGCTTCATGGCCGTCTTCCTCATCAGCCAGCATAGACTCTCTTTGGGCATCTGCCAGCAACGACTTCTCTCGCGCGGCTTTAATCTTTCTTCTCTGGCCCTCTGTAAAAGAGAATTGGTGAAGAACGTGTTCGATCTTNNTTTCTTCTACAAGTCCCTTGACGTGGAAAGCCAAGGGACGCGTAGAGAAGATTCCTGCGAATCTGTAACTAAGCCACAGATAGGCAACAATGGCCTTGTGTAGTTGCTCAAGTTGCCGGAGATAATCTCTGTTTGCCGACATTTCCAGTTCCAGGACCTCGAGAGGCATTTCTTCAATGTCGTAGAGAGCACCACCACCTTGCTGTTCTATACAGCGTGCCAGAGCTGGCATGAGTTTGCTGATCAAATCCTTGTCAGACTTGGACGCTGGACAAGCGCAGAGAATATTTCGATCTGTGACTGTCAATCCCTGGACAGGCTCAATCAAATCAGCAATCCAAAGCTGATCTCTGAGGCCACAGAGATGAAACCTCGAATGCATTTGGGATAGCTCGTGTAGTCGCATGAGGATGTACGAAAATGGTGTACCCGGAGGGAAGTATGAAGCAAAACGTTCGACAATGGGTGCAGGGGNGAAGATGCCTGCAGAACGAATGGGCTCGGGCTCTTGCTTCATGGCCTTGGCAATGACGGGGAAATCAAAGTCCTCGAGAGTGGTTACAAGGCCTAGTGTCGAATCTTTCGAGTCTACAGGTTCTTCTTGGGTGTCAGAAGTAGTAGATTCAGTACCAGATACTGGAGCTTGTGAAGACACCTCTGAGAGTGTCGTAGCCTCTTCAGTGATGGTCTCCTTTCCGGGTGCCGACTCTCCTTTTGCCTCTGCAAGCGCTTGAGCAGCCGCCTTCTCTGAAGCCTTGTTTGCCTGATAAGCACTCTTGAAACGACCGGCGCGTCCAGCAATTTGTTTGATGTCTGGAACAACCAGAGTTCTTTGACGGAATCCATCGAATTTGGCCGACGACTCGAAGATGACGCGTTTGATGCTCAGGTTGAGACCCATACCAATGGCATCACTAGCAACCAAAAAGTCATAGTCGTTGTCGGGGTCGTTGAATAGACGTGCTTGTTGAGCTCTAGTCTCAGGTGGCAAGCTACCATACACGGTCGCTACTTTTCTTCCTGTAGACTGTTCAATCTGCTTGCGTAGCGCGTGAATACCCATGACGCTAAAGCTGACGATACAATCGCCTTTTCGCAGCTTTTTGAGGTTGCCCTGCAAACTTTTATCCGCCATCTGTAAAGGACTCAGACGCTCGTACTCGTGGACGACAAGCTTCTCACCGAGCGAGGCACACAATTCACGTATCAATGGAACGGTTCGGGTCTCACCGCACAAGTGGACTTCACGAGCCTTTACACCCAGCACAGCCTGTGTCCAAGCCCAGCCTCTATCGGCGTTACCTATCATTTGAATCTCGTCGATGACGGCAACGTCGACGTCCTTGTTGAGCGGCATCATTTCGACGGTACAGCTGGTTATGTCGGCAGCCAAAGACTCGTCGTCGGGAGCACGTTTTTCTTCACCAGTCACAAGCATGCACTGCTTGCCCTTTGCATTGAGTCTAGTATAGACTTCATGAGCAAGCAGACGCAGAGGACCAGCGTAGACACCAGTTTCAGCCTGTTCTAGACGTTGTAGAGCGTGATATGTCTTGCCAGAGTTCGTTGGGCCGACGTGAAGGTGGATGGTACGGTGGATGATGCGAGTGGCGGGATACCATTCTGTAGGATAGCGCAAGTCGGCAAGGGCCTTTTGGTTGCGAATGTCGGAGGCAGTGAAGTGTTGAGAAGTGACATGATTGTAAAAGGCATATTTGATGCGATCCTGCAAGCCATTGTGGCCTCTNNTTTCGAACCAAGCATCACGCAGAGCTTGATGTTCATTTCTCCTGGCAACAACGATGGGGTGAGTAGAGGTTGGATCGCCAGTTGCGATGATAGATTCTGTAAAATCAGACCATGTGTCTCTGAATCTGCCGTCTTGGTCGAGTTTCTGGCCTATGGGAGTGGCGTGCAATTCGAGCTTGAGGGTGCCGAGCTGCTCTTTTAGGACATCGAGGAACTTGAGCTTCTTTCCATCGTTTTTGAATGGGCCGCCATGTTTGCGTGTTGAAGGACGTCTGGCTTTGGAATCGGCATGGTTTACTCGAGAGATGGAAAATTCCCGAGCAGCGTGGCGGGTGGTGGAGAAGGCGCGACGGTAGGTGGAATGGCAAAGTCGTCGAGAGGTAGAGGCACAGAAGAGCGATGTGCCTGGTTGGCGAGTCAGTGCGAGCATCACCTCGCGCTGGCACTTGGTTGCGACAAAAGGAATGGCGGATACGGCAGGTGCTGCAAAAAAATAGATGGTAAAGCTCTCTACAGCGGCAAGGCCCAGGGCACAGGCAATGACGCTCCAGGGACTGGGGTCGAGAGCCGCTTGGCGTCGACTCTCCGCATACCGACTGGGAGCCATCCAAGTCCATGTGCACCCACACACACTCGACCACTTTCCTGAGACAGCCACTCCTCCAGCATGGGCGTCTCCATCATAGACGCCCAGCGCGACAGTAAGCCCCGAGTTTGCCCTCTCCTTGTCCCGCTCTGACCCTCTATACANGTCATTCTAAATGTGATCCGCTCCACCACCCAAGGCCAAGTGCGTTACCGAATCCATCTCACTCGATCCTCCCACTAAACTCGAGCCNNACAGTGGAAAGTCCTGGTCCTCGACGACACCAGCAAAAAGCTGCTCGACAATGTCCTACACGCCGACGACATCTTGAATGAGAGCATCACGAGTATGCCTTCCCCTGACACCATCCCACAAACATACCTTGACAATCATCGTCCATANGACATTGAAAAGATCGAGGACCGCCGACCTAAGAATCCCGATGTCGACGCCATCTACCTCATCACTCCTCAGACCCACATCGTTGACTGTGTCATGGCCGACCTCGATCGTCGGCGTTACAGAAAGACCAACCTGATATGGACCTCATTGTTACCTCCGCACATGAAGGAACGTCTCGACAAGTCTTCCGTCGCCCGCGAACAAATCACCATCTTCCGTGTTCTCAACATTGATTTCTTCCCTCGCGAATCCCACCTAGTCACCTTTCGAGACCCCTGGAGTTTTCCCATCCTCTTCCATCCTGCCTGCAACAATCTAATCCGTCAGCACATGGAGGATCTCGCTCAAAAGATTGTTGGAGTCTGTGTTGCCTTGGGCGAGTTTCCCGACATAAGATATTACCGTCCACGCACCCCCACCCACGAGGCCAGTGTACTCTGCTCCCATCTTGCTCGTTTTGTCCAAGAGGAGCTCAATCTATATGCCAACTTCCACAAGGATTTCCCTCCNCCGAGCAATCGTCCTCGCGCAACCTTATACATTACTGATAGATCCATGGACGTCTTTGCTCCCCTACTTCACGAGTTTACCTACCAGGCCATGGCTCACGACCTGCTACCCATTCGCGAAGGAGACAAGATCACTTACAAGACAATCGTCAACCAGGGAACCCCCAAGCAAGAGGAAAAGGATTACGAGATTTCAGAAAAGGACCGCATTTGGGTCGAAAACCGACACCTTCACATGAAAGACACCATCGAGAAGCTCATGGGAGATTTCCAAAAATTCATCGACGAGAATCCTCATTTCACAAAAGAGAGTGATCCGAGCGGCATGAATGGTCTTAATACTATCAAAGACATGCTGGCTGGTCTTCCACAATTCGAAGAAATGAAAGGGGCTTATTCGTTGCATCTTGGTATGGCTCAAGAGTGTATGGATTTGTTCCAGCGTCACAAGCTTCCAGACATGGCCTCGGTCGAGCAGGTATGTGTATCTTGCTCCGGTGGTGGCTTCATCAATTAACCTTCGATCTAGATTTTGGCTACCGGCCTTGATGAGGATTATAAAAAGCCTAAACACGTTACGGACCAAGTAGTACGGACTCTAGACGACGATGCGATTGTGTTGCCAGACAGGCTTCGATTGATTGCACTGTATCTCATCTACAAGGATGGATTATTGCCTGCGGATCTTGTCAAGCTCTTGCTTCATGCCCAACTTCCCCCTCAACATGCCGAAACGTTGCACAACCTCAGCCTTCTTGGTATCCGCACGTCGAGAAACCTCAAAGACTCGCGTCCACCACCTATACCTCTATTCCCTCAAAAGCCACCACCAACCCTGGTACAAGAAGAGTATGCCTTGAGTCGCTTTGAGACGGCCCTTCAAAGACTATTGGATAACCACACGACCAACACTGTCGACGCCACCGTCTTTCCCTACATCAAGCCACCAATCGATCTGGGTGACAATGACATGGGCCCTGCACCCACTTCCCTACGCTCGGCCAAGCCGACTTGGGCAAAGGCAAAATCGTCCACCACGGAGCCTCGGCAAAGAGTAATTGTCTTTATGGCAGGTGGTGCAACATACTCTGAGAGCCGAGTGTGTTATGACATGACGCGGCAGAGTAATAAGGAGGTATTCCTGCTGACCAGCCATATGCTCACGCCAGCCTTCTTTATACGTCAAGTGGGAGACCTCAGTACAGATAAACGTAAGCTCGGCATACCGGCCGAGCAGCCACCCAAGCAAGCTCCTGCTCATTTGTTCGAGCGAGATGAGCCACCACCAGCACCACGACCAGTGCAGGCCCCATTGAAACCTGTCGCTCCAGTGCAACCACCAACTCAGGCTATGGGCAACATGAATCTAGGTCCAAATCAACCAAATGGCTCAGGATCAGCAGCACCGGGGCAGACTACTTCGAAGCTCCAAAAGGATCCGGAAAAGAAGAAGCGGCACTTCTTTTCGAGCAAGAGGGGATAAAGAGGGCGCGGGTTTTGACATGGTTAGCGTAGCATCAAAAGGCGTTTGTCGGGACAATATGTCGATATGACTAGAGACTTCAGATTCTTGTAAATTTCGAAAGATTAAATAGGCAAAAGCGCTGGCGCTGAAAAGAAATCCTGACTGGTAATAGCACAGTGTCTGGGTGTAATGTACTCGTACATCTCTCAAATGCATCCAATATATTTATTAGGCGCCGTGACTTTTAACAGCACTCTAGTCTCTGGGTGATGTGCATGGACGGGCCGGCGCGTACAGCTGTCAGGCAACCCTGATGGCGGCGGCAATCATGTGATGCAATACAAAGACGAGCTTCTGAGCGAAGTGTGTCTTTCTTCTTCGACACAGTGAACCACCAGAACCAAAACTCAACATGGCGTCTACTCAGCAAACCCAGCAAGAGAAGGCGGACCCTCACACCCATGAAGCGATTGCCCCTGCCACGACCAAGTCCTTCGTCCCACTAGGTGAGAGAGAAGTCCGATCGATGCGCCGGGCGAAAGCATCGTAGCTGACGCTGTGGTANGAAAACAACCCCGAAGTCATGAGCTCGTTGCTACACAATCTCGGCCTCTCGTCACAGCTCGCCTTCCACGACGTCTTCAGTATCGACGAACCCGAACTGCTTGCCTTTGTGCCCCGCCCAGCATGTGCGCTCCTTCTAGTCTTTCCCATCAGCGACACATACGAGACCTTCCGCCGTAGCGAAGATGACGACAAACAAGAGTACAAGGGTTGTGGCCCCGACGAAGAAGTAGTCTGGTACAAGCAAACCATCAGCAATGCCTGCGGTCTGATCGGTGTGCTCCACGCTGCGAGCAATGGCCCAGCTCGCGACTTCATCACTCCCGACTCGCATCTGGCAAAGCTTCTCCAAGACGCCATCAACCTCAAGCCCGCTCAGCGCGCCGATCTGCTGTACGAATCGCAAGCTCTCGAGAACGCTCATCAAGCTGCTGCTACTGGCGGTGACACTGCCGCTCCCTCGCCAGATGACAATATTGATCTACACTACGTCTGTTTTGTCAAGTCAGCCAACAACCACCTTTGGGAGATGGACGGTCGTCGCAAGGGTCCGTTGGACAGAGGCGTCTTGTCTGCCGACGATGATGTCTTGAGCGAAAAGGCTCTCAACATGGGAGTCCGTAGCTTCCTTCAACGAGAGACTCAAGCTGGAGGTGGTGACTTGCGCTTCAGTCTCGTTGCCCTCTCGCAGTCGTTAGACTAAAACAACTTCGGGAATGCCGCCGGACACAAAGAGTAGGAAAGCCTCATGGACATCGTTCACGAAAACGGCCACCACGTGTATCAAGTGGATCTAGGCCTTTGCTTCTTGTGTGAGGTATGTAAGCTAGTGATGCGGCCGGCACGAAACGGTACGCGGTGCCCTAATAATTCAACAATGCCATGCTCACATTCCTCTGCAACGTCCGCAATCCAGCACTAGGCATGCGGATGGACGGAACACCAGAGCAATTGCCGACACGCCATCCAAAACTCCCGTGAGTATGGTATGGGATGGAACCTCTCAAGGTTGCTTTCAGCAAAACCTTCTTTCTCTTTGCCTTCTCTGCCCCTTTTCTGGCTTTCTTTTGTGTGCAGTCTGCAAGCGGAACCTCGTGTGTGCACCATATGGGACACACTGATGGACACGATTCGGTTTCTTTTTTTCCTAGCAAGATCACCACATGCTCAGTTCATCTCTTGTTTCATTCATCTTGCTCGTGTCACCAACGTCGCGCTCCTACGTGTATTGACTCGAGTCAGGGTATGCCGGCCGTCGAGCATATCTAAAAACAAAGGATCGTCTATGTGTACTTTTTCGGTCTTTTTGTTATTGAACGTTGGTGCCGTTGACTGTAGCGGGCGTATTCGAAGGCAGTAACTCACAGTTTGGTCAAAACAGTCTTGATCGGGAGAGCCATCTAGGAAACAGAGAATGGACTTGGCAACGGCCGTTGGAGATGACTTCAGTCAACTCAGACAATCACTCTCTTCGAGTGGGCGCACCCTCTTTCTTCTTGCTCCATCTCTTATACAGCACTTCTCCCATGCCCCGCGCGGTGAGCCGCTCTTCACCAGACCGGAGCGTCGTGCAAACATCATGGGTCTCGGCGGTCACCTCTTGGACCCGTCTTCAATTATATCTTCAGAATGGAGTCGGGCAATTCGAATCGTTGCTACCATCTCCTCTAGCTTTAGTGTGATTGGTACACTGATCACTATATATTGGTTCTTCATGATGAGAAGAAACTTTAGAAGAAAGTAAGTAGTGGATTCGAGACTTTGGACGACGAATCGCTAACCAGCATTNCGCAGTCTAGTCATGTATCTTGTTCTGGCCGACTTCTTCAAATCTCTGTGGTACATGAGTTTCTCTGGTGTATCTCTACGTCGCGGCTCCATCGACACAAACGGCTCCTTGTGTCAAGGGTTCGGCTTNTTGTTACAAGCGTCAACCATGGCTTGTGGTAGGACTTGCTCCACAATCCAATTGACGATAATATTGTACTAACCTTGAACAGACTATGCAATCTTTATAATGTCATTACACATGTACCTCCAAATATTCAGCACTGGTAGTAAGATATTTGGCCACGACGGTCTCTATCGCTTCAGACATACAGTCATGGCAGGATGGGTCGTGTTTCCCTTNTTGTGTGCTATCCTTGCCTTCATCAGAGGACGTCATGGTTACATCGCCCAAGGTCCCTTTTGCACCTTGCCAATTCGCCCCTACTGGTACCGACTTGCATTGCAATGGATCCCTAGATACCTCATCTGGCTCTACATCATGTTTGTGGCCATCCGTATCTACCTACATGTCGGTCAAGGATTCAAAATATTTGCTCGTGAGGACGGCAAAGAATCGAGTACCGAAACGAATGGCTACGGACCGTCTGGAAGCCTCGGAACAATGCCTGGAGAGGGAACGCAAGACTTGAGGGTAGCCAAAAAGAGAGGTGCCAGCGCAGGCGAACTACAGGATCTGTCAGGATTCACGGATAGCAATGCTTCCAACAGCCAGGCTCCCACGAGCAGTTCCAGCCAGGGCAGCCAATCCACTTGGCCGACATCTCTCACTTCTTCTGCCGAAGGCTTCAAACTGCCCTCTGCAAACCACTCAAGACGGAGTAGTCATGTCATCATTCTTGCAGACGGAACTGTTCAACATGACCTTTTGCAAGTGCCCTCTGAATCAAAACAGCAAAGACAGTCCGTCTCTACCATTGCATCTTGGAGGACTTCGGCCGACATGACTGCTGCCGTTACCGCCCCTTCGGTCAACCTCGCGCCAATTGAAGAAGGACATCAAGTAACGAGCGGAGACAAGATAGACATGGTCTCGACCGACACACCTCTCAAAAAGAGACGACGAGCGATTCAAAGACAACTCCGCCTTCTCTTCATCTACCCCATCACTTATCTCATGGTCTGGACCATTCCCTTTGTTTACCATTCTTTCAACTACAGCGACAAATACGCCGCACACCCCATTCCCATCCTAGGATTGCTCTCGGTTTTTTGTGTGACGATTGCCGGCACCGTGGATTGCATCGTGTTCGGATGGAGAGAAAAGCCATGGCAACACGTACCAGGAGCCGACGGTACCTTCCTCGGCAGCTTCAAATTCTGGACCTTTGACAATGGTAGAAAGAGAAAGTGGGCAACGCCCGCACCAAAGCCAGTGCCAGCACTCAGAGATGAAGAAGCAGCCTTAGAATCTGAACCAGCCCAAAACTCGAAAAAGGCGAACCGCCTCAGTGGAGCACCAAGAAGTGCTTCGTTTAGTGGAAACAGACCTGTAATTCACATGCACAAGAAGACATTCTCTGGAACCTCGGATCGGGCAACCAGGGCAGCAGAGCAAGCGGCCGAGAGACTTGCTCTGGAAAGAGCAGACCGCCAGAGTCGCATGTCCACGCGCAATTCGTCCGTCAATCCGGCAAACGAATGGTTCGAGCGAAGGCTGAGCGAATGCGTTAGTCCGACTCGTGAAAATTCTGCCTTTGACCTGACACCGAGTCCTACAACGGAGTGATGATTATAACAAACGACGAAGAGGGGTCGAGAAGCTGGCTTTCTTTGACCGACACAACATTTATTTTCTTTTCCTGCCCTCTCCGCACAGCGATGGCGTATTTCATTTCTCTTCTTCTAGCATATAAAAACAATTTATAGTTTGGTTTATTAGATGGTGGTTGGAGATGAGGTGGTCAAAGCAGGACTTCAGGGCAACACACAAGAGAAGCCCAAGATAAAGCATAGTTTTAATCAAAAAAATCGAGTACATCAAAAATCTATTGTAAACGCTTTTCCTTTAGAGGCAAAAACACATCGGTCCACAGCTCACTGGCCTCGCCCAAGGTAAAGGACAAATCAACATCGTCCATGCCGGCTTCTTCATCGCCAGCCATGGTGGCCAGCTGAGAGATGATATTGTCGAGCGATAGAGCCTTACCTACAGCCTGTGTAGCACCGGCTTCGAGCGATACGTGGACGATGTGGATGTGGAAATGGTAGTAAGTTGGTTGGTCTGGAAGTGTTGTCAGCATGAGTAGAAGGCGAGTAGGCACAGACAAAAGCAACATACAATGCACATAGCATTTGAGCGTGTCCGAATCTATGCTGTACAGACGAGAGACGGTGGCTGCAATATCGGCAACAATAGACTTGAGCCAGGCGACATGCTTCTTCTTGAGGTCGCGAAGACTCCAAATGTCTCTGCGCTCGACGAGAGCGAGCAAGTGTAGGCTCCCCAGCGTCTTACGGTCCCAATTCAAGTCTGGAAGCAACAGATATCTTTCATCGTCGGTAGTGGTGTCGTGGGGAGAGCGAAACAGGACATCTTCTTGCTCGGTGCGGCCGTCGAGAATGTTGAAGACCCAGTTCAGTCGTCCTTGGTCGCGCTTGCTCTGCATGTAGGGGCGGACGTGGTCGCGGTAGACGTCGGNGGTCTCTGTCACATAGCGAACTGCTTGTGCGGCGTACTTTTTGAGATGCTGGTCGGTGCAAGGGTAGATGAGGTTGATCTTCAGGTCGGGCGGGTGTCCTTGGCCAGCACCGCTGTGGGCCATGTACCAGCGGTAGATGTCATTGTCGCCGAGGTTTTGGATTTGCGAAAGCGAGCTGCTAAAGGTCGACAGGTGCGAGTCGTCGGCGTCGAATGCGGCGCGCTCGGCGAGGAGCAGCGCTGGTTGAGATGCGATTGTGCCCTGCAAGACGATGCGGCGCCCGGCTTGGTNCTAGCATGCGTCGTTGTCGCGTTACAATTCATTTTTCTCTCATGCTCAAGCGTCGTCGATACCTTGATTTAGAAGTTTCTCGAACATGAATTGAGGAATCAGCGCCTCTGCATTGTTGGTTGAAGTGGCCATCTTGTCGTGTTGATGTGCAGAGTTGCGTCGTACAGCCAGAGCTTGCTTGACCATCTCCACTGAACTTGGCTTTCACTGCATCACGACAACCATCTCATCACGCATTCCTCGAGTTTTGTACGTTGATTGCATTATTACCATGTCGAGCAATGTCCTTGTCATCATGAGTCTTGAGTCTTCCAGCCTCGATAAAACCCCCAGTCCAGGTATCTTTTGAAGCAATTCCCCTCCCGCTGTAAACTCCTAGCCATGCATGTTCCCAAGCCAATTCGTGATCGTTCGCTCATATCGTCTTTCTACGTTTCGATGAATCTCGAGCTCATCAACTCGTCAACGTGAGCACGCTGCATTCTGCTCTTGTCCTTGTCACTCGCCTTGAGCAAGACTGCCAGCACTTCGATGGGAGGATTGAGGCCCAAAGTGTTGGCTCTTCTCCAACGCTTGACTCTGGCAATGCCAATGCAGGNGCTAAAACAAGGTCAGTAACTCGTCCAGATAGGAAAACATATGCTGAACATGTGCTGATAACTTACTCCGTACTGTCCACTCATGTCAAACTCCCTCAGGATCTTTTCCGGAACATCGAGTCCTTGTTGGTGAACGCGCGGGGACTTTCTCTCGGCCTCTTTTTGTTGCCAGTACTTTTTGATTTGGGCGTTGGTGATTTTGTTGGCTCTTTTCTCGTAATCATCAGACTCGCTGGGAGGATGGGGATCGGTCTTGAGAGGCTTGATTTCAACAAGTTCGGCCTCGGCTTGTTCTTCGATGGCAGCATCAGCGGTGGTGGGTTGGTCAATGTCATGGGTTGACACTGCGTCTAGCAACGCATTGTCCTTCTTGGTGGCCTTGGAGTCGCGCTGAGCAAGCGTAGTCTTGGTGACGCGATTGAGACCCTGCTTGCCAAACGAGATGGTCGCTTGCTGATTGCGCTGGGCTGCCGAAGGTGTAGAGATGCGTCTCTTGGGTGCCATGATGGTTGTGATGTGATGATGTGATTACAGATGCGATGTTGCTGTCTTGAAGTGAATAGCGCAGAGATGTATATGTGATTGTGAATGAATCAGAACCAAGGTCTTGAGTGTGTGTTGGTTGATGGTCGACACAATCCATCGACCAAACAACGGCGCGTCATGCACCAGATGACATCACTCTCGTGAGAATTACGCGTAAAAGCTCTTAGACTTCCAAAAGCGGATCAAATATTGTTGCAACTAGTCTTCTGGGTATAATAATGTGTGTGTGTGTGAGCCAGGATTCCTGCTGGCCTTCACCAGGTCGAAGCAACCTTTTGAGAAAGCATCCGTAACATCAAATCTATGCGTGCAAGAAAAAAATAGTCGTCGTCTTCAAGCATTACCGTCGTCCTCGAATTCATCCCGCCTACTTGCGTGCAGCAATGGCCTTGTCCACAAACTCTTTTGGTGCCTGCTGTCTGTAGCCTTGAGGGTTGTTCTCGGTCCACCTCCACAAGTCGCGGCATGCATCTTCGAGTGAGAGCTTGGTCTCCCACTGGAGTTCCTCGTTGGCTCTGGCTGGGTTGGCTGTAAGGTTCAAGACATCACCGGCTCTGCGGTCCACAACCTTGTAAGGGAGATCACGTCCGACAGCGTGCGAGAATGCCTTGACCATTTCGAAGACGGTTGAGCCTCTGCCAGTGCNCAGGTTCCATGCGCGAACACCGGGCTGGTGCTCACGCAGGTAGTTGAGCGCCTTGAGATGGCCCTGAGCGAGATCAATGACGTGGATGTAGTCGCGAATGGCAGTGCCGTCTCTTGAGTCGTAGTCNNTATGCACACAATCAGTTTTTCAAGATCACACGCGCATGTGCATAGTCTGCTTACCGTCACCAAATACAAGCAAATTTTCGCGCTTTCCGACGGCGACTTGAGCCAACAAGGGCAAGAGGTTGAAGGGAATGCCCTGGGGATCCTCTCCCATGATTCCACTAGGGTGTGCGCCGGCGGGGTTGAAGTAGCGCAACAAAGCGCCATTCCATTTGGCTCCCGACTCGCCCGTCTTTTGTGCATTGTTGCGCTGTGCTTCAACGTGGGTGCCAATCAGCTTCTCGATGGCATACTTGGTGTCTCCGTAGGGGTTTGTGGGACCCAGAGGGCAGTGCTCGGGAATGGGAATCATGCCCTCGAAGCGTGTGGCATCGCCGTAGACTGTAGCGGATGATGAGAAGACGATGTTGGTGACATTGTGACGGGTCATGGCCTGTAGGAGGGCAATCGAGCCACCGACGTTGACGCGCCAGTACTCGAGGGGAATCTCGCCAGACTCTCCAACAGCCTTGAGAGCAGCAAAGTGGATGACGTTGTCGATATCGGGATGGTCGGCAAAGACCTGCTCGAGAGCCTTTGCGTCGGTGATGTCGGCATTGTAGAAGATGGGTCGCTTTCCGCAGATGGTCTCGATGCGGCTGAGGACTTCCTCGGACGAGTTGTACAGGTTGTCGACAATGACGACCTTGTAGTCGGCCTCGAGCAGGGCGAGGGCAGTGAAGCCGCCAATGTATCCGGTGCNCACTGTCGCATCAATCAGCGCATGGCGGGGCAGTCCGGCGCAATGCGTCACTTACCCGGTGACGAGAACTGATCCGACGGGCATTGTTTTTGGGATGGAATGCGACGAGCGAGACAAGAGCAGCAACCTGAGTGTTTTGAAACAGAAAAGTCTCGGAAAGAGTTGTTGGAGTGAGAGAGGGGAGGTTTCTAGTCTTTAACAGCTATTTCAGCCGACACGACGACAGCATCGGGGATCTCACGTTATAACTGTCGTACCCTGGCGCAGTGTGGAGCACTGCCCCTTGGAAATGGGGGAACTGATGACATGGCGCTCCCAAATTTCTTGCCAATCTCAACATCCTCTCTTGCTTCACGATTTTATTATCCGCGGCCCACCCGGAACATCTCATGCTTTGCTCGTGTTCTGCTGTAGATTTCCCTTTTACCCGCTGCTGTTTGCTGCTCTCTCTGGCATGGTTACTTGACCACAGCTGTGGGTTGTACAACTCGTTCGACATTCTTTCTACTGCTGTCATCGCGTGCCGCAAAAGTGTTCAAGATTAGTGTGTTTGAGCGTTCAGCGTCCCGCCGCGGATCATGCAGTTGCTTGCGAATCCTTCCATGTGCAATGTGCATCCATCGCTTGTGGCTGCTCCCGAGTCCCAACTGCGACACACTCTCAGCTGAGAGGCCGTTGTCGCTGCTGCGTCCACGGTGCGCTTTCAACGAGCTGCCTTAAACTCGATGCCTCCTTTTTCCAAGCTGCCCCCTTGTCCAAAGACATCATCTCCCACTAGACTTGTGCTTGCCCTCAGAAATGGTTTCAACGAGCAATGCAAGCCAGAGTTATGCCGACGCTTGGACCAGATCGCCTGAACGCGTTGTTTTGCAGACTCGCAGGAAGCAGGAATGCTGTCCGCGAACAGCGACATCTCTCTATAGCATGATCAAGACTTGAGTTGCCTTGATGTCTTTGTTAGCTGTGATTGTTCTACTCCCGTGCGTCACCTAGCACTTGATCATCTGCTGTCGTAACGGCATCTAGTATCTCAAATCGCGTCAATGCCATAACCTCTACGCGTTAAAACCACCTTCACAGTCAAATTCCTCGTCACTTAACACAATCGGTAAGTGGACTTCACTTGGGAATCTGTAGCCTTCTATGTCGGACCCAAATGCTGCAACCTTCTTGAGATAACATCACCACTATTCAATACACACCAATTACAGACAACCAACGACTGACTCCATCACAACTAGTACTATTTGTTTTTAGTTTTTGTCTTTGTCTGGTAACCACCACACACACAAAGATGTCAGAAACTCCAGCACGTCGGACGCGTGGTTCTACTCGAATGAGCGCAACGCCCGCTGCGCCCTCGGTCGCTGGAAGTCGCAGGCCTCGTGCCAAAACGCCCAAAGCTCTTCCTGCTGTACCGACCGGCAAATCGCATGCCTACGGCGCAGCTGGAAAGGTGGAATTGTCGACCCAACTCGAGGACCCCTCTGGCAGCGCTGGCGGGTTTGCTGCTCGCTTTCGTGCAGATAGAGGTGCTGCCGTCAGCCGCGACATTGGCGATGCTGTTATTCCCGATACATTACCTGCACCTTCTACAAACACAATCAAGGCACCCACCATTACCAGGCCAGCTAGCACTAGACCAATCACTTCGAAGTCGTCCGTTGCCACTACCAGTATCCGATCAACCCAGAAAATTACAACGCCTTATTATCTGCAACCACGGGCTCACGACAGTACTGACAATGATGACTTTGAGGATGAATACCAGCCGCCCGGCTTCGTACCTACTGGTGGCCCCTTGTTTCGTCGTGCGCCGTCTACAGGTGCTGGTAGCTTCACTGACTTGGACACGCAATTCTCCTACGAAGCATCGATGCCTCCTTCTACTAGATCTCGAAGAGTCGCAGAGATACGACCTCCACCTACGACGCAGGAGAGAGAAGCTGCTCGACCTTGGAGAGTATCTGTCTTCTTCGAGACGTTGCACCGTCGATGGCAAGATTTCGAAGTACCTTGGGACAAATTCTCACCACAGATTAGGAGAATTTGTCTTGCCNNCTTGACAGCCTTCTTGCTTCTTTTTCTCTTTGAACCAGGTAGATGGCTTAGTCTCTTGGAAAGAGGCTCACACGCATGCTTTAGGGCCGGCGAATACGCCATGAGTCCGCTCTCATATCTTCAACGAAGAGCCTTTGGTTCTGGCGAAGATGGTCTGTCGAGACGTATGCAAACTCTAGAGCTTGACATGCAAGGTATGAGAAATCAAGTACGAGGTCTAAATACCGAAGGAATCGAGCGCCTGCAATCAATCCTGCCCGAGCAAATCATGGTCCGCAAAAATCCCGAGACTGGCGAACTGGAATTNCCCCCTGGTTTCTGGCAAGCAATGGACGCAAAACTGGATCAACGCGACAATGGAAACATCTGGAACAAGTTTGTGCAAACCAACCAGAAGAAACTTGAACAACACGCTCAAGACATTGTCGAAAAGACGCTAAGACATCAAAAAATCATCAGCAAGGAAGACTTGGCTGCCGCTGTCAGCGAGAACCATGCAGGATTTCAAGAGAATTTCTCTGCGCAGCTGCGTGCATTCGAGACGTCAGTCCGCAAATCTACAGAACTTGCTGCAAGAAGAACTGTCTCCGATATCATCAAGCAACTGCCTGATGGCAAAGGATTTACACAGCTGCACAGCCTGGCTCTCGCAAATATAGCGCGTAACACGGAGCTGAGGCTTCGTAGCGTGAACTTCTTCTCCCACACGCTGGGAGCTACTGTGCATCCCAAATACACTTCGCCAACCCACCCTCGGCAACTCGGAGGTATGTGGCAGTGGGTCAACAGGAACCTTTACGATTACCAGGGACGAGGCCATCCGTCGCCATTTCGAGTTCTGACACCATGGGAAGAGCCCTCGGACTGTTGGTGTGCTGCTGCATCGAATGACAAGGGGAAGGCTCAGATTGGTGTTATTATACCCCGTGCCATGAACCCAACTAGCATCACCATCGAGCACATGCCCTCTACAGGTACTCTCGATATAGGAGCAGCACCTAGAGAGTTCGAAATTTGGGTTAGAAGTCGAGCCAGCGCCGAAGCATCCCGACCTTACAACTCTCATTTGGGTTGTGGAGAAGCGCCCGAGTCTGGCCTCGTCTGTATCGGCAAAGCATCATACGACATTCACGCACTCAACCACGTTCAAAACTTTGACCTCGAGGATGTCGACGGAGAAATTGGTTTTGTCGACTTTGCTGTTATCAGAGTCATCAACAACTGGGGACAAGACTGGACATGCATCTATCGTATCCGACTGCATGGTGAACCAGAGCCTGCTGATGTCAAGAGCGGTGATCTGGGCGAGCTCTGAGTGTAGTCCGCATCGACTGACTTTGTGTTCCAATGTTGCATTCATTGTGAAGAAGGAAGGTTGGCGGTGAGCTTCGGTTTCTCGGTTTTCGTGTGTTATTGTTGTTTAAGATACCCGGCCTACCTGGCCCCTGCAAGAATCCCCTTTACCTTTCTGTTCGTCCAGGTCCGATTCTGTAATTCAAAGCCATTCAGTGATTCAATTGACCACTTGTGCTTCCAGTGAACCGAATATACGACCACGGCTTCATTCATTGTGATGCCAAAAATCTACATTGTGGACTCGGCGCCTTTGTTCCTCTACTATCGACGGATCCGGCGAAATGTCCGAAAGCGGCAAGTCATATACAACTCTTTGTTGTCGGTTGGTGTTCACAATAAGACGCAGACGATGGCCGTAGGTGTATTCGAGTAGCAACAGCTCTATCTGAAGTCATGTCGAAGAGAAAGCTTGGAAGTCAGAGTCCGACCAACCTGTCTCTTCAGCAGAAGAAGACTCGGGTGGTGCCCGACTCAGAACTGCATCGATGGACCGCTCCAGGCTTCGATTACATGGTTTACACACCCACAACATCGCCGCTCCCGTCTCCATTCGCAGTCGATTCCCTGGACGAAGATATGAAGGTCATTGTTACACAATTCGGACCAGCTGTCCAGGAAGCATTCGAAGCAACGTTCAGAGCTAACGATAAGGCTGGCGATGGCAAAAACATCCAAGATTTGTGCAACAATGAACAAGTAGGTTGGATGGACCCTACGCAGCCTATCATGTTGAGCCTAGGCGAAGGGTTAAAGTTGTACGTTCGTCCGCACATGGATCATACAACAATCGTAATTGACACGCTCAGGTCCCCAAGAAAGGTCAAACCAATCAGTAGCATCAAGTTTCGAAAGGTCTACAGCGAATGTGCTCTCCATTGGTTCGGCTTTGTAACGAAACCCGCACGCCTGATTATCAACGGGAAGGTTTACGCGAAAGAGTCTGATATTGTTATTGGACCNCTTCCCCCGTTCTCGATTGTGGAATATGAAGACCGAGTAGTCTTTCTCTACTTGAACCGCGAGAGCGTTGAATTCCAACCAGACTATCTTGACTTACAGACCACTGTCAGTCGTATCCTTGGAAACATCAAGAATAGTCAAACCTCGGGAGACAAAGGAGCAGCAGCAACGACACCCGCCTTGACGAGAGGAGACACCGTCGACACCAGGATACGTGTGAGGATCGAACCCGAGATCCAGCCCGATGACGGCGACTCTTGCAAATACTTCGCATGGCGAATGCGGGAATGGAAACTTCTCCAACAGCGATTCAAAGTCGTACTGGCAGATCCTGTCTTGCCACCTGATGCCAACAACACTGCAGCATGGCTTTATGATAGCCACGTCTATCGAGCAATCGCTTCAGTCAATACGGCAATCGAATTGGAAAACAAAGATGTAAAATTCGCCATGATTGATGAGTACGGTTTCAAATTAGCGAGTCGAGTGCAAGGTGCTGACGGCCAACCACTCATCACCACTGTTCGCAATGAGGATCTCTTCCTCCCTTACAACATGAATCCCGATACGGGTAATCACTGGCTACTTGTCCATGTCAAGTACGCAAACGGCAGACCTGGACTTCATGTTTACGACAGTCTGGACATGGCTAGGGGCACTGAAGGAATCATCAAGAAAATTATCCTCAACACAGAGTTGTACGACATTGACAAAAATAAGATTCAGTCCCCTGGTGACATAGAGCTCACACATCATACCGTGCCACGGCAGCTAGGTGGTTGGGAATGTGGCTATCTGACCATTCTGAATGCCTGGTGTATTGCACTTGGCATGAGACCAGGCACGAACGCTCACTATGCCGCCTCTGGAATCAGGGTCAAAGATCTCATCGACATGATCAACTTGTCAATGGCTGGATTCATGGACTCGGCTACCATCCAAGCTTTCATGCGTTGCGTCGGCTTCGTCGACGCTCGCCAAAACAACACCATCGCCCCCGATCGCCACTTCACCCGTAGCGTACCTTTTGTACTCAAGACGTCGGTGAACAAATACATTTTCATGCGCAGAGAGATTGAAGAAAACCCCAACTCCAACATCAGCCGTCTTGATCTGGCAACCATCCGTCTCCTCCTGCAGCCATTCTTGCTTTTCGAGGATGTCGACACCCTCAGCGCTGATGATCTCCTGTTACACTTTGACAGGTGGTTGAAAGACCAAGGTCTGTCGGATCCTACAGTTCCGCCTAGCCCGGCCAGCCCAGCAACCGTGCGTTTGACCTTTGGACTTGCACAATCAGTGCCTGATGCAGAGGGGACAATACCCGACCTCCCCGACGACACAAGGTTGCTGCGCAAGATTTGGAACATCTACCATGAACAGATGAAGAAACAAGGACATCTGGGCTCAGCACGTCAACACAGAGCCTATGAAAAAGCAAACGGAAGCTTCTGCACCGAAGAGATTGGCGACGACATCCATTACCCTTACGATGAACCGAAGATTGTTGTTCTTGACAGACTGGGCATGTTGCCAACTGAGAATACTCTCACACAGCTCGAGAGGGATTACCTAAGGGAGGGTGTACCGCAACCCGTCCTAAAGCTCAGACTAAAGCACAATAACTGACTAGCTTCTGACATGACAAGTATTCAGAATGATGGTTCCTATATGTTTCTTTGGTCGTTCTTGTTTTTGTATTGTGTTTTGCTAGCTTATATTCTTAGACTTTGATGTGGTTCAATGCTATTCGTCTGCTTTGTTTTGATCCAGGCATATCCATCCATACTCGCCTTCTGCAAAAGCTGTGTCCTGTCTAGATGTACCAGTCTTCAAATGTCATGAAGTTAGGAACAAGATTCGAAGTTCATGATTTAGCCAAGCAGCATGGCTGCCGGAGCGACCCTGTCTCATCTTACAAGACAACATCATCCGCCATACACGTGTCAGAGTATCATGTAAGCTAGATGAACTGAAGGGCATTCAAAAGTCATTTTATGCAGACGTGCGCTTGAATAATCTCGAGCGGAAAGACCAGAGATAGTCCAGAAAAAAATGACCAGGTTTCACTTTTACCTCGAACGCAGGACATATCTCAATGGGCAGGGACGCGAGCACGACCATCGGGCAATCGTAAATGAGCAAAACTCTCAAGCACACTGTTGTATACGAACAAAAGAAGGTTCCGAGCTTCAACGACAAGGTGGCACACAGCCAGGTTACTTTTAGAAGTTACATACTTCACTCTCTCTCACGAGGTCCTGTCCTCACTCACATCAGCCCCCGTAAGCCTCGAATGCCATGACTCTTCGCCGGCTTTTCGGACTTATCGGCCTTGTCCTTCTTTTTGTTGTTTTGTGCGCCACCTGTTTCACGCATAAGTATACTGATCAGTACTATATTCGAAATATCGAGACTTACCTCGTCCATACATGCGAACCTCTGGTTTGGGCTTGCCACCTTCTTTCCCAGGTTCTTCCGACACTTCCGAGTTGAAACTGAAGACGCTTCTGTTACCTTCCTGGCCCAAGGATGAGGGAGGTGGTGAGCTCTGATCAGACCCNNAGGTCGAGCGAGCAGCACCAGGATGGAGTGCGTGCTCGCTGTAATGAATGCCTTGCGCTCGAGACATCGGGTGGGAGTTGTGAATTCTCTGTGAGTATGCCTCAGGGCGCAATGGACGTTGGGGTGGATAGCTCTGATTTAGTGAAGAGACTGGTGAGGCAGTCCGCCCGAAATCCATGTGTGGAGCAAATAATCCGAACTGATCCACACCACGGTCGGTAAAGTACGCTGGATTATAGCTTCTGACACTGCCTTCCTGGTTCATATATCCGGATTTGCCAGGGGNGCTAGGCAAAGGGTAAGCTGCATCTGCACTACCTTTCGACTCGCGTAAGTCTGTGTACTCTTCCAGTAGTTGACTGTAAGCTGCTTTGATTTGAGCGAGTCGCAAGCGACTTTCCGAGAGTTGATCGTGTAGATGCACAGGAATAGCATGAATTGACTGCTCTGCAGCTGATGAAGTCTCCGTGACTTCTTTGAGACGTAAGTCGTACTCTTGCATCTTGGCCTCGTGAGCAGTTTTTAGTCGTTCAAGCTCTTGCTCGCGACGCAGCAATATGAACTTTGTGCTGTCTAGCTCCTGTTTAGCTAGCTCGTGTTCTGCACGAATTGGTTCAAGCGCAAGATTTTGGTCACGATAGTCACGAAGCTCCTTTTGCAGATCAGACTTTTGCTGGTCCACCGCTTCTTGGTCCCTCAGGCGCGCCTCAAGAGCTTCAAGTTCCTCTTGCTTGTTTGATTCGCGCGATTCGCTCTCGACAAGAAGTAGACGAAGTTGTTCGCAGTCTTTGGAGACCTGGGTGAGACGGAGTTGCAGAGTCTCTTGGTCCGCAAGCTCCGACTTCAGAGCACGAATCTTGGCCATGAGTTGCTCTTCACTTTGCTTTGTATGGTTCCTACGAGCCTGTGTCTCCTTTTGCATCTTCTCATTGAACTTGTTTGAATCGCTCAGCTTTTTCTGCAGAGCGCGATTTGCGTTGATCAGTGTGGCCGTCTCCGCTTCGACCGTCACAGCTTTTATGTGATTGCGCTTGAGCTGGCCAATAGCGGCCACGTGCTGTTGCTTGAGGTAACGCTCGAACGTGAGTTCGTTTCGTAGTAACATCAGCTCCCTTTGCAAATACGAGAGATCTTTGGAGGACGTTGGATCGACTGCAGATTCTACTGGGCNTCTCCTCANGGATGATGAGGCAAGGTGGGGCTGTCTGGGTGTGATGGTTTCGAGCTCGACGCTAAGAAACTTGGAACAGCTGGTAACTTTGTAGACGGNAGGAGGAGCGGGACTCTTGAATATGGGGTGCTCGCCAGCATAAAGACCATGGCACTCTGCGATGACTTCGGAAGGCTCTGCCTTGAGCCAGCGGTTCTCACTCAGCTCTTCTTCGACTGTAGTCGCGAAAAAGCTTGGATGTAGGAAGTGAACGCGCTGGAACTGTTCAGTACGGCTCCTGATGACGGTTTGATCAAGATCGAATTCATCGGCACCAGGAAAATGGATGTNTTTGAGATATTTCCGAGGCTTCCTGACATAGCTCATGAAATTGAGGGGATACAGGCCATACAGATAAGTAAAGTAATGCAAAAGCTCAGGAGCCGAAGATTCGGGCATATCGGGCAAAGCACGCAGAGTTTGCCAGGTGGGATCGGATCCGTCCTCATGGTCGGTATCAGCATCAGAGTCAGAATCACGGCGAACGCGATCGTCGGTAACAAGATCGCGCTGGGCTTTGGTGCTTGAAGCACTAAACTTTTCCCAGCAGAGGCAGCGACTGTAGACCAAGAACAACCTGGGAAGCTGAGAAGCCACGGTGGCGGGCATGTGTGGGAGTAGCATGATGAGACATTTCAGGGCGGCGGAGACGACGACGGTAGCGGTATCGTTCATGAGACATTTGAGAAGATGCTCGACTACAGTTGTGTTAAGGACCAAGTACAGATGGGCATGTTGTTGTTCAAGGAAGGCAGCGAGCAAATCAAGAGCTTGCAGACGAGTTTCGGGCTTCAAGAGGAAGTTGTCGACCGAGACGAAAAAGTCGCGTGGATTCTTGCGAGCAAAAGCTATCAGCATAGATTGAAGCTGGCGGGCGGCGAGGTCCTGGGTCTGAACAGGTGAATTGTCCGGAAGAGCGGTTGTACGGGCGATCAGAGCATCGAGCAGTATATGGCTGAGATGGTGAGCAGCACGAGCTTTGTCGCGAGCATCTTGAGAGTCGTTGTCGTAGCAGAGAGAATCGAGGACGAAGTCTTGGGCATCCGACATGGCGGAGCGGCTGGGAGCGGGGAGATCGACAAAGGGTATGGCGGCACTCTGGAACCAGATAGCAAGGTGGTCCTTGTTGACTATGGCAGGACGTAGGGCTTTGAGGACAGAGACGAAGGCCGGCAGCCTGTTCGCATGGGCTTGGACATGATGGCGGAAAACGGCTTGCAATTCGTCGTGTAGACCATCTCCTTCCTTTCTCGCTTTGGCGGCGTATTGCGTGAGGATGCGTGCCAGTTCGTCGGGGAGGGCTTGTGGTGCATCGGCATGCGCGAAGGTTGCGTTCAGGGCTGCGACAATGTCGTTCAATGATCTGTTTGGCGGGCGTCAGCTCGATAAAAAGTCACAGAGCAATGTCAGGCAGATTTACACCGAAGCCATGATTGCGCGGCGAAGCGCTCCAGTTCACAAATGTCGGCAGGTTCGACGAGTGCTGGTCAAGGCAGACGCATGTTTTGGTCGCTCGACTTGATTCAATCCAGATCGGTCAAGGTCGAGGGCGTGAAAGAATCCTTCTCCTTCGTCTTTGTGCCTGACTGCAACCAGCATCGGCGGCCGGCGCCTTTCTTCCTATTGCGGCTGTCAAAAGCCCGACAAAGACGTCTTTGATATCGATATCTGCCTCCCCGGGATCTCTTCATTCATCAAAGATAAGCCGTGCCATGGTCCAATGCCAACGACTATCGTCATTGCCTCGTCTTTGGTCGTGCCTGACTCGGCCCGTCCTAGCCCCCGCCCTCTGTTCCGCTTCTAGCCGTTCCCGAGTCAAGCACCCGTCACCTCCACAGCAATCGCGTCTTGGTCGACATCTCGGTCAAGGTTGAACTACTATTTCATTCTCATGACATGTCATGTACTATACAAATTTTGCTGAAACCAAAAGCTCATCTGACCGCTCCAGAACGCCAATCTACATGCTGATGAAATAACTTGACAGGAATCCACGGGTATATTTCTACTCCTCATCCGATTCAACCTCGGCAGTCTGTGTATATGTCAGTTGCATGTTACAGGCATAGATGCGTCTCATTACTCACGTCGTGGTGGAAGAACTTGCCCTCGGTCGTGGGCTTGATCATGCCAATGCGGATGCAGAAGTCTCCGAACTGCTCGCCATCGTTTCTCTCAGTTGCATAACGCTTGAGCAGCGGCTTCATAATTCCGAGGATCTCCTCCTCCATGATGGAGCTGCGGAAGAGCTTGTTGAGGCGTTGGCCGTGGTAGCCACCACCAAGGTACATGTTGTATGCACCATACGCCTTGCCAACGAATGCCACCTCGGCAAGCCAAGGACGAGCACAACCATTGGGACATCCAGTCATGCGCATCACGATGCTGTCTTGACGAAGGCCATTCTCCTCGAGCACGCCCTCAAGCTTGCTGATGAGTTCGGGCAGGTAGCGCTCGGACTCTGCCATGGCGAGACCACAAGTAGGGAAAGCCACACAGGCACTACTGCTAAGGCGAAGTCCACTGAAGTTGGTATTGTCCAACTTGTACTTGGCCAACATCTCCTTCATCTTGGGCAACTCCTCATCGCTGACGTTGGACAGAATGAGATGCTGGTTACCAGTAAGGCGGAATTCACCCTTGTGAGCCTTGGCAATCTCCAACAATCCAGTCTTCATGGGGAAGTCGGCAGTATCCTCGATACGTCCGTTCTCGATGAACATTGTGAAGTGGTTCAGGCCGTTCTCATCTTTCTGCCAGCCAAAAGTATCGATGTTGCTCTTGAAGTGGAATGGACGAGCCTCCTCGAACTCCTCACCCCAGTACTTCTCGACTTCTGCCTTGAAGACGTCCACACCCATGTCATCCATGGTGTACTTCAGACGAGCGTGCTTGCGGTTCTTGCGATCACCGTTGTCGCGCTGAACAAGCATGACCTTCTCGCAGGCGATGTGAACCTTGTCCTNTGAAACATAGCCAAGAAGACTGCCAGTACGAGGGTAGGTCTTCTTGTTGTTGTGAGTAGTTCCCATACCACCACCAGCAAGCAGGTTGAATCCAGCAAGATGTCCGTCCTCACCCTTGATAGCGATGAGTCCAACGTCGTGAGCGTAGACATCAGTATCGTTGTGTGGAGGAATTGCGATGGTAATCTTGAACTTGCGGGGCAAGTAGGTGGGACCGTACATGGGCTCGTGATCCTGAACGGCATCTCCAGCAACTTGAGTCTTGTTGTCGTTTTCGTCCTTGAGCCAAATCTCGTGGTAGGCGGTAGTCGCAGGCAGGAGGTGGTCGCTGATCAACTTGGAGCTTGCGTGAACCTCGGCATGGTACTCGGAGTGCTCTGGCAGACTGCTGCACATAACGTTACGGTTGACATCACCACAAGCGGCGATGGTGGTCATGAGAGCCTTGTTGATAGCCTGCATGGCCGGCTTCAGCTTGCTCTTAATGACACCGTGGAACTGGAAAGTTTGACGAGTGGTCAACTTCATAGTCTCGTTACCCAAAGTGGAAGCGATCGCATCCATCTGAACCCACTGGTCTGCAGTGGCTACACCACCGGGCAGACGGCAACGGATCATGAAAGAATAGGCAGGCTCAAGACCCTGAGCTTTGCGCTCGTCTCTAATATCGCGGTCATCCTGCATGTAAGTACCGTGGAACTTTGTAAGCTGCTGATCAGCGGCAGAAATAGCTCCAGTGGACTGGTCCTGAAGACCCTCAACGATGGTTCCACGAAGGAAGTTGGAGGCAATCTTGATATCCTCGTTGGTGATCGGTGGGGGTTCGTCAGGAAGACCTTCGACGTTGCCAACACCCATGGCATCCCAAAGCTTGGGCTCCCACTCATTGTAAGCAGTCTGGTAACCATCAGGATCCTGATCATCACCAAGACCACAGTCAACAAGAGACTTGCCACCGAGAGTGACCACTCTGGCGTAGAGATCCTTTGCGGGCTTGTTGTAATAGATCTTGTCTTCCTTTCTGGGCCAGTAGTGGCTGTCACCAAGACCAAAGACGGAGAAGTTGACGCTGGCGAGATCCAAGTCTGTAGAGTTCTTGACACCCTCCCAGAAGTTTCTGCCATTCTGAGGAAACTCACCTTGACCAGCAACACTGCTGATCATGATGACGTTCTCCTCAGTTGACAGATCTTCAAGAGGGTAATCATCCATAGCCATGACCATCGTCTTCAATCCTCTGGCCTTACCACGGTTGCCCAAACGCTTTGCAAGGTTCTCCGAGTTACCATTGTCTGAGGCGAACAGAATAGTGAGCGGGGCCCNCTGAAGGCCTTCGAGGAGACTGCTGTAGGCATCCTTGGCCTTGCGCTTCTGAAGCTGGCGAACCTCGGATCCGTAGGATTGCGAGAGGTTTGCACTGAACTGAGGATGTCTCTTCATCAATTGAGTAAGGTAGTTGTCTCTCTTGAGGAACTCCTTGAGTTCTTGTCTGATACGCTCGGAGTCCAGCTGGAAATTTTCCTCACCATTCTCCTCAGCGCGAGGGTTCCATCTGTAGAGAGGCCAGTAGCCAATATCAACGGCTTTCTTGGTCTCCTGGAGGACGGACAATGGCGAGTCAGTCTCCTTGCTGTAGGGAAGATAGGCAACAACGACCGATGGTCCATTGAATTGCTCGGCCTCGAGCATGGACTGTAGGACCTGGGTGTATGAGCTGTAGACGGCGACCGAGGCGACGTAGGCATTGCCAAAGTTCATGGCATAGAGACCAATATCCTTCTTTCTTCTTGAAGCATCAGCGGCGGTTCTTTCCGAGTAGGGCTGCGAATCAATGATGAGCATGTTGACGTTCTTGTCAGATGCAAGAACGTGGTGAACACCAGAGTTGCCCAAATCGTAAGACCATGCATCCGAACCAATCAACCATTGCGACTCCTTGAAGAAAAGTCCTTTGTTCGAAAGGAGCTCGGTAGCCAAGGCAGACTTGTCGCTGCTCAAACCAGAGATGACCTCAGGGGCAAGGTTGTTAGCCTTAGAGGCCTGCTGAGCCTCGAGAAGCCACTGAGAGAGTTGTTGCTTGGGGGCGTCAGTGCTGAAATCACCCGACTTGGCAGCAGTCTGCACTTCAGAAATGAAGCGTTCTCTGTGCTCGGAGCGGGCCACAAGAGAACCGAAACCGTATTCAGGTGTTGCGCTGATTTCATTCGAAACACCTGCATCATCAGCTCCAAGTCTGTTGGCAACGTAGAGACGGTCTCCGAACAGCTGGTCGAGAATCTTCATATATGCGTTCTCGACCTTGGGCTGCTCCAACTCAAATTCCTTCTTAGCGTCCTTGGGACCCTCGTGGTTTCCAATCTCGAGATTCTGAATAGGCGAAGGAGAAGACAAGTTCTGGAAGATTCCCTTAAGTGCCTGACGAACCGTGGAAGGCTCAATATAGCCGAGCTGATGGCCAACAATCAAAGGACCTGCGTTTCCAGCGGATTTGATGGAAACGAGGAGGTCGAGGAGGAGGGGGCCCCAACGAGTGGTTTTGCGACGAATCTGCTCCAAAACAGCAATTCTCTTCAAGCTCTTAGGCAGAGTCTGAAGGAGTTTTGCACCTAGCCAGGGTCTGTAAAGACGAGCGGTAACAATACCAGCGCCATAAAACTCATCAGAAGAGTTGGCCTGGTCGACTTCTCGAGCGAAAAGAGCAGTGTCAGACCCAAACAAGAAGACAGCCGATTCGGCATCCTCAGGGCCGGTATACTCAAACGCCTTGTAGCTTCTTCCAGTGGACTCGTACAACTCAGACCAGATCTGGGTGGTGAAAACGTCAATGTCCTCGGAAGTGATGGGACGGCTTGATACAGATTCGACGGAAGTAGCGTTGGAAGAGACGACAGATGCACTGTCGCTGCTGCCGTTACGATCGTCAGAGCTTGAACCACTGGACGACTCGTGATCGCTTATCGGGGCAGAAGCAGGCTTCTCTACTGAAGGGCCAGTGCGCTGAGGGGTGGCGGAGCCATTGGCATCGGTAGCACCAGCAATGGTACGGGTGGCGACCTTTCCGTCGTCTGCGTAGAGACCGGACTCAGTTGAGCTAGTTGCAGAGTATTGCTCAACCTTCAAAATTTTCCTAACCAGCTCTCTATCTTCCTGGTTGATAGGGTTGTCGCTGGCAAGATTGGCAGAGTCAAAGAAGTGAATAACACCCTTGCCCGACTTGATGGCCAGAGCATGTGCAGTCACAGCAAGATCTTGTGCCTCCTGCAATGATTCAGAATGCAGGAAAGTGAAGCCAGACTGTCTGACCGAGGTGATGTCTGAGTAATCCGGGTAACCAGCTGGTTGAAGTGCAACGTGCAAGACCACAGGGTATTGTGCGAGCTTGTAGAGATGAGGAACAGAGCGGACCAAGATCGAAGACGAGGTGGTCACTGAGACGAGCTTCCCCGAGCGAAGCGGCTGGAAGGCTGAGAGCAGAGGGTCTGCATTGTGCTTAACAGGGACNNAATCTGAGGTGGAAGTGGTTAGCTGTACGAAAGATATGCACCGAGGGGCGAAACATACCTCGGGAGATGTCGAGACCAGTCCTGAAGCCTTGTTCTGTTGGTAGGTTGTGAAGAAGTCCGAGAACTCAGAGTCGGAGGCGAGAGAGGGCTGAACAGAGACGACGACGTCGCTGGCCAGGTATGCAATGCGTGCGANCTGTACATGGTCAGCGAATGGTACACATTGGTCAGCACGCGGGCTCTGCTTACCAGCCTCTCCAGCAGTCAAGATGGAAGCCATGGCCGCAATGATAACCTGATTAACGAACTCGACAAGAGTTCTAGACGAGAATGAGAGTTCTGGAGGGAGAAAGGGAGAACAATGAGATGTAACAGGTAGTGGGGGCAATGTAGATTGGAAAAATAACCTGGGGGTGGGAGGCGGCGCTCAATCACGGCGTGACCAGAAGTGCCGTTCAATTGCTCATCTCAGACCGAGTTTCCCAGCAGTCGCCTCTAGTGCACGCCGGCTGGTAATGACTTTTTCCTCGACTGAGGGATGGCGACATCTGCGACAGCGCGGCATCGGAGGTTGCTTACCTTTGAGCCGCTGTTATTAGCCAATGATCACCCCACACGTTGCCAAGTCATATCGATAGATCTCCGCCCGTCGCGGGGCCCTCTGGCCTCTGGCCTCTGTCTGCCGGGACAATGAGCCCGCGAGCTAATCCCGAGCCTTGGTTACAAAGCCCGACCACCCGGAACGATGAGTCGACAACACGGCTTGCACCGCGCCTTCTGCTGTTGAGCACTGGCTAGCTTTGCCTCATATCAAAGTCATAGTCGTCACTATCCCGCTCGACCTCTTACATGCAAAAGTCGAATCTCTGCTTGCCACCGCCACTGTGTATCAAAAACCAAGAAGTCATTGGAAATCCATTAGAGCATTTGGAAAAAGGCGTGCTCCTGTCTCCGGCACGTATTTGTAAGAATATACACGGTGTCTGTATTGAGTTTTCTAGTCTCATCGATCTCTGCCTAACCTCTCCTCTTCGTCTTGCACCAGCTCGTAAGCAGGTCGGTATGAATCATTCTCGGCGTTGGCTTTCAGTACGGGATTGGGATGTGTATCTGTGGTTCCTCCGAGAGATGTATAGCCCTTGTCGTAGAGCGAGCAATAGGGTATGTTTAGATGTCGTATAAACTATGATTCAAGTCAGTCAGGCTTCCTTCGTGGAGGCTGTAACGACAATCTCACAGTCCACACTTCGGCATAGTGCCAATCGATCACCGGGTGTATCCTCATAAAAGCTGGCCACCCTCTGTCCGTAGGATCAAAGTACTTCAGGGTAGCTCCATGAGGATCCGTTCGCCGCGTGCCCACAAAGATTGCTTTGACGTGACTCTTGTCATGGAGATATTCCTCGAAGGCCTGTCGCATGGATTTGGCATATCGGGCCAAGTCCAGATTATATGTATCGATGGAGAGCTGTACAAAGTCCTCGACTTCGGGGAATGGATGGGGCGACACGATGTAGACAGACTCCAAGTTGTCCGGTAGCGGCGTCGAAGTCTTGACTGAATGTGCATGCAAAGCAGCGAGGTAGAGGATGAGGAGGACTAGACAGTCCTTGCCGCCATTGTACGACAGAGACAGTTCGGCGAGACNTTGAATGCTTATCAGTCAGGTTTCGAGGCAACAGCCAATGCGGACAGCTAACCTGTATCGCTCGAGTGCCTCTTCGAGGATCTTGAGACTCAAGCGCGTCTGCTCCTGCACGTTTCGCAGGCGGTCGGTTGATGCTTGAGCAGACAGGAATGCCGCGACTCTGGCATGCACCTTTGCACAGAGGGCGGGGAGGTGCTCCTCCTGACCGGGAGCTATGGTTTCGGTGCGGCCCTGGTCATCGCTGCGGATTCCAAGGAGCGTCTCTGGCATTACGATGCTTCGGCACGCGAGACACGAACTCGAGCATGCATAGAGGGTTGTTCAAAGACACGTCGGGTGCTATCACGCCCGGAGCGGCGCTGTGATGCGCTTGCGCTCCATACACTGGGGCAATGCCGCGACCCCGCGTCGGCCAAACACTCTATGAGACCCGACCCATGCTTCTAACAACAGCTAGAAAGATCCGAAAGCATTTGTGGAAGAAGGATATATGCTACTGACACAGACACGCCCATATGATACAAAGCTACTCAGATCTAACAAAGGAACTCTGCTACGAGTTTCCTTGAGCGTTTCTCTCCTGAGCCTCTTCGACAGCCCTCTCCCAGCTCGTCGAATAAATAAACCAACACTCGACAGCAGCAACAACTCCGAGTGCAATTGCAGGACCNNCTAAAAAGAACTTAATCAGAAACCGGCCGATAATTACAGAGGGATGACTTACAGCCCATAATCCATAGAGGTCCCAATGCAACCCAAATCCGGTTCCGAAAGAGATGGGCATGGCGANTCTGAAGTTTGTGAGAAGGTGGTCAACATCCGGCGAACATGGTTGACTTACGACATAATAAGCAAAGAGGTTCACATAACCTCCTACCTCTTGTCGACCAAGGCCACGCAAGATTCCGTTGCAGAGAGCGGCAAGCGAGTCAAAGAGTTGGAAGGCAGCATTCAAAGGAAGTGTTTGTGCTGTGAGTGCAATGACATCGGCGTCGTTAGTAAAGAGCCTCGGGATGTACTCTCTGGTAGAGCTCAACAAGACCATGTTGAAAACACCAACAATCAATGCAGCATACAACGAGACCTTTGCATTGACCTTAGCGGCGTCCGAAAGCGTAGCGCCAATGAGATTAGCAATACGAGTACTCGCTGCAATGCTGATGGGGAAGGGGATTTGGTAAGTGATGCTCGAGATTGTGCTGAGAACACTTTGTGTTGCGAGATGAGTTGGGGAGATCCAGCTCGCTGAGAGGGTCAAGATCTCGAAAGCCAGATATTCAGCAAGAACCATTACAAGGCCAGGGAGTGCCAGCCTAATCATTGGCATCCAATTCTTGAAAGCGATACGGGTGAATCCTCNCCAGCACTCCAAACCGCCAACAAAACGAACGTAGAGGAATAGGCACAATGGCATGAGGTTCTCTATGGTCACCACAGCGATTGGGGCTCCAATAAATCCCCACTGGAATTTCTGTTCCCTGTCAGTGACGAAACAACGATCGTATACTTTGATACATACCCAGACAAAAAGCCAATGCAGGAATACATTGAGGGGCGCGCATATTAGAAGCACGATAAGTGTTGCCGAGAATTTTCCCTGTGCCTGCACAAATCTCTTTGAGGCCTCGAAAAGAGCATACCCCGGAGCACCAAATACAAGAATTTGGAGGTATCGCCCTGCCAAGTCTGCGGTCGCTTGGTCTGGCACGATTGCGCCGATGATTCTCGGTCCGGAAGTCCAAACGATGGCGATAGGGATGGTGATCACCCATAAAAAGTATACCATACGCTGCAGTTGTAATCCAACAAGAGTCTTGTTTCCACTGCCATAGGCTTGGGGGCATAAAGTGTCTAGACTGGTAGCCAGTCCTTGGAAGATAGCATAGCCAGTGATATTGGCACTCATAGAAGCAAGAGAGACAGCCCCCAATTCAAGCTTGCCGATATGACCCACCGTGAAGACAGAAGTGACGGTCAGGGAATATTGTAGAAGGAACGTCAAAATCAGAGAACGAGAGTATCTTGCCAGGACGACTGCTTCTCTTTGCCAGGTTGTCTTGATCTTGCCCGACGCAACAGCCTCTTCCCATCTCTTATCGATGTTCTCAGGAGTATCAACACCACCATAAGGCTCCGCAGGGTTGCCCAACAGAGGGGTATTCTCATCTGGCCCAGCATCCTCGATGACTGACTCTTCATCGGCACCACCTTTTCTAGGCACAAATCCACCAACAAAGTTTTNTTTCAACAATCCACTGGGCTTGTTCGACACGGTACTTGTGGTTCGAGGGTGTTTTGGGGNGATCAAATGGTTGTCTCGTAAGAGGCTTCGTTCTTCGGCAAGGGCGGCTTCTCGGTCTTGTTCGTTTGCTGGTCTTGAATCCGGCGCTGAAGCCGAAGGGAAAAATGGTCTTGGACCCGATGCGACGTAGGAAGTTCTTCGGTATGAGCCAGACATCGAATACTGTTGTTCATGGCCTGCCATGTATTCTTCACCTCCGTCCGCAGCAATGACGGCTCCATGGCCGTCAGCCTCTCCTCCTTCTTCAGCATCTGCCAGGTCTCTCAAGATTGACTGCTGTACCAACGGAGAGGAGGAGAGAAAGCCATTCGACGACCGTACAGACGTACTGAGAGCCGCAGGTCTACTACTCATTGCGTTACAGAGCTAACGAATGCGCCGATTCGTGCTTCTGGGTTGGTTGAATCGTCGGAAATCTGATGTTAAGAATGATATGATGTATTGAAAAGACGAAAAGGAACAGTGGCTGGAACGACTACCAGGACACGTCAAGCATTGTGAGAAAGGTCTTCACCTCGATAGATGAGCATCGAAGACATCTTCGCCGCCTTGCCCGCGACTGGGTCGAGGAACTCTAAATTACGTGACGGGAAAGCTGTTAGCGCGATAAGCACTGTGGAGGTCGAGGCTCGTGCCATTGAGTTTCCTGTAAGGGTAGGCAGTTCCGACGTCAGCTCTAACGTACGCGTCCATACCATGCTTCTTACAAACTTCCATGATTCGATGAGCCAGGTGTGGTCCAGTAGGAAGTGTCCCAGAAGCAGGATGTAAGGCAAAGCCAAGGCCAAATGACCAGTCAGCACTGCTCAACGTGGCGTGTTACACAATGCTCTCGATTTCTTCAGACCAGCCCAGAAGATATGGTACACACCTTGCCCGCTGCTATAAGCCTTACTGCCTTGACCAGTCTTGTATAGCACAGTCGCGCCGCAGCTCACTCACTTACATAGGAAGCAAGACTGGTGCTCACAAAGATTCGTGCCGACCCTGGCACGAGGTGCTTCAAGTCGTGGGTCGACAGAAAGAGGCCAGTATCTCGTACAGAGGAATATGGTGGCTTATCATCGCGACTGATGTACTTGAGAGCACTGGAATGCCGAGGTCAAAAGCCGCAAGGCTGGTATACATCCACAGCCGCATAACCTCAAGGAAACAGCGCTTGTGGGTTTGAGATGAACATCTCGAGTGAGGAAAAAATGAGGATAGGTGACGAAACACGCCTGAGGTCATCAGAAACTCATCTCGAGACTCAGCTGAAGCACTCTCAAGCCTCGATGACCCTAGTGAAGGCGAAGCAATGGAATATGAAGTCTGTCAGAAATGTAAAAGCATGTCTTTAGCAAGGCAGGTGCAATGCGTGCGACGATGGATGTCTGAGGGCACCAACGACTTGAAGTGAACGGCTCCTCACTTGTAGGTGATCAAGAGAGAAGATACAAAAGAGAATCACATGCACTTTCCCGTGCGGACGGGAGATTCACTGCGTCTCGTTTGTTTGCGCACTCACTCCGTTTGTTATCCACGAAGAAGCGCTTCACCAAGCTTTTTTCAATTCTTTCACCTTCTTCTCTTTCTGTTTTCCCAACTTCCAGCCAGCTTGCGCAGACATCCAACCTGCCCTTCCAGCATTTATCTTTCTTTCCAACCTCATCAACGCCTTTCACCGCCTCATCATCATGGCAGACATTTTCTCATCGCACCCCTACCCTGGTCGCAAGACCATCAACCCCAGCACCCATCACTGTGGTGTTTGTGACAGAACTCTTGCCTACAAGGACAGAGCTGCTCATGATCGCAGCAAGAAGCACAGGGCTGAGCTGGACAGAGAGAAGGCCAAGGAAGCCGCCGCCAATTGTTACGCTGAGGGCAACGAGAACCTCGACCCTAACGCCTGCCACAACTGCGGACAGTGTCAGTAACCTCAATAACCTCACGCCCTTATCCATGCTGACTCGTTCACAGCTGGCCACATGTCCAAGGAGTGTCCCGAGCCCAGAAAGACGACTGGAGCCTGCTTCAACTGCGGCGAGGTTGGGTGTGTATGCCAAACATCCAAATGTGACTACAGCCAGCTAACCACTCGCGCAGTCACAACAAGTCTGACTGCACCAAGGAACCTGTCATTACCTGCAACAACTGCAAGGCCGAGGGACACATGTCTCGCGAATGCCCTGAGCCTCGCTCGGCCGCAAATGTTACCTGCAACAACTGCTCTGAGCTCGGTCACTTCTCTCGCGATTGCACCAAGCCTAAAGACTGGACAAAGGTCACTTGCAACCAGTGCGGTCAGAGTAAGTACGACCAAGCGTATTCTGACAGACAAAAGTATTAACAATCATCAGAGGGCCACACCGTCCGCCGCTGCACTGCTGCTCCCGCCGACTACGCCAACCAGAATGATAATGGCTTTGGCGACGATGGTGCTACTGCTCCCTCCGGCAACGACGATTGGATGAACAACGCTGCCGATGGCGTTGCCGAGACCACTGCTGTCGAAGGCGACTGGATGCAGGACACCACCGGCGCTGCTGCTGGTGAGGAGTGGGGTGCTGCTCCTGCTGCTGCTGCTGAGTGGTAAAGGCTTTTGAGGCATGCATGATAAGGCTATCATGTTTCTCAATGTGTTCGATATCTGGCTCGGATGTGTCAGTCTCTAGATAGTGGCTAATGGTTGTGGAGACTCTTCACTCAAAGAGGTGGCTAGGTAGTTGCTCTACCAGATTGTTCACCGCGGTCTCACGCACGAAATGCCAAAACTCCAACAAGACGTTGGATGGTTCTATACCAAAGCGATGATCGCTATGCAGCCACGTCAACGTGAATTGTCCCCAATTTGATACTAGTCGAACCTTTGCGGACTTCAATTGCTACGGGTATCTATAAATAACTGACCTCAACCCCTGTTCAAGGTGTTGCCAGCACCCTTGGGATTGTTTTCGACATACTCGTCCCAAGCTCTGGCTTTCATAGTCTCTTCATCTGCCTTTTCCAAGTCGTCCTCGTCAACCTCTGGTGGAATGCCAGACTGTGCGCCTCCACCTTCTATCATGCCACCACGACGCTTCTCCTCCTCGAGGTACTCGTCGATAGTCATGGTAGGCAGGCTATGGTCAGGACGAAAGACGCCAGCCTGCATTGTCTGGCGAGTATTGAGAAGGGTGAATGGGCGGAGCGGTTTGCCATCTTTGCTTAGCATAGGACCTGACAGGCCAGCAGACATAGGACCGTCCAGTCTCTCCGAGTAGCCATCGTTGGACTTGTGGCGCTCTCTGAGGTCGGAAGGCGCAGACTGTTGGCCTAGCGGTGTGGGTGGAGGAGCCCTTGAGAGGATGTGAAGCTCCTGGGCTATGGATTCAAGAGACTGGAAGGTTTGGTGCACACAGAACTCGATTTGGGTCAATTGCAAGCGACGGTGCATGTCGTCGTCATTCTGTAGAGCAGCAGGATTTTGTTGCAAATGTTGTAGTTTTTGCTTAAGGTCCTTCTCTTGTTTGAAACGTAGAATCTTTCTCTCTCGGCGAGCGGCAGGATCTGAGGTCGAGGCTGTGGAAAAGGTGGAAGGGTCTTCACGGTATTGCTCGAGTAGTCTTAGGTCGGAAGAGGACAGAATGTCGTACAGGTCGAGCTGGCGTAGGAACTTCTCGTACGAGTCTTGAGCGCGACGCAGAAGGGCTTTGCGGTCCGGGGATGACAAGCGCTGGACCAGGTCGGCGAGGCGGTACTGAGCGAGGAGATGATGCAGGTCATTGGTGGCAATGTCTTCCAGAGACTCGTTGGGACTGAAGAGGGCGATTTGATCCTGGATGCGCAGACACTGCTCATAGCTGGCGATGGCAGCGTTAACCAGCGCTTGGTGAGCGGCCGAATTCGTGTCCCATGAGCTCTCGATCTGTCTACGCTTGTCCTCGGCCGTCTGCCATACTGTGCGAAGCGACTGCGGTTCTTCTGACATGTTGCTGTGTTGATGGTCTCGGACATTTGTTGATGGAACTTTTGATCACTTGACATCATCCGAGCCCCCATGAAACATCCCCCACCAACCACCACCTCTTTCTTTCACACTTTGTCAACTGCAACGACCACATCCTATCACAGTTATATGCTGCTTTTCTTTGTGACCGTAGTACATCTGGTGAATGTCGCTGCAGCGTGTTGAGCATGCAGTCGCTCTAGCTGAAGCATTCTTGTGACGGCGCAGGTAGGTAGCATCGGCCTCCTGCATTTGACAGGTCCATTGTCCGTCACTTCTTCAAGCAAACACCATCGCCCTTTCCATTTGCATCCTGCCCAGCCCTCGCTCTCCCACCTCATCTCTGTGCCCCTTCATTGCTTGATTTTTACTTGTTCAGCACCTCGTCAATATCTCCTCTTCACCAGACACTCACCTCTGATGACCATCGACAAATGAGCTCCAATATGGCCATCACACCGCCCTCCGAAAAGTCGCAAAACGATAGTGGCACCGATAGCGACATCGATGTTGACCCGTTGCCTGTCGCTCTCTCATCCGTAGAGAAACGTCGAGCCCGCAAGCTACGCTTCCAATCATGGTTACAGAGCACAGCCATCAAAGAAATCCGTACCACCGTCCAAGACAGCAATCGCTCTAATACTGACGAGGAATCGTCCATTCGCCAGCTGCTTGCTAGTCAGGAAACGAGTCAGATCATCACCACTCCTAGGGAATACCAGCTTGACCTCTTCCAGCGTGCTATCCAGCAAAACACTATCGCTGTCCTCGACACTGGTTCTGGCAAGACGTTGATTGCTGTCCTTCTCTTGCGTCACACCATTGGCGAAGAGCTTCAATCTCGTCTGGAAGGAAAACCTCATCGTATCTCTTTCTTTCTCGTGCCTTCGGTCCCACTAGTCTTCCAACAATTCGCTGTGCTCGAGCGCAACCTCGATTACGACGTGGATCGTTTGTGTGGTGCCATGATGATCGACAAATGGAGCAAGCAGGTTTGGGACGAGCGTTTTGCCAAAACCCATGTCATTGTCTGCACCCCTGATGTTCTCAAGGGTTGTTTGAGCTGCTCCTTCATCTCTATGCGCCAGATCAATCTCCTGATCTTTGATGAAGCTCACCACGCCAAGAAGGGTCATCCATACGCTCAGATTATCAAAGACTTCTATCTCACTGATGTTGATGAGCACTCCCGACCCAGGATCTTCGGCATGACTGCCTCGCCTGTTGACGCCAGGGTCGATGTTCGTCAAGCTGCTAGGTATGTCTTTTTGCTTGGACCTGGTAGATTATAGTTCTCCACTGATGGAGTATGANNCAGGGACCTCGAGACCATTTTGCACAGCAAGATTGCTACTGCACGCGACCTTACGCTACTCCAAAACGCAGTCACCAAGCCAAATGAGATGTTCCTGGATTACACGAGATTTAACGGTATCTCTCCTCCGAGCCAACTCTTTCAGGACTTGAAGAGTCAGTTTGGCAACATCAAGCTCCTGGACAGCCTGTTCGAACGCGCAGTCAAAGTTCGCTCGCATCTTGGAGACTGGTGCGCCGATCGTTATTGGGGCTTTGCATTGGCTGAAGAGCGGTCAAAGAAGACGGAATCGCTCGTCGAAAAAGCCGCACGACAGTGCGGTTCAACGCATGATGCCGATTTCCAAATCGAACAGGTTCGCAAAGCTACGGATATCATTTCGAACTACGACTTTGAAAGACCTCATGCCGACCTCTCGAATCTCAGCGACAAAGTACGAAAGCTGCATGCCTATCTAAAAGCCCATTATGAGCGCTCTTCAGACTATCGCTGCATTGTGTTCGTCGAGCACCGTAGCACCGCATATCTGCTCCAACAAGTTTTCGAAAGCATTGGCGGACCTCACTTGCGCCCAGGCCTACTCATCGGAGCGAGCAACGGTCGTCTGGACGACATACAATCTACTTTTCGCAGTCAGGTCCTCACTATTATCAAGTTTCGCAAAGGAGAGCTGAATTGTCTTTTCGCAACCTCAGTGGCCGAAGAAGGTCTAGACATTCCTGACTGCAATCTGGTCGTACGTTTCGACATCTGCAAGACTATGATCCAATATGTGCAGTCTCGTGGACGTGCCAGACATAAGAACTCCAAATTCTTACACATGAAGGAGAAAAACAACTATGATCATGCGAACGTCTTGTTTGAAAATCGTGGAGCAGAAGAAGTTATGCGAACTTTTTGCAAAGAGCTACCCGCCGACCGTCAGCTGGACGGCGATAGTGATATGGTCTTCTCCCAAGAGATGATCAGCCTCTATCCTACGTATACGATAGCTCGTACCGGCGCGAAGATCACTTTTGGCTCTGCTCTCCAGATTTTATCACACTTCGTAGACAGTCTGCCACAAGAAGGCGAGGAAGCTTTGCAACCTACCTACATCATCACGAATCACGGNGGACGCTTCATCTGCGAGGTAGTCATCCCCGAGCCTTCCCCCTTTCGCTCAGCAATAGGTGACTCTATGACAAAGAAATCACTTGCCAAACGCTCAGCTGCTTTCAAGGCTTGCAAAGAGCTTGTTATGTCGAANAACCTCGACTCTAATCTCGTTCCAGTCTACACCAAGAGACTCCCATCAATGCGCAACGCGGCGCTGGCGTTGAGCTCAAAGCAAACGGGTATGTACTACATGCGCATCAAACCCTGTATCTGGGAAGATGGACGAGGTTCGATCCCACCTGTAGTATACCTCACCCACCTTGACGTTCCAGAGGGACTCGGTCGTCCTCACCAGCCTCTCCTTCTCGTCACTAGAAGACCGATGCCGGACTTTCCAAAATTCCCTTTATTCTTGAATGATGGCCGCAAGACCCAAGTGGAGTTGACTCCACTCACGCCAGCTTGCAAGGTTTCTGAGGCTGAACTGACCAAGTTCACTTCATTCACTTTGAGGATTTTCAAGGATATATACAACAAGACATACGAATTTGACGCCATGAAGATGTCTTACTGGCTCGTGCCGTCTGGAAAATCCGTTCAATTCGCAGACACTAGCGCCGCCTCTCTCCAGCTCATCAACTGGACCATGTTGGACTACGTTTGTGAAAACAGCAAGGGATTCCAATGGTCACCGACTATGTCCGACTTGTTCCTGGTTGACAAGTTCTTCGTCGACCCAGGAGACGGTGGCCGACGCTTCTATTCGTCAAGAGTAGCTTCAGAGTACAAGCCCTCAAGCCCTATTCCGGAAGGTTGTGCAGCCTCGAAACGACAAACCGACATCATCGATTATACAGTCAGTCTATGGAAGAATTCACGCGATAGACAGAAATCCTCGTGGAACCCTGACCAACCTGTCCTGGAAGCCGAGAAGATACTACACAGACGGAACATGCTCGCGGAGCCCACCGCCAAAGAGGCACAAGACGCGTCGAGAGTTCGAAGTTTCATATGTCCTGAGCCGCTGATCATATCCGCTGTATGTGTACCTCAATTGTGATTGATCATGAGACTAACGGGCTATAGNCTTCCCACTACCGTTGTAGCAATTTGCTATGTCTTTCCCGCAACCATTCATCGCATTGACGATTACCTCATCGCGAGGGAAACGTGCGAAGAGCTTGGTCTGACAGTAGATCTACCATTGGCTCTAGAAGCGATCACCAAGGATTCTGACAATACAGAAGAGCATCAGAATCATGAACGGATTAACTTTCAGCGTGGCATGGGAAAAAACTACGAGCGTCTCGAATTTCTCGGTGACTGCTTCCTCAAGATGGCAACTTCGATCTCGACCTTCACGCAAAACCCAAACGACAACGAGTTCGATTTCCATGTAAAGCGCATGCTGCTCCTCTGCAACCAAAATTTGTTCAATGCAGCGCAGAAGCTCAAGCTCTATGAAAATATTCGCAGTGCTTCTTTCTCTCGGTAAGCTTGAAGTGAAGTTACAAAAGTCCCCTCGACAAGTCCCCAAGCTCACTGTTGATAGNNTCGTACATGGTACCCAGAAGGTATCAAGCTTTTGGAAGGCAAAGGTGCAAACAAGAACGGTACGGAAGTGATAAAGCATGCACTTGGCGACAAGACCATTGCGGATGTTTGTGAAGCACTCATGGGTGCGGCCTTCCTCACCCACGACAAGCCTGGCGAGTGGCAGCCAGAGCATTGGCGCGATGCTGTCAAAGCTGTCACTAGGCTTGTCGATAGTCCTGACCATGCAATGAACGACTGGTCCGACTACTCCCGCACTTATGAGAAGCCAGCATATCAAATCGCCGAGGCCAGGGCTGCAACCCTTGAACTTGCCAAGAGGGTAGAAAAGGAGCATGCATATCACTTCAGATATCCGCGTCTGCTCCAGGCTGCCTTCCACCATCCTTCGTATCCAAACCTCTGGTCTACTGGAATCCCATCCTACCAGCGGCTCGAATTCTTGGGTGATTCGCTTCTTGACATGACTAGCATCACTCATCTATTCTACAATCATCCCGAAAGGGATCCACAGTGGTTGACTGAGCACAAGATGGCTATGGTGTCCAACCAGTTCCTTGGAGCTCTCTGTGTTCGACTTGGATTTTACAAGCACCTGCTTTTTAACCACGACTCCTTGCGTCAACAGATCTCGAACTATGTTACTGACATCCGAGATGCAGAAGCTGCTTCTCAGGGAGCTATGGACTACTGGACCACAGTGAAAGAAGCCCCTAAGGTAAGGTCGAATGATTGATGGTCACGCAGCAGTCTGCTAACGCCTCTTAGNTGTCTGCCCGATATGGTCGAAGCATATGTTGGCGCGATGTTCATCGACGCGGACTTTGACTATAGTGTGGTGCAACGCTTCTTTGATCAGCACATGAAACCATTCTTCGATAACATGGAGATATATGATGACTATGCAAACAACCATCCTGTGGTAAGTGGTATTGAAGACAAGTCATTACCTGTGCGTCTACTGACCCATGGTATTAGNACTCGACTCCACAACAAGATGCAGAAAAGCTTCGGTTGCCATGAATACAACTTGTTCAATAGTGAAGAGACTGTTGATGGCATGCAACCCCTCTTCTGGTCGGGCGTTATGATCCACGACTCTGAACCAATCGGGGTCTGGAAAGCAAAGTCTGGTAGATATGCAAACATCAAGGCAGCGATCAAGGCAGTCGAGGAGCTGGAGGGAATGGCGCCTTATGAATTCCGAGCAAAGTTCGGCTGTGACTGTCGCGAGGAGACCGTTGACGGACTTGAAAACGACAGCACGGCCTGAACAACTCCATCATGATTTGAAGACGGGACTGAACGGCGGTTGCTATGCTGTGAGTTCATCTGGCATGAGGGTCACGATCTGTGCATTGAGGGTGTCTTCTAGTTTTCCTTCTCGCATAGCTTAGATACAACCACAAAGATGGACCGTCCTCCAAAAACATCTGCTGTACTCTCATTAAGTCTACTCTCGAGCTGTAGGTGCAATTCTTTGCATCCAGAGTGCTGGTACTCATTATTCCTTCCCAAGACATTACTGTGACAAGGAGTGCTATGTCAAAGTGGCGATGGTCTATCGACACACGTTGTCTTGTGAGATGACGAGGTTGGCATGGGTAGACCAGCAGACACGACCTCTCTTATGATCTGGATGCGAGGTGGGATATGGGCAGAAGATGCTGAAAGCACGAACCTTTCAGCATGCTTGCCAAGTGCATCCGAAATGTGACATGACTGTAGCGTCTGCCGATATCTACTCTGCGTCTCTGTGAAACTCGCCCATACCATCGACCAGAGCCTTCTCCAAGCCTGAAGCCGCTCTTCCAATTTCACCACCTTCCTTCTTGGCCGCTTGAATACCCCTGGCGACGGCACGTACAGCGGCGTCATCAAAGGCTCTTTTCCTGGCCTCGGCGTCGTCGTACATGGCATTTTCGGCATCCTTGGGTGCGCCAAAGAGATTGAGACCGCGGAATGGGTTCGAGCGAGCGTACAAAACTTGATGCTCGGTGCTGCAAAGAGGAAAGCAGGAGGCGTTCGCGAGCGCTTGTTCAGAGCCAGCTGCATCTGTGAAGCCAGCACGTAAAAACATGGTCAGGATGTTTAGCTGCTTGATGAGCAGTTTCGAGGCAGCGGAACCGGGCTTGCCGAACGAGACGGCGCGTTCGGAGGACCAGTTGCCGGGTTGTGTCGTCGAGTGCCAGCCGAGGAGGGTCAGGAAGCATTGGAGTGTCTTGAGCCAGCCGCCGGCACAGCTGACGAGTTCTTGGCCGGCGGTCTGCAGGAGCCATTCGAGCACATCGAGGGAGGAGTTGCGGATCTCGGCGGCCAGGTGCGTCATGCCGGCGCGCACGTACAGCAGCATGTGGTCGACGTGTGTGGCGACATGGGCGGGCGGTAGAGCACGCAACAGTTTTGTGAGGGCGGCGCGGACCGAGTTTGAGGCATCCAGAATCAGAGGCTGGATCTTGGGCAGGATGGTCGCGACGGGCAAGGGCAGGTCGTCCGGGCGCTCGGTGATGGTGTTGGTCAGGTAGTTGATGGCATCGCGGCGCTGCGAGTCGGTCTTTGAGCTGGCGAGCGACAGCTGGTGGGTGAACTGCTGGTCGAGGGAAGGCGCCGAGGACGAGAGCGACTGCTGGTTGAGGACAATCGACTTCGCCTTGAAGCTCGTGTCGGTAAAGTTGGCCGCCTTTGCCTTGGTCTTGCCGACTTTGAGCTTGGTCTTTTGGAAGTCTTGCTTCTTTTCTCTCTTCTTTTTGGCGCTCGATCCCATCCTTGCTGCCCTTTCAACCACTGTCAAGCAGATCCATGCCACCAAGGTGAAGCCGCCGACCCAAGAAAAATTCCCCCAGTTCCAACTTTGTTCTCTTTTTGCGGGGTCTGCTCACGTTCAATCTTATCAATCTGATCAATTCGATGAATCTCACTATCTCTCTTTCATAAAAAGATTGTGTATCCTTACAGCAATACTCGACTTGGCATATCGGGATGATTTAGCAAGTAATCCATTGCTACAGCTACTTCTTGTTATATATGCGTGATAGGCTACTGCCGCCAGCAGATACAGATCGAATGTATGCTTTGACTCTTCAACCCAAACGGCTTCAGGGGCGCGTGGAAGCCACTGTCTCCGACACCCACGACTTAGTAGGCGATGGTGCTCCACGGGCTGTGGCCTGCTCGATATAAGCTATTGCCGTACCATTCACTCGATGTGAAGACAGCTGATGGGGCCGACGGGCTTCTGCCAACTGGTCACGCTGCTAGCGGACTGTGCCTGCCCTCTGCTCTCCCTGCTCTCCATCACTCTTTCTATGCTCAAGTTCTTCTTCATCTTCTTCGTCATCCATGAAGTTGTTGGCGTAGTTTTCCTCGCTTTCTTCGTCGTAAGATGGACGTCGCACAATTGGTGCAGACACAGATGACAACTGAGCATATAGAAGTACTTCCTTGGCTGACGGTCTGGTGGGCGGCTTGAGCGGGCTTCTGAACTCCTCAACTTTTGGATGAGCATTTTCAATAACCACTTCTTCAAAATTCGACTCATCTTTGGTGGCCTCGGTTGTGTGGTAGGTCTCTTTCTGCTCTGGGGTGAGATGCTCTTGGTAAGGGACTGCCAACCAATCCGGATCGTCAAAGTCGACGTGTGGATGTGGACCTTTGAGGATATCCAATGCTACGATGGCGGTATGTGCCTTGGGCTTTCTGTTCTTTGGCTTCGAAACTGCCAGGAGGACAAGATGCATCTCGTCGAACCCATCAGCACCTCTCTCAATCTCTCGGATTGTTTCTGCTGAGGGGACAGATGTTGGTTGTTTCGCGGTGAATTGTAATTTCTTGGGTCGTACGTTCAGTGATTCCCTCAGCTTGCTAAGAGGCTGAGGCTTCGTGTCTCTTCGTGTACGCTTCTTGCGGCTACGATCCATAGGCGTCAGGTCATGGTCCGAGATGGAATCGTGCTCGGACGAGCTCACGGGACTCGCGATCTGATGTGATGGTGTCACTAATGCGAGCTCATGAGCCGAAGAAGGTTCCGTTGGTAGTTCGGAACGTCTTTGAGTCTTTGACTGTGTAGACTTTGTCTCGACTCGTTGTACTTGGTCATCTTCATGATCGCTGAGGACAGAAGGGGACAGAGAAATTGAGCTCGGACTAGTGGGAGGAGTTTCTGCGCGAACGGGAGACGACGCAACGCGTCCCTTGCGGTATTGTCGATCATCTGAGGCTGGTGAAGCGAGAGTCGAGCGGTGATTGGTTCGTGGTGCTTNTTTCGAGTAAGTCGCCAAATTCTNTTTCCTAGGTGACGGCAAGAACATAGTGCCGTGAGAATGTATCTGGGCGAAGTGCGAACCGAGTTGTATCGTGGGATGATGGTGGGATGATGGTGGGGAATGGCATGGATGTGACGGGCCAATTTGAGCGCTGCTGCCTGTCCTGTCAAGCCTGTCCATCGCTCCTTCCACGTCAGGCCTGCTTGAATATTGTGCAAGGTGTATGTCAAAACAAAGGGACTTCTGCTTGTGATGGTAATAATAGGGTATCTCTTTCAAACGCTATGACTTTTCCAATGCCAGCCCACTGCCTTGGGCGGCCGCACATGTATTAAAAAGGGTAAAGGAAACCTATGCAGCCCGTAGATGAAGCAGAGAAGATTAGAGCATGCGCCTAATGGCCGTCTCGCCCTTGTACTTGTCGAGACCTTGGTCGAGGCTTCCCCACCACTCGAAAAGCATGCTCTGGCAGATGAGCTTGAACCATGGCGTGAACAGAAGCGAGTCGTCCTTGAACATTGTCTTGAGGTCGTCTTCGGTGACGTATTTGGTGGCCTGGACTTCGTTGGGGTTCTCTTCGAGATCGACGTCGGCCTTGATGAAGAGAATGTAGTCGACNNTAGAGAATGGTTGGTCAGCGGAACTCTGGACAAAAGCAGAAACAGAAAACATACTCTCGTGCTCACCCCACTTGCCGTCGCTGGGGGCGACGTAGTGGATGCGAGTAAGGAAGTGGAACTTGTCCAGGGGGACTTGGTGTGCCTTGATGCCGAGCTCTTGGTCAAGCTTGCGCTGAGCAGCACGCTTGACGCCCATAATGGCGGTTTCGAGAGTAGATCCGGTCTCGCCGGGGACACCAAGAGGGTGCGAGCAGCAGGTGTTTGTCCACATATCGGNGAAGGTGATCTTCTCGGAGGCTCGCTGTTGCAGAAGCAGACGGTTCTTGTTGTCGAAGAGGAAGACGGAGAAAGCACGGTGCAACAAGCCCTTTTCAATATTCTCCATCAAGTGGCCTGGCGGGAGGGTCAGCGACTGGACATTGGTCGGAGAGAGCGCGCAGGCGCAGGCGGGTGAATTCGACATACAAACTTTCTTGCTGGCGCTACCAATGGGCAGGTCGTTCTCGTCAAGGACAATGCAAACCTCGTCCATCAGGCGAATCTGCTCCTCATCATAGCCCTCGAGGTCGTTGTCCTGGGTAGCAGAAGTGGCATTGGCGAGGGAGGTGTTGATTTGGGGAAAAAGGCGGAGGATGTTTTCTGCGGTGATTTGTGACGCTTGAGCGACGGTAGTGGTGGTACTGGTAGTGCTCATACTGGCGACAGTGGACTAAGAGAGAGGGCTCGGTGGCGGACTCGTCGGGACTTGGACAGAGGCAAGGAGAAAACAATGCGGGCGTGAACAATCGGGTGACCCTGAATAATGGATATGCCAATCTCCAGCCGCTCCGCTCGCAGCCTAGGCCCGATTAGGCCGATTGATTGGTTTCGCGACTCGTCTCGACCTCCACGTTCGCTCCGTCTTGGCCAAAAACAACATGGGCTTGATTTCTTGTTTGACAAGAACAACACTGACTTGCACACGCAAATACCGCCATGTCGTCTCTGCTCGACGCCGTCATCCGGTCGGACAACGACCACAATGAGTCACGCACACCAATCGTTCAATCCACCGGCAGAGGCGGCTCCCGTCCGCGGGGCCCGCCCTCTGTGAGCACCCCAGGTCTGGGTAGCGATGCTTTTGCCTATGGAGATGACGAAGTCGTCGGTGTACGAGGCAGCCGCAGAGGCCCATCCACAGCCGGCCCGCGACCCGAAGTCGAGCAGGTCATGGACACGACGGCCGAACGACTGTCTCAGGAGTTCGAACACTTTCTCAACACCTTCACCGAGGAGCCCATCTCGTCGGCCTTGGCTCCTGCCTCCAGTGCTGCCACCACCGACCGCTACTACATCGAGCAGATCAAGGGTCTGGCCCGCTACTCGCTGTCCACCCTGTACGTCGACTATAGACACCTCGATGCAGCCAAGCCCGTCCTCGCCCAAGCCATTCAGCAAGACTTCTACCGCTACCACCCCTACATGATCCGCGCCCTCCACAACGCAATCGCTACCCACGCTCCCCGCTACTTCCGCCAACATCGCCAGCCCGGTTCCTCGGTACCCAACACTTCGGATGCTTCTGTCGACAGCCACGACGATTCCACCCTCCACAAGACGTCCAATCAGCAGACCGACAAGGTCTTTACCCTTGCCTTCTACAACCTCCCTCTGGTCTCGCGCGTCCGTCAGCTGCGTACCAGCCAGATCGGTTCCCTCTTGTCCATCTCGGGCACTGTCACCCGCACATCTGAAGTTCGTCCCGAACTCTCGCTAGCCACCTTCGTTTGTGAGGTCTGCAACACACTTGTCCCCAATGTTGAGCAAATCTTCCGCTACTCGGAGCCCACACAATGTCCCAATTTGACCTGCGGTAATCGTCAAGCATGGCGTCTGGACATTCGTCAGAGCACCTTTGTCGATTGGCAGAAAGTTCGCATCCAAGAAAACAGCTCCGAAATCCCCACCGGAAGCATGCCCAGAACCATGGACGTTATCTTACGCGGTGAGATGGTCGACCGCGCAAAGGCCGGTGAAAAGTGCATCTTCACCGGTACTCTTATTGTCGTTCCTGATGTCAGCCAGTTTAGAGTGCCTGGTCAGCGTCCGCAAGCCACTCGTGACACCAGCTCTGCTCCCAGAGGTGCCGAAGCAGGAGGTAGTGGCGTGGGTGGTCTTAAGGCTCTGGGTGTGCGCGAACTCACCTACCGCATGGCTTTCCTGGCCAACATGGTCACTCCCGACGCTTCGACTGCTGGCCAAGCATCCACTCAACAGCTCAGAGGTCAAGCTACAAATATCATGAGCTCGCTCAACCAAGCAAAGAACTCCGAGATGGACAAGATTGGTGAGGAGGCTCAGTCCGACTATCTGGCCTCCCTCAGCCCCAACGAAATTAATGAGCTGAAGACCATGGTCCACAGTCCAAATATTTTCATGCGCTTGATCGACTCCATTGCTCCCATGATCTATGGCCACACTGTCGTNAAAAAGGGTCTGCTTTTGCAACTGATGGGTGGTGTGAGCAAGTCCACTCCCGAAGGAATGGCCCTCCGTGGAGACATCAACATCTGCATTGTTGGCGATCCCAGTACCAGCAAGTCACAGTTCCTCAAGTACATCTGCTCTTTCATTCCTCGTGCCGTCTACACTTCTGGCAAAGCTTCTTCTGCGGCCGGTCTGACGGCCGCTGTTGTCAAGGACGAAGAAACTGGAGAGTTCACCATCGAAGCCGGTGCTCTGATGCTCGCTGACAATGGAATTTGCGCCATTGATGAGTTTGACAAGATGGACATTGCTGATCAAGTCGCTATTCACGAAGCCATGGAACAGCAGACCATTTCCATCGCCAAGGCAGGTATTCAGGCCACCTTGAACGCCCGTACCTCCATCCTTGCTGCCGCTAACCCTGTGGGTGGCCGTTACAACCGCAAGACTACTCTCCGAGCCAACATCAACATGAGTGCTCCTATCATGTCTCGTTTCGATCTCTTCTTTGTTGTTCTCGATGAATGCAACGAGGCCGTCGACAAGAAACTGGCACAACACATCGTGGATGTTCACCGTCTGCGCGACAGTGCCGTCCAGCCTGAATTCAGTACCGAGACACTTCAACGCTACATCCGCTTTGCACGTCTGTTCCAACCAGTCTTTACCGAAGAAGCCAAGGCCACTCTGGTTGAGAGGTACAAGGAGCTGCGAGCCGACGATTCACAGGGTGGTGTTGGCAAAAACTCCTACAGAATCACTGTCAGACAGCTTGAAAGCATGATTCGCTTGAGTGAAGCCATTGCAAAGGCAAACTGCGTTGACGAGATTTCCTCTGATTTTGTCAATGAGGCTTTCCAGCTTCTGAGACAGAGTATCATTAGTGTCGAAAAAGACGACATAGATATCGATGACGAGGACATTGACCAACTCCAAGCGGATATCATCGCGGCTGCTGAGCAGGATGAGGAGCAAGATGCTATCATGGGTGATGACGCACCTTCAACGAAACAGAAAACAGTCATCACAGCCGAAGAATACCGTGAGATGGTCAACAGCCTGGTCAGCAGAGTCTACGCGGATGACAAGCAAGACGGAGATGGTGTTGGAGAAGAAGATCTTTTGAACTGGTACGCCGAGTCGAGGGAGGAAGATCTCGAGAGCCCCGAGGCGATAGAAGCTATGAAAGACAAGACAAGGAAGGTCTTGAAGAGAATGTTGAAGGTATGTTGAAGCCACGTCGTTGTCAAACCCGAGTATACATTACTAACTTTGCAACAGGATAACATACTTCTGCGCGTCCGTGGTGAAGTTATCGCAAACGAGTCTGGCACAAGTTCAGCGCAGAAGGAAAAGCTTCTCTACATTGTACATCCCAATTGCGATGTTGAAGAGATGGGTATTCACGAAATGTGATTTGACTGTGTTTGATATGAGCAATGTCTCTCGACGGCGTTTATCGGTTCATGAGGCACGAGGGCGTGGGCTTGGTATTGGTACGGGATGTCAGGCGTTCTTTACTTGGTCGACAAGGATATACCAGGCAAATATTCAGCCACTTCTTTTCCATGCTTCTGATGCAAGTCTGTTATGTTGTAATACTTTGCGATTGTTGTACGGGACCACTTTGTTCAGACCATACATTGATGGATTAGAGGCTTTTGAACCCGAGTGATCGATCACATGGATGCTGTATTTTGAGCATGTCATATTTCATTTCCTTGTAGCATACATAGTTCATACATGGCGATTGCTGTCAATACTTTGATGAATTCATCATTGACGATCCTTCACGTTGGGAGGTCCTAGGTCCTCGACGATAGGCTTCAATGTGCCTCGTTTAGGAGAGGATTCATCGTCTGGTGCCGTCTGCTTCTTTTCTGGCTCTTCTTGATTGACCTGTTTGACGACAGGTGCCTCGACTTTCATGTGTGCCAGCTTCTGTTTCGCTACCGAGTCGAGTACCCCTTCATCTGCTGTGGCCTCAGTCTCGGNGGTCACATGTTCCTTTGTGTCTGTCACGGCGTACGATGCCGGCTCAGATATCTCGTCTCCCAGAATAGCCTTGGCAGTTTTCTCATCTGCATCTTCCTCGTCTAGGTCGAATTGTCCGACGAAACAGAACAAGTCACCAGTCTTGCCCAAGTCGTACTTACGATCGTTTGTAGCTTCTGCAGCGTTGCAACCACCGACTTGTGTTCTGAGCAGTAGGCGGTACTCTGTTGCCAGACGTCCAAAATCTTCTCTTGCGACCTTCTGTCCAGTAAAACCTAGTGCTGGCAAAAGAGCGATTTCTGTGAGCTCAGTCTCGTAGGGCAATAGTGCGTGCAAAGGTTGAGAATGCTGGAGCGTGTCGTGCTCTTTCTGTGCGAGATATTCTTCCTGCCGACGAATCTGATCTGCGGCTGGTTCTGCACTGAGGAAGGGCAACTCATTGTCGGGTTTCTTCTCTTGCCCTGTCTCCTTCGATTCGTCTTCGGGCTTGGCAGCTTTGTTCATGTACTCTTCTGGCTTTTGAAAGAGATCTCGATGCACAGTCGCCCATGATCCAGCACTCAAATGGGCAGGGTAGTGGTTTCTCCATCCTCTTGCCCTCATCAGCTCTAGCATGTATTCAAGCCATCCGGGCTGTGTCTCCGAAACGAGCTTAGCACGCTTGCTGGGCGCTTGATGTACTGAGAAGACATCGTGAGCCGCACGAAGACGGTTCTTGAGATAGTCGTGGACTTCGGCCCAAACGTCACCAAAGATAAGAGCTGCATCGGCATTAGGGGCTTGCCACAAGAAAGGTACAATCAGGTCTTCAGTAGTCTTGGGCTNCCTCTCGGTATCAGACATGGTCAGCGTGGGGAAAGGACTAGTGCCATTGAGATAGGCATCAGGAGTCGCAAGAACCACTCCGAAAAGGTTGTCTCCGTCATCCGATCCATATGCCGAGTACCGATGTTGCAAGACGTGGTACATGAGATATTGATAATATAACGGCGATAGCTCTGTTTGTGCTGAGAGCAACAAGACATGCGAGTGGTCAGGGTCGACAGGGTAAAACGACTCGAGGAAGCGAAGTGCGTTGTTTTCGGTCGTGGTTTTCGCAGTAGAGATGCGATGATGAAGCTTGACTTTGCGTTGACGTGGGCCGGTGGGATCTTGGTGTGGAGGCCACTCAAAGTCTCGCAGGTAGTCGCGTGCAGACGGCTCGACATCAGGAGGAAGGTCGATGGTGATGTCAGGGTGAGAAAGCCCACTGTAGTCGGCAGCCTTGATTGAATGTAAAAGACGCAGGAGCGAGCCTGATGATTGTGGCTGGGCGTGAATGAGAATGTTTACGCTGGGCTTGTGCCACGAGGTCAAGCCGCCGGTATCAAGACGGGTCATCCACAAGAAATCCTCGTACTTTCCTTTTGGAACCTCGATGAGTGGAGTGGCTTGAATGGCGAGTTTCGAGCGCAGACCTCTAATGAAAAAGGCATCCTCGACGGAGGAATCATCAGTGATGACGGCTTGTGGGTGCATGTACATGTGAATATGACCGAGAGCGCCGACTACAGAGGCCTCTGCTCGGGCGTCTGTACTGTACTCGGAGAAGTCGCATCGGGCATCGTGGAAGAATATGTCACAAGAGTCGCGATCAACACCATTTATCTCGAGCACGTCTTCCAAGGGAATGGCTTCCCGTCCCAACAGGGTGAAATGCACAAAGTTCTTGTCTACGCGGGCCATTTCACAAGCCATGGGTAGTAGATTCGCAGCGCTCCTAAGGCTGGAAGCGGCAAACAAGACATTTCTATTGTCTTTTCTGTGGCCCATGGTGCGGGCGATGGTCTGAATGGACCTTGCCAACCTGTAGAACTTGACAGGTCCGGCATAGTAGTGATTCTCTTGGTCTCCGGTGGAGTGCGTCTTCGGAGGAGGACCAGTTGGCTCTTTGGAGACAGTGTTTGGGCGGGCGGCTTGTTGAGCAGGGCGAGTCGGCGGCCTATACCCAAAGTCGACGCCGTCAACTCGATGGCCTGGACGCAGTGGGCGGCCCATGCGTTGGTCGACGCTGCCTAAATCGGTGGGGATATTGTGAATGAAGAGCCATATCAGAAAGGCACCGAGCAGGCCCATGGCCAGGCGGCGGCGGCGCATTCGCAGGGCGGTGGACCAAGACCATGGCTGTGAGGACGGCAAACCTGCCCGTCGTCCGAGGTCGTCGTCGCGTTTGCCCAGATAATCGTGCCCACCGAAAGCCATTCTAGCGTCTCGTCATTGTTGTTTCTGCTCCCCTTGCTCTTTCACGTTGCTTGTGGCACAATCTGCTAGCACTTTTGGACTTTGTCTTGTGATAACGCTGCACACTTGCCCTGGTCCGTGCACCTGCTGTGCATGTGATCGACTTTCATCTTTCCTCTCTTTTCTCCCTTTCGCTCAACATATCTTTTATGGAAAGGCTCCTGTTTGGAAGACACTGTCCAGTCATGCAGCTTATACTGTCACTATATCTCTACGGTGAAATTGGGGATCATCGTGCGATTTACACTCTCTTCAGCACATACATACACTCGTACAATGTCGCTACCGTCCTCTTCCATCAAAACTCGCCGACCATGTTTTCTCTTGCTTTGATCTGCTCTCTCAGCTTAGTCTCGTTCCGCGGCCTGAACCTCACTTCGTAGCGATGAGGTAACGCTACCAGGCTGGTTGGATCAGAACTGCCCTTGATCGGATGTGTTTCCACCTCTGTTCCCTTCTCGATCTCGTAGCAGCTCAGCATCCTCATGAACACGAGATACAGCTCTCTGTTGGCCAACAAGCTCCCGGCACACATTCGATATCCAACTCCATATGTGAAAAGTGGTGCTTCTGGCTGCTCGAGCCATCTTTCTGGTCTGAATATCTCGGCATCCTTCCACACGGCTGGATCCATGTTGCACGCCCAAGCATTCAGATATACCGTCGTGCCCGCCGGAATGAGCTTGCCTTCATACGTGATATCCTTGACTGTTGCTCGAGGAAGCGCCAGCCTCAGCACAGTGTAGTACCTGTTCACCGTAAGTGGTGTGTTTGGAAGCACCAACGCAGCTTTCACATACCTCAGACACTCCTTGACCAAAGCCATGACATACTCGCACTTCATGTCATCTTCGGGTGCGCAAAGTATCTCGTCCTCGCTGAACATTTTTCGAATTTCCTGTACCGCCTTCTCCTGGATATCTGGTCTTTTTCCGAGGAGCGCAATGCTCCAGGCCACCAGTGTCGTCACGGTATCCAGTCCTCCACTGAGCATCGTCAAGCTGATGCTTGTGAGCTCTTCCTTGTTGAGTCTTGCTTCCTTGTCCTGGATGACGTTGGCCTGGATACAGGGTTTGTGCGTCCCCTTCTCCATGCGGTCGTCCAGATCCTTGTTCAATTTGGTCAAGTATACATCTCGGCGTTCTCTCATCTCCTTGGCTCGTTTGGACCCGACACTGAATGGATTCAGACGCAGGAACGGCACATAGTCTTGCATGTTGCCACTTGTGCTCCTGAANNCTGAGAAGGGATTAGAAAGTGTTATGTGTGATCTATGACAGAAGTATCGTACCTTGGAAATCTCTTCCTCGACCTCTGTGATCTCATGGAACAGAGGATCATTCCTGCTACCCAATCGAGTGCCCCAGTTGAGTGTTAGGGCAAGACTCAAACTCAAGCGCTGGATCATGGGCATTGGATCAACAGTTTGTGTGCCTGCAGCTCCGTATTCCAGGCCCTCTTTGACGAACGCCAGACTCTCTACGTCTAGATGGCCGATATAACTGGCAACTGAAGGCTTGTTCAGCGCAGATGCAGCACCTTTGCGACGACGTTTGAGACTGTCACTGAATGGCGATGTACCGATAGTTGTTCCCGCAGTATTGGATAGGANCCTGTTCTCCAAGTCATTAGATAAGTCAGACACATCGTCTAAGTTGATATATGCCTTGTGAAAAGTATAGAACACCGGTCTCGAGCTGAGAGCCTGTGAAAAGTGTCCAAACAGAACACGACAGGCCTCGGCCGAGTTGCAAACAATGACAGGAACGTTTCCTAGCTGAATCTGATATACGTCGCCATAGATCTTTGACCACTCTCGATACTNTTTTGCCAGTCAGCAGAGGCTCATGCGATCTTGTTGAAACACAACCTTCTCGGCAGCATTGTATTTGATATCCGGAATGTTGCCAAGGACCAATGCTCCCGGCGGTCCATCAAATCCTGGAATTCTTGCCTTTTTTCGTACGTATTCGTTGGTCACAAAGTATGACAATGGCAACAAGAGAATCATCATGACTATGAATCGGATAGGGTGCTCATTTGCCTGGGTCTGAGCAAACGAGATCAGGAGAGAAAGCATGGTGTGGATCTACACAAACAAGGATAGCCACAGGATCGTGAGATGTCACTGGCAACCGTGGATCTTAAATCAATGCGAGCAGAATGGAGCATACCCCGCAAGAGCCTTAGAGCTCCGTGATGACCCCGCTATATTGTGACTGCCGTGGAATGGTGCGGAAGGAAGAAGCAGCTATAGAAAAGCGGCGACATTCCGTGTCGCGGAATCGTCACCGCACATCGACCTGCACATTGTACGTCTGTGACGGTTTGCTCCAGTCGACGTCTTTCAAAGCTTGATCGCCTGTTGCAAGGAACAAGCACTCGGCTACTGCAGTTCGGACCTATTGTCTTTAGCATTCGGCATAGAAACATGGCAGTTGATCACTCACTGTTGGATATGGGTTCGTTCTCAGCATGCTTGCAAGCTTCTTCAACGTGTCGGCACGTGTAGTCGGCTTGTCAGCCAGCGCCTGGTAGACCTCGACCGCTGCCAGTATCCTCGAGATGTTATTCGACTTGAAATGCGCCTTCTGAACCAAGGATAACAGGACTCGCCAACTAATCACAGGTCAGAGTGGCCATGCGGGTTGGTGTTATCAGACTTACTTGAAGGTACTGTTGAGAGAGATGATAGAGGGAAGCGCATCGAGTAGGTACGCGATGAGTTCCAACAGAGGTTGAGTCTCGCCCTCTTTCGTTATGAGATCTCTCAAGAAATTGGTGAAAGCAGACAAACATTCGGATCTCATACCGTCACTTCCTCCGGACATCGTGTCGACCAGAGCGCCACGAGAAGCCCGTAACAACCCTTCTGCACCAACTCCAGCGCACGATATACTTCCTTTCAGGATTGCATCGCGTTTCCAGCCAGGCGGATCATTGTTCAATGGCGCAAATAGTTTCAAAAAGTATTGGTAACTCGTGACATCTGTGTCAGAAACGCNTATATTTTGTTAGCAGGTTATGTATCGAAATGCTTGAGATTGAGCAACTGACCCTTTCAGCTCAGAGTCTTGCTGCAGACATCTTGCAGCTTGAAGTCGGACTCTGTCCATCTTCTCAAAAGCCAAGCGAATGATGTTCCCTTCCAGAAGTTGATTAGATACAGGGTCGACTTCTGGTGTCTGTTTTAGATCCCACATGCTTTGAACGCACTGAACGGCCTTTGTCCGTACTAGTGATCCAACATCTCCCCTTTCGGTAATGGTGTAGTCATTGAGCCCCGCGTGAAGTGCAGAGAACACTTCTGGCAAGACATCGGTGCCAATGGTATTTGCTTGGATCATCAAGTCTATGGCTTGCAATCCAACGATACGCCATTCAGTCAGTGAGGCTGTCTGAACGATGTTTGATAGAAGATTACAGGCTGTAATTCGATCGCAGCCGTAGATGTCTTGCAACCATGGGAATGCCGATCCAACAGCAACAACACGCCCGGACCCTTGCAGAACCATGCCCGAAGAATCGTGCGCAATTCTGGCAAGACAATCCGAGACATTCAGAATTGGTGTTACTGTGAAACCTGATTCGCTCAGCCGTGAGAGCGCTTTTATTAGACGCGGCAGAGCTTGCAAGACAGAATTATCTGAAGAGGAGATCAAGCCAGATACGATCTGACTCAGCTTGGATGTCTGTGTTGACAGATCCATATGGTCTATCGTGGATTGCAGAGAAAGCTCGGATAGAGATGATAAGAACCGGGCTACAGCGAACGGCAACTCTGCACGTGTGGCTCGTGAGGTCTGGTTCTTGTACAGATGACTCTCGTCGCCGAACAATTTCCATAAAGAAAGCAAATATGCCGCGTCTTTCGTGCTTGGATCTCGACCGTCGCCTTGGAAGCGTTGGAGCATCTTGGTGTCGATGATCCTCGATAGGGCAAGTAGAGATCCATGACATTGTTCTACCTCAGAATTTGGGAACGCAAGAAGACATTTCTGTAGGTCGTCAAGCGTGATACTGACGTGCTGAGGAACTTGGGGAGCACATAATAGGCCGATAGACTCGGCAGCAGCCTCACGAGAAAGAACGTCGGTAGAACCAAGACCTCGCCACTTCCCGAGCGCGGCAATCAGTGCCTCTCGATAGACTGAGTCGAGATCCGCAGCACCCTGAGCCACATCAACCATGGCGCGCTGCCGAAGTCCGACTGCATGGTAGTCGACTGCTTGAACGAGAGAAATGCCATTGCTGACTTGGTCAGGATGCCTACCAATAAGCTCCTGAAGAGCGGCGGATGATCCTCTTCTGATGTTGCCGGAAGGATCCAAGCAGGCAGAAAGTAGGAGCTGAATAGCAACGACTTGGATGATAGATCCGGTATCTTGGTGGAAACCGAATTCGATATCGGATATGTCCGCTGACAACAGTTCTCTGGTGGTGTAGCGTCGGGACAATGACCAAATACCGAAACATGCGGCATCACGAACATTGCTTCCAGTACTTACGCCAACCGCAGATCTCTGTTCAAAGCTAAGCGCCAATAACAAGGCATTTAAGATCTCGGGAAGTTGCTGCGGTGAGGCCGACCTCCTGAACAATGCGTGTGCCAGTGTCAGGGTCAAGCCATGCCATCTCAATGCGTTCGCAGCTCCGAAATCGGGCTTCGAAGAAGATCTTGGCATGTCTTCCTTGAAGCTTTCGAGAATCGCCTGAACGACCTCATGTCCCATATCCGGATCGAGTCGTAGGACTATCATACTCAGTGCTTTGCTAGCAGCAAATCTGACCGGCGTATCGCGATCCTCAAGCGATTGTAAACAGTACTCGATTGTCTCTTCTAAGACACCAGATGCCTCGTAAAAGTCAACGAGACCCTCGAATGAGGATTGCAAGCTCAGTAGAGCCACATTACGGAGTAACTTGACAACGAGTTTCTTCGTGACAGCAGAAGAGCTTAGAAACGCGAGCATCGCATCGTCCATGAGTCTTTGACCAGCAGAATAGATGGATGGTATGAGGGTGGCCACTCCGGGAGTATCGACCGACACTGTCATTCCCACCAAGAACCGAAGTGGACCCAAGAAGGTGTGAAGGTTGGAGTTAGGCGAAGCAGATGGATTCAGGAGCTTCGTCAATGCCCAAGACACAAGTGTAGCAGGAAGATCGAGGTGCTGCATATCGGGTCTGGTGACCAAACGTACGAGCATCTTTGCAGCAGCATCTTGCTCCCTGGTAGCACTTGCGAGATAATGGATACCCAACGCTATGGCACGTCGTGCAATCGAAGGGACCTGCGGCTGTAGAGACATATGCTCGCATACTTCGGAAGGCTGAGCAACAGCCGATATCGAACTGAGATCGAATGGCGCAAGCATCAAGTGGGTCAGCCATAGAAGCAAGACATAAGACTTCTCCCAGGCAGTATCTGAGCCCGCGCTTAGAACTTTGAAATCTTCAAGGTTGGTCAAGATGAGCTCAAGATATCTGGGTTCATTATTGAGGAAGCCGGTGATGATCTTTTCGCCTCGAACTTTGCAAAAAGTGTACAGCAGCTTGCTGGCGGCGACATCCAGATAAACGGTGAGAGGAGAAGGAGACTTGGCCTGTTGCACTTGGAGAAAGGCTAGATATGCTTCGACAATCGGGGGCAACAGTGTCTTGAGATGAGCATCGAGTAATTGAGGTTCTCCTTGGAAAGGTTCGATCTGGATAATATATCAGCAAGGTACTGGCAGCCCGTGTTGCGATACAATACAGACCAATTGAATGACGTGGTCGAGATCGCGTGAACGAACAAGATGGTGGACACGACCTTCGTCTCCCCGTTTCCAGAGCAGTTTTGAGAGGGCAATCTGGAGACCTGACAGAAGCCCCGCCGATGCGCGCATCAGCTGCAAGTCATCATCGACTTCGGTAGCCATCACGACATTTTCTTCCTTAGTTGCCAGAGAGAGGAGTGAAGAGGCTAGAAGTGTGCTCGAACAATTATTTACCGCTTGGATGTTGATGGTCGGTCACCGCCCAAGAGCAACGCCAAGAAGTCCACCTCGAATTTACTTCGAAATACTTCCTGCTTCGACCATTGCATCTGCATGGTCAAACAACGATGCATTTAACCCTTCTCACCATATTTAGAGTGAAGATGGACTATCTGGAAGCACCAAAGCTGGAGGCCGAAGCGCATAAAGTCTCTAACAATTTTGATCACCAGATCAATGCCCGGATGTCCGGACTGTATCCTCAAAGCATTGGCTATCGGAGCACATCAGCTCGTACTGCCGCTCATACTGCTCTTAGAATAACGAAACTTGCAGAACCTCTCAAATATACTTCATTGTCGTCGAGCTATTCCAATTGCATGGGATTTTTGTCTGGAGCCAACTGCAGCACGTGATCCACGCACGACGTGTTAGCCAAAAGGAGCTAGACCCTAGCAGAGCTCTCGACAAGCTGAACATGCAGTGTCTACATTGAAATATTCTTTCGATTAACTAAATTCTTACATCTATCCAACATCATAATCTAGAGTTCTGAGCTCTTTGGGTTGCTTAACCAGACGGTAGGGACGCGTGGTACTTGTGGACTCAAGCGCACCAGCCCTTTGACATCTCGGCGATCAGTTGTCCCTCCAGTAAGTCTCCTCATGCCAGACCGGAATCCCGCTCGCAGCCCTGCTGCAGAAGGAGCTCGAGAATTGCTGCTGTGAACCGACATGGCATCATCAGACGTCGCCATGCGCGAGATCGAGAGGTCGTCGTCAGAGAAGGGCTCGTCGGCAGTGTCTTCTTCGGATTGTAGATCTGTGGTCACTCGAGGCATGTGATGCATTGCAGTCATCGGCGAAGTCACTGATCTCGCGTGAAGGGCCGGTCTTGTGGCAACTATGGCTGAATTCGAGGCGAATGCGCCAGGATTCATCACGAGCGGTTCACGAGCGACACCAAACCTTGTATCCGAAAACCCGTTCTGGAACGAGGTCACCGAAGCGTTTCGTTTGAGCGACTTGTGCAGGATTGGAAGAGTCTGCTGCTCGTAGATGTTCTCGCGATCCTCGATTGAGCCTCGGGACTTCTCCCCTGGNNTTGTGGGAGGTTTACGATCGTCGAAGAAATCGTCCAGACTGTCCAGCTTCAGTACCAGCTCACTCATGCTGCCGTCAGCACGTATTGATTCCGACATTGTCGTCACTGAACGTTCGAAGTAGGAGCCGTACTGGTCTTCTGCAAACGCGACATCAGGCGTGCTGGTTATCTCGGTGCCATCTGCGAGCGTAGTGTCTAGACAGGTGTAGTAGACAGCCATGACGTTCTTCCTCGCCCTGTCGGCCTGGATGGCTGGCATCGGTATTGACCAGCCAGACTCCTCGGGTATGCCGTAGAGACTTTNTGTGCTGTCGTACTCCTTGCGTGTCGCGCGCGTCGAATGTGACCCTGCCATGCTCATGCGCAGATGCTTGTTGTCGAGAGGCGTACCAGTGACAGACATGATGTTGTCAAGCACATCAAGAGCTTGCTGGCAGTAGCTGGTCTGCAAGAGACGTAAAAGGGGCGAGATCAGATCTGGTCCCTGAGAGACGATTTCCGGCCGTCTCATGTCGATCTGTGGAATCAGAACACACAGGAGTTGCATGACGGTGACTCTGAACCATGGTGTCTGGTTGTTGAGCAGGCCGATGAGGAAGACCAAGCTTTGGTATTCCATTGCAGGGAAGAAGGCGGCTTTCGCTGCAGCGACGACTTCGGTCAAGAAGTCGTTCGCATTGCGATAGGTCTGATTTGCGAAGCCATTCAACGCGTGGGCCAGATCAGGCAGTCGCTGAGCTTCGGCTACACCAGCAAGAGAGTCTGCGGACTCGAAACATGCTTGGTCGCTACTGTCGTCGTCAAAGCGATGGAGATAACGAGGGAGATTCGCAAGCAGTGTGAAGAGGAGACGGGTGTCACCTCCGATCAGACTGCTGGAAGGCAATTTGATCATCCTCTCAAGCATTTCCAGTGACCGGTCGAGACAGGCACTCGACCTCAACCCCTTGTAGATCAAGGGTTGAAGACCTTCGAACTCTCCATCCCACTTTGCGGGCTTATTCTCGTTGAATAATTTGATGACTGCAGGATCACTCAGGTCGAGTTTGTCCAATAATCGATCCAGCATCGAAAGACTTGCTTGAAACTCTTGTTCGAAAATCGTATCCAGACAAGCACTCGTGGTCCAGAACAATTGAGGGTATTGAATCAAGTCCTCGGGCTCAAGAGCGCTAATGATGGTTCGTAGCGTAATGAGGATTTCTTGAGAAAAGGTCAGACAATCATTCTCGTCATCGGCAATAGTGTTTGTCAGACGGGCGAGCATGTCTGCCATCATCTGCCTATCAAGCGAATCAATGATGCAGCGGAAGATCTGGAACGAGCGGCATGCTACGTGACGCACGGCGCAAGTCGTCGCCCAAATAAGACTCATCCTTGCCCAATCTCTGCGTATATTGTCACCAGTTCTTATATCGTCATATGAGAAACTCAGTACTCTGACCACTTCCTCAATAACGAAAACCATGGGCTCCGGTACACCGTTGGAATTGCTGTTGGAGCCTTTGTTGTCAGTTTCCTCATAGGACCACACAACCTTGGGATCGTGTTGTCTGATTGACTCGATCAAATCTTCTATACCTTGCTTGCTTGGTCCTGTGTGCTCTGAGCCAATCTGCGAAATGACGAGCTCGTGGATCATGTGTACCAGCATCTCCCTTGCCTGGTCTTGTACTAATGGCGTGTAGTGATCCCATTGCACAACGACTACTTGAAGCAAGAGAGGTATCTTGTTCTTGGGGAGCTGTACTGGGGAGACTACAAGATCTACCAAGAGCATCAAGGCTAATTGCCCTAGAGATAATCCAGATTGTCGATTACCAATTGGTAATACTTGTGCGAGATCTGCAATGTATGGCAAGTTTGTCGGATCCTGAGGTATCGGTGGTGGGGGTCGTTTCTCAGCAATCATGGCTTTGGGGGTAATTTGGAGCAAGAGAAACTCGATAACTTTCAGGCCCGCCGCTGTCGTGGAGAGGAACACTACGATTTGTTTGGCGTAGTCGACAAAGTTCTGTTCTCTACGGTCCAGGCATATCGCGATGATAAAGTCAAGAACCACTTGCACATTGCCTCCATATGGTCCAGTAGCAAGAGCCTGCCAAAGCGCTTGTATCTCGTTGTGCAAAACACTGCTACTCCGCGCCGTGATTTCAAAGAGATTAACCATCAACATGTACGAGCTAGCGGTGGGTCCTCCCGTAGGAAGCAACTGCAACTCGACGGTCTGTATCCAAGGCAGCATGGCTGCGACCATGTTGCGTTGATGATCTGGTACGAGACCTCCAAAGTATCTAGTGAATTCCGAGAAGACGTGGAACGCCATGTCTGCATGCTGCTTGGCTAATCTGCGAGAGATCTCAAATTGAGCCAGTTTGTAGACTGCGGTTGTCTTGTCAGAAATACTGATATCCAGATCCTGTAGCTTTGAATTCTTGCCCAAACGTTCCTCGAGGGTTCTCAACAGACGGGCAGACTTCATGCGAATCTCGCTGTTCTCATTTCCAAGAGTGTACAAGGCAGCGCTCAAAATCTTCCAGAAAGGTATCCTGTCATCAACCGCGTCTGTCAAGACTTGGGTAGCAACAGTGAAGTAGCTAAAAAGCGCTTTCGGGTTCTTAGCATGGTAGCACTCCTCGATCGAGTGAGACAGCAGAAAACTGTGCTCACTATTGTGACATAATAGATTCTTCAGTGCTCGACGACCTGTCGCATGCGTTCTATCACTGGCTGAATCGAGAATGGCATCCACCCATTTCAGCATTCGGCGCACGTCGAATTGCATGGTGATTTGTCCGTCAGTGGAAATCATCACTGGTCCCGCACAAAGTGATGCCATGGCGCTAAGAGCGGCTGTCCGCAAGTCTTTCTTTTCGATCTCCAGCTTCGCTGTAACATTTCCACGATTGCGGGAATCTTGTTCTTGGTCCAGAATGGACTTCCTCATGTGGTTTTCCTTCTGCCTTATTTGAGTCTGGTTCGGAGAGAAGCCGCACCAGTCTTCCATCATTGAGAAAGCAGCTTTTCTTGCGTGGAATGGCATCCAACGCATAGGATCCTTGGTCTTGTGAATGCCTTCGTACAACACCTCGACAAGCCCACAGTAGTAGGTGCGTAACTTCTGGAAGTCCCATTGATTCTGTACATCCTCATCGTTGAGGAATATTCGAAGGTCTTTGGTGAAGCTGACCAGGTTCTGAAGTATCCACTCGTCATTATAAACCTCGGTTTCGAAGAGGCAATGAGATGTCAACTGATAGAGATGAGTAAGCTCGGTACGCAGAGAGTCGCTTCGCCTACTTCGTCGTGGGCTGTTTATGGATCTTTGGTGTATCGTCAGCCATTGTTTGGCATCTTCGCTACAAACAGAGACTGAAGGTTGTAGAGCTTCCAGTAATGGTCGGAAAAGGTTGGTGTTGATCGCGCCCAGCCCATGGACAGCTGCCTCTCGAACTCCTGGATGTATGGCAGAGAGAAAAGGGACGACTTTTGCAAACAGCTCGTAAGCAGATCCAATCTTCTCTTGGCTGATGGAAGAAGCCTTAGAACCCTTGCGTGAGTGTTGAGAACTTTCTCTTGGAACAGGCGCTTGTTGCGAGCCACCACTATTGGTAAGGGTTGTGCATGCGAAGATGAGATGTAGTTTCCATTGCTCAATCGTGACTTCGGGAGGACTAAAAGCGGTTCTTCCTACCATGCGTTGTGAGAAGGCGGTTTCTAAGGCTGCGTATGTGTTGGCTCTAGGGCCATCGGCCAAAGTGCTGATGATTCTGTGAGCATGTGAAAGGCGCGCACAGACAATGTCTCTTGTTAAGAGTACAGCTTGAGGACAGATTTGCGAACTCAAACGTATCAAATTGGGAAAAGCTTTTGACCAAAGAGCCAGGTCATGAACAGTCTCGCTGCTGCAGAGCTCCACAAGGGTATTGTTCATGTTACTCTTCCTGAGGCCCTTCTGCAAACGACTGCGCTCGGCTAGCGAGAGTTTTTCATCATTGACGTCGATTACCTGCTGTGAGCNTCCTTCGAGAACACTGATGATGCGTGTAGAGGGCTGACCAAGAGCAGTATCGAACTTGGTAACGAGGCTGAGAACTCTGACGGCATACGCTCGAACGTGACGCGACGGCGAGCACAGGAAGAACAGGCCGTGCGATTCGATCTCGTCTACATGAGCGAACACTCTCGATCGATTCAAGTCAGAGGGCATGCCACGAGCAAATTCGTCGTCGTGAAGATCAGGTGTTGCCATTTGAGGTTGAGACCTCAGTTCTTCGATCCATATCTCTAGCAACTCGACATAGAGGCGTAAAGTGCTCTCTATATGGCCATGACCCAAAAGGCTGCCAGCAGAGACGGTGGCATAGCGGTCGTCGAAGTTGAATATGAAGCGAGCAAACCCGATCGTTACCAGTTGAGCATGAGACTGCCGTGCAATGGATTTGAGGGACTGTGCAGATGATGAAGCGATGTGGTTTTGCACGTGTGCAGTGCCTGTACATAGCAGGTTGATGAGGTTCTTCAGAGGAATTTGAGGAGACAAGCATCGAGGAAGTGCTTGCACTGCGACATGAAGAAGATCGTAGAAATTCTGCCGAACCTCAGGCGAGTTGAAAAGCTCGTCCCTCCGACTGAAACTGAAAGCATCCGCCATTGGCGTCTTGGGTATGGCTTGGGCAGAAAACTTCTCGTCTAGGACCTTTTGTCCGCCAAAAGTCTCATCGCAGATAATGGTGATCTCACCCAGGATCTTACAGAACTTGACATATGACTCCTTTGCGACATCGCCGAAGCCAGCCGTCATTACAGGCTTGGACAAGCGTTCGACCTTGGCCCCGTTCACAGGAGCTTGGCTCTGAGACAGGGAGCGTCTGTGGGAATTGGGCGATCTTGAGAAAGGATCCGTGAGTGCATCACACTCGAAGCCGACGGGAAATGGCGGCTGTTCACCCTTCTCTAGGTCGGTCATGATAGCAAGGAACGCTCGAATCGCGATGACCATCTTCTCAGGGTCGAGATTCTCAATACGGCGATCTCTACCAGTGATTATGACATCTGCATTCATCAGAGGGAAGATGATGGATCGGAAGCAGAGATCCTGGTGCTTGAACCCAATGATGCGAATCAACTGTATCAGAGGGTCGGCAATAGACGGCTCAGTAGAAAGTAGTGACTTCTTGCCCGTCAAGAAAACCATTCGGATTACGTCGTCGAGTTNTTTGAATGTAATGAGTTGGGTTTCGGGAGCTCTGTAGAGGTATACCCAAACCAGACGACACAATGCTTTGAGGGCATGACCCCGAGTGGTGCGTTCCTTCAGCTTGGGCTGTAATTGGTGGAGGGCGGTCGAAAGCCACTGTTGCTGAAACACATCGTTGGGCGATACGCAGATAGTCACAGCAAGTATAGGAAATGCTTGAACCCAGTGCTTGGGTTTTGCGAGGAGCTGGTTCAGTTTGACTTTGAGAATGTCCAAGACCTGTCTCCATTTGGGTGAATTAAGTTCGGTGGTGGCCTTGCTTGCGACTGGTAGAAGCAAATCTTCAAACAGCTGGCAGTATGCATACTTGACCGGTTTACCATGTACACCCGCAANAAAGCCAGCCAACAGATTAAGCAGGTCACAAGACTTATCCCATGCAGCTTCAGGCTGCGTCTGTATCTTGAGCCAACGCATGCTATGCACAAGCAGAGCTGTACGGTTCTCAAGATCTTTATCAGCATTACCTTTGACCGACAAGCGTCTCTGTGCAGTCTCCAGATCCGAGACATATCGATCGGCAACCTTGTCAAAGCGCAGATTACCCATAACTCCCAACAATTGGCCGAACATGTTCCATTGCGATTGTTTGAGAGCCGAATAGGCAAGAGCCTCGGAGTCAAAGTTACGTAACTGACCATAGATGACATCCTCGAGCCTCTCGGCGATGTCGTTGGTCAAGGCAGCCAGCGTGCACTGGGAGATGACTTGCATGAGTACACGACAAAGGATATAAACAGATATGGCCGAGCGCCGTTCGCCTTGACGCAGATTCTGCTCGAGGGTAACAATGGTGGCAGGGTCGGTATGAGAAGGTAGCGAAGCAGAACTGCTATTTGTGCTGATCTGTGACAAATCTGCGCGACGAGTGGTGGCAGAAACGTTGGTTGCATGAGCTCGAGCAGCCTGCAGCTGAGTATGGATCGGGGTCATCTCGTCACTCTTGGACTTGCGCCAGATCATGAGGGCGTCTATCAGAGGCTTCGGACGGGGACGCACAATATGGCCGAGAGCCTTGATCAGCTGGTCAAAGGCATGGTCTGCGCCGGGACCACAGATTGCTTCGACTCTGACCAAAGCATCATCACGCTCAGAGACACAGCGGTTGATTTTGTCGTTGGCTTCGCTGATGAACTCGTTCAACAAATGGTGTAGGGCATATTCTCCTACAGTGGTGGGCTCTTGTTGGTGGTGTTGACGCGATCGCGAGCGGTGATGGCGGTGATTGTGGTGGTGGTGATGGTGCAAATGGGATTCATGCTCCCGCTTGATACGGCCGCTGTGCATGCGTTCAAGACGACGTAGGGNGACCTGGTCGGTGGGCGCATTCAGTGTCGAGGACGAAGGGCTTTGGCGCAAGGGTGGGCCATCTTTTGGTGCTTGAGCCAGGAGAATGCCAGGACTGATGGGGCTGGCAGCGGTAGAGGACACATGGCTCGGGTTGCGGGAGTGCTGGTAGCCGTGGACAATGGACGTCTGGCGGTGGTGGCCGTAGGAGACGGAGGATTTGCGCTCGACAGACTCGGACTGGGCGGCAGGGGTGTGGGCGCGCGAAGACGGGGCGCGCGAGGAGGCACTGGGCGCGCGGCCCCTGGTAGTCGAAGAGGGAGCGGAGACCGAGGCGGGTGCGGACGAAGANNGGGCGGAGGGATTGGTAGCATCCAAGCTCTCGCCCGGGTCGTGCAGCGAGGGCGAGGCATTTTGGGGTTTGTTCATTGCGCGTCTAGCTGCAGCGCCATGGGCGAGCGTGGTGCCGCTCCTGCGCAGGCGCGTGGTCCGAGGAGAAGAGACGGGGCACGGCGAGGGGGATGGGCGACGACTGGATTCACACAGGCAAAGACTGAGAGGGTTGCGGACGAGCAGTCCTTGACTGGCAGCACGATGCTAGCACCTGTCCGACCCTGGATGCGCAGAGTGTGGGGTTTGCGCACCACGGGAAAGATGCTTGGACACGCCCATTTACTTGATACAGACTACACTTCAACGCTGCACTGCCATGGCTGGCCTCGATGCACCTCTCGGGCTGCTGTACTGGGCCGCAGTGCTCGTCCTCGGCAGCCTGGACTGGTTGTGTTTGTTCAGTTGTCTACTACTTTTGCTCTTTTGCTCTCTTGCTCAAGTGCCGGTGTGTCCGTAGAGAAATGTAGCCGAACCGGCAGAGCGTGGAGCCGAACGAGCAGGCGGAATTTGGCCGTTCAAGAGAGGTCCGGTTGCCGGCGCGGTCAACTGCATGATGCGGACATGAAGGACGAAAGAGCATAATCATGCCACTAATAACATTCGCCCGAGCCCCTTGGCCCGCTCTCTAGCTAGACTGTGTGTTTCTGAAGTCTGACAAGTTTCCTTTTGCCTTCTCTCATCGTGCCTGCGAGTCCTGGTCTGCTTCTGCTGCACTCTTGATCTTGTTCAGTCTTCGCATCTGTTGAGCGGTACTTTTGATAAGCCCGCCCCGCACCCAATCTCAGTGGACACCTCACCGTTCGTCTTGCAAACTCTCGCCTCTTCGCTCGTCTACGTCCAACTCCGCCCCGGCCACTTGTCGACAAGATGGCGCAACTCGACACGCTCGACATTGTCGTCCTGGCCGCTCTCCTCCTGGGTACCATCGCCTACTTCACAAAGGGCACGTACTGGGCCGTCGCCAAAGACCCCTATGCTGGCTCTCTCGCCAACGGCGCCGCCGCTAAGGCTGGCAAGACGAGGGACATTCTTGAAAAGATGGACGAGTCGGGCAAGAACTGTGTCATCTTCTATGGCTCGCAGACCGGTACTGCCGAGGACTATGCCTCACGTCTGGCCAAGGAGGGCTCCTCTCGATTCGGCTTGAAGACCATGACGGCCGATCTCGAGGAGTACGACTTTGAGAATCTCGACTCGTTCCCCGAAGACAAGGTTGCCATGTTTGTCCTGGCGACCTACGGCGAGGGCGAGCCCACCGATAATGCCGTCGAGTTTTACGAGTTCATCAGCAGTGAGGACGTTTCCTTCACCCAGGGAGGCGGTGTTTCCGAGAAGCCTCTGGCCAACCTCAAGTACGTCGCTTTCGGTCTCGGCAACAACACCTACGAGCACTACAACTCCATGGTTCGCAACGTTACCAAGTTCCTCGACAGGCTCGGTGCCAACAGAATCGGCACCGCTGGCGAAGGTGACGACGGTGCCGGTACCATGGAAGAGGATTTCCTGGCCTGGAAGGAGCCCATGTGGAAACACCTGGCCGAATCCATGCAACTGCAGGAGCGTGAAGCCGTCTATGAGCCCGTCCTTGAGGTCACGGAAAAGCCAGACATGGACGCTGAGTCGGACGATGTCTACTTGGGTGAGCCCAACAAGAACCATCTGGAGGGCAAGCAAAAGGGCCCTTTCAACGCCCACAACCCCTACATTGCACCCATCGCCGAGTCCAAAGAGCTCTTCACCGTCAAGAACAGGAACTGTCTGCATATGGAAATTGACATTAGCGGCTCAAACCTGTCCTACACCACTGGCGACCACATTGCCATCTGGCCTACCAACGCCGGCAAGGAGGTTGATCGTTTCATGAACATCCTCGGCCTCAGCGAGAAACGCCACATGGTCATTTCCGTCAAGGGCTTGGATGCCACAGCCAAGATTCCTTTCCCCTCGCCCACTACTTACGACGCCGTTGTTCGCTACCACATGGAAATCTGCGCTCCTGTCTCGAGACAATTCGTTTCGGCTCTCGCGCCCTTCTCGCCCGATGACAGTATCAAAGCAGAAATGACCAAAATGGGTAGCGACAGGGATTACTTCCATGACCAAGTCGCGGCCCGCAACTACAACCTCGCTCAGCTCCTCGAATTCCTGTCTCAAGGTAAGACTTGGGACAACGTGCCTTTCACCATCTTCGTTGAAGGTCTTCACAAGATCCAGCCCCGCTACTACTCAATCTCATCGTCTTCCTTGGTGCAGAAGAACAAGATCTCCATCACCGCCATTGTCGAATCGGTCGAGGTTCCAGGAGCTTCCCACGTGCTTAAGGGTGTTACCACCAACTACCTGTTGGCTCTCAAGCAAAAGCAGCACGGCGACCCAAACCCCGACCCCCATGGATTAGACTACGCAATCACCGGTCCTAGAAACAAGTACGACGGCATTCACGTGCCTGTCCACGTTCGCCACTCCAACTTCAAGCTTCCCTCAGATCCGTCAAAGCCCATAATCATGGTCGGTCCGGGTACTGGTGTCGCTCCATTTCGTGGCTTTATCCAAGAGCGCGCCAAGCAGGCACGCGACGGCGAGACAGTCGGCAAAACCATGCTTTTCTTTGGCTGCCGAAAGAAGGCAGAGGATTTCATCTATGCGGACGAGTGGGAGGTATGTGAAAAAGAACCCACATAGAAAAACTACAGCGTACTGACGGTTGCATAGGCGTACAAGAACGACATGGGTGAAAACTTTGAGATGCTGACCGCCTTCTCTCGTGAAGGCGCCCAGAAGGTCTATGTGCAGCATCTTCTCAAGCAACGCGCCGCCGAAATCGACAGACTTTTGCAACAAAAGGCTTACTTCTATGTCTGCGGTGACGCCGCAAATATGGCGCGTGAGGTGAATACTGTTCTCGGACAGATTATTGCCGAACAAAGAGGGATTTCAGAATCTAAGGCAGAGGACATTGTCAAGGCCATGCGTAACAGCAACGCCTACCAAGAAGATGTTTGGTCATGAGGGAAAATATGGATGTGTCCATTCTGCCCTCTTGGATTGTTTTTACGCGTCATGTTTGCATGGTCAAGCGATGGTCGGTTTGGATGAGTTGATAAAATATACCTGTGTCATAATATTCATCCTCAACAGAATAATGTGATGTATCTGTTTCAAAACAGGTCGTGACAGGTGGCGGCTTATGCAGACGCAATTCCCCGAAATGCAGAGCCCTTCCGCTAACCTGGTTGCCCTGTTGCATCTGAGGTCACCGTGGCTGCAGCAGAGAAGAGGTGGTCGATTCGCTCGTGTCTGTCGTCCAGATCCAGGTTCATCAAAGCCCCAGCGGACAACAGCCGACGCAAGGACCTCCTGACGTCTTCTGCTCCTGCGGTACTCTGTGAAGGCTCCAGGTGCATTATCATTCCGACCATGCTGTTCGTTAGAATACTCCGTGCCTCTTACAAGACTTGTCATGCAACAGCGGGCTTCCGGCAGTGGATCCCGCTTCGAATTCGAGACAAACGGGCCCCTCTTGGTGCGACCTGAAGCCGTGACACCGCGGCTCCTGATTATCTGCCCAATTGCTTTATCCTGCGGTACTGTACAGACGTCTGCATGGCTCAGTCTTTCGCCATGAACCGTCTCTTGTATCAGCTGCATACAAGATGATATCGAATGACAAGCAGATGCAAGATGCTAAGTCCAGTATGGTTTGTCCCCCTTGCCTTGACACGTTGTCAACCGCTGTCCAGTGGGTCGTTGATATGCGAGTTGGTATGGTTGGTATGGGCGTGATTTAGGACTGCTGCATGACAACGATGTGTCTGCCCGTTCATGATCACGTTGCTTTACAGAGTGTTCTCTTCGAACACACAATGACAAGAGCTCATGCTGCAATAGTGGCAAACCGAGACAAAAGGCGGCAGTCCAATTTTCAAGGAGAACAAGTCCATGAAGCTGCCCCTGTCTGCCGACTTTATACACTGCAGATTAAGCAGTAGAGCTCAACAGGTGCCGTAGAGAGTGGTTGGTGCAGGTCGTGTAGCCGGAGGATTTCGAGGTGGTTCGCAGCAGCATCCATCCATTCGGTTCGGCTTGCATATCCAAAACACTACTCGTCCTCAATGCTCGTCCTGGTCATTCAGACATCAGATAAAAGAGAGCAAACCTTCCCGCCGTACCTGCATCCGAGTTTTCTTTGAGTGTCATTGACTTGAACCGCATGCGCGCACCTTTGCATTGCTATCCTGGATTCTGGCATACATTTCTCATCCTCTCTCTCTATTTTCTCCTTGTCTTGCTTCGGTCGCAGTTCTGAGATTTCTCTCTCGCGCGTTGAGTTGTAGAGTGGTTGTTGCACATGCTAGTCCGTTGACGCCGCTCTTACACATCATACCTACCGCTCCTCATTTTAGTACGTAACGAGACCTATGCTCCTTCTCTCATCCACGCCACCCCGCCAAAGCACATGCAAATTTCAGAAGCTCCTTCCTCGACCACACGAATATACACATAGCCCGGGAAAGAACGAGTCGTTGCAACACCCGACCCGGACAGTGCGCACTGCACTATTTCATCTCTTCCCTCGCCCTCGCCCTCGCCCTCGTCCCCATTTCATCGCCCTCTTTCTTCCTCTCCAGTCTTCTTGACAGTCATCTCCCATCTTCTTCATCTCTTGCATCCTGTCCGTGGCGGCGCAACATTGATAGCATAGCTTCTGTGCTCATCAACCTCTTTGTCCGATAGATACAACGCATTGCACCTTGTTATCAACCCTTTCGGCTTAAAGCACTCTTCCATCAGTCCCTGTTCGATCTACTCAGGTAAGTTGTCGTCTCCACTTTGCCCATTTCAGCTACTGACTTGAGACGCAGTCAGCATGTCAAGCATGGCCGACACTCAAAGTCAGCGTGGCAACTCCTACAACCGCGGTGGTCAGGCCATGGGCGGTCGTGGTCCAGGCTATGGCCAGTCCTTGGCTCGCAACACCACCACCAACTATCACAGTGGTTACGGTACGCAGCATGGCCATACAGCTGCCAACATGGCGGCATTGACTTATGGTCTCCAAGGCATGAATCTCCACGATGCCACTTACTCGAACCAGTCCAAGGCCGCCGCTATGGCTACTGCTGGCCACCAGTTCAACGGCCTTCCCATGCCCGCTGCTCTTTGGGGTGCCACCAACCATCTCATGTTCCCCGGAGGCCACTCCTACCCTGCTGCCGTCCACCAGCACAATCCTGGCCTCTACACTCCGATGGCTGCTCAGTACATTCCCCATGGCTACCATCAGCAGCAGCAGCACGACAACAGTCCTATGTCGCAGGCTTGGACGCCCAGTCACACAACTGGCGAAGTCCCGACTCTCATCACTCCACGCCGTGATTCCATCTCTTCCAACGAGAATGACGCCCCTGGCACCCCCTCGTACGCTGGCTACTCTACGTATCACCAGGTCCCCGGTGTTGCAATCGTCAACCGTTCCCCAAGCGGCATGTACACGCAGAGCTCTCCTTCGCCCACTCAGGTCCTCGCCCCCTACGGCATGCCTTTGTCCAAGATGGCTGAGCATCGCAGCATCTCTCCAAGCCTTCACATGCTTGTGAACAAGGAGCCTCCTATCCCTCAGGCCATCCCAGCCCCCAGCTCTCCTTTGAAGCCACTCGACAGGGCTTTGGAGAACATCCGCGGCGAAACCAATGTCTACATCCGTGGTCTTCATCCCGAGACGACCGACGAGATGCTCGAAGGCTGGGGCAAGCGCTTCGGCGACATCCGCAGCTCCAAGTCGATCATCGATCACTCTACCGGCCTTTGCAANGGGGTAAGTCTAAGATGTCGTCCTCTTTGACCTGACCATGCTGACACTGGTGCTTATAGATTTGGCTTCGTCAAGTACCACAACTACGAAGACGCCGAGAACTGCATCCGCGGCTTCCACTACCTGGGCTATGAAGTCAGCTTCGCCAGAGTATGTTTCTCCTTGAGCAGCTCGCCATGATCTGAGACCCGCCCACTGACGTTCGATCCANNGGAATCTTTCTACTCCAAGCTCAAGACGTTCGCTGATGAGGGTAACACCAACCTCTACGTTTCCAATCTGCCCAAGTCTCTGAATGAGCACGAGCTTGCATCTGTCTTTACTCCTCACAAGGTCTGCTCGGCCAGAATCCTTCGCGACAAGAACGGTACTTGTCGTGGAGTCGGCTTTGCTCGGTGAGTTGTTCTGTCGATTCCATCATGAGCACAATCTGACAATTTGTTCAGTTTCGAGTCCAGAACGGTCTGCGAGGAAGTCATCAAGAAGTTCAACAACTACAAGGTCAACGTCGGCGGTGAGGAGTACACGATTCAAATTCGCTTTGCCGACACCCAGGAGCAGAAGCAGCTCAAGCAGCAGACAGCCGCTGCTCGTCAATTCCGCTCTGCTGAGTACGAGTATGCCACTCAGGCCCACAAGGCTGGTTGTTCTTCGAGCCGCGGCTCGTACGCCTCCAACAACGACTTCGAGACCTACATGACGACCAGGTCAGTTTGCTGATATGCCTCATCCAACTCGTTAGCTAACACGTTCGTCACNAGTGTGCCTGTCCAGAACCAGCACTGGTCTCAGTCCGCTCTCCGCAATATGTCTGGCCGCACTGCTCTTGCTGCCTTGTCTTATGGCAACAACATCCAGTACTCTGTTGTCCAGTCCAACGGAGGCGCCAACTCGGAGAACCAGCCTCCTGCTCGCAGTGACCTTGCTGATTCCAAGTCGGCTACCAACTCTTCGCCAGCAATTGCTCGTGGCGACCAGAGTGCCGTGGAGTCGACCACCTCGGACGACCAGATCTCTTGATTGGTTGCTTTTCCATGACGGCCACTGACGACTGATGATCCAATGAACGCTCTCTTGCCTGGACGGATTGCGGGTCCCACAGCACAACTTGTCACTTTCTTATCTTGCAGCATGTTCCGACACGATACACATACACAGCATCTCTTCAGCACGCTCATCACGTCTTGGTACTCTGCCGTCCGGGGCTCACCGGCCATTCTCAGCATTTCCTTTGCCTTGTAATCGCATCGTCACCAGGCAGCATCACGTACTGCATGCACACAGCTTTTGATCCGGTCTTTGCCGGTGTTGCATCTTCCTCTTGACCAACCATTGCCATTGCTGTCTGTCTCTTTTTGGTTGTGCTTTCTTTTCTTTTGTTTTTCTTTCGGCTGTCATAAGTAATGAACGAGATGCTTTGTTGAACGAGATATGAATCATTGCACAACATTTGCTAGAGGGACGAGATTGATTGACGAGCTTGCTTGTAACGAGTATGGGATATTATGGCTGGAGTTCAAAAGTAGATAATCACAATGCGATCAATTTTCAGCCTACCTGATTGACCCCTTCATTGCATCAGGTCATTGATGATACCAGTGAGATGGGACGCACGCTTTAAGTTTTACAGAGGTGTCTGTGTTCATCGCGTGTACCACTGTAAAGACATGAACACGAATACAAATACTCTGTGGCCAGGGCGAAATTAAGATACGACGCAATTGCCTGAGCCCAATCAACTATGCACTGGCCAACCGTACTCATTTCTTGGAGAAGAAGGACATGATGTTTCCTTGTCCCTTTGGTGCAGCCTTCTTTGTCTTTGTGGTAGTGGGGGCTACCGACACCTTTGCTTTCTTGGGCGCAGGCTCTTCTTCCGAGAAGGACTCCCAGGCGGCTTCTTCTCGTGTCANCTACGGATTCTGGTCAGCTCAAGATCGAGTTTTGTTCGGACCGTCGCACATACCAAGATAGCCCTCTTCATCTTGGACAGTCTTCTTCTTCATCACTCTTCTCCTGCCTCGCCGGCGACCATCAGATACAGTGACGGTCTCTTCGGGTTCTTCTTTCGTCTGTGCTTCCGATTTGGAGCTAGGTTCGTCCTCTGCACCTTCTGAAGCTTCTGTCGCAACGGCCTTGGTTGGTGCATCGGCCATTGGTTCGTNCTAGATTATGTCAAGTCAGTCTTGTAGCATACAAGTGCGAGTGAAATGATTCTTACCCTCCATATCCATCATGCGGCGCAGTTCGTCCTCTCTCTCTTTCTTTGATTTACCTCCGGCTTCGGTGATTGCACCTTCGTCGAGCATCGCAGCATCTTCATCGTCGGCTTCTTCGTCTGACAAATCGTGCATGGCTTCTGTGATATATTTTAGCTCCTGCACCTATTCCTGCTTGTTGAAATACTGACCATCCTCCTTGGTGAGCGGATCTACGGCAGGTGAAGGTTCGGTGGAGCTTTCGGTCGGCTGGCTCAGCATCTTCGGTTTGGCTTTGGCAAATGCCTTGAACAAGCTCGAGCCTTCTCGCTTGAGAGGAGCAGTTTTCGTAGCGGCAGATTTGGTCGAAGCTTGAGTCGAAGCTTGTGATGAGTCCGGAGTGGATTTGGCCGAAGTCGTTGTGCTCTTGGAGACGTCTTTGGCGGCAAACTTGGTAGATGAGAACGTGGATTTGGCCGGCTTTGTTTCAAGATTCGAGGGTGTTGGTTTTGGTGCTTGCGGCTGGTGCTGTTGGTTGCGCATGGAGCGACGCTAAACAGTGTTATGTCATTGAATGGGCCCTGTTAGTTTGGTCATAGAACTCTTACCTTNTACTTGGGAATTGTGGATGACTCCATAATGCTTGTAGGTTTCGAGCAGGTCCTCGTTGATAGCGGCAGCCATGATGGCTCGATTGCACTCGGTTAGAACATGCAGATCNNCTGTCTAAATTCAGCAGCTGGTTTGCGAAGCAAAAGGTACTCGGAGCGATGGTACGTTGATCTTGCTGGACTGAATGCTGTAGACGTGTATTGACAAGACGTCGTCAAAGGTAGACTTGGNCGGCTGCAAGGACATGGCAGTCAGCAAAAATAGGTCCACGGTTGGCATTGAGAAAGCTGACTGACTGTCGAGGTTGTCCTCGTCTACCAAAAGCAATGATGTGGCTTGATAGCCTCCGGGCTCTTGGTGGGCAGGACCAGTCTGGCTCTCCCGAGCATCATCTTCTGCTTGTTGGGGCGAGAGGGTCTGGGTACCGGTGACTAGGTATGTGACATGTAACGAGTTCGGCTGTTTCTTGTTCTGCGTACGGTGGAAATCGTAGAGCATCTGTTTGGCGAGATTGGTGTGCACTCGGAGTGCTCGACTCAAGGTGCGGTAGCTAACCTGTTCCTCAGGGGTTAGGAGACAGTCGTAGACAATCAATACAGCTTAACTTACCGTCTGGCCATCGTTCAGCACATTGGCCGATAGGTATTCGATGTAATCGTTGGCCATTGTGTCGCCTGCACTTCTGTTGCGGTATGTTCAAAGAGCAAGCCAGCCCGTTCTGCTTGGTGGACGCGTTTCACGCGTCTGCCGTAAAGTGGTGGCTTGGCGTGCTGTGACTACCTACCTCATCCTTCTCCCACAAAGTAAGTCACTGCTAAGCTTTGTCTGAACCTTGTCTTCAGCTGGTCTTGGGCCTACTCTTCTGTCACCATGCGGTGTCTCGGAGCCTGCTGTTTGTCTTTGACTCTTTGACCCTACAAACCAAGCCGATGTCTTCAGCTCTCGCGTGGCCGACGTGTGCTTCAGACAGTACGCCACTATGTATGGGCTGAGTCTCTATTGGAGCTTGAGACAAAATTCTGCCTTCGACTCGAGACATGGTTCTGTAAGTGACAACAGCTACGAGACCTCGGACTTCTATACGTCTTTTGACTATCGAATATTCATATATATTCCCGCGTGCTCTGTCCATTGGTAAGCTCCACATTTCCAATCACAATACTAGATCAGAACAACCATGACAGCCACCTTCCCTATTGTCTTCACTATCCTCAACCAGATGGCTGGCTTGGACCCTGCCGATTTACAAGCCAGCCTGGACTCATGTACTTTGACTACGGACCAGGAAACTGCACTGCGTCAACTGGCAGACCATCTCTTTGGACCAGAAGGCTCACCTCAATCTGCATCTTTCACCCGACCAGCAACAACATCAAAGGATCCTTGGGGACCTTTTCATCGCTGTCGCCGTCTCGTGCTCGATGCCGTTTGTCAGGGGATCCTGGCTTCAGGTCCTCGACATTTTGTCGATTCCTATCGTGACGCTACAATCCACGACGGCATCATGTCAGCATCCAAGGATGCGCAGCAACATAGTGTGCAACGACTGCGCGAGCTCTTCACCGCCCTGGCATTCTACGACATTGGTAGACATCACTTTCCAAACGCCTCTGGNAAAAGATTGTCAGATCGTATGAAGAACGAATTGAAGTTGCTGATTCCTGGGTGTGATGTCGTCGAACAATACAAGGTGGGCAAGAACTTGGCCTGCCTTTGTGAAATACTTGGTATGGGTTGCGTCTTGTACCTCGCCCAATACCTTTCCAACGACTTGTAAGCTATGGGTCAATACGCATATGACGATCCAGCTCGCTGACACATGAACAGTTTGTGCAAGAAGTTCACCGCCAGTGGACGATACCACAATAGCGCCATCAGCCACCTCAAGAGTCTGAATTTGAAGCAGGTGGCTGCAGACAGCGGAGCCAGCGAGTTTGCGCAAAAGGCTAAGATGCTTTCGAGAGCTTATCTGGAGACTAGGATGAGCCAGTGGTGATATTTTCGCGAGAATGCGACCATAGCCTATTGGTGAGTGGGACCAGCGTCGTGTGCTGCGCGTACGACCAGGTTGGTGCTGGAGGTTATTTGCATAGTAGCATGGGCGTTTGGTTTGTTTACTAGGGCAGACTTGATGGAAACATGTGTGGCTTGAACTTGAATTATTGTCATTAGGGTATAAAACTTTCAACTCGCTGAACTAATGGGTATCAATGCGTCCCCTCGTCTGGTCGTAACTGGTGTGATTCATGTCGCTCTTGTGGTGTATCCATGACTGGTCGTGAATTCCGAAAAAAGGGATGGGTGAATCAAGGGCTGCGGGAGCGAGCGATATGCCGCTGAGCCGTGTGAAAGGTGGTGGGAGAGCGTCGTGATGATCCAAGACTGGTCGATGAAATAGTCGGCGGTGTTTTCGTCGTCGGTATCGTTTCGATGTCAGGGAAGATGTTGGTTGACTCTCAAACTCCTTTCGTGCTCGCTCCCGCTCACTAGACCGCACTTGTTGTCTTGTGGCGGCGGCCTCCACCTCTACCGCAGGTAAGGCAAGAGATGATGATGTCGAAGACGGCGACGATTCCATTGATGATGGCCTTGAGGATGGCACCAATTCCGTTGACGACAGCCATCAGGGCAGCGCCGATGGCGCGGAACACCGAGGTGATCTGACATTCAATCAGTTACTGTTATCGTGCAAAGCAGAGAAAGAAGACTTACGCAAGAAACGACGGCACCCATTGTGTGGTGTGTGAGTGTGTGCTTTGGATGTGTGGTTTGTTCGAGAAGGGGATGTCGAAAAGGACAAGTTGGGAGAGAGGTGTTTGTTGTTTTGCGAAGACGCGAGGAATGTGAAAAAGGTTGATGATAGATGCTGTGAGACGTGAAACAGCAGGACTTATATCTTCAAACTGCACGCTCGGTGTGTGACACCATGATATCACACACCCTTCAATCGCACACCCTTCAATCTCAATATCAGGTATTCTCTTAATTAGCTGCCCAGCAACCAAGGCATTCGGTGCATGGATGCCATAGATTGCTCTCGATTCGGAAACAATCTACACGATGCCTTTCTGACCCTTACCTCATACGTTCGGCGCGCCATGCACGCTCTACGGTTTTGAACTCCATGCGTGCAACAACAAGCGGCCTCAGCTCGTTTGGCAGAGATTTTCTCATACAAAAGCAGGGATAACTTAGGGAGGCTGAAAACAAGTTCCAAGGATGACAGGACTAGCGGAAATTAAACGTCATGATCGCTGCTGCACCAGCCACTGTGGCTGTGTGGCTTTCCTCCTCTACTTGCTGTATAGGTCATAGGTAAAGTCATCTGCACGCTCTTGCATGGACTACGTTACCGCTTGCTATGATGGCGACGGGCGCATCCTTACAATCTCGTATGTTCCTGCAAAGCGTCGTCCGAAAGAAACTAGCCGTGACGCGTTGCCAGGTTCATCGATGATAACCAGCATCAATCCTAAGAGATCTGACTCGATACGATGTGGTGTGATGACGATGTAGGGTTTCTGTCTCTTGGACTGTTTGTCTCGTATCGGGTACAAATCCGGTCAACCATCGTTAGTTGTTACGAACGCTGCTCTATCTTGCACTTGAAGTCATGGCTGATTGTTCACTCGAGCTCCGAGAAAAGAAATCGGTGCCCTAGGTCTGCCACGACACGCTAGCCACCTGTAATGGGATCGAGAGAATAAAGATAGGTTCTCCGAGCTCTTCATAGCCATGTTTATTTGATGGAAGCATGGCACATCTCGAAATGTAAAGAACATTGTCCTTGATTTGTTGTTAGGCGTATGACCCTGACCTATTCGGTTTACTTGGCAACATGTTTCGACCTTGGTCAAGACAGGTGCAGGTCTAGGTGAGGGAGGGGTATGAGACCCGATAAACTCATATAGGGTGCGAGTAAGACAAGACCGAGTGATTACACGATGCTTCAGCTGGAGATGTTCGTAGAAGGATGCTGCTCTCGTGGTGGTGATGGACTGACGTATCAAAAATTCAGCGTTAGCCGAGGGCGCCCACACGCTCGAATAACAGTAGGTCGCGACGCACGGGCCAAGAGTGAATCAGAGCAGCGATTGAGAGAAGACGACGACAGCGACAAGGCCCAATTGCTGAATACCACCAAACCCATTCTCTGTCCCGCCTCACGTGAGTCTCGCTCGTCGCCGTTCTTTGCTCTCGCTCCTGACAAGTCGCCCGCCCGACAGATTTCCCTCCAGCAGCCATGGATCAAGCAAAGCTCCAACGTCTCCAAAATGCCGTGCGCATCGGTATGCACCCTCACCAGCCTGTGAATCTCGTGCCCTGCTGACCCATCCCGCAGGGTAAGCTCTGCATCCTTACAAACTCGTCAGAAGCGCGCGCCGAGACTGATACACGACGAAAAACAGCGGAAAGNGGTACTCCCAGAAGAAAGGTCAAGAAGGTCAACAGATCCGGTGGTGGTGACGACAAGAAGCTCCAGGCCGCTCTCAAGAAGATGAACGTCCAGCCCATTCCTGCCATTGAGGAGGTCAACATGTTCAAGTCGGACGGTAACGTCATCCACTTCGCTGCCCCCAAGGGTGAGTTGCTGCACCCGTCCGCCTCTAGAAGCCTGTCCCAAATGCTGACACGTGCCCACCATNNAGTCCACGCTGCCATCCCCTCCAACACCTTCGCCATCTACGGCAACGGCGAGGACAAGGAGCTGACCGAGCTCGTCCCCGGCATTCTTAACCAGCTTGGCCCCGACTCGCTCGCTTCCCTCCGCAAGCTCGCCGAGAGCTACCAGAGCATGCAGAAGGGTGTCGAGGGTGAGGACAAGAAGGAGGACGATGATGACATCCCCGACCTCGTCGAGGGTGAGAACTTCGAGGGTAAGGCCGACGTCGAGTAAATGTCGCCAAACACAACAACCCTCATGCAATAAAAGTCAAAATCAACTTGTCAATCGCACTTTACTCTTGTCGCCTCACGTCTGCTATCTCACGCAGCGAACTGCTCGCCATCATTCTGCTTCAGCTATGACTCGGCACCGGCCAAGATCAACACTAACGCAATCCCATTCTCATGAATGCACGCTTCTAGATTACTGGGAAAAGCTTGGTGGCAGTCGAGCAAGGACAGAACCATCATCCGGTATATCTATCCCGTACATGCTCTGATGAAACGCGGAATCTATGTTTATATGCTATTCATCTCTTGCAGTGAACGTGCCTTGATATGGAAAAGCCTATGTTCAGAAGGATGGTGAGCCCCACGGTGTTTCAAGCATCTATTGCCTCTGAAGATCCAAGGTAGCCGCATCTTCTGCATAACAATCCAACAGTCTTGTAGCGTGCAGTGATAAGCCAACGGTGCATCAATCATGCACACATACCGACAGCCTTTACACGTTATCAGATCTATCCTTCCAAAGTTGCAGAACGTACGCAACCACTCAAGAACAGTATAGTCTACCCTGTAAGTGATCTCTTTGCGCGTAAATGCCCGGCTACTGTCAAGCTTGTTAGTGATGATATCTTTTCCTCATGCACATAAATAGGTAGAGCATCTGGCACCGCTCAATGCTCATAAAGTTGCCTTGGCACAACTTGGACACAACTTTCACACAACTCATCTCTCCACATTGTCTTGCCTCGAGGACTGACGAGTGACGAGCGCAAATCAGCAAACCGTCTGGATTGTATTGACACTCCTCATCGATTTCCGCCAAGGCTCACAACGCCGGAGTCTTGTTGGCACAAAATTATACATCAGCACACTTATCTCCACCACAACTCGACCAACTTTGACCCAATCTCTTTGGTTCTTTTTTTCTCTGCATACAGCAGCCAAAATGTTCGAGTGTGCTCGTAAGGGCAAAAGGACGACGCCTGCAGGACTCGAACCTGCGCTCCCGAAGGAAATAGATTTCTAGTCTATCGCTATAACCACTCAGCCAAAGCGCCTTTTGAGAAGCAAAGATTAAGATTCATTTATATAGTCTCTACTACAGAAATAGAAAGCGTCTAGAAATCAAGAGAGCAAGGAGTTATCGACATGTGCCGAACTAGGAAGGCGCCTGGTGTCGTGTTTGGCTCATCCATCTCCTTTGTCAAGTGAGGAAGGAACGACCTGCGAAGAGAGGGAGGAACGACCCACAAAGCAAGAGATGGAGGAGCGCCCGAGTAAACATCCCGGGAAAGAGGACAAGTGAATTGACAATGAGACGCTCGATGTGATCATGGCGATGAGGAGAACACATCAAGATCAGGTTCAGTCAGCCAGTGGACCCTTGAGTCGTCCTGTGAGAAGAGTGACGCCGTGACGGAGATTATCTCTCGAGCAAAAGAAGGCCAAGGCAAGTCCATCAGTGTCGACTCAAAGACAATCAAAATGTCAATGAAAGGGTCGGCGTGGATGTGAATTGATTCATCTGGCGTCCCTATAATCTCACTAAGCTGCTCAGAGACTGAACACTGAACACGCAGACCACAACTGTTTGCTTATGTCTAACAGCACCCTTCATGTGCTGACGTCTGCAGCATCACTGACCCAATCACTTCAGAGCATTTCTGCGTAGGTTCGTACACTTGCTTCTTATTACCCGTATAACAACATTGGAAATCAGAGAAGATTGAGCGGCTAGAACATCGAGACTCTAGCATCAATATAATCACTCAACCAATTCTCATCCACTTCTGTTGATAAACCTGACAACCAACTTACGATAGAAAAATAACTCGTCTGATGGCAGAGCATGGATGATTCGGGTCTTATGCTCGAACCATGTTCCACGAGACTCTGACCCTAAACGTTGGACTTGGTAAATTGATCCAAACAACGGTTCTCTTGCTCTCATTGCGGAGAACACAAGGTAAATATTATGAGACGTTTCTGTGGCTTGACAAGATTTATTGGTGGCGGTTGTTGGATACGACGAAGAGATCATGTCGTTGGGTTTCTCTGTTTGTTTGTTGCTCTTCATACTGCCAAGCGAGATATCTCACAGAAGTGGCCAGCCTGGAAGTTGCTGAGAAGACAGTCAAATTCAAGGGCAAGAGCAAGAGCGAATTTTTGTGAACAAAGATTTTGTAGATTGCAATGACTTAAAAAATCAAGAAGTAACCAAAAAGCAGAAAAACTAACCACCAAACCACCAAAACTCGTCCCCCGCTCAGAGAGATCAAACAGCAGCGTAAATCAGAAAGAGATTAGTTTCTTGTATAATCATTTACAGCTCCCCATCAGTCCAGTCCTGTGTAGGTACCCAATATGTATAATATGAGAGTAAATGCTCAGGATGGTCATCAGCCAAAAAGGCCAGATATTTTTGTTCGTTTTGTGTTGTTTTCTGGATTAGTATAATATCGAATCATTCAACCCTTCAGAGAAAAAAGGTGAAAATGCTTAGAGGAGGATGGCGGCACCGGCAACGAAGGCGGCGAAGGCGGAACCGGCCTTGACAGAGTCGGCAGCACCAGTGTAGACGGCCATCTGGGAGGTGGTGGCAGAGGCAACAGCGATGGTGGTGGCGACAGCAGAGCACTTGCCGCTGTTGCAGACGGTGACGGTGGAGGTGACGGCACCGCTGTTGTTACCGCTGTTGTTGTTGCCGTTGCCGTTGTTCATGTTGGCAGTGGCCTGAGCGCAGCTGGTGCAGATGGTGGTGGTCAAGACAGNTGGCAGTGGGGACACTATCGCGGCGGTTAGTGACAAGTCTCAAAGACGAGAGAATAGAAAAACTTACGGGCTGTTGACAACGACAGTCTGGACAGGGACCATGGAGCCGGAAGAAGGAGCGTACTGGGTAACAGTGACGGGGACGGCGGCACAGCCACANNAAGCAACAGCAGAGGCGGGGAGAGTGGTGGCGGTAGGGCAGATGTACTCAGTCGAGCTGACGGCGACCACCTGAGTCACAACCGATGCGCCGTTCTTGAGAGGGCAGTTGGTGACAGTGGGAGCACAGCTGGAGATGGTCACCAGCTGGGTCGAGAAGATGGTAGAAGTGGCGACATCACCGGCACCGACAGAGTTGCCGGTGGGGTTGGTCAGGACGGCAAAGTCAACACCGTTGGCGGCAACAGCCTGGCCGACCTCAGAGTAGAGGGTGCAGGTGCGGGCAGCAGTGTCGAAAGCGGTACCAACACAAGTAGAAGTGGTCGAGCAGAGGTTGATGCAGTCACCGAGAGAGGTGTAGACAGCACGCTTGGCGACAGCGACGGTGCCGTTGCCAACCTGAAGGATGGTTCCGAAGTGCGTGGTGGAGCACTCAATCAGGTAGTCACCGACGAGGGCACCGTTAAGGCCGGGGCAGTAGGCGGACTCGGCAAGAGCGGGGAGTGTGGCCATGCCAGCGGCGGACGAGGTCTTGGAAGCACCGGCAGAAGAGCTGGCGTTCTTGCTGGCGGAAGCAANCAGGGGCAGCGGAAGAGCTGACGTTCTGGTACTGGGGATGGCCTGGGCAATGCCGGCGGTGAAGGCCATGGCGGCGACGATGTTGCTGATGGAAGGCATTTTTGTTGGTTTGAAGGGGGTAATAATTAGGATATTATTGGTAGCGAGTGTTGTGTTGCTGAATGAATGGACGGCTGAAGCCTGATTATTATAATATTAGGTGACTGGAGAGGCTGGTGAGGAGCTGTTGTCTTTCTGATTTGCTGTGATGATGAAAAGAATTGGATGGCTGGGAGTCGATAGTGTCTTATATACAGCTTTCTTGCCCTTTGGGGAGGCACCTTTCCCTCGACGTACTCTATTGCTTGTGCTTGCAACGGTGCAGTCGCCTCAGCTAGAGCAATCTCCTCCCTACCGGGCAGCAGCACCGTTACCTGGCTCATCTTGCAACGATATCATGGAAACAAGCATATCAATTACAGGCTAGACGGTTGAACTCTCGCGTGTGGAGGATCGATGTTGTCAAAGGGTAAAGGAGCGACCTTCCCCCGTGATGTCAAACACCGAGAGACGTTGAAATCACAGCCAATCGGGATAGGGTTCTCCTGACGCTAAACAAGCGAAGCGTTACCGTGCCTGATGGCTGTTGAATTGACATTGTTTTGTCGCAGGATGCCAGACGTTGCAAATGCTGTAAACACACTCGACTACAGCCCACGGAACTTGTAGGTACCCAAGGCGTGCCGGCAGAGCTATGCGTATGCATGCGACTGAGAGAACTCACAACTGTTTCTGGTGCAAGACGCCATGGCTTGAGGCATACTCCCAACTCGTCCAAAGGCTCTTCATAGCTGCAACGGTCTAATATCAAACAAACATGCAACCGTTGTGTCCCATCAGGGAGAGAAAGCCTTGGAAGTCGAGGGCGAATACGGGCGGACAAAGCGCCCCGATGTCCTTGGTCACGCTCGAGCCCAAGGCAGATGCGCTATCGCAACATGAGGATTGCTCGGTATGCACCATGACATCTTTGTTGGCCAGTCGACTCGCGATCATCTCCTTGAGAGTTCCATCGATGTTCGCTCATTGACTCGATGTGCATGCGGGGGACAGGGGAAGATGCTGTCTAGTCCCTGAGGCTTCGCAATGGGCCCACAACTTGGCCAGAGCCCATCAAACAGTTCTACGATTCTCGACCATCACAACAACATCACAATCCCCTGTTCATTTCCGAGCCCACTTGTGACCTTGGAAGCACATTACCAAGAGGGCGAACGGTAGGCTATGGATACGAGCATCCTACTCTTTGCTTCGATCCTTTGGAGGCGACGACGGCGACGACGACGACGACGACTATCTTCAAATTTCCGTCCGTATGACACCTCACTGGCTAGTCTTGCTATTACCGAACCCTATGACTGTATGCGGAAGGAAGATCCAATACTAAACCAAACATCAAGCACCAGTATTATTTGTTTGAGCAAGTGTCAAACAAGCAAACCCTGTTGTCCACCCTCGGCCCTGACCGGCAAGGTACCGGTTAATTCAAGCCTTGACAGCTTGGACACACGATCAGTGTCTTGTTGGTTGGACACAACGAATTATGAACTCATAGTATTGGTCTTTGTGCTTTTAATAGAACATCTATGCGCAAACCATGCAGCCACCATCAACGCTGTCGACACTTGCATGATGTAATTTTCAGATACAGACACCGAGATTGGAAGCAGCTAAAGAGAAAGGTCTGCAAGAAAGCAGAGATATGATTCTAATGTGTGATAGGGACGATGATAATAATAACAGCAGAAGCCTACTTGTCGCAGAGGCATGGTATCATGAAAAGCAAATGAACAAAGCACGACAATCCTTCTCACCTAGCAAGCGCTGGCTAGCCGAATCGCATCCTATCCAGACAGCGTGGCCTGCCGTTGCAGCTGCCAGCTCCTTCTGCACATACCACACAGCCTTTGTACTACTTGTGTCGTGCCTTGCGAGTCTTCATCACGAATGAAATTCATTGCAACGGCAAGTTTCGCAATGGGATCATCTGGCTCTGCACTTTTCGAAACCAGGATTTTGCTCTCTGTATAGTCGACCATACGGCCACCGAAGTGACGAGCAATAGCCATTGAATAAAGAACGTCACGGTTCTCGAGCATGGAAAGTATATTGCGCATAGCTGCAAGAGCTGTAGCAATCTGTTGGGCGGCGTCAGGTGAGATGATGTCGTCGTGGATACTAACAAAGCGGCCTAATTGGTGCCAGAAAGCGTCTTGCAGATACTGAGTGTATTGCTCGACGAGTTTCGGGTCTGGAGGGCTGGCCGGAGGTTGTGCAGGAACCATGGCGGGGTCCAAGAATGTGCCGCACAATAGGTTATCCACTATAGCTAGACGTCGTAGAAGATTGTTAATGTATGGCGAAGCTGTGTTTGAGGGAATGGAACGAGGCAAGCAGCCAAGTTGCCACACGAGACGAGCTTCCAAAGACATGAGGCCGTGTGACCCGCCGTCGTTCTGAGCCTGAGAGAAGCGTTCGATACAGTATAAGAAGTAACGTAGCAGATCGTGGTTTCCGACGAGGAGATTGAAGCCATGTTCCGTATACCAGCTAGTCTCGAAGAAGCGGTCCAGTCCAGAGGCATATTCCGCAAGGTACATGGCGCGAATTTGTTCCATATCATGGGACGGGAGAGGGTTAGGATTGTGTGGGGGCAGTGTTGGTGGGATGTTGTCGAGGCTGCACAGCGACTCCATGGTGACAAGACGCACTAGGGCATATTAGCAAAGAGCAAGTTGGGTNNACAGGCAGCAGTTCAAGATACCATTTCGCTGTGGGTGCAAACTAGTTGTGTATTCTTGGTGAGGCGGTGGAGGGGTTGCGGCTGTACAGGAGGATGTGCCACGGCCGGNATTTGCAGGGCCCAAGGCAGGATCAATGTGAGCACCAAAGTCGACAGGTGGTTGCAAGGCTGTGGCCGGAGAATAACCAGCGCTCGCGGCGGGCATGTATCCCTGCGGGACATTCGCATAGCGCTGCGGCTCTGAAGGCATTTGCGGTTCAAGTTTGACCTGCTCTTGTTGCGGTTGCTGCTGAGGCGGCTGGGGAGGGAAGACGCCAGGAGCAGGTTGAATGGTCGGTGGTGAAGTTTGAGACTTGAAGATGGGATCGTAGCCAAGACACTCGCGCTTGCTCTTCTGACAGTTGCGACAAGCAGGATGACCCTCATCGCATTTAATCCTGCGTTTCCGACAGGTCAGACAGCCTGTTTTTGTCCGACGCTTGATCTCTTTCTTGTGTCGTGTTCCGGGAAGCTGACTTGTGTTGAGGTGCGGTGTCCCAAGCGGTACCTGGTAGCCCATGTGAGGTACGTAGCCATTGACAGGCCCGCCGTTGGTCTGCATGCTCGACGGGGCTTGTTGCATGCCTGCTTCTGAAGGGTACGTGTAGTTTGGTGGTGGGGGCGCATGGCCGTGTGGAGTGTATTGGGCCGGTGAGCCGTTGGTATTGTGCGCCGGAGCTGGTTGAGGGTGATGTTGTGGTGGTGGAGGTTGGTGATGTTGCGGGTGGTGGCCATTCTGACCATGTGCTGGCGCTGGAGCAGAGACCGGTGCCGGAGTATGCACCGTGGGTTGGTGCTGATAGTTCATGGGCGGCAGGGTAGGCGTCGAATGCTGTGAGACGTGGCTTTGCGCCGGATCAGACCGGCCCGACGCGTCTTGTATTGATACAGCCGGTTGCTGATTGCCCTCTTGCTGTTTGGGTTGTTGATGTTCCGACGCGTTCGCCGGGGCTGTGGGGTNCTGTCCAGGGTGCTTGTCGCTATGCGGCGTCGACGTCTGGTCGCGTTCTGGCTGCACGTCGTCTCGGGCGTCGCTGGGAGCCGGCGGCGGCGGTGGGAGCGACTGGTGTGACTGCAGGCGCAGCACGGGATCTGTGTGATTGTCGCCCATAGCTCCTGGACTCCTCCCTCGAAGCTACCTACGCCTCCAATCAACTCAGCCGAGCCGACTCTATTCAACAATCAATCAACAAGACGCACGTCAGTCGCGGCGCAAGCCTCGGGCCAATGATGTGTCTTGGCGGGTTGCTCGCTTAACACTCGAGACAGCTGCTTCACTTGCTTTGGGGGAGAAAGCGACCTCGATCCTCGATGTCAAAAGGATGGGAGTAAGCGAGCCAGCGTTTCCAAGGGAAGAAAGCTCATTGAGCTGCGGGATTTGGCCTTGGCACTCACCTGCAGCAGCGATTCCTCCTCCCTCCCCCCTCACCGGATATTCAGTAATGACCCATTCAATTTTCGGTCAAGGACGGGTGCTTGTCTGTGATAGTGCAGTTTGCCAGGAAAAGGTATGCCTGTTACTTGTGTCAACAACTCTCTCTGAAGATTCCATCCTCTTCGCTGTCATCCAAGCACCAGTACGCCATTTCTCCGACCGGTTATGCATTCTCAATACCAAACATACTGCCGTATCACGGCTCTATCAAGACTAAAGTGACACATCCGCATATTCTTGCCTGCTGACCTTACCTAGAGCCGGAGGAGTCGCCATTGCATGCCCCTCCCTACCCCTCCCTACTGCTCGCCAGACAACAGAGCGGATGTTACATGGAATCGGTGGAATATCGGCTTCATTCCATTCCATTCCACCACTTCCAGCTAGTATTCCATTCTATGCCAATTCTCTAGTGGAATGATGCCAATTCCAATTTTGCTGCTGTTGTTGTCGCCACCCTGTCCATGTTAGGGGTCACCCTGTCGTTTGATTAGTAATCATCAAGCTTGGCACGATTATGTAAGCGCGATAAGATATGAAGATCAACATACCCAATAGAAATAATATCAACCTTGCTAGAGAGTGGAATGGTGGAATATTCCACTAAAATTGACGATTCTATTCCATGCCAACGGAGTAGAATATTCCACTCAAAATCAGTGGAATATTCCAACATTCTACTTATTCCATGCCATTTAACATCCGCACTGCCAGACAATGTCTTATGTGCTGCTGCAGGTGCGACCCTGGTTTGAATCTCTATCACATTCAAACCATCATCTGCTGAAACCTCCTGCCGTTTCCTATCGATGCTCGTTGGCTCTTTGTTCATCTTTATTCGACAGTGCTATACGCATCTATGTCCACATGTGTCACAGACATGAGCGGGCAGTGAAGATGACATTCATTATTTTGTTGTGTGCCAAGCTTGTATCACTATACAATTCTTACTACTGACTGTCGATACGCATTGATCTTCTCCTCCTCACTACCATATGCACTCTATTTCTAGAGTATTGTAAAACCGTCTACTCCTTCTCGGTATCATTCTGATCATCATCACCTCCTTCTTCAGCATGCGTTGATAACGCCCTCACCGTACCAGGTGTCTCGGGTTCCTTGACAGTCGATGGGCTTGTGGCCTGAGCAAGGCCTTCCTGAACAGTCAAGGGACTGATCGGATCAGCCTCGCTGCTGCTGTTTATAGAGTTCTTACCCTTGCTCTTGTTCTTGCCTTTGCCCTTCTTAGGGCTCCTGGCTCTCTCGCTCGCACCTCCTGTTCTGCTAACTGGAGTCTTGGGTCTAGACAGTGCGTTGCCGTCTGAGGACGTGGGCACTATCAGCGACGATCGTGAATTGACCATGCCCGTCAGACCCGCATCACTGGTTCCTCGTGAGGTATGTGCCAGGTCGCGCACCTCGCGAAGGATCTCTCTGAAACCTTCCTCAAGAGTGTTCATGCGTGTCAGCATGATTCTGCCCACCATACCCTTCTCCTCCTCTTGACTACGACGCCTTTGCTCCTGACGGCGTCGCTCTTTATCCAAAGCCACTTCGCGCTCACGAAGCATCTGCTCGCTGAAGCTCGCTGGAATACTAGGCTGATAACCTGGCGATAAGGGCTCTGGAGTCGAGTCACGACGGTGGTGGTCACCAAAGTCGGACGCCAGGTCAAGGGCAAGAGCGTTAAAAGACGGTTGTCTGTTTGTGCGACGTGTTGAGTCGCCGAAGCGATCGAAGCGTATGTTGGGAGCAGTATATTGTGAGAGTCGATTGGGCAGGTTTGGACGTGGTTTGCTAGGATTGCTTGTACGTGGTGTCTTGCGACCGCTGGACTGAGGTGCTGATTGAGGTAATGGTGTCGAACCACCGCTGTTCTGTTTGGACGTAGTAGGGCGAGATGGCTCAGGTACATGTTCAGAAGCAGATGATGTGTATCCTTGCTCGACGATTGGTGAGAACACCATAGTACTGTGCGATATGTTGCGTTGATGGGGCGCACGTTTGTGCTCTCCACTCATGAGTCGTGCCCTGGTGGCGTCTGGAACAGAGCTTGCAGTCTGAAAGTCTGCACCCTCAAAGTAGTCTTTTACTATAGCTTTGTTCGGGGATGGATCTTTTCTCTCGATGAGATCTGGAGTTCCTGTGGGAGTTTTGTCGTAGCCAGTAGCCGTGATGTTATCACCATCGTTAGTCAGAAGCTCGTCATCACCATCTGCATCGGTTTCCTGAGGCATGTCTTCCCGCTCCATCTCCAGGTCTGTCTCTTCCTCGATACGCATTGGTGTAGGTCTCGGGAAGATTGTAGAAGCAAGATCTTCAGGATCAGACAAGACAGATCTAGAAGCTGTGGAGAAGTCGCGCTTGACCGTAGTAAGTCTATTAGCTGAGGTGTGGGCGCGTCGTATGCCTGGTCTGCGGTTTTCTAGTCTCTCAAGAACGGAGCGAGGCTGCTCCATCGGAGGACTCGCACCTCCCTCGTCACCCATGTCTTGCATCCAGTTGTCGACGACCGTCGCTTTCCGTTGATCAGGGTTCGAGTGCTGAGATATGGTCCGTGTTGTCATGTCGAATGGTTGGCGGAAAACCTCCTCTAAAGCCCGGTCTTTGTGGAAAGACACGATGGATGGTTCACGAAGACGAGCGCTGGGGCTGAAAGGCCCAGTGTTCTTCAATGTGAAAGCCGGAAGGCGACCCCTCCTAGGTGCCTTGCGCTCGACAAGATCCATGGNGGTGTACGCGTTGCGTACGAGGAACAAGCGCTCATAGGTGAAGATTGCAAAAAGCATCGGAAGATGGGTAATCTTGATGATGGTCCTGTTGAACCTAACGAATTTTCGGAATGGGATGAGGTAGCGTAACGGCGATGCCACCCAACCAAAAAGATTCGTGGGCGGAATGTATGAAAACAAGGCGTCTGACTTGACCATGGAGATAGTGTTGACAGCGAAGAGGAACTGATGCTCCTCGTTGGCGTTTTGGACGATGGCCATGAACGAGTTTGTCAGGACAGTAATAAGAATCGTCACGATGAGGAAATGACAGAGGAAGAGGAAGCCAACCAAGACAGCCTTTCCTAAGAGGTTATATTTTGGCCACAGGTCCCAAGCAGCGGGGGTAAAGCCCATGGTCAGTTGAAANNTCTGGTTCTGTCAGAGAATGTGGGTACGGTTGGGATGATCAACTTACAATGCATATGCAACCTTGGAGGCCTCCGCCTTTTCTTCACTGAAAGACAGTGTGAAGGCAACAAAGAAGCCACTACAGGCAATGACTATGAGTACAAGGATGGCAATCATGTCTTGAACCATCAGGCGGAAAGCAATGAGCAGCTGCGAAAAGTACTTGTAATGATCCAAGACGTTGAATGCACGTGGGAACAGCAATACAGCAGTGGACGCCAGGACATCGTAAGCCATGTGGGCAGTATAATGCTTGCGCGCAGCAGGTATCAAGATACCATAGAGGCGGAGTACGTAGTAGGCGAAGAAGCAAAGCAAGATACCCAAGTCAAAAGCGTTCCACACACTCATAATGTAGAGACCAAAGCCTTGCTCAGAGAAACCTACGAGTTCGTCGAGCATATAGCCAGCACTCCAAAACCAGAAGATGATCTCGAGAGGAGTGATTTCGGTAGAACGATCGACCAAGACAGCCAAGAACAAGCCTAGCATGATGGCGAAGGAGAGAGTAGAGAAGAGCTGTCTATAGCGTGGCACTCTCAAGCGAGACAGCTTGAAGAGTGAGGCATCCTTGGGGTTGTAGAGGGTGACGCTTCGTCTGAAACTAAGCTGCGAGTTGTTGGTCGGGATAGGCTGAGGAGCAGCACTACCCGCGATTGTGCCATAACCACTTCGCCCTCTGGTGGGAGGTGGTGTGGGCGGTTTGCGGTGGAGGTTGTCAGCGGCCGAGTGGAAGACGATGCTGCCTGCCCAGATGGCCTCGAGCTGCTGTACGACCAGCGGGTGGGCCAGGAAGCGCTTGGCCTGAGCGCGGATGGCGATCTCGACGGTCGAGATACGCGCAGACCTGTTGTACTGTCTCAACTGCGCGCCTCCCTCGGGAGCGTCCAGTCCCTCGAGCGGATTGAAATCATAACTCAGCGCATCGATCAGTTCACGGAGATTGAACTCCTTCAGCAGGCGAATGGCCAGCAACTCGGACACCATGGCTCTTGTCTTGCTCACACCAGCGTTTCCTGCATCTTGTTGTGCCTCTTTCTGAAACTGCAAGCAATTTGCGATCAGGGCGCAGATGGTCGCTCGGTTGAAGTGGTCTTTGCGGATTTGCGATTGGATGGGTTTGACCAAGAATTGAGAGACCTGAGGCGATCGAAGTTGGTCCCATGTGAGGGTGGTCTCGCACTTTTGCACGATCAGTATGCGGCAGGAGTGCGTGATGTTGTACAGGGGCAGTTTGTCTGGTGTCTTGAATTAGCTACTGTCTCGAGACGAAGGTCACGGCACAAACCCAANGTGCGCCGCCGAGAAGATGGGTAACAGTGGTGTGTCCAGATCGTCTTCACCACCGTCGTCGTCGTCGTAATCATCCGCATCCTCATTGTCGTCAATCTGGTCGTAATCATTGCGCGCAGCCAAGGGCGAACTGTTAAAGGGGCTCGAGAAGGGCGACTTGTTGGCGCGCCTCTTTTTCGGTCTCAGCAGCGTCGACAGCATGTTGGCCGCCGGTCCTAGACGAAGAGCCCTTGAGAAGCAACAAGGATCAAGAAGACAGATCGGGAACTAGACATTAGAAATACTACGCGCTACTTAGTCACGAGCGAAAGCACCATGGGCCATGGCGACACTGCGGGGTGTTATTAGTTTGGCAGCGGTGAGGCAACGGCAGGAGGCCTGGTGCTGTACGTCTGGGTAGAAATGTACTTCGTTTGGCACATGTAGCTGCCCAGTCTCGAGCACCTGTCTTGCTCTTGCACTCTCTGTCTGCTAATAAATGTCGCAATGCTAGGCAGATCCAAGCCGCTCTTGACCATGTCTTTTGTTCGACTTTCCCCACCATCACTCGACCTGCGCGTCTGCACCCAATCAATCGACGCCCGTGCCACTATCTTCATGCATTTAATCAGACGAATTGCGCAACGGCGTCATGGGCACTTCTCTCATCGGCACTCGTCATCTTGCTGTGGAGTGCTACTTTGTGATATGGTGCATGTCTGACTGACAACGGCATGGCAAGTCTCTAAGATCATCCTAAGTTATCGAAGCCAGCCTTCTTGTACCTAGTCTTTTCCGAAACAATTTTGGCCGAAGCAGTTGGGATTCCTAAACAAACACGGTCAAACTTTCCCGTTTCGCCTAAAACTTGCAGTCCGGGGACGTTTCAGCCGGGGCCTCTTGACCGAGTTGATAGCCATGTCCTTAGGTGATGCAGAAGTTCTTGTATCGCATACAATCCTCCACTCTTCCTCTTACATATAATCCCATCAACCACGTGAATTGTGCATGTAAAAACATGTGTAAAAGCTCTGTCTCAGCGATAGCTACGCCTGTTTGCTCATAGCTGGTAAACCACAGCGATGCCCCATAGCTTCAGAAGAATCAGGCAGCTATCCCCTTCATTGCAAATCAACATGTTCCGGCACAGGGCTAACAAGTTTTCCCTTGGTGACCGCTTCTCTCACGTTGCCGATGGTCCACTCCTCCATCATAGTCTGTGTTTCCACACACCAAGTACCCATGTGCGGTACCAAAACACAATTGGGATTGCGAATCAGGCCCTCGTGAACTTTGGGCTCTTCCTCAAACACGTCGAGGCCACAGGAAGCCACATGGCCAGAATCCAGGGCTTTGACAAGTGCATTCTCATCCATGACGGGTCCGCGAGCAGTATTCACAATTACCACTCCCTTCTTCATCTTTGCAAACTCGGCGGTTGAGATGATATGGCGCGTTTTGGGCTATTCTCAATGTCAATGTTGTGTTTAAATCATTGTCGAAAAGTTCAAACTTACATTCAAGGGCAGATTCAAGCTCAAAACGTCAGATCTCGCAAGCAGTTCGTCGAAACTCACGTATTCGGCGCCAGCTGCGTCCTCACTGCTCATCTTTCTTCTGTTGTGATAGATGGCCTTCATGCCAAAGACATCCATCTTCACCTTAAGGTTTCTGCCTATACCACCCATACCGAGGATACCCAAAGTCTTGCCTTGAGGATCATGGCCAAGCGCAGGTGGAGGCGATCCCTTCCACTTTCCTTCACGTAAGGCCTGCATGGAAGGATTGAGATTGCGGAGAGCTCCGAGGATGAGGAACACAGCCGTATCAGCAGTGCTGTCGTCAGCAATAGTAGGAATGTTGGAAACCAAGAGCGGAGGGTCTCTAGCAGCACAGGCATGGGCGTCTACTTGATCGTACCCAGCACCGTTGTGTGCGAGAAAGCGCCAGCTCTTTGGGATGGCTTGCACCAGTTCCCCATCAAAGATTCCCGTGATGCTGACCGAGGGAAAGGTTCTGTATGCCGCAATCACATCGTCAAATCGTCCACTCTTGCACTCGGCAATAAACTCTTCTCTGTTCGTGGCTTTGGGAGTCACAATCTCTGCAACATCGGTCAATTGCTCCCATTTGTCGTGAGCACTGAGCTGATGTTAGTAGTGCGAGAGAGTGACACGGGAGTGTGCGAGAACGAACAGAACGATCTCGCCGAGCTGGAGAACCTTGGGCTTGGACATGATTGTACTCTTGTAAGATGTGTGTTTATGAGATGAAGTGGAGTAAGGATGCGTGGTCCATTATGACTGCTCATTCGCGGCCCGATACCGCCCTCGCGCCGGTTGATATGGAGTAGACTGAAGTGCGGAGAACTACCGCGATATATTCATGACATCCCGACTTTTCATGACTTAGAACCTCCTTTGCTTAGTTGTATATATGCAAAATAAATTTATCCAAATCATGATGGACTTGTAGAAACAGCTTGCAAGTCATAAGTCTATAGAAAGCTGTCACCAGACTCGAAGATCGGTTGAACAAGAGACCTCGGTCTTCGGGTGTTTTGGAAGCGAGCTCTGAGCTCCACCTCCACGCTGTCGTCCCAGATGCTGCTATAAAATACACAGTCTACCTTGGATCAGAACAGTGCCTAAAGAGAGCTATAATTTTACACCTCCCGGGACACGTCACTCGAGCTCTAGATAACGTTGTGTATCCAATGATGGTTCACGCAAGTCCTTCTAGTTGCATGTCTTTCTTGAAGAAACACCCGGCGCGGTACGAAGGTGCATTGGTTCTGCGACCTAAATTGAACGTGTTTTCAGTATCTTTTGTGTGTCAAAGGTCATTGAATCGTCATGGTATTATTTAGTAATCATCGGCAGATGCAAAGGGGCTTGTCATCAGGAATTCAGGATCTTGAGGGAAAGTCAGGTCATACTTCTGGACAGTCGTGAGGGAAGAGTGATGCTTACCTTGATCCATCATGGTGCCAGGCTGGCTGAGAAGAGTTACGACTTCTTGTCCATCCTGATCTACCATTGCAGCAGAATGATCGTTACCGAGAGCATTATTCGTGTTCGTCTGATGAAAACTTGTTAGCAATTCTTTCCAAGGAGAGCATATTGACTGGCTTGGTGCAGCTTAGCTGTACTCACGGGGACCATCTTATCTCCTTCGACTCTGATTTCTCGATCTGCGAGCTGTCTCATTAATCCCAAGAAGGCACTGTTCTTGAACTTTGATGTCTGGTTGTCAGACACTCGCTCGAGTAGATTGGCTGCAGTCTGTGCCAACTCGTCATCATTCTGCCGATCCAGCTCTTTCTGTTCTTTCAGATGCTGCTCTGCCTGCTCGTTCATTACATCTTCCGGCAGTTCATCCCCGAACGTCGACTCGAACAAATCTCCCGTCATGTGGGGAAGCGCCCCTGGAGTTTGCATGAGGGGGTTTCTAGCCTGTTCTTGCTCCAATGCTCTTGCTTCATGTAATATGTGACGCCTCTGATTCTGCTGCTCCAATAGCCGTAGTTGGTTCTCGTAATCTCGAAGTGCGTGTGGAGTCACTGCCTCCAAAGCTTCAACCGTTTCTGGTGCAGCTAGAACGTGTTCCATCATGGTGAACAACATGGCCTCTCGCTCCTGAACGGATGCTGGTTGCTGAGTCGAGACAGCCGAAACGGCGGGTCGCTTGGAGTAAACCTCGTATTCCAATTCCAACACTCGACTCAGAGCTTGGGAATGTGTGTCCGATATGACTTGGCGGTTGAAACCTTTCGTCAAGAGTCTCGCAGATTGCTGAGTAATATTTTGGGCAGGAACCGAGTCCTGCTCTCGAAAGAAGTTTTCAAGCCAATAAGAGTTGTCGGCAGCACGGGGGATGTTTGTGGGTTGTAAATGATTCGACTCGGTCCTCTGCCAAAGCAAGTCTGCGTATGAAGCCAACAGTTGCTCAGTCGAAGCACTTATGTCAAGACGAGTATTTTCAGTCTGTTGAGCAAGGCCATCCAACATTTGATTCAAGGCGGGCTCGTAGCCATATCGTTGGGAGAACAAGGTGCGTTTGGGATCGTTCAAAGCAGACAAAAGGGGTCGGAAGAGCATGGCTTGGATGGGATCCATAGTCTGGGGATGTTTTATGAGAGCGTCAACAATCTTGGCGGCTCGATGGAGCGACTCATCTGTGTTTGTGACCAAAGCATTGGCTAGCGCAAGACGAAACAGAGGGAGGTGTGGATATATGTCTGGAAGGAAGGAATCAAAGTCGAAAGGGTCAGGTTGTTCGTGTTCTTGTATGGCAGAGTCTTGATCCATGGAAGCATCCTGTAGAGCGGCATCGAAGGCAGCCTCGAAGGCAGCCTCGTCAAACTGATCCTGAGGGAGTTGTTGTTGTTGCTGCTGTTGGTGGAGGGTCTGGGATTGAGAAGCGTAGCGTGGAGCGGAGTGCATGTGATTAAAGGCGAGCGGAGGTTGGAAGCGAGCAGATGGCGGTTGTATCTGAGAAGGAGCAGCGTTCAGAGGAGCAGGGTGTTGTGCATGCTGGCCAAAGTGGTTGTGCCAGGCTTGAGGAGCTGCTTGGAGCTGTGGTTGTTGTGGAGACGAGATGGACAAGCGATTGAAGTCTTGAGTCCACGAAGCGGATGGAAGGGGAGAGGCTGACTGGAAGGACGGCGGTTGCGAGTGGAAGTTGGACAGAGAAGAAGCAGCCCACGAGGGACCTGCAAGGCTATGGGCGTGGCCATTCTGGAAGGCCTCGAATTCCGGATCTAATGATGCGACATTCGGATTGTACGAGCGGAAGCCCTAGAGAGAGTCAGAGGCGTAGTCGGGAGGTCTAGGAGAGGTTCAAGCTACTTGGTCAGGCGACTGTCGTGACACCAGGCGGTCTTGCTGCAAGGTCCGGTCAACCGACGAGTGTTTGGCCAGGTTCTGAACCGCGTTGGAGGGTCCGCAGAGAGCATCCGACATGGTCGCGAACTAAATGAACAACGAGAACAACAGCTACGTCGGCGATGCCATGATGATCGAGACTCGAGACAAGAAGCACCTGCACCTGAACATGCAGATCGTCCTGGGCGCGTGCGGCAACCGAGGTGGAATCGGCCTCGGTGATAAGCCGATAAGCGGAAGTAGCGGTGCTCTGTCGGGGCGGAACACGGGGGCTTGGCAGGCCGTCCGCTCCTTCCCCAACTCAGCGGAGAGTGAGCGCATAGCTGGCAATACCGTGACCCGATCATAATAATATATCCATTTCCCACACACACACACCGCCAAACATGGTACTCTTGCTCTCCTGATCCATCACCAATACCAAGACAAAATTGCTGACAATGTACGTGACAGGCTCAAGTCATCTCAAATTCCGGTCACGATGACATGATCGTATGCTCCCCCTATGCGCCCTGGCTCAAGCTTGCCTTTATTGACCTTCTACCANNGCACGATGCTGTTCTCGACTACTATGGACGTCGCTTGGCCACCTGCTCATCCGACAAGACTATCAAGATCTTTGAGGTTGAGGGAGACTCACACCGCTTGGTAGACACACTCAANGGGGTATGTGTCTGTTGACAGCGAGCTCCTGTCGCCCATCTGACATCTTTCTGCAGACATGACGGCGCTGTTTGGTGTGTATCATGGGTAAGTCGTGCTCCCCCATGCTTCGTATCCGCTCATTGACCCTTTACTCGTCCANNGGCACACCCCAAGTACGGCACCATTCTCGCTTCTTCATCCTACGACGGCAAGATCTTTGTCTGGCGCGAACAAAACAACCAATGGCAGCGCATCTACGACTTTACTCTCCACACCGCCAGCGTCAACCTGATTGCCTGGTCACCGCCAGAGCCCGGCTGCCACCTGGCTTGTGCCTCGTCCGACGGCTCCGTCTCGGTCATCACCTTCAGCGACAACTCCTTCTCACACTCCATCTTCCCAGCACACGCTATGGGCGTCAACGCCGTCTCGTGGAGTCCGTCACTTCTTCCCGCACAGCTCGCTGCTGCCCAGACCCCTCAATCGCAACCACAACCGCTGCGCCGCTTCGTCACGGGCGGTAGCGACAATTTGGTCAAGCTATGGGACTTCAACCCCCAGACACAATCATACAACAACATGTGCACCCTTGCCGGTCACTCGGACTGGGTACGCGACGTTGCGTGGTCACCCAGCCCCCTCTCAAAGTCGTACATCGCCTCGGCCTCGCAAGACAGAACTGTGCGCATTTGGACATGTCAAGCAAATGCTGACCCCGCCAACTCGTCGAGCTGGCAGAGCACAGAGCTCAAGTTCGATGCTGTCGTCTGGCGCGTCAGCTGGAGTCTTAGTGGCAATGTCCTGGCTGTCAGCGGTGGTGACAACAGAGTCAGCCTGTGGAAGGAAAGCCTCAAGGGTGGATGGGATTGCGTCAAGACCATCGAGGAGTAGTTTTTGCACTGTACCGAAACAGAAACCCAGCCAATCTTGTGGTCTCCAGCCTATAAGGGTTGTCCCGTGCATGGGATTTCAAATTGGCCTTCAAAGTTCCAGTTTCGTTTGTGTGTCAATTCCGCGACGTTGGCTCTCACAGTGACATTCGTAGTGCGTCTAGGGAAAGAATCATGGAAAGTACCTACCTAGAGTACATGCTGACGTAATGTCTTCCGTCCTGTGAGGAAGTTGTTATGGGTTAGAAAATCATGTGAGGATATCTGAGCATTAAGTCGTTTAGCCGCGACTCTTTGCACAAGGCCAGAGCACTGAGCAACGACCTGCGATTCTGTAACAACAGCTCAGCTCGGTGTGGCCGATAAAAATGGTCGCCGTTATTATTATACTGTACAAGTACGAATCCTTATCCCCCACCACCGGCTGTCTGCTGCCGACAGCGGGCCGAAAGAAAGCCTCGACCCTCGAAACTTTCGAGGGTGCCTCACTCATGAGCCCCGGAGGCCCCCATAAACCTAGGCCTCGCCCGCCTTCTGACGATTACTGCTTGAACATGCCTCTCGAGTTAACTTGGGGAAGTACTGGGCAAGCCAGTTCCTGATTTGCTCCACGTAAGCTGATAGCTTCCAACACTCCTCCGCACCTCTAACACGCAACTGAGTGTCATCACCAGGCCGCCGCGTATGCCACAGTCGCAACCGACATCGGCCACTGCCTCCGGATCTGGAGGCGTGGAGAAGAACCCTAGGAGAACAGCAAAGAGCCGGAACGGCTGTCAAGTCTGTAAAATAAAGAGAGTGAGTGATATGGGAGGGCATGATCATGTTACATGCCTCTTAGCTCTTCTCCCTTCTGAATACACTAACCTGTAGATGACAGTTGAAATGCGATGAAACACGGCCGGTGAGTTCTTATCAAAACAGCCTGCAACCAGAATCACTATTATCCACACCTCTTGTTCAGACACTGGCTGTGAGGCGGTATCCTGGTGGTTGATGGTTGTGTGCGGCACTGAGCTGACCAACATGACAATATTGACTGACACTTTGTCGTGCAAGGCCTGTGACAACTGCACTAAGCGCGGTTATGATTGTCCTGGATACAGGAAGGCCTTGAAGTGGTCGACAAAGTACGAAGTCTTACAGCCCGACGAACCCGACAGCCAAAAGACATTCCATCCTTCTGTTGAGTATCACTTCTCCTCCATCGATCCAGTGACCTTTGGTCAAGTGTCCAACATTTCCACCGAAAAGACAGCTGGAGGTGCGAATGGATACCCAGACGTCTCTGAAGAGGCAGTCCGTTCCCCAGCAGTGACATACATCCCGCAATCCCAGAATGTTGTGGGACTAGAAGCACAGGGACCTTGTTGCACTTGGCCCCAGCAATGGCCAAGCTATCCGGATACAAACCATCAACGAACCATGGTGTCGTATAGTCCCGACACATCAGCACACCAGATCGACGAAAGTAGGGCAACCAGTGATGGAACCACAACAACAACACCACAACGAAGCAACAGCCCGGAGGAAACGACCCAGTGGAAATCCCTGCTTCGAGCTTACTATCGCATGGCTACTCCTACCATATCGCGATCTCTCCAAAATGACAGCACAGGTCTGGTGGTGCACTACTTCCGCGATATCTGCGTTCTGTACTCATCATTCGATTCGAAGCTGAACCCGTTTCGCACCGTCATAGGAAAGCTATGGGATAGTTCAAACTCGATCTTTTACGCCATTCAGAGCATGGCAGCCGCACACTTGGCCAACCATAACCCGGGAATGGAAGTCCAAGGATTGCAGATGCAACGGAAAGCATACGAATGCTTGCAACATGAGCTACAGCTCGCACACATCAACCAACAAGTGGACGATAGACTTCTGCTCACAGTACTGCTGTTGGGCATGAGCTCGCCGTGGCACGAAGCTGGCGATCTAGGAATGGCGCACTTAAATGCCGCAAGAGGACTGATATACCCTAGGTTGTTCCGTGAGGCGGGAACCCAAACAGATGAGATGGCACGAAACGACCAGTTCTTCGCAGAGGCCCTCATTTATTGGGAAATGTGTGTTGCCTTTGTGCACAAAGAGCCTTTCACGCTGGGCCGCGAGAAGCCCAGTGACAAGACAGACTACAACGAGGCCCGGACGATAGGAACGAAGGTCATGCCGCACCCTTGGACTGGCGTAGGTCCCAGAGCACAAGTCCTCTTTGCCGAGGTCGGCAGACTCGTTCGGAACTATCGAGCCATATCGTCACCACTCTCCTATGGAGCAACCAGTGAGCATGTCGACCCCACTAGGATTATCACCGCAGCCATGGAATTTGAGGAAGAATTGCTTAATATCCGCTGGCCAGCCGTTGAAGACCTTGTTGATGTGCAAGATCAATTCACAAGCAAGCTTGATTTTATTATGGTCGCAGAATCTACTCGTTGCTGCGCTCTACTCGAGATCTACCGAGTCTTTCCCAACATTCTACACAGCCGATTGCTCAGGAACGTTGATATCACTGGCACTTCGAGTCAGTTTTTCTTCCCTTTCTGCGGAACACTTCTGTATCATGATTCACATGATCCGACGATGTGGTTGACATCACTAGCATGCCATATTTTGTTGGACTTGATCGGCAGCGTTCCACCGACTTCTAATACACGACCACTTCAGCTGCTTATCATACTGACAGCAGCCGCTGAGCTTCGGTTGTCTGGGCATGCGGCAGCATTATCTCTGCATGCTTTACGTGCAAGAGATCTTGCAATGACGAGATTGGAAGAGCTGTCCGCACGAGTACCTTCGAAGCCTATAGTCATGATCATCAAGCTCGTCAAAGAGGTTTGGAGACGTTTTGACATGGGCGATGATAGTGTCTTCTGGCTTGATGTCATGCACGAGAATGGCTGGCAAACCGTCATAGGTTAGTTTGAGCAGAGGGCTGCCGGAAAGCTCGTGGTCCTACTACCTCAAGCAAAGGACGAAGATGGACTTCCACCAAATCTGATGCTTACGCGAAGCATTGTATTATCGCACCTGCTAAACACCAACCCAAACGTTGAGCAAGATTTGCGCCACAATGCCGCCTCCCGCCACCGTCGAGGACGAGCCGTCAGATACGGCGACTATCAACAGACTTGATCTCTATCAGAACACCCACATAGTGAATATTTCGCCAGGCCAGCAATTTCTTCAATTTTGCGGACATACCTGTGACTATACAACTTCAGGTCGCAAAGGATGCACACGCAGAGAACAACCACAAGTCCTTCACTCTACGCATCGAGGAAGCTGATCGTGTGTTCGCCACGGACAGTCCATCACTTGCTTTGACCAGCAAGCTTCAAATGTCAAACCTGTTCAATGGGTTGATCCGTCAATGCCAGCAAAGATCGAAGTCGACGTCTCTTCCCGCCGCTCCAGTGACAGACAATCTGGAAAACGTCGTCTGGTCTATTTTCAATCACACATCTCTATTCGAGTCGATTCTGTTCGAGTACAAAACCTTGTCCTCGCCGCCGCCATGTCGCAAGCGCTACGTTCTTTCCGTATGCTTGCCACAGTCTTGCACACGATCACTTTCCCAAGACGATGTGTCGTGCTATCTTACCTGTAACGATGCACAGTTGCTTTTGTGAATAGACGTGTGACCATAGAGATACCTTAGGAAAACGTTCTCTCGGCGGACATCATTGACCTTCCGGAGACTATTGTGCATTTCTATCGCTACCTGTGACAGTCATTAGCACCTGTGGAGGACGAGGAGGCAATATCCTGGAAGATTTTTAAGAGTCAGCCACACGTCCTCGATAATTCATCGCGATAATGTCACACATTCAGTTTGATTAATGTTGTAACGAGCGATCAGTTAGTCTATATCAGAACGGCTATCTGCCGTTACAGCAAGACTGAATCATGCTATGTTATACATCCATAATGTCGGTGACGTCTACCACCATAAAACTTTGTGGGAAATTCATTTCGGAGTGCACACCAAGTGAGAGGGTTTGAAGTCGCTGCCCCTATGCTGCCGGTGACAATGGCGACCATCGCGCGCTGACCTTGCTGGACGGAGGCAACAAGCCGACTGCACCGTAAACGTAGGCCGACTGTGCTAGTTTTATCTTGGAGGTATGGCATATTGGCGGACTGGTAGAACATGTGATGCCACCACGATAGCCTGAATTAGAATAAATTGATGAAGTGTTGGAGATAATCGGGCGTGTGTTGTCGAAGACGATACAAGAAGTCTGGAAAAAGAAAAGAGTTCAGTACTGTCGGCTTCCACACCTATTCGACATATGAAAGAGCTCGTATCTCCCCGTCTTCCTTTCTCAAAGATTGAAAGAGAATGGGAATAGAGAAGGCAATATGGCCTCCAGGAAGGAGTTGGACGGCGCCTAGTGAGAGCTGACACTCTTTCGACTGTCCTTGAGCACATCAGAGCCAAGCAGAACCGTATGCTTTGGCAGCTTTTGCATGTGCCAGTTCATTGGATGACCAATAGGCAAGGACGGGCGAGCCGTGGCTGGGAAGGGAACATCAACGCCAAGGCTCCGCAAGCTCACTTACATATGCGCACTTCGAATTCTTTGCACTCTTCCTTCTATCCACAACATCTTTGATTATCTTCTCAAATGACTACACCATCAAGATGTCTCAGCCTCACCTCCCACCTTACAAGTACAACTGTGAGTCCGTTGAAGAGGCTCAGCGCCTTGCTGATTACGCCCTCCATGTGGCTACAGTGTTGTCGGATCAAGAGGAGGCATACGCAGACAGACTGCTCGATCAGCGAATCGCCGACGGCGTGGGTGAGTACCATGCCTATCTTGGCCAGAGAACTCGCCTTGAGCAGAATGCTGCTCGTCTTGCGGACGATGCCGTTCGCCTTGCTGCTGAAGCTGCTTTTCAGGAGCAGATTGCTGACTTGCAACACCGCCTCCGCGCTGCTGAGCGTGCTGCTCAGTACGAGCAGCGCGTCCTCACTGTCGAGGCGGCTTTGTCCGGCATACAGGCTCCCGCCAACTCTTCTGGCAATGGAGGCGGTGGTAAGAAGACTAGGCACCGCGCCAAAGCCCGCACCAAGAACCCGCCGAGGAACCCCAAGCGCGACGGCGGCTCTGGGACTGGTGGTGGCAGCGCCGCCGCAGCTTGAGTGAGCATTGCGGTCCTAGCACAACTTGAGTTGAGCATTGCGCTCTTCGGCAGCTTGAGTTGAGCATTGCGCTCTTCGGCAGTTTGGATGAGCACTGCGCTCTCCAGCAACAGGAGTAAACCTAGTATAAAATCCCATTGACTCACTGGCCTTGTGCTGGTGGTTGAAGGGGTATCATGCGGTTCGTTCTAAGGGAACTGTTCGACACTAACAACCGTTCGCAGGTTGTTCAGGGTTTCGCCATCAGACGATACATGTCATTTGGAGATGGTGGGTTCTTCGGAAAGCGCTTTTTAGTCAGTGGTGCTTTTCCATACCTTATACTTACTCATCGCTCTGCCTGCTCTTCTCATTGAAAAAGTTCAGCCCAGCCCNCTTCCTCAACGTACCATACATAGCCGCACAATCCAAGACCTCTCCATGCTCTTCCCTCGCAGCCTTCATATTCTTGTTCGCCACCTCTGTCGCCGGCAACTTAACACCCTTGTCCTTTGCAATGGCAACAGCATAATCAGCATCCTTGATCGAAAGCGAAACTCCAAAGCCAGGGCGCTTGTCGAGGGCTGGTGCATAGTTGCCGCTTGTCATTCTGCCGGAGTAGCCGCCAGCGACGGGGCCGAAGCCTTCGGTGATGAGCTCTTCCATGGGGCCGCAGCCGATGCCGGTTTGTTCGGCGAAGACTTGAGCTTCACTGACTGCCTCCATGAGGTTTACGGTGATGATGTTTCTGTGGTTCTCCATTAGCATCCTCCCGCGTCTCATGATTTGGAAAGCACAAAACTCACCNNCAGCAATCTTCAGCATAGAAGCACTCTGAGGCTCCTCCTTGCACACAATGACCTTTCTGGCAATCACGTCCTGGAAGTAAGGTTTTACGGTCTCGACCGCTGAGGAAGGTCCACCGATTGCGACAACCAGTTTACCGGGTGCGGCGATTGCTGGGCCGCCGAACATGGGTGCTGCCAGGAAAGTTGCCTTGTGCTTCGACATTTCTTCGGTGACAGTTTTTGTCGTGTCTGGGTGTACGGTAGAGCAGTCGACGAAGATTTTGCCAGAGAGGTCTTTGGTGTCGTAGGCTTGTTGCAGAAGACTCTTGAGTGTATCATCATTGTTGACNNCTTGCTCACTATCAGTTTTTGTCTGCAAGAGAGCTGGAAGAATCTGGGAATATACCATTGTAAATACGACATCACTCTTCTCGACCAACTCGCCGAAACTCGACGCCGAAGACGCACCAAGACTCTTGAGGTTGTCACCCGAAGCCATTGTGCGGTTGTTGAAGATGAGCGATTGATCATGCTTTGCCAGATACTTTTGCAAATTCTCCGCCATGGGCTTGCCCATAGATCCAAGGCCATACTATTTCTCACCAGCATTAGCCATCAACTCCCATCCATCCTCGGCAATGCGCCCAGCAAAGCTTACCCAGCCGACTTGCAAATTCTTAGCAGCCATTGTTCTAGCGGATGCACTGTAAAAACGTTTTGTGAGACTTGTTAGCATTGTGCGTGAGGAAAGGAAAGATATGATGGTCTTTATAAGCAAAGATAGAATATCAATGACATGCTGTCACTGGAGCTACGGGACGATGCCGGAGTGTCGGCTCGCCTGTTTGCAAATCTCCTGGGACGAGAAACTGGATCACTCGACGGAAAGATAGCGAGGCGTGATAAGGGAAGGTGCGGTGACTCGATGCTTTCGAGCAATATCTTTTCATTCTTCTCCGCTTCATGCTTGATTGTTGAAGGTGCTGTGATACCTGTCTGCGTTTGTTGATGGCGCTCGTTGGTTGTGCTTGATAGCTGACATAACCTCGGACATGCTGACTGTACTCCAACTCTATCCCAACGTCATCTGCTTTGAGCGACACGCGTCGGAAGCAAGTCGATGTTGTCGAAACAAAAACCGGCTGAGGATCACGAAAAGATCAAGAATTCACGGTCAGAACGAACATGGCAAGGCAAGAATGAACCAAGAAGAGAGACTGAGATTGTGTGTGTTTGAAGAGCTGTACGCCTTCTGTCAAGATGAGACGGTGTCAATAAACCAAAACAGGAGCCGACTCGTCAGAACAGGCACAATATCCAAGAAAGCCCCAATCTTCAGATACCATAGCGGGATTTGTTGAGAGCAAGGTCGAGCTCGTCGCCCTCGTGAGCAACACTCCTTGCGCTCGTATTGTCTGTGGCAGTGCTGAGCCGATCCCCTATGTCTGTCGGCAAAGGTTGTGGAGTGCGGTGGTCAGGTTCTCCAACTTACTGCCTGCATCATGGCCGTCCTGCTTGGAAGTGGTTATGGGAGTCTGGACGCCAGAGCTGTCAGGACTGGTATCGGAGTCGCTGTCGACCACACGAGCCGAGACAACGCCATGACTGTTGTCAGAAGGAACGTCCTTGGGGAGTTCAACGCCGCCATCAGAGTCAGGGTACTGGTCAGGCATGGCAGCGGAAGGTGGTGCAGGCTCGTCTGCAGTGTCGAAGACTCTGGAGTTGCGATTGGTCTGACTGCCATTGTGCTGAGCGCGAGCGGCCTCGGAGAAGCGTGAGGGTTTTTCTGCTTCGCTGGTGGAGACGGCGGAAGGTTTGTCGGCCAGGGTCTGCAGGGAGGGAACATGGTCTGTGGTGCTGCGCTGAGCAATGTCTCCGTCGCTGACGGCGTTGCGCTGCCACTCGGCGGCGGCGGTCTTCTTGATGGCGCGGTGGGGACCTGCAGGACGGGGACCTTTCTTTACGCTGACCTCGGGAAGAGGCTTGGAACCACGCTGTTTCTATACATGAATGTCAGCACAAGGCGAATGGGTGAGCCGCTGGAGAGAACTTACGAAAACCTCGTCTACAATGAAGAGATAACCGTCCTCGGGACCACGGCGGCACTTCTAAACGATCTTGTCGTCCTTCTTCTCGGCAGGCGACAGCTCAGGCGACATCTTTGAAACAACGACAGACTTCATTGTAATATCGTTGCGAAGGCGAGAATGGCGAATGGTTGNAAAGATCGTCAGACGCGACCAGACGCGCTCAGTTTGTGGTGTTGACATCGTCACCGACGCCGGCACCAACCGCTATGACGCGCTGTGTTGGTGTATATTCATGTGATAACACGTGCTTGATCATGCCTGATTGTCTTTCGAATACGGAGACGTTTGGTGAAGAGGATCGGAGGTAGAAGGAGAGTGCGCAACCCTTTCGGAGCTCTGAACGCATACTTTGGGAAAGTGCTGAGAACAACTCTGGTTTCTTTGTCATGCCGCCCAAGTTCTGTTGACGAAGCAAACAATCTCTTTCTTGCCAGTTTGACACGAGCTGTGCAAGCAAACATTGCCTTGTGGAAGGAACCCAATCCTGGATTGCCCATCACTGCAGTAGACTGGATGCGTGGTACACCCTCACTGCAGAGTCACCCTAGCAGCCACCATGCCATTTTCTGAAGGACACACCAGGTAGTGTTATGTTGATGCAAGATGGATGAATTTCCATCGAACCGGTGGAATGGCGCAGTGGTAGTAGCTCGTGTCTCCCACATATGCGGTCGGTGTCCACTGGTTCGATTCCCCTCAGGGTCATTTGTAAATCCCCCATTATGCCAGAGGTCCCAGTAATCCTCACCCGACAATAATAACGATGAAAGCTTGCTTTTCTCTTCCCCCTCCTAGCTTTCGGCGGCTAGAGAGGGTTTCTGTTTTGTCAAATTTGGGAGAAAAGATGGCATCTTTGTTTGGTTGATATTCTCACTGAATGTCTCCACCGACTCTCGTTGGACCAGTGCCAAGTTGAGATCCGTCTCTGCCTTTTTTATAGCTTGTGCATCACTCTTTGCCGCTCTGGGAACATCCAATATAGAGAGGTTGACCTCTATGTATGTCGTAAACGAGGTTACGCTCGTTAATGTCTTTTCATCGATGCCTCTGTCTCGGAAGCTGTTAGTACTGGAAGTCTGAACGATATCATCATAGATTCAGACTCGAGATGACTTTACTCGGAAACATGAGGGCGGCGCGTGTGCCCCATCGCCGCTCTATACATGACCGATGTCATCGGAAGGAAAGAGCTCTATCTCATGTTAACTCACAAGCAATTCCATGACTATAAGAATGCATGATGTTGTGTTGACATGGTATCATATCCAGAGAGAGACGACTTCGAGCTGGCTGTCTATGGAGACTATGCTATCCCACTACAACTTCATGCATTTTGATAGCTATCATGTGGTACACTGTGATGTCTTGGGATAGTACACAAGTTAAAGCGAATCTCACAAAGCACAAAAACACAAGATCACAGTATAAAGAGAAACGTTGCAAGAAAAAAAACATTTATTGATTGATGATTTAGCAGATACCACCCATCTCTCACCAAACTCCTAGAAACAAACCCACAAGAGCACTCAACCGTTTCTCGCGTCTTCCTACTGTCTCAGACGGCAAGAAATGCAACGAAAGCAACGAGAAAGAGGATTCCACTGGAGAAACTGAAAGCACCTTCTGCAAACATACGTGTTAGTAGCAGAGGAAAGAACAGGGATGCTTGAAGTGGTGGAGTTGGTGTGGTTGCACATGTTTGGATCTTGTTAAGTGTGGTTGATGACTTGGTTCTGGTAGAGGTTGTGATGGATGGATGTTTGTATTGATAGCCATATGGTAATTTATATTCTTGGGTGGTTAGAGCAACAAGTAGAGCTGGCTGTTGGGCGAGACAATGAGTTTGTTCAACTAACAAAGAAGGCACGACCCAGAGTGAGGCGATGGAAGAGAATTACAAAGCCGTGGATAGAAGCAACAAAGCGCCGTGATTGGAATGCGTGCTCTATTGAAGAACGAACAAAGGAAACAACGAAAAGATTTAATATGCCACAAAAGAAAAAAAAGACTATGCCAACGTCGACGAATTCTCATGCCGACCATACCCACCAACCCATCTCCTATCAATAGTATCCCCTATATCCGCAAGCGTAGATGTAGATTTCGGCACGTATACCTCATCTGCTACCGTACTCGAAGGTTGACCTCGCAACCACCCGGTCGCAGATCGCCAAGTGTCGGATACCTTTCCCGCGATGCGGTTCACAAAGTCGATCATGGGACCTATGACGGCGATTCGACTGGCCACAGTGCCTGTAGCAAATGTATCGCTGCTGTAGGTGTAGTCTATCTGAAGCCCTCCGGTGATAACGGCTTGTTTGAACGAGTACTGCTTGTATTTGGCGTCTGGTGAAATGGATCATCAGCACTCCGCCTAAAAATCATAAAAGCGGGACAACTTGAACTTACTCGGCTGACATTGATACCCAACTGTAGCGTTGGCGCCTTTGTCGGTAACGTTGTAATATTTGAAAGTGAAGGCGTTGGGATTGGCCTTATAGAACAAGACCTGAAAATGATAATACTGCTTTACGACGTTGTAGTACGTCGTATAATATTCGACAGTAAGCGTCCTCGATCCGTTTGTCCCATCCACTTGGTAGTAGATACCCTGTGCGGTACCTGCAGAAATATAGAGATCGGCCCAGAAAGGTAGTACCGCATAGCCAGCGGGACCGATGGAACTGTATTGAGGAAGCGCGGCATTTGTGTAGCCCGGGCCTATCAGAGTGAAACCTAAGTAGCCATTCACGCTGACGGTCAAATTGGTCGAGGATCTGCCGCAGATGCTGACGGCGAAAGGCATGGTGCGCCATGTGATGTCGTCGTCGTGGACCACTGATGAATTGTAGATCGTAGTCGGGGATGACAAGATGACGGTTGAGGCTGCCGTAGTTGACTACAGGCCGTGTTAGCATAGGTGAAACTCGTTTGCATATCCTTATTGACTCACCACCGGAGTTGTAGTTCGAGAGCCGGCAGTCTAAGATCGAGTATCAGTACATTTAATCTGCATCAATTATCTTTGGTTGAGAGATTGCTCACCGCTGCTTGTGCTGGCGCTGTCGTCGGAGTCACACTGGTTATGGAAGTCTATTGCTTAACATGAGCATTAGACCAAGCCGCAGATTAGCTAAACTTCAACTTACTGGCGTTATCGTGACTGTTTGTGCTGGGGCGGTGTATGTTGTGGTGACCGTTTGGGCTGGAGGGGTGTAGGTGGTGGTGGTCGTCTGTGCCGGAGGTGTGTATGTCGACGTCCTGTGAAGAAAAATATCAGCGACGCAATCAACATTTACATGGATCTGGGGCTCCATAGCTCTCTTTCTTATTGGCAAGTTCTGGTCTGCTCGCTGGAGAAGGTTCCACGAAAGAGCCGAACAGCAAGAAAGAAGCTTGAACTCGTCGAATCTGGTCTGGAAGATGGGAATATCCTTACACAGTCTGAGTCGATGTTACTGGAACAGGAGTAGCGGCATAGATCGTGGACGTAGTCGTCACTGGAACAGGGGTTGGTGCATAAACTGTAGATGTAGTCGTTTGTGTGGCAGTCCTGTAGGAAAGATCTTGTCAGCCATCTTTTTCTTTATCGACAGCAGGATTGACTAGCAGTAGGAGGCTCTCGGAAGAGACTGGACGAGTTCGACTTGCTGATCAAATAGTGACTACTTACACAGTCGATGTCACGGGCACTGGAGTTGCGGCATAAACCGTGCCGGCTGGTTGCGTTGTTGTGGTCGTCCTACAAAAGTCCACTTGTTAGCCCCAAGTCGTTTTGAATATTCAGATAACAGGGTTCAATCCTGTGTTCGTTGCATCTCTCTTCCGGAGATTTTTGGGATGACTTACACTGTTGAGGTGACTGGGACCGGAGTCACTGTTTGCGTCGTGGTGACCGGCTCAGGTGTAGCTGGATATACAGTAGATGTCGTGGTTCTGTCAAACGTGATTAGCCTGTGCAAACTTACCCCTGACTCTAAACTCCTCCTCCATGCGACAAGAAAGGAATTTCGGATTAGAGTCATCGAGTTGCCATTCACTTAATTTCGGACTCACACTGTAGAGTTAACTGGTGATGATGTGGCTGGATATGCTGTGGCAGTTACCGGCGCAGGGGTGGCTGCATACACAGTAGATGTTGTGGTCCTGTGAAATCAGATTAGTATACTTCTTGGCGGCACACTTTTCTCTGGCTCCTTTTTCTTCCTGTGTCTGATGGATAAGAACCTTATGAGTAGAGCCCTAAATCTTTCCTCCGATTCGAGCCTCAATCTCCACTTACACTGTGTTTGTAACTGGTGCTGGTGTAGCAGGATATGCTGTGGCAGTTCTAGACTCTATGTCAACAAATATTTCGATGAGATGTATAAAGTCCGCTCTAGGGACTTATTCAGGGTCCCTCACATGGTGCTTGCAGGTGGAGCCGGTGCAGTAGTTGTGGATATTACGGTCGTCGTTCTGGGAAAACTGGTTAGCGCAAGAGGTTCAGTTCTGCAAAGATTGACTAGCGTTTGAGACAGCTTCTGGCCGTAGAGATTTTTCTACTCTTCAAGGCAATCTTCCATGAGGCTCGAAAAATAAGGATTTACATAGTTTGTGTCTGCGTCGAGGTCACGGGGGCAGGAGTTGCAGCATAAATCGTGCTAGCTGGTTGCGTTGTCGTGGTAACCCTATAAGAACCCACTTGTTAGCCACTTTCTCTACGATAGCAGCCGCGCATAGACTAGCAAAAAGAGTCCTTGCACGAAATTCGCCAAGTCCGGCTTGCCAGAGACTTCGCATCTTGTACTTACACAGTTTGCGTCTGAGTAGTTGTGACAGGCGCAGGAGTTGCTGGGTAGGCAGTGTTGGTTCTGTGAGAACGATTCAGCATGTCTTCGAACTCATAGGATATTTTTCACATGGTCCACAAATTCTATTGAGATTGCTCCCAAGAAGGGTTCAACGAGCAGTGATTGACCATGAATCATCTCAATACTTACACTGGTGCCGGCGTAGCTGGATAAATTGTGGTTGACTGCGTCACAGTCTGGTACAATGTGGTAGTCCTATGAAGCCTGATTAGTAGTCGCCCTCAGCGGGCCCGAGCCCGGCTGAATGATCTTCTGGATATCATGCTTACACTGGGGAGGGCGTTGCGGCGTAGGAAGTGCCTGTGATGGTTCTAGAACTTGAATTAGCATTTTCTCTTGATAGTATTCTCG